GGAGGAAGTTTGTGTTGTTGGCTTGGTTGGCTTGAGGATGAGGAAATGCATGATGATGGCTTTCTTGCGGATGGAAAGATCGGGAGGTTTGGACATGGTTCACGTCATGTTTGATTACGTTGGCATTTGATTGGGTCAGAGTGTGAAGATCGAAGGAGGCTGGGGAAAAGGAAACGTAGAGGACATGAATAACTTCACGACCGTCTTTTCATGAACCGAATGGTAGTGTGTAGTTATGTTTTTTTTTCTTTGGTCTCGATCTCCCCTTCCACTGCCATGCTGTAGCCGAAGGAAGAACCAGTGTAAAACGGGGGTTTGTTGCCTCATCGCTTTTTTCTTTTCTTTCTTTCGTTCCTCGCGGTCGCTCCGTTCATGAGACGTAGGCAGTGTCATGACCTAAGCATAGACCGAACAAGTATAAACACATGTTCGCTTCTTGTTGTTGGCTTAAACAGTTTACCTTCTTTCTTCCGTGACGGATTGTTGCGGTTGCCGAAAGAGTGTTTGCCTTTCAGGCGTCCCACACAAAGCAATAGTTTCGTTGGTTAAATTGACTATATTTACTTTGAAACGTAGGTGCACGTATACGAATCTCTATTCACACACCATGGCCTTTTTAAAATTATAAGCTAGCAGTTTTGATTTCGCCAGCCGTCGTTTGATAATCTAATTGTGTTTTCTCCCGGCATCCCGGTGGCGGTTGCTGTTTATTCTAGTCTTTTTTTGTGTTGCGCGAATGAAGTAATTAGTCGGAATATGCGGTTCTAGAAACAGACGGAAAACAAGTGAATAGTAGATGTGCGAGAATTATCCTGCTAGATTTGTCCCTTTTCCCATGTACAAAGCTATATTCAAATTGTACATTCTTTCGATTTAAATCTTTCAAATTTCCTTCACCAACGTACGTGCAGTTCATGTTTGATTGACAAATTAGCTATGTATCTCCTAATACGAGATTGGTGATTACCGGAAATGAAGGCACGTCCCCATCTCGGATCACGTGTACGTACCAAGATACTCATCACGCTAGACGGTAGATTGCACACCTTATCCGCACCCTGAACCCTTCTCAGCTTTCGAATGTCTCGGAAATTTACATGGGCTCTCCTTGTTCCTCTACAGACTTTGCGGGGCTTGGGAAAAGACAAAGCGCACATACACGCATGCGTGTAGAGCTGCACAAGTGCATCATGTCAGCTTCCTCAACACATGCCTCTTCAACAATTCGTTGTCGCTATGCACGCCTGCCGCGCTTTGCTAGCCGAAAACTACGAGTGGTATACTACGACTTGTTTTTTCTTTTATCTCTGCTCGGCGGAAGCTCCGAAAACTGACATTGGGAAGCCGCCACTGTGTAGCCTTGATTCTGGCATCTAAATGGCGCTATAGTCCCCGACTACGCTAGGAGATAGGGTACGCATCTAGCGCTCCTACCGCCGTCATTAATGATTGGCTCTGTGTTGCTTTTGAGATCTCGTGCACTAGAGCCACCAGCGTCTCTGACCACTCACATGCACGACCAGCATGTCTTACGCATTATACTAATTGAGACTGTTGATTCAGCCATGCTGATCTTCAAGCTTGTTGTCTGATGTGATCGGCGTTTGCTGTTACTGTGTGTGTAGTTAATGGGTCGTCAAAGTTTGCTGGGTCATGTAAAGCAGAGGCCAATCCGGCGCATATGCATGCGCGTGATAGGGACTCAACGCTGCTAAGGATTTCATTGGTAGAGATAACGCATGTCGCTAGTACGTGCCGTGTGACAGACATGCGAGGCTTGCTTGCTGCAACGACCGTCGGCAGGTAGCCTGCACTGGAGCCTCATGTCGCATTGCTGTCTTAGCTCAACAGAATCGGAATGAAGGAGAGGAAAATATACGAGCAGAGAGTTAAAAATCTTGGAAGCTAACCATAACGCCCCTGCGCCATCTAAAAACACCATGGAGGTAATGGTCCTGCAGGTTTGCCAAGCCAGGACCAAAACACCGATGGGCATGTGAATTTGTATCCTCATTAATCGGTTCTGCTTTGTCGGCTTTGCCGAATCAGGTGACACGTATTGACCTTGAACTCCGGGTAACCAAAGACTCGTTGGTTAGGAAGACTACATCATATTTTCGGGAGCCGTTGGAGGATAACTCAGGTTGGACGCTTGGGGTAAACCGCTAGATCATCTTTAGTCTTCGTTTTTGGACATGTCACATGGGAAGGGACCCATCCATACCTTGCAGTTGTTTGATTCATGCTCTCATCCGCCCCACCATTAAGATCCCACCAGTTGCTTTGCCAGTTTCGCGCAACAAACTCATTTTCTAGTGCCCTGAACAATCCAAGGGATTGAAAGTCACCTTCAGCATTCGCAGAATACCCAGGCATGTTAAAGGCCGACATGTCGAAGTCGGGTAACTCGGTAGCTACCAGATTTTGAACGGTATCGAAGCTTGTTGGTTGGTAATTGAGTACTGGAGTAGTGGTATACTCCGCGTTGCTTGTCGCTGTCGGAACCATCTCTTTGCGCCTCTCTTCCTGCAACGTCCGCGATACTCTATTCAGTGCATCGACGGTTTTGACAAATGGTACCAAGTTTCGTCGCTGTGTGGACGCCTCGTTCATAGCTATGCCAATACTCTCAAGTGTCTGCATGTCACTCTCGCAGTCATCGGGGTTGTACGTAGCAAGTATTTGTTCGTAAAGGGTGAAAACTACACAGAAGGGGTATAATGTGATGAAACTGGAAAAAGATCAGCAACTTCAACGAGTACAAAGAATTCGAGCAGTAAAGAACTCAATATTGTTGGACTTACTGATTGGTGATGCTCTTGGATTTTGAATTCACGGTGGGGTCAGTATGGAAGTCGAGGATGATATTGGACACTTTCCGAGCCGCTCGAACAGCAAATGGACTCGGCTTAACTGCTGTGGCGGAATTTCCCCGTACAGCTGCTTGAACTAGCCTCTGTATCCCAATAATGTAGGTGTAAATGTTCACTAGACTTTTATTAGCGTCCGTCGCTAATGAGCAATCAGCCTTGCCACATACTGATATGATCAGCAAGCATACAGCGGTGGTCAATACGAGTGTCCTCCGCATTCATGAGCTGTTCAAGCTTCCACTCAGCCATGAGGCTTTCAAGCTGTGTGCAGCATTCGTCGGCCTTCTTGAAAAGGTCATCTCCCTGGCCATTCGATGCATGTGTGTCGACATAGCCAATAAACTCTTCAGCCAAGAGCGTGTACCGTACCCACGCAACGCAGATTGTAACACGAATAGCCGACGGATGCATATTGTCGCCACGAAAAATCATTGGCGGCCGAATCTTATTGGGCACCCATCTCAAGACCTTTGGTTTCCCGAAGAACAAGTGAAACGCGATATCAGAACACAAAGTATGCCAATAAATATATCGATAGCCGTCTCGTTTGTCTTCATCGGTGAACGTTTTTGCTGGTGCACTGTCGATTTGGTCTATGCCCTGGGACATGAGATGCTGGCATACTTTGCAATGAAATTTCCAGGCAAGTGGATAGTCATGCATGGTGATGCACGTCCAAGTGATAAGGGCGGCTGTGGACCCGTCCAAATCACTCTTGGTTTGCGACTCAAGCCATGCCGGTACACTTTCGAGGACTTTCATGTATGCTTTCATCGTTACCTCAGCTCCCGGACCTTCAGTATCCTGCAACCCATAATACAGTGCATTATAACTTGATCAGAGCACACGAAGTTAACACCGGATTGACAAAGGGCATACATGCTGAGATACTTACTACAGAACGCGCATTCCAGGGTCGACGTTGACATAGGGAGAGTCGATGACATCTGGAAGCGAGCGTAAAACACTGAGGTTGACCATGGAACCCAGAGAGACATCCGGCACAACCATTGAATGCGCTACATGGACGAAGGTATCTATGCATGCTCGGCATTCTGCAGGCGAGAGATCAAAATCGACATGGTGAGCTTGAGTACGCACTCTCAGTCTTCCAAGATCTTCAAGAGCATCGTTGAGCGACGACATGGCATTATTTATGCTTGGCCCTGGGGTGTTGACCGGGGTAGCTTGATTTTGGAAGCTCCGGCGCGTGTCAGTAGCAAGTCGATAAATCTGTCACCGTTAGCCACGGTGGTAGTTGATGTGTTATGGTTGGAGTCTATTACCCATGATTCCTGACTATCTGCCACAGTCAAGGGGGCTTCGGGAGACGACAAAGGTGGTGTTCTTTGTATTACTTCCCGTTGCGGTGTTGGGAGAGAGCCAGGCGACGAATCCGGTTCACCCGAGGTACTGACATGCTTCTCAAGCTGTTCGAGTCGCTGACTCAAGTATTCCATAGCATTTTTGTGCTGTGCAATGCGAAGTCTTTTGCGGCGCTCGACATATTGACACTCCTCTGCAGCAGTCACACACTGACGACATACAGGATCTGCTCTGTCGCATTTTATTTTCTTGCGCTTGCAGCGAAGACACTTTGCTAAGGCGTCAGTGAAGAATTGCAACTTGTAGTCGCAGCCCATGTACACGTACGGCAAGTTTCATCGTCATCGCTTACTAGTGGCCGTTACCGCAGATATTCTGCCGGGTTTCGGACGTGGGAGTCGAACTCTATGCGTGTGTATCTATCTTCCGACAACCCTGGGTTTTCTTCGGGTTCGGAATGGGCGTAGATGCGAGGGTGATGGGGTGGACAATGGGGTGTCAGCCTAGTTGGGCAATGGTCGCAAATTCGGACACCGCAATGTCCGAATGCCCGAATGCCCGAATGACAACTACCCGCCAGGGGTCCTAGCCTCTTGGAACCACTACCGTTGCATGTCTGACGCTGACCATCTGACCCACTTACTAGTAGAGAGATCACAGAAGACCGAGATGATGCAGGTGCCAATTCTATCTCAGGCAGCCATAGTGGGCCGTTCTTGGCATCATGGACTTTCGGATTTTGTTGCGACGACCAAAGCCAAGGGCAGGGCATATGTTCCCGTTACCAGGACACCAGCTGTACGCTCGTATATATATCGCCATTTAGATGTTCATGTCAATAGAAAGAGCCATCGAGACAGCTATACGAACAATTGCTTCACACCTTTGCTCAGCGCCGACCGCGTTGTGATTCTTCACCAAACATGCCGATCGGACCGGGCTTCATAGAAGCAAAAACCATCACCGAAGACGAAAACACACTGACTAGTGAGCATCATGCTGCCGATACTCACGTTGAGACAGAACGTGACCGCGAAGTTCATGAACTCGTCCGCAAATTCACCTCACAAGCAGAGCAACACGGTGCGACGGGATCACCGTTGTCTGATGATGTTCCTCCACAGCTAGATCCCAAGAGCGAACAGTTTCGTGCGAAGGACTGGGCCCAAGCGTTCTACAATTTGCGCTACAGCAGCGAAGATACGATTCCTCGTGTTGCAGGGGTTGCCTTTCGAAATCTCAATGTATGGGGCATGGGATCCCCTACAGACTTTCAGTCTACAGTCGGTAATATGATACTCAAGTTGCCTTCGCTTTTTGGAAAAGGCGCGAAGAAGATTGAGATTTTGCGCGACCTTGATGGATTGCTACTACCTGGAGAACAACTATGTGTTCTCGGCCCACCAGGGTAGGTTGAAGCTTATGTTTTTCATTAGAGACCACAGCTAACACATTCCAGATCCGGATGTTCTACATTACTCAAGACTATCGCGGGTGAGACTCATGGTTTCCAGGTTAGCCCTGAGTCACACCTTAACTATCAGGGCATTCCAGCCAAAGAGATGAACACTTCTTTTCGAGGAGAGGCCATCTACACGGCAGAGGTTGACGCCCACTTTCCTCAGCTCAGTGTTGGTGACACACTCTATTTCGCTGCTCTTGCCCGTGCCCCGCGTCAGATTCCTGGTGGCGTCAGTAGGGAACGCTACGCTGAGCATCTCCGCGATGTAAGTCCGTTTACTAAAGAGATAGATAGCCCCCTACTAAATCTTTCAAGGTTGTGATGGCTATGTATGGTGTCTCGCATACAGCCAACACACGCGTTGGTAACGACTTTGTGCGAGGTGTTAGTGGTGGCGAACGCAAGAGAGTAACGATCGCAGAAGCTTCTCTCAGTTTTGCGCCTCTGCAGCTGTGGGATAACTCTACACGTGGATTGGATTCTGCGAACGCAGTAGAGTTCTGTAAGACGCTCAGAACACAATGTGACGTCTTTAACACATCTACTTGTGTTGCCATCTATCAAGCTCCACAAGCTGCTTATGAGGCATATATTCCCGCTTGACCATCGCTAGAACACGACTGACTGTTTATAGCTCTTTGAGAAGGTGACAGTTCTCTATGAGGGTCGCCAGATCTACTTTGGCCCAGCAAGCGAAGCGCGTGCCTATTTTGAGCGCCTTGGCTTCGAATGTCCTACATCACAGACTACCCCGGATTTTCTGACTTCGATGACATCTCCTTCTGAGCGCCGTATCAGAAAAGGCTTAGAAAACAAGACGCCCCGCACGTCAGATGACTTTGCGCAATGCTGGAAGACGAGTCCCGAAAGACAGCAGCTGTTGAGGGCGATCGAAGACTTTGACAAAAGTTACCCACTCCAAGGCGAACAGCGCAATCTCTTCGCGTTATCGAGGACGAAGGAGAAGTCTAGCAAGCAGCGTCAGAACTCTCCATATACACTTTCCTACTGGGGGCAGGTTCGCCTCTGTATGTGGAGAGATGTGCAACGAATCAAGAACGACCCGAGTGTCTCATTGACAATGCTCGCTGTAAACTTTACCGAAGCAATTATCATCTCTAGTATCTTTTTCAACTTACCCGAAAACACTGCGTCGTTCTTCAAACGAGGAGGAGTCATATTCATGGTCGTAAGTCCACCTCTCTTCTGATGGATGGATGAAGAGGTTTACTCACTGTTCTAGATCATACTTAACGCTTTCGGCAGCATGTTAGAGATTATGAATCTCTATGCCAAACGAACAATCATTGAGAAGGTAAGCTATGTTATTCTACTTATCCATGAGCACTGGGAGTTGACAATTTCCTCAGCACAACCGTTATGCACTATATCATCCCAGCGCCGAAGCACTAGCTTCAATGATCGTGGACATTCCGTATAAAGTTTTAAACTGCATTTTCGTCAACACCACACTCTATTTCATGGCCAACCTCCGTCGAGATGCTGGCTCATTCTTCTTCTTCCTTCTCGTTGGGTTCACTACCGGTCTGTCCATGAGCATGTTCTTCCGACTGCTTGCTTCGATGACCAAGACTCTCGCACAGGCCTTCGCACCGAGTTCCCTTATCCTTTTGATGCTGGTTCTCTACAGCGGCTTTCCCCTACCCGTTCCTTATATGAAGTCATGGATAGGTTGGGTGCGACACATCAACCCTGTATCGTATGGATTTTCGAGCGTGATGAGCAATGAGTTCAACGGTCGATCGTTTGGCTGTTCGTCATTCATTCCATCCGGACTATCCTACGAAAACGCTACACTGGAGCAGCGAGCATGCGCCGTCCAAGGTTCACGACCTGGTGAGGGATTTGTCAGTGGTACCGCATACGTCGAGACTGCATTCCAATACAAATTCAGCGAGCGGTGGCGAAACTATGGCATACTTGTGGCCATAACTTTCGCACTGTTCGTCATCCACCTGGTTATGAGCGAACTGGTTGCTTCCGAGCGCTCCAAGGGCGAGGTTCTGGTATTCCGTCGATCCAAGATGAAGAAGATGGCCAAGCGTCAGAACACGGACGAAGAGGCGGGCGGTGCAACTGCCCATGAAGGCGAGAAGCTTAGCCGCAGCAACAGCTCTAATCGGGAAGTGCAGGAGCAGGTCTCAATCTTCCACTGGGAAAAGGTTACCTATGAAGTGCAGATCAAGGGCGAAACGCGCAAGATTCTTGATGATGTCGACGGATACATCAAGCCTGGCACTCTCACAGCTCTCATGGTATGTATATCTTCACAGAAGGTCAGGATCTAGCTAACAACTACTTAGGGCGTATCTGGTGCAGGCAAGACTACATTACTTGACGTGCTGGCCAGCCGAACTACCATGGGTGTCATCGGTGGTGATATCTTCGTAGACGGCCGACGACGAGACGAGTCCTTTCAACGACAAACTGGCTACTGCATGCAACAAGATATTCATCTGGATACATCGACTGTACGAGAAGCTCTAGAGTTTTCTGCTCTACTGAGACAGCCGCCGGAATATGGTCGTGAAGAGAGATTGGCATATGTCGATCACGTCATCCAGCTCTTGGATATGGAACAGTATGCAGATGCCGTTGTTGGTATTCCAGGATCAGGCCTCAATGTAGAGCGTAAGTACAACAGCTCTTTGTATTTTCATCACCGAGATATATACTGACTGCATCAGAACGCAAACGTCTAACCATTGGAGTTGAGCTCGCCGCCCGTCCGAAGCTACTCCTCTTCCTTGATGAGCCTACATCTGGTCTTGATTCCCAGACATCATGGTCCATCTGTGATCTCATGGAGAAACTGACTAGAGACGGCCAAGCAATTCTGTGCACTGTACACCAGCCATCATCCCTTCTCTTTCAACGATTCGATCGCCTCCTCTTACTCGCCAAAGGTGGACGTACAGTGTACTTTGGCGACATTGGGCGCGACTCCAATATACTCCTCGACTATTTCTACCGCAACGGCGCACCGGCATGTCCTCCTGGCACGAATCCAGCCGAGTACATGCTCGAAGCAATTGGTGCAGCGCCCGGAGCCAAAACCGAGATTGACTGGCCTACGGTCTGGAAGAGCAGTTCAGAATTCGAGCAAGTCCAAATGGAGCTGGAAAAGTTACGCCAACTAGTCAACCAACCCTCCGCTGTTATGGACGCCGCAAAAGGCAGCCACCAAGCCTTCGCCGCATCCTTCGCCGACCAATTTCGCGCCGTCGCTCTCCGCTGTGCCCAACAATACTGGCGAACCCCCTCCTACATGTACTCCAAAGCCATTTTAACTATCGGTTGCTCCCTCATGATCGGCTTCTCCTTCATCGACGGCACAAACACAATGCAAGGCCTGCAAAACCAAATGTTTGGCGTCTTCATCTTCCTCTTCGTCGTCATCCAGCTCATCTACCAAATCCTGCCCATGTGGATCTTGCAGCGCACCCTCTACGAAGCCCGCGAGCGTCAGTCCAAAACGTACGCCTGGCAGGCCTTTGTGCTGTCCAACATCGCCATCGAAATGTTCTGGAACGCTATCATGGCGATTGCTTGCTACTTCGCGTGGTACTATCCCGCGGGCTTGTATCGCAACGCGCAAGCCACGGATTCCGTCAACATCCGCGGTTTCCACACGCTCCTCATCATCATTGCCGTCTTCGTCTTCGCAAGCACCCTCGCACACCTACTCATTGCTGGGTCCCCCAGCGAAGAAATCGCAGGAGCGTACGCGACGTTGCTCACGATTATGATGTACGCTTTCTGCGGCATTCTGGCTTCTAAGGATGATCTCCCGGGATTCTGGATGTTCATGTATCGTGTTAATCCGTTTACGTATCTTGTATCGAGCTTTTTGTCTACGACGCTCGGACAGGCTCCCGCGCATTGTGCGGAGAATGAGTTTCAGAATTTCTTTGCGCCAGAGGGACAGACGTGTGGGGAGTACATGGCGGAGTATATCAGTATGGCTGGAGGGTACCTAAGGGATGCGAATGCGACGGAATGTGGGTACTGTCAGTTGGATAGTACGGACCAGTTCTTGAGCAGGGTGCATGTGAATTGGGATACGAGGTGGAGGGACTTTGGGCTCTTGTGGGTGTACGTTGTGTTTAACATTGGGGCGGCGGTGTTGTTGTATTGGGTATTCCGTGTGCCTAAGGGGAAGAAGAGGCAGTAGATTTCTTCGTTCCTTCCGTTCTTTAGAGTTTAGACCTTAGACTAGTAATACTGTAATGTGTAATTCATCAGATATCAAAAAAATGATCTTGTTGTATTTACTTGGCATCTAGTCAATGTCTCAAAAAAAGTTTTTTACAAGAAATATAAATCGAAGGTGCCACACTTCCGCATTGCTTCCAGCGCTCAACCACGCATGGCAGCTAGGGATGACACATTTTCCAGCAATCATCCCCATCGCGCAGCCCACCTAGCACGCAGCAACCGACCCAGAGAACTTGCAAGCACTCGACGGGCCCGTTGACACAGAATCCGGCTCGTTACCAGGCGTCGTTCCCTTGAACTCTTCGCAAATCTCCTTGACACCCGTAGCACAAGTAGCCGCATCAATCGTAGCCGAGTCACCAAAGTTTGAGTTGATACCCGCAAGCAACTTTCCATTTGACGCTTTGACGCCCTTGATAACGACATGGCGCTCGGCGCTCTCCTTGCAGTTGCCGCAGGCGCGGTAGAGTTTGCCGAAGTTGTCGACAGTGAAGTTTTCGATTGTGACGGTGCCTTTGCCGTTGTGCTGGATCACTTTGTCTTGTGCGGCTGTGGCGCCGCCTCCGATAACTGTGGGGAATTGTTAGTTACATCCTTTTTCTTCTTCTTATTCTTTTTTTCGTTGCTTAAATGAAGCAAGTAAGGGGGTTAAACGTACCGGTAGCATCGCCATCGCCCTTGAGTGTGAGAGCATCTTCACATACAGACACCCACCACACATTCTCAATCGTGCAAGAACCCTCGCAGTGCACACCCTCGATCTGGTCCTTGCCAATAATGGCGTTCTTGAGCGTAGCACCGTCCTTGAGCAGGAACACGGCGTCGGAGTTGCCGCCCTCGGCTTGGCCAGTGCAAGAGACGCCGCGGCCGTATGTCTTGAGGCCTCCGTCAAAGACACCGGTGATTTCCTTGGGTTCGGAGAAGGTCTCAGTGCCGTTGCCCTGCGGCACAGGCAGCGAGCCTCGTTTCATCATTGTGTAAAAGTTTCGGGGGAAGATGCGAGCCGGGCCGGCTGAGGCGGCGAGGGCGAAGCCCAGGATGGAGGCAGCGATGGAAGTCTTCATTTTGATAGTAGTTTTGAGCGTTGAAAAAAAAAGTTCAGAGGTATTCGGTTCGGAAAGAGTGCGATTGGGTTCGACTAGCGAAGGAGGTGCGTCAAGCACAGAAACAGAAAACAGGGACTGAAGGAGTGTGGGGTGTGAAGGACATGTGCTGGCTCGATCAAGAGAGTTGATTTTTCTAGAAAGACGTCTACGCTGTCCCTCTTATACTGCGTACCCACTTCTTCATCTACCCAATGTGTTCTCGAATGCCTACAGCATGTTTTGTTAATGGGGAAATGTTTTGCGTAACTGGGATCTGCGTACAAAGTGGGTTCGTAATCACCCCACTGCTCAGCGTCGGCCTTGAAACCATGTTTTGACTATCAAGACAGTAAAAGCAAAGGTCGATCACCATGTTGCAGGACTATTCATGGTCGTCTTGGCGAAAATGCTCATTTGTTCGAAACACAGTGCGCGGAGGTAGTTAGCCCGGCTGCGGGTGGCGTTTATCACCCTGATCACGCCCGTTTCGGAGGGATCGTGCCAAGACGGTGATGTGTTTTGGCATTGATGCTTGGACTTGTTGAATTGTACCTTCTTAATGAGGGATAGTAAATGCTGGTAGAATCGTAGAAAGGTCTCCCAGTGTGTGTGCATTCTACTGCGTATGTGTTGCATGTATACGCAAGCGTCAGCGCAAGATGCATGTATCCCTACCGACATCCCATAGTCCATCAAAGATGCGAAAATAATCGTATATCCCTTCTTTGACTGCGCGGCATTGACGACCAGTGCAACGCGATGTTCTCAAGAACGCCATTTCGCAAGCCACTTTGGGCTGCATTTTAGGTGCTGACTGAAATAGGTACCGCGCGGCTGGAAGGTGGAAGAATGGGGTTTACGACTGAATCCTTGACAAAAGCAGGGGAAGGCGGCTGGGATTGCGATCAGCGTTGCGATAACGGGTAGGCAAGTTTCACGATGATCAATGAGCGAAAAGAACACCTCAGTCGCATTGTAGCTAAGTCCTTCATGGCATAGAATGCACTTTTCCTAATATTGAAGGTCACAAGTTAGAAGACTGTGGTGACAATACTACGCGTGATCAAATGGTCGTTTCAACCAGGTCTCAAAGTAGGCGCTTATGCTATACATGAGGCTCGAGCAAGAGTGTGGTGGAGTGGAGGTGTGGAGTATATTGTCGTCAGCTAGGACTGTGCACTTCTTAGCTTGGGTCGTCCGGAATGACGTGCTGCACAGAAAAGCTTGGTTTCGTGTCCGTGATAGTAAGGCTAAATTTCTCCTATCTTAGCTATAACTTGACTACCCTTTCCCCATCAGCCTATTTGAAATTGCGACGCGTGTACGAGGGCGCGGACGTTGGGACTAGGGAAAAGGGTCTCCTTGCAACGTCATTTACGTAAGTTGGCTAGAGCGAAAACAGGGTCATGCTACGGTTGCAGCAAGACGAATTAGCGCGCATGAATCTGCCGCTCTGGGTAGTTAGTGATTCTTGGGACTGATAGAAGTTTAAGGCATTGAGCGGCAAGTGAAACACATCGATTCAACCTGAAGATTCCCCGCCCGAAGTTTATCCATTTATGGATTTAGGATTTACCCGTTACTTAAGGCTATGGAATCACTAGGATCTGAGGGAACTTGATATCCGAGCGGTGATTTCCTTGCAGAACACCTATAACATACGATATCTCTATCTAGAAATTTGGACGTCTTTGAATGAACTAAGATGACTGATAGGGTATCCTGCAGCTTGAGTGTGGCTTGAGCGGCAACTGGTGTGGCGTTGGCTGCGGCTTTACCTCGACTATGTCTCTCCCATTATATTACCTAATGAGCCTTGGCTTAGCTATAGTAGGAAAGATGTCAAAGGCAACAATGCCTCGACGCCATCCTCTGGTTCCTGACATGCATCACAAAAGAAAGAAACACACAATCCGAACCTTGTTGAAAGAAAGGGACGGTAATTGTATTCTTGTGTGCTGCCTGAACATAGAGAAAAAGCAAGACAAGACAAGCTCTATGTGGATGACAAAAGGAGATACAGTTGATGGAGATTACGCAATATCATCTCCTTCCACACATACTCCCGGATCTGTGGTATCTTTCATGCCGCACCCCACAACCTCTCTCTTGATGTTCAATCACACCACAACGCCCTGCTCCGAATTTTCATGATGGAAGATCAAGCAACTGACTGCGGGAATCAGGATATGCCCCTGTCTCGATCTAAAATGACTAATAAACATAGGAAAAAAACCACTTGTAATGCCAGTCATAACGCCGTGAATACACAAAATACAAAGGCAATAAGCTAGTGCTTATGCCTGTTCGTTAACATGATTATTTGTCGTAGTCGTCACTGGGATGTGAGCCTTGACGGTGGAAATGTGATCCATATCATCGGTAAGAGTGACGTCAACTGTCTGGCCCTCGGGTATCATTTTGTGGTTGAGTTGCCAACCCGCGCGACGGGCAAGCTCGGCCACTACTACATCGCAATCGCCAAGGAGGTTGATGTCGAAGTTGATGTGGTGAATGGGATCTCGTGAGATGTAAATCTGCGGAATGTCGCGGGGCAGGAAGTTGGGTATCTCAGATACGGGAGCGACCTTCATGCTGGTGCCCATTACAATGACCAAATCTACCTTATCCTTGTCCACATCCTTTAGTCGATCGAAGAAGTCGTTGGGAAGGGCTTCGCCGAAGAAGGTAATATCCGGCTTCATGATCCCCGGCTGGGGAATGTCAAAGGCGCCATCGGATTCGGAGTCTTCATCGCTCGATCGCTTCTTCCTGCTGCCATTGGCATTGGATTGACGTTTGCGCTTCTTGCTGGGTTGGGCTGCGATTTCGTCCTTGCAGCGCTGGCACTCAGCAGGCCGCTGTGCGCGCACATCGTCGAAGATGACTTCACCCGGTACCTTGAACTTGCATTTCCGGCATGTCGCAGTGGCCCAGGAACCATGGCACTGGATAAGCTTATCCTTGCGTATGCCCGCGTGTGCTTCGACATTATCGATATTCTGCGTGTAGTTGGTGAGCAGCTTTTCCTTATCCTGGAGTAGGCGTATGAACTCGTGCGTAGGCGTCCACTTTTCGAGATCGGGTATAATATCACCAGCAAGCGCATAAAAGGTGCGAGGATTCTCGTCAAAGTTGTGAATATCAAAGACCTCCTCGGGCTCGTCATAACCCATCTGCAAGAGTCGCGAGTAGAAACCTGTATTCTTGGAGCGAAAGTCGGGGATGCCGAGGCTCGTCGAGATGCCTGCGCCGGTGATGACCATGATGTTCTTGCGCTCCAGCAGCAGTTTCGCAGCGTCGTCAATGGTCTTGTACTGCTCAATGCGGGGGCGCTTGTTGAGCTCGCGGTTGATGGCCAGGCCAAGCAACTGGTAGAAGTTCTCGTCGGGCGCTTCTTCGAGGAACTTGGGTATCCTGACGCCAAACGCGGTACACAGTTTGCGCGCCGTCATCTTCTCGCTGGTGATGTTTTCCATGACGAACTGGCTGGCGCCAACCTCGTGCAGTCGCTGGCGCAGTCGGCGCGCCTCGTCAGCAGTGCACACATCTTTGCCTGTACAACTGTCAATGGCTGTGGCCAACACCACACAAGGGTCAAACACACCGTCGTTGGAGTACTCGAAGGCTTCAACTTCATCCAGAATCTCCTCATACAGCGAAGCCGAATCCCACACGCCACCATCCTCGTCGTCGTGGTCAGGCGCAGGCGCGTCCTCTTCTTTGGGTTTGGTCGCGCCCCCCGCTGTGTGTTCCGCCTTGCCAGCCGGGGCAGAGGGCGGGGCGGAGTCGTGGACAGCGACGGGTCCCTCTGAGGCGTGGGCAGCCATGATGTCGTTTTCCCGTGCACGCTCACTGTCAACCAATGTAACTCGGCGAGAGTGGAGGAGAAAAGGTGGTCAGATGGGTGAGTTGGGGAGCCTTGGCGCTAACCCGATTTAGGCGATACGGAGATGGCCGCATTTTGATTGTTGTTTGCACGCCATTCTTCCTCCGATGCACCGCCGCGGAGAGTCGTCGCCGTCTCCTTCGCCAATCTCATGCCACCGCAGCATGCAGCATCTTGCGAGAGATTTCTTCGTGCGAGCTGCATCCATGCACGCAGCCGTCCGAGACTGGAAAAATATAGACAAATCACAGCCCAGGATATGCAGCTTTCGCCGTCTTGATATGCTCGTTGGTGGCATGCAGCCACGGATACTACATGTCACTTCTTCGTGTATCGTCAAGTATAAGGCATTCAGCTTTTCGAAAAGGAATCGCGAGGTTTCCTACTCTTCATCCTGCTTCTATCGCTCATGATGACTTTGTTTGCTGCTTCTGCAACTGAGCTGGTCCAGCGTCCACCTGCACTTGACCACAGGTTGCACAAGACTGCCGTGCCAGTCTACCAGCAGCCTTTGTTACGCATAGCCTCGCCTGATTCGCGTCATTGCGGGGCACCAAAATCATACTCTATGGGTCAGTTGAGCGAAACAAACTGTGTACCTTGCCCCGAGAGGCTAGCGACGCTTCCCGTCGAGATAGTCAACCGCATACTATCGGACCTCATCCATCCGCATTGTCGTCTACCAGGCCTCACTGAAACTCAGAGCCAATACAGCTTCACCGAGAAGCAAAAACGCAGTATCAAGGATAAAGAGGATCTCACTCAGCCTGCAGATACTGATCGATGGGCTGCCGATATATTCTCCTTGTGCCTGATCTCGCACCCCTTCAATGCCCTGGCTCTAACATCCTGGGCATGTCATAGGCTGGTTGAAAGCTACTGTGCACATTTGGTCCGCCGATGCAACAGTACCATGTTCAACCTTCCCTTCGCCCATCTTGATAAGTATGGTTCCAACTGTGTCTATCCAGACCTCAGTGGCATTGTGTACCGGCGGCTATGGCTGCAACATGCTCCGCGCAAGTGTGTCTATTGTCAGGCAACGTTGGATTGCTACCCCTTTCCAACAGTCAATCGTATTCTCACTGCCTGCGGAGACTGCTTTTACCGTCAAACCATGGTATGCATTCCTTCAAGTTAATCTTGTAAGAGTCACATGATTAAGTAACAGGCGCAGACGACCGATGAAGTGGAAAGGCAGTACCACCTCTCACCCTCTGCCCTTGCCTCAAATCGAATCAGAGGTAACAGATTACCGTGGGTCTTGCGTGTCGATGTGGAAGCTCTGGCTTTGCAACTCTACCACACACGAGAATTTCATGACGCTCATCCAGAGCAATTCGATAGGCCATGTTTAATATGTGCCATCATTAGGTTTACGCACCAACATGAAGTCGACAAGCCACAACCGAGCAAAAAGATTGCAGCCCGCCAGGGTGGAAGGAGGACAAGGATGCGCTCAACGCGGTCGTGACGATCCTATTCTCTTTTTCACTTTCTTTTAGTATAAGAAGAATTTCTGTTCTTTGATCAGTCACTGAATGGAAAAAGAATTTCCGTAACGTAGATGGATTCACAGATCTTCTCCACTACGAACTAGGATTACTAGTAAGATTTGATTTTCCTCTCTTACTTTTCTGCGATCTAGCTTTGGTGCTGAGGGCGGACGAGGTGAAAATTCCATTGCTGCAACCCTGAAGAACAATCGACTTGTAACCGCCTACTTCATCTAGTGATGTCGAGAGTATGTGAGAAGATCAGATTACTTGAGTTTGATGATTCCAAAGAAGCGCAAAGTGGGGTGAAGTTGACTGTGGGGTAGTACTCACATGCTAGCGCGCCGCGCTAAGCACAGCGCGTTTTCTTCGCAATAGACGCGACTGCCCCACATTCACGCACTATCAAGACACCAAACGCCGTCATTCGCACTCCGTACCCAGGACAAGCCTCGGTGTAGGCTACAAAATGCTTGATATCCACCGCCATGATCCTGCACAGGATACAAAGGTTTTCTTTTCACACAGCATTCTACCGTCCTATGTTGATCCGCAAAATGTCTCGACCAAAAAGAAGCCATTCTCTGCATTGAACAAGCAAAGATACAGCCACACCCTCGACTTGATACTCCCGGAAGAAATCTATGAGCTTTTGAAAGATGGATTGCAGCGGAATGACGGTCCAGCAAGAGCACGGTATGCACGTGTACATATGAAGCTTGGAGAAATATTGGAAAAAGAGTTCCTGGAAGGGTACATCAAGCAAGGAAGCATTGCGATGCTGAGTGAAGGCCGACCACTTGTAGACGATCGGTTTGAGCTCTATGAGGGTATTCTACGGATGGAGCTCACACGTCCAACGTATGAACGATGCGGTTTGCATGGCACACCGATTGAAGACGGCGGAAAGAAACATCAAAAGCAACGGTGGATCGTCGAGTACGACTTGCGCGCCAATTCGGCTAAGCATGGCAAGAGTGGCTTCTCAAGACTAGAGTGGGCATGCAAGAACGTTCTTGATCGTTCGCTTACTTGGCTATTTTATAACTTCAATCCTTCGTCTGCCGAGTCGCTGGCTGAAGGAAAAGAATTCATTTCGAAACACTCGCCTTGGTTACACGACATTGTACCTGAGCAGTCGAGTTTGCGTGAGGTGCTTGTGCCGCACTTTTCCACCAGCGAACTCGCAGACTTGTACGCGGAGGAAGATGCGCTGGGCTTGTTGGAATACCTCTACATGCTCAGTCTCGATTCGCCGCGCGTTAGAAAAGGGGACGACATAAATCACCATCTGTCAAGATACGAGGTGCCAGATTTTGGTAAAGGCGTAGGGTCATGTAATATGGTCGTCGTGCGCTGGAAGGGGTTTATACCTCCGGCTTTCGTTCGCAGTCTCTTCCTTGCTATCCGCAAAGATGCGTTCAAAAATAAAAGGAGGGGAAATGGCGCGCAAGGAGACGTCGGTATGGAAGGAAGGAGTATTGTCGAGGGAAGTGAAGGACAGTGGTTTGCTATGAGCGCAAGTGGTTTTGGGGGTATAAATTCCTGGACAATCATGCAGTTTGCAGATCGGCAGACACTGACATGGGAGGTGGAGACTTAGGATTTGTAGTGAAGATAAGAATATTTTTACTCATAACGCTGCTGAACGCAGCTCTCACTACTGATTCTCTTTGGTTTTCTCAACAGAGAAGGGCGGGTCACTTCTCTGCCATCCAAAGACTCTCATGCACCAGATGTCAGTTCGGGATACGAATTAATAATAGTGACACTACCGTCTCATACGATAGTACCACATGTTCATGTTGATCCACTTCTATTGCCAAGTCGTATATTCACCACTTGCTACCTTCCATCGTCCAACGCCTCTTCCCAAGCCAGCAGCATGCATCATGTATTCCCTCTACTGAAAATAGCTACCCACCTGAATCTCTAGATAGTGGCGTAAGATAACTCACTCCCTCCAATCCACTCGCGACTCTGCATCAACTGCATCATGCCTCAACTGCATCGTATCTCAACTGCCGTCCGCCCAACTCAGTCGCCCGTAAAGCCACATCCTGCATGGTCAACCCTTTCCTACAAGTCCATCCTCAATCACCTGACCATACAGCCCAAGACCCACATCCACCCTCCCCACATACACCCAGCCCACTGCCCTGGCGCGCCCCCCCAATTCCCAAACCAGAAATATCAAACGAACACATACCCTGCAAGCTGAGTTTACCTACCACACTGGACCCTGTTCAAAAACAAGTTCTGCAAAAAGTTCTATGTATAGTAGTTTTTTTAAAACTCTTCTACAAGGTTTTTTTTCTTGAATGCAAACTCCACATTCACCGGTGCTGCTGCTGCTGCCCTTTCCACTTCCTTCAGACGGGGCAAGGATGGGGGGGGGTTAAGGTAATGGACGTTTGTGGGTCGGAAGAAGAGGCTGCGCAGGACCACACATCGGTGGTTGTGGAGATCGGAGCATGCTGGCATGCTAGGGCTGGAAGGGTGGGGGGAGGGAGGGGGCCTGATGGGTTTAGGTAAGGGGATCCACATTTTGGGGATTGCTTGTACTCGGGGTCTGTGGGAAGGATGCTTGCAGTGAATTTCACGTAGGTAGCAAGTTTTCTCGTGTCTGTGTGTGTGTGTCTTTTTTTTGAGGGGGGGGAATGTGAAGTTTGAGTCATGAAGATTGGGATTTCGCATGTTCCGGATAACGACAAATACGATAGCCATGTGTTTTGAGATAGGGGCTTGGCAGTTCGTATCTTTAGTGTACGATCGAAGTACCGAAGCTTTGCCAGTGAGGCTGATTTAGTTTAGTTAGCTAGTTGGCTGAGCCAAGATCGTTCTTGCGCACTGCTCGGTGCTATCGATCCGTATCTGCTAGTTGAGCGCTGGGGGGCGTACGGCATGCCGAAAGTTTAACGCCACTGACTTGTCTTGAACGCCCGTTCCGGTGCAAGAGCGGATGCTGCAGAGATTGAGTTTGGGAAAGGGGAAGAATGGTGAGCATGTCCATGTGCGTGTCAGTGTATCTCGGTGTCCGACTCAAAATGGGAATAAGAAAGTTGACTAGACAGGGCAATGATGTCGATGCGGGAAGAATAAGCGACGGAGGATTTTTGTTTCTAGGCAGTGCTAGTCCTAGTTGCTAGTAATACTACGTAGTATCCAGTCTACACGCGCTTTCCCAATATTACCCTACACTGCCCCAAAAAACGCCTGCATCGAATGGAGTTGGCAAAAATCCACATGTCAGCACATTGTTGGATTGCGCGTATACAGGGAGTCCAATCCCACGGTCGCACTTCCCCGGTAGCGAGCAAGCCACCAAAAGCGAACAACAAAATAGCCCGGCGAAGGGGTGTAGGCACTTGACTAAGCCCTATCCTATCAAACCCCCCTTACTGGTTATCCATGCTTGCATACCTCCATACCATGTCTAATAAGGCGCCCGTAAGACTTTACTCCAGCCACATCAGACAGATAGCGAAGGAGAAAAACAAGCTCTACGAGTTTCATTGGGAGGCTGCTATGCGCCAGCTGTGCAAGACATCGTGATAGGAAATAGAAGAGAGAGAGGAGCGAGGAGTATTGGTTGGGCTTAGACGTCATACGACCATTTTTGTAAGCCAAGAGGCAGAGCGAAAAGGGCATACGATACGGTGCGATGCGATGCGATGCCAAAGGCAGCAGCTTCGCTGGCATTTGCTGACGGAGGCGTAGGAATGTGCAGCGAGGAACACCGATACTGCAAGGCGACAGAGACAGAGGGACCTCACGCCACACGGATGCCTATATAGGAACGCCGATTCTTGCCTTTTTCTCTTTCGGGTTCGAACGCGCTTGTGCGTAGGTTATGCAGCGCCGGTGTGAACGCAGGAACGTGGTGGAAGAAAGTTATTTTGGACTTGCGCTTGTTGTTGGCATACCATTCTTTGCAAGTCAAACAGAGCGACGATCTCTTTTCCAAAATGTTAATGGACTACTACTATGCGCTGATTACCCTTTTCATATGATATCCACCCAATTATTTTTTTCTGGGATTTGTCAAATGCTCCGACTGGAACAGGTACCCATGACGCGCACACATGTCTAGTATGGAGATTCGACGAGAATAGGGCATCTCGCTAGCGAAGCCTGGCAGTGGGGAACGGCGGGATGTGCGGTTTTTTTTCGGACGTCGGTGAGGAGATCCAGAGATCCATGCCGGCGATCTGGAGCTTTACTTCGACTCGAGACCATCTAGTCTTGCCCATCTTTTGTTTTATGCCCAACTTGCTTTCACCCCTTTTTCTTGGGGGCACTGTGTCGAAGATTGGTTTTTTCTCTGGGGTTGCAAGCCACTTTGCACATGCTGATTTCTCGTTTTGTGTAGCGAGACGTAAGAGCGAATGAGGCGTTGCGACGTTTTTTTGTTTTGCAAACGCCATGCGTTAGCCAACACGATGATGGGGCGCGCGCGAGCGTCAGCACGACCCACGCGCTCCCGTGTTGCCAACCTGTCTTTTTGTTCGACCATGGAGGGGGCGACAGGGTACACCTAGTACGCTGGCTATGATTCTCGTGTTGTTCCGTTGTTCTTCACTTTTGTTGGACGGAAGCGAGATGCAAGGCGGCCATGTCGTGTCAAGTGCTGGGTCTGTTAAGACAGGGGAAAACGACATAAGCCGTGTACCCGTGAGCCAGGACTCTGGTTGCGTGCGTGGGGCTGAGGAGTGGGTGGGATGGAATGTATTCGCAGCAGGCAGCGACACCTCGGCCCTGGTCCCAAGGCGTCAGCATGGATGGGGCATTGCTTTGGGGGCAAGGCTGACCGGTACCAGGCCATCTGTATCTTTTTTTTGTTGGTCCCCGAGGCGGTAGAACATTCCGTCTGAGCCGGCATAGGATTCGCTGAGGATTCGCTTACGGGACCGTTTCGGCGTCCTCAGCTTGACGTAGCTGAGGGATACTAATGCAGGGCACTTGCGAGGCGAGGTTGCCTACCCGGGATAGTACAGCCTCACAGCATGTATACAGTGGCTTTGCTTGCTTGTTTGGTGAGAATGCACGACAAGCGCACAGGGAAACAAGGGCGCTAAGCGCATGCACGTGGGTGAAGTGTATGAGAATAGAGATTATCATTGGATTGGTATTCCGGGTCATTATGTACAGTATATCGTAATGCATGTAAGCAACGAACGCTCAGTAAACAACAGTAAAAACAGGAAAAGAGTAGGTCAATGGTCTAAGCCAGTCTAGTTCCACCAGTAGTGTCCACCGTGCTTCTTGCACTCAGTCACTGAAGGGGCGGGAGGTGCCGTCGTGGTCCTGGTGAAAGTAGCGCCATAGGTCTTGGTTGTGGTGGTAGTAGTGAAGCTGAACTTGACCTTTGTCTTGGTAGGGGTAGGTAGGGTAGTCGTCCTGGTAAGAATACCAGACAGAACAGTGGGAGGAGGGATCGTCGAGGTGACCTCGGTTGATTGCAGCACAGTCTCGGTGGTAGTGATGGCTGCGGCAGTCTGGGTAACGGTTGTGGAGACGGGCGTCTGGAAAGTGATAGTGGTGGTGGGAGCATCAGGTGCACGGCGGTTGACGCTCTTGGCCGCCTCGCGCTTCTGCTTTGCGGCCTCGATGCGAGCACGCACCCACTCAACGTCAGCCACACGATCGGCCCTGGGAGCCCAGCGGCGGGCCTGAGGAATGACTGTAGGAGTCACCAACGCTGCAGGGTGGATCTTGGTAGGCGAGTATTCGCAGGGCTTGTCAGGCTTGCCAGTGTGGGGTCGGCTGGTGCAGGTTGGAGTGACGGTCTTTGTGGTGTAAACGAATTGCTTCGTAGTCGAGACCTTTGTTCGTGTCATGGTCTTGGTGGATGTGGTAGTCACTGCCTTGGGGGTGATAGTCTTAATCTTCTTGGCCGTTCCACTGGGCATGGTGACGGTCGAGAAGGGACCGACAGTGATAGTGTCCGTCGACGTCGTAATATCAGTTTGAGTGATGGTAGGAGTAGTGATGACAGACATAGTCACTGTTGGGGTGAAAGTAGTAGTGACCTGTGAGCCCACAGTCAAGTAGAGATCTAGAATAGTTAGCATCAAGTTGGGGTGAAGAGTGTATGAGACGTACCTCTTTGCCATGCAAAAGGCTGACCACCTTTGCCGTTGTTTCCCAACACCAAGAGGAGCCAGTGTCCAGAGTTCATCTGGTTCTTCTTGATGGGACATGTCGACAGTTTGTTCTCGTCTGCAGGGGTAGTGAGGATCTCGTCACACAAGAACTCAGTCTCCCCCGGCGTATCCTCGGGTGCAACGAGAAGCACATCTGCCTTGTCGTCGTTGCAGCCTTGGAAGTAAGAGACAGCACTAAAGGCCTCAGTGGATTGAGAGTCGATGAAGTAATGTCCCTCATCGATAAAGTCAACACCGTAGGAGTAGCAGATGCCCCCTGGGGTTGAGTCTTCAGAGCTAACGAGCGGGATAGACGCAGCCGCCAAAGTGAGGAAGATAGAACGAGAGTACATGTTGCAGGTATTGTGCAATATGGATCCAAACGAGAGAAGTGATTACCACACGAGGAGTGGCCTTGAAAGCTCCAGGGCCACGGCCTCTTTTTGTACCTGTGTGGCTATCAGACTGAGCAAAATTCTTCAAGCATGGCTTATTTCTTGCAGTCTCTGACTGCAACCGTATCGCCCAGTAGGTTTGCTCAGACCACCAGTGTTCCGCTAATACCTCTTGTCGTCCATGTCCAGAATGGGACTAAGCCACAACCAGGCGAACCGGTGGCAGACGCCGATACGATGCAGGCGGAACAGACGGACAGCGTGTCGTAAAGATGGCATAATCGATCCACGACCCATGCATATTCACATCCTAGTGTTTACTACAAGAGACTATTCTTGCAGCGCAAAAAAGGATAGTGGTTGGTGGCACGTGGGGGGCGGAGACAAGCCGCAGTTACGGAAGCCACTCGGGATGGGTACCCCTGCTTAGCGCCTTTGACCCCTGGACCGATCTTTGTTCACGTCACTCCACTCGGCCCCGACGTCCGCCATGCTGCTTACACCCTCTAACCTTGTCCTAAAAGTTATTGATAGCTGTCGTTCGCTTGTCGTGGCGCCTTGGGCGGTCACAGCCGATTCGACACGCTTCCTTCAGCCACACTTGTCCATCTTCCACCGTTTACGCCCTGGTCTATTCGGGCATGCAGAGCGGGTTTACGAAGGCTGTGGGTGGACGATTGCTAGGACTGCTAGTTCACGCTTTGCCAGCCATCGCCGCCTCGGCAATCTATGTATTAGCATTTACCACGGTTGTTAGCCGCACTTGGACTGCCTGGAGACCCGAATAATCGTCTGAACTAGGTGTAGAGCCATCCAACACCCTGACACGGTCAAGAAGCACATCATGCCTATGTGGTCACCATGCAGGCGGCAGCAAGGCGCCAAGCAGCGACAACAAGACAATCGCCCTGGATGGACCCCACAGCAGCTGACAATGATTCTGATGTGTCCCTGGCCCTGGACTCAACTCAACCCTCTGTTCGAATAGTAAGACTGTTTGTACAACTCCACCTCTCCATCTAAGCCACCAATTGTATAGGTACTGCCGCCTTTTTTTTGTTCGGTCAGCCTTACGCAGTCATAATCTTTGAGCAATGGCGTCATGGCGTGCGACTGGCTGCAATATCTTGTGGTCATTACAAAGTCTACCGCACATGACTATTTTAGTAACAATTACCGGTTACAGCCTCCCGAGGGAGCCTCCCGCAGCACCGGATCATGAGGTCGCCATTCAATACTGCATCTGGCATAGCCATGCTACACCGTATCCGCTAATGCCTGCGAACTCGGTGCTTTTTCACCCCTGGCTTGCAGATGCTCCTGGCCTCGTTCTAAGTGCATACCTTACACGAGTCCCACCCTTTTACCGATAGCCTTCTCACGTGAGACACCGGTCCTGATAGGCGCCCAGTAGGCTCCAGCAGCCAACCAAGACTTTGTGGAGTGTGTCGACCCGCGTTTCAATAGATCCTGCACCCTGCTAGGGACCCTCATCTTACGCGAGCGGTGGGTTCTGAGCCTCATAAAAAGATTCTACAACTCTCTCACATGCTCATCATTCACCGCTCCGGGTAAGTTTCAACCGCCACAAAGATAGCGATGAATCCAGGCCCCATAACTGGGAATCCGAATGCGGTTCTGAACCCGGGCGCCGCCTAATACCTTGACCTCAACCGCTTGGCTTTACTGCTGTTCAACTACCGACATGCTCGTGAGTGCGCCGCCACCACTTCTAGTCTTCAGCTGCTGGGCTGAGTTGGCTCCTTGATGACAAAGTTCGCCGAATCAGGATTGGAAGTAGGATTCTATTGGTCGCCTTCTGGATGACCCGCTCGTGTACTAATGTGGATACCCAAGGCTACGGTGCCTATTCGCTGATCCTGCCTTCTAGCCTATGTAGGATAGCCCAGAAAGTGGCTTAAGGGAACAATGTTGGTGACACAGCAAGGAGCTAACTGATGTGAGTTTGGATATGTATTCCGAGACATTTCATATAAATGCTATCCGCAGTCAGGTCAATACATGCTCACCATCGATTGAGCTTCCAACTCATTCATCGTTCGTTGGCTTGGTCGTAGCTTCCTTACATATATACTGACCACACTCTCGTTACTGGTATTTTCACATTGCATTCGAACAGCCATGTTGTTCAAATCTCTAGCTGTTTGGCTCTCACTGGGCTCGCTCGCACTAAGCAGTCCTCTACGGGCCGAGCCGTTGGATGCCTCTGACGACTTTCCATCGTTCGAAGAGATTGTCAAGAGGCAAGATGGTGCTTGCACCAACACACCAAGGACGAGGAGCTGCTGGAGTAATGGCTACAGTATCGCCACTGACTTTGATGCCAAATCACCTCCGGATGGAACCACTGTCTTTGTATGTATGCTAGTTGATTCGCTTAGATATATGCTGACAAACTTTTAGTACGACTTTGAAATTTCTAATGTCACAAAGCCGAACCCTGATGGAAGTGGTGGCTCTAGGCCGATGATGCTCATCAATGGCCAATACCCAGGCCCAGTTGTGCGAGCCAAATGGGGTGACACCATCATTGTTAACGTCAAGAACAATCTTGCGCATAACGGAACTGGCATTCACTGGCACGGTATCAGAATGCTCAACTCCTGCCAGGATGATGGAGTCCCCGGTATCACCGAGTGTCCAATTGCTCCTGGAAAGACCCGTCAGTACAAGTTCAGGGCTACCCAATTTGGCACAACCTGGTACCACTCTCATTGGTCTGCTCAATACGGTGATGGCGTTGTTGGCACCATGATCATTGACGGGCCAGCCACTGCCAACTACGATGTCGATCTCGGTACTCTACCCATGACTGATTGGTACTACACCCCGGCCTTAACCCTAAACGAGGTGGCGCAACACTCCAGGACTGGACCTCCTCTTCCTGACAACATTCTTGTCAACGGTACCCATATCAACGCTCTGAATGATAACGGAAAGTATGCTCGCATGAACGTTGTCAAGGGAAAGAAGTACCGCATCCGCCTCATCAACACCTCCGTTGACAACGTTTTCAGTGTGTCTTTGGATGGCCATCCTTTTACTGTCTTGACTTCGGATTTTGTTCCAATCAACACCTTTGTCACCAACCAGTTGACCCTGCAGATTGGTCAGCGTTACGACGTGGTCATTACCGCCAACCAAACCGTCGACAACTACTGGTTCCGCGTAGCCGTCGGTACCAGCTGTAATCGAAACGCCATCACCAGCTCTGGCAAGCAAATGGGTGCCATCCTGCACTACGATGGCGCGTCCGAAACCGCGAACCCCACCTCCACCACCACCGTGGTCATGCGCACAAGCTGTGACGACGAAGCCTCCTCGAACCTCGTCCCCTTTGTCCCCAACCGCGTCCCTCAATCTGTTGTCGCTGACGCCGTCAACCACAAGCTGAACATGACCCACTTCGCAGACCCCACCAAAAACAACCTCTTCCGCTGGCTCATCGACGGCACCCCCCACATCGTCGACTGGAACAACCCCTCTCTCGAAACCGTCCTCGCCGGCTCCCAAAACTTCGGCCCCAACTCAAACGTCCACAAAATGGAAGGCTCCGGCTGGTTCCTCTGGTGGATTCAATCAACAGCCGCCATCCAACTCCCTCACCCCATCCACCTTCACGGCCACGATTACTACATCGTCGGCCGTGGCACAGGCACCTGGGACGGCTCCACCGCAAACCTCAACTTCGAGAACCCTACCCGTCGCGACACTGCTGTGCTCCCCGCCGGCGGATACATGCTCATGGCGTTCCCCGCTGATAACCCGGGCATGTGGATTATGCACTGCCACATTGCGTGGCATGCTAGCCAGGGTCTTTCCATGCAGTTTATGGAGCGCATGAGTGAAATTAAGGGATCCATTGGGGATACTAGTCGTATGACCCAGGGTTGCAATGAGTGGGATCAGTATTGGCCTGCTGGAAGCGCGCCCAATGCTAATAGGCCTTATGAGCAGACTGATTCTGGTATTTAATTTGGAGCGTTTTTCCTTGGGCGAGGGAGAGGTATAGATGAGGCGTTTTGTTTTCGCTTTGAAGGCTTCAACATACCCTTGCTGTCTGTATAATGTGTATATGATGTTGTCGGATTTTATGGGTACATATTTATGAATGAATTGGTCTTCCTCTGGAATCTTTTGATCTTGAATGTGGAGAGTTTGCGTTTTGTTGATATCATTGCTTGAATTCTTTTTTTTTTAAAAAAAAAGAGTGTGGAAAGCGACTGGCAGTTTCGAGTCGAACAAGTAGTACCATTTCTTTCATACCAACTCTTCCTTATTCACTCGTCTAGACATCCCAGATTTGAACTACTGCTCATCAGAAACCTCCCACTCCCTCCTCACCATAATCCATCGCGATCCACAACTATCCATCGAAGCAACATCATCATAATACCCGTCTCCACCTCTACATGCTCTCGACCTACGCTTCCCATCACCCCCAAGCACCACGGTCCGATTAATCGACATGGCAAGGTCCTGTGGCAGCATTTTGGGCCGTGGGACTAGTCGCAGCTCAACACTGTCTTGCGTTGCTCCACTTGCTGCGGCGCTACTAGCATTGGGCATGTCGAAAAGCGACATTCCTGCTGTCTTAAATCCTTGAGTGAAGCCGCGGAGGAGCGGGGTGGCGGCGGACATGAGGTTGTAGGATAGGAGGACGATTTGCCAGGTTACGATCGCGATGATGGCGATGGCCGGGTGGCTCTTGGTGATGAAAGTGAACGAGGCGATGAGGTAGGATATTGAGATGGCGATATTGCTGTGGCATTGGGGTTAGCGGTCGGTATGAGATGATAGATGTGGGGTCTTGTGGTTAACGTACGGTATCCGCGTGGAGAAGGCAAGCATGACGGTGGCTTTGCTTTTCAGAGGTAGTTGCGTGTTGTAGAGGCCTAGTATCGGCAGTGATGTGATGAGTATCTCGGTAACTATGTCGCCAACGGCGACTGCCTGTAGCCATGGGATCTGAGCTGTCAGTGTGCGGTCATATGGAAGTTTTAAATGTGGAGACTTACGAAATCCACACAGTGGTCTTGACCGCGTTCTGGTATGACATGCTCAGCCGGGCAGTGTAGTGAAATTGCTGAAATACTGAACACACCCCATATCACAACGATGAGTAAACCGCCAATAGACATGCGCGAGACATGGATGTTACGTGTGAACACAGCGCGGATCAGGATGAGTATTGAGCATTTTGACAAGGTGAGTGCAGCGTATGATAAGATGCGACTTTTGAAAAAGGACTATCAGCGGTATCAGCTGCAATTTTCCTCAAATAGGGAACTCTGAGCACAAGACTCTTACTGACTTGCTGTACTTGAGATATCTCGATGTTGCTGAGTACGCTGAATGATTTTCCGAGACCGTTCCTGAGTGATTTGAATAGGAAAGCCCACACGCCAAAGCCCGCCAACTATTTCCTAGTCAGCTGAACCATATTGAAGGAATGGTTGACTGAAACTTGGGAACATACATGCGCAAGAGTGACTACAATGTCATCAAGGGCGTGTGTTCGCCATTTCGTGTATCCAAGGCGAACAGCTAGTGTCAGGACAGTGTATATCAACGATAGCACCGAGACAATCCAAATGGTCGCGCTGTGATCATCTGGCGTGACGTGAGTAAAACGGTGCTCTGAAGATCTCACCAAATTATGAGAGGCGAACAAGAATGACATTCTGTTTGCGCATAGTCTGATGAGTTGCAAATGTGAGCATTTATGGACTATCGTGTAGAGAACGCCGTTGGCTTTTGAGTACTTCAAATGCTGTAGCCGTGCGTGTGAGCGATGAGGCACAGACGCATGTTGGATACACAGCTGTGCCACTCATGTCATTCTATCACACGGAAGTTGATGAGCCATAGAAAGATATTCCTGGTGTACAGAGACCCGAGAATATGTTTTGATTCCAGGAATTGCTCCTTCAGGATGTCCTTACAGCACGTTTGATTTGCTAGGTGATAAAAGTCAAGAGACTCGGCTGCTCGCTGTGTATCAGTAGTCGAGGTTATGTGCGCAGTTAAAGGCAGCATTCTAGATTCGTACTGGCGGGTAATGTCGAGCTCTCTTACTTTGATCTCGGCCGCCTTTCCACAGGAACGACTAGCATACTGAAATAAGATGCGTATCGGGTGCTGGAATTCGGGACTGCTTTGATATGAACTAAATCATGCCACACTATCAAACGTGTTCTAGGAAGTTAACCGGATAAATGCGTTCGGGTCCAAGGCCTCGAGATTTGATGAGCGCCTATCAGTGGCAAGAGAAAGTGCAGGTTCCATTGGCGCAAGCTGTTGAGGAGGATTCTTAGTAGCTGCTTGGAAAGCTTGACTCTGATAATCCTACGAATGTCAATTAAAGAAGTGGGACTTCGTGCATACGGCTCAGACTGGACATTCGACCGTGCCTCTCTGATGCATCGGAGGAAGGACCGTTAGAGTAGTATTGTACGCGATCGTGACAAATGAAGGAGGGAATACCTTCTGTAGCTGTCAGAGAAATACCTCCATTGTTGGTGTGGATCTTGAATCTTGCATGTGACGGCGTGACAGATATCCAGTGTAGTACAAGTTGACTTTCATTACGAGTTCCAAACCATGCGAAAAATACGCGGGATGAGTGGAGGTAAGGAGGGAGGTGGCGCGGACGGCACGGGCGGGCGGTTGGGTTAGGCTCGACCCGACAGACGGGGCAGCCGCTGTCCGCAAGCGTTTGGTGGGGGGTAAAGTCTCAATCATATCAGGTCATAATCTTCAGTCAACTTGCTACATGTAGAGTCCGCGGGGACATATTCAGACATATTGTATCTCTTACATATCGCTTATAGAATCTGGTATGGCGTCCAACAGCAGATTTGACTTTTGAAGAGTTCTGTTTGCAATCCTTTGTGCCGCAAACTTTGAGCAAGACAGCCAGGTCGAGCTCTCCCAGTACCCTTCTGCATTTTTGTTTTTGCGTTTAGTTTGCCCTTTCTCCGATAGGAAAGTCATGACAGACATAATGAAGGGTCCGTCAGAGGTGATTCGCTCTCGCGGCAGCATCGAGTTAGTAAACGCGGTTGCTGTAGTCGAAAAACATGGCACTCAGGGCGATGAGCTTGACATGGATCGCATGGGCAAGGTCCAGGTACTGAGGGTATGTTGGAATAAAGATATACGCCGATATTGTATTCAGCTTACATCATCATCAGCGGCAATTCAAATTCCTGTCGATATTCGGCTTCGCAGTGATTCTTGGCAACAGTTGGGAATATTCTTTGATGTATGTTACCCCCTTTCAAACAGAAATGTATGGCTAACAGGCTGAATCTACAGTGGTATCGGTATCTCTCTCTTCAATGGTGGCCCAGCTGGTGGAATTTGGATGCTAGTCTTGGTGTGCTTTGGCATGTTCTTCGTCATGCTTTCGTTTGCCGAAATGGTGTCGATGTGAGTATGGAAAAGGTACGCTTCAATGATAGCCCTGCTCACGTATGCCCAAAGGGCCCCAACAGCTGGTGGTCAGTATCATTGGGTCTCTGAACTGGCGCCAAGGAAGCACCAGAAGTTGCTCAGCTATATCGTTGGTAAGTTCTTGACACTCTGTCGAAATATGCAGCGCTGATGAAGTATATTAGGCTGGCTTTGTGTTATTGGGTGGCAGGTTGGTATGGCCGCTACAGCTTACGCAGTGGCCTCACATATCCAAGGCCTTATTGCGTTGAACATGCCAACCTACGTTGTCACAGGCTGGCATGGTACCCTCCTCTCCATTGGCATTACCATTATTTCGATCGTTTGCAACACCATCCTTGTAAGAAAGCTTCCTCTGATGGAAGGCATTGCACTGGTTCTCCATGTGCTTGGTTTCTTCGCCTTCCTCGTCGTATTATGGGTCATGGGCCCACGTTCCGACAGAGTGTGGACCAAGTTCGAAGATCCTAGCGGCTGGGGCAATACAGGTCTTGCTACCCTTGTTGGCATGCTTGGCCCTATGCTTACTATAGGAAGCGCTGACTTGGCCGTCCATCTAGCGGAAGAAGTAAAGGATGCCGCATGGGTATCTCCTCGGGCTATGGTTGCGACATCTATAGTAAACTATACCTTGGCCTTTGTGATGACAGTCACAGTCTTCTCCACGCTAGGCAACGACCTCTCGACAATTCTCTCGACTCCGCTTGGTCAACCATGGATCCAAATCTTGTTGAATGCGACCGAGTCAAAGGCAGCTACCAACATCATGACAGTGGCTGTGTGCCTGCTGCTTCTGTTCTGTTCGGTCAATCAAGTAACTGCTGCGTCACGCCAGCTGTGGTCTTTTGCACGCGATGAAGGACTCCCGTTTTCAGCATGGCTTGCTTATGTATGTAGTTCTTTGACACTTGAAAGGGTTCTGACTGACAATCTCGACAGGTGCCTCCAGGCTGGGACATTCCAGTCAACGCGGTGATTGTCACGCTGGTGAACTCGTCGTTGCTCTGCCTTATCATCATCGGGTCGACAATTGCTTTCAACATCATCATGGCGCTATCGGGCATTGCCATTTGCTTTTCCAATCTCATCGTCATCGGCTGCATGTTCTGGAAACGGCTTCGCGGAGAACCCCTTCTTCCATCTCGGTTCGATCTCGGAAAATGGGGTTTGGCCATCAATGCAATCGGCATGTGCTATCTTTCCATTGCAATGGTATTTAGCGCCTTCCCTGCGGTACCGAATCCATCGGCTATTGAGATGAACTGGTCCAGCCCCATCTTTGGCTGCTTGATCATCTTCTCAATGAGCTACTATTACGTCGTTGGAAGGCACAACTACAGAGGTCCTGTTGAGTACGTCAAGAGGGATGTGTAGCATATGTAGCTCAAAACATGTGTTGTTGTAGAGTTGGACAATACACCTTGTTCAATGTGGTCTGAATGTTTGTTGTTTGGTGGTGTTTGGTGGCTATCAGGTGGTGTTATGGCGATACGATGAATGATGCAAGATGTAAGCACTGGTTCCGGAAGGGGCAGGCAGGTAGATTAAGCGAGTACGCCACATGTTTATGGTGGAGCTTGGATAGCCGTCTTCCAACGACGGCTTGGTAGCAGAGAACTGTGAGTCACTGATAGTATTTGTTGCAGGAGCAGAGGGGTAATTAAAGCTAGTTACTTCCTGTTAGTAGAAATTCAACCAAGCAATCTCACACATTGTCAACATGCCTCTAGAACTACGACCCATGACGGCTGACGACGCTTTGTCTTGGACACGCGTTCGCAGTACCGCCTACTACGGGCCTACGCATGACGTGCTGCACAACGGGCCGATACGCGAGTCGTCTATACGCGGAGCAGCTGAGGAGCGAAAGGGCGAGTTACAGAAGCAGGTGGCAAACATGTGGTACTGGAAGGTTGTCGATACGGATGCAGCGCCAAGTCCTGATGACCCTACGGACAATGGTGGACGAACGATAGCCATTTCGGTGTGGAGTATGAATAATGTTGATGGAGCGGAGAAGTCGGCAGCACCAGGTTTCTTGCCCCCCGAGCTACGTCTAGATGCGCTGGGCTCGCTGTTCCAACCGCTGCGGGTGGCGCAGGAAAGCATCATGGGGGCTGAGAAGCCGTTCTTCAAGCTGAATCAGCTGGCAACACATCCCGAGTACCAAGGGCGTGGAGCAGCAAGTATTATGTTGGACTGGGGACTAGGCAAGGCGGATGAAGAGGGGTTGGTGGTGTACTTGGATGCGACAGAAAAGGCACGGCCGCTGTATGAAAGACGAGGGTTCAAGGTGGTGAAGGCGATTGAGTGGGATCGGGTGCCGTGGGGAGGCGAGGGCAAGGACTGTCATTCGTGCATGGTGCGCGAGGTTCGAAGTCGGTAGAGGACATTTGTGTTTATTTGTAGTTATTCATGGTCAAAAGATTAAATTTCTTTCTTTTTGGCAGTCAGTTTTGATACTTGGCAGGACTATTACACTACCACTACACCCACACCCACAGCACTGGACCGGCTAGTTTCCCGAAATAACCGAAGCTAGCCGGGGTCAGAACACAATAAGACATGTGCTAAGGCGCCCTCGCCCTCCCCGCAAGCCAGGCGCCCCAGGTTGGCGGGACTGGCAGAGAGCATCATTGGTACCAGACGCTGCAGTGCTGGTCGTCTTTAGTGGCCGGTACACATACATACACAGGTACATCAAGTCTATGTGAGTGTGCAGCCTCGGCGCAGAGTGACGTAGCCCTCGTCTTTCTGGGGGCCCTTTGGCGATGCGCGCAATCGGTTCCACAGCTGGACCTCTCCTAGACATTACCCGCCCCAGCGGCACAGCCTGTCGCCCGTTATTCCGCGCGTGCCCACGCGGCTTAGAGCCATCTGGCGATGCAGTTGCCAGCCAGGGAGCCTGACTCGCCGAGTCGCATCTCTCCACCAAACCTTGGACGCTTGCTCAACCTCATCCCCGAACGCGCTCGTTGCATCCACCCACCCACTCACGCGCTTCTCCCCCTCCACCCTGACTTTGTTTCCTTCTTCCCACCGTCCCACCCTAGCCGCCGACCGCATGTCCCCGCAGGCCTGATCCAGCGGCCATGGCACGCAGCGCGCGGAAGCGCATCTCATACGGTACGTGCTGCTGGCTGTAATGCCCCGACCCGACCATCGCTGACCTCATGCCTGCGCAGTCCTGCCACTTGCAAACTCGGCCGGAGGACACAGGCTTGGAGTCAATGGCTTGGCCGTCGACCCTCACAACGCCATCCTCTACTCGGGCGGTCGTGATGGCGTAATATGCGCCTGGGACCTGCATCTCGACCTGCACCGCTCCCATGACGACAACGACGACCGCGACCCTTTTGCCGATCCCAGTCCCCCGGACTTCAAGCCCCCGCCCACCCAGTTTCGCCAGCAGGTCCAGGCCCACACCCACTGGATCAACGACATTGTCCTCGCCCAAGACAACTCGGCCCTCGTCTCTGCCTCGTCCGACATCACCGTCAAAGTCTGGCGCCCAGCTGCTACCGACAAGCTCCCGCCCCAGACTATCGGCCTGCACACCGACTATGTCAAGCGCGTCGCATCGCCCGGTGGGAATGAGAACTGGATTGCCTCGGGCGGTCTTGATCGCAAAATTAGCCTATGGGACCTAAATGGCGCTGGCAAGAAGCTCGAAATTGCCGTCGGCGACGATGAAAACACGGCAAAGGGCTCCGTATACGCCCTCGCAGTAACACCCAACCTCGTTGCCAGTGGAGGACCAGAAAGCATCGTCCGCGTCTGGGACTCGCGATCGGGAAAGCGCATTACAAAGTTTGTTGGACATACGGACAATGTGCGCGATATCCTCCTAGCCCAGGATGGCGATATGATCTTGACCGGCTCCTCGGACCAGACGGTCAAAGTTTGGTCCATGACAGCCGGTCGCTGCATGTACACGCTCACTATGCACAACGACAGCGTATGGTCGCTCCACTCTAACTCGCCAACTCTTGATACTTTTTACTCGTCCGATCGATCGGGTATCGTGGCCAAGAGCGATGTCCGCAACTGTGCCGAGATGGATGAGGGTCTCTCCGTGGCCGTATGTCAAGAGCACGAGGGTGTCAACAAGATCATCGCAGCCGGCAACTACATCTGGACAGCAACATCCAGCTCCAGCATCAACCGCTGGCAAGATGTTGAGACGGCAGCCGAAATCGAGCTACCAGAATCGTACAAATGGCACAGGAACAGTGTGTCAACAATGCGATCGCGGAGTCCTCCAACCAATGGTGCAACCCCCAAGATTCCACTCAAAGCCCTGTTACGCATGTCCAATACTGCTCCATTTCCTCAGGCCCTTGCCACAAAGGATACTGATGCAGTTACCGTAGCAAGTGGGCGGAAACCTGTAGACGCCTTGACAGCGGCCGATCCTACAGCTGTGGGGACTGTTCGTCCGCTGCCAGATTTTACTATCGAAGGCCAAAACGGACTCATCAAGCACCATCTTCTCAACGATCGCCGAAGAGTCCTCACCCTTGATACTGCAGGAGAAGTCGTCTTGTGGGATCTATTAAAGGTATGTGTTAGTTTTATCATTATTCGAGTCCAGCGCCTAACACTCAGTAGTGCGTGCCCATCAAGTCGTTTGGAAAGAAACATATGGAAGACGTCTTGCCCGAGGTCAACACCCAAGATAGCGTTGCCCACTGGTGTGCGGTCGATACGAGGATAGGGACCTTGACGTGCATGCTAGAAGAAAACTACTGTTTTGATGCAGAAACATATGCAGACGAGCTAGATCTAGAGGATGATATCGAATTCCGGGAAGACCATAGGAGTAAGCATCTTGAGATTTTTGACAGAAACTCGCTAACATAACGTAGTAAACCTTGGAAAGTGGATCTTGAGATATCTCTTTTCTAATCTCATCGACGAAGAAATCAAACGCGACGAAGTGGCGCGCGCTGAGTTGCTCAAGCAAAAGGAGGAGGAGCCGCAGGCTGGCCGTCCTACCAACATTAAGCTCCCAGATATGAGCATCAATGGCTGGAAGGATGCGATGTCCGGGCCTACTTCAGCTTCCACCATCAAGGCTGAAAATGGATTCCGCTTACCCCATACACCGGGTCTAGCCATCGGCCTGGCAACCCCCATGACAGGACCAGGAAGTGCAGGGCGCAACTCGACCACGGCTGTCCTGACTCCCACCAAAGAAGAGGGTGTGCAGTTGGAAAAGATCCAGACGTCAGAAGGCGATTATTTTGGTTCGGCTCCTGAGACCAACGGAAATGGTAAAGCTGCCGAGACATCAAAAGAAGGTTCAACCGATTCCAAGGAGGAGGCTGTTCAATCACCCGCTGAAACAGACACTCCGTCCAAGAAGGGTAAAGGCATGTTTGGCAAAAAGTTCAACATGTCATTTAACATGAAGAAGTTTAGCACTGGTACAGCCGTGCCCGAGCCCGCCAAGCCGGCTGTCGATGAAAAGGCAGAGGACAGCGATTCGCACTCTACCAAGACTGACGAAAAGACGTTTGAAGACAACTTTTTTGGTGTCATTCAGAAGATACGACAGAGCTACGAGGAGCAGCTGGCAGCAGGCGAGACACGGCTGGATTCAGCCATTGCACCGAGCTTGCCAAACGAAACGCCTGTTCTGAAGCCGCCAGCCATGACGACCATTCTTATCCAAGAGGATCGTCCCGACTCGGGTGGTGTTGCGGATTTGTTCGAGGGCAAAGTGGGTACATTGGCCTCGCAGGCTGATTTGATTGAAAAAGCTGCACCAATGTGGTTGGCCGAGGTCTTACTACGGGTGAGTTCCAACCTTGATGTCCACTTTGAATAACTAAATTGTACTAACCAATACGCAGAACCAACTCCCGCCCAAGGACATTGTCAAAGTATCCTTTGTCCTCGAGCCCTTTGCCAACGCCTTGCCATCTATTTCTGCCGATGGGTACATTCCCTTTGCTCTTCCCTTTGAGACTGCGGCCCAGGCTAATTCGGCACTCAGCAACAATCGTCTCAATGCAAATCGCATGCTGCGCGCCCGCAAGATTCTCGGCTACGTCGCTGAGCGCATCGAGCCGCAGCCAAGCAAGGAGCAGCTCGAGAAGATGAAGGCGGATGATGAGACGCCCATGAGACCGGAGGAGTATCTGGAGCTGTATTGTAATGGACAGGTAAGTTTTTCTTCTCCCCTCTTGGTATCGTGTGTATAGGCTATGGAACTAACGTCATCAAGCTCATCTCCCCTACAATGACTCTAGCCAGTATCCGCGCGCACGTCTGGCGCGGAGGCGGCGACGTCATTCTCTACTACAAGGCAAATGGCTGCAAGGAAATCAAGCCCTTCCCGCCATACCCAGGCCCACAATCTGGCACCGCTCCTCCCACTAATTACGGACTTAAACCTGGTGTTGCGTCATCTGCACCTGGAAGTAGTAATGCTAGTGAGGGCAAGCAGAGTAGCGAGGCTGAGAGGAGAAGTGCAACTGGTAGTAATGCAGTGTTTGGGCCTTAGAGATAGGGAGGCTAGGAATTCTTGTGTGGAGTTTTTTTGGATAGCTGACATGTGTGTTTGTATAGTGCCACACCGTTATGTTTATATATATGTGTGTGTGTGTTTTGGAGCATGTAGAAAACTCTACAAGTTTTCATGTCCGAGACGTGGTTGGTGTACTGTGTACATTGATATCAAGTCCTTCCTGTGATGTCCTTTTTCTTGCTTCCCGGTGGTATATATATATACACTTTCTATAATATTTATATACATATGTACAATCACTCCTGTTCTACACCTCCCAGCAGATTACTAGCCCACTGATATGAACCCAGGAAGATGGCTCCGCCAACACTAATCCAACCTACACGCGGTCCCAACCCCGCAAAGAATGCCCTAGGGCCCGATTCCCGCATGATACTCCTCAGCATACTAACCATGGGTTGTTTCTCCCTCGCCAGCATCATCCTCGTCTTAAGCACATCCAACGGCGTCGTCACCGCCGCAGCTACCGCCCCGGCCACACTCCCCAGCACACCCCCCTCCAACCCACTCACCTGCGCTCTCCCCGTTCGTCTCGTCCGCCACCCCTTCATCGCCTCCCAGAGCGGAAACTGAATCACGGTAAACGGCACCTCCCTCATAATCGTAATCCCCCACCCGCGGTACAATTCCCGCCACACATGCAGCACCCCTCTCTCGCGCCGTTGCCCCAGGATATGCATCAGCGCACTCCGCGACGACGGAAACTGACTCGCCTGCGCCCGCTGCTTCACGACTTCCGTCGGCACGCGCACCGCACACGCTGCTACCTCGCCCAGACTCGCCGCAGCCATATGTACAACCGCTGCATCCTTACCCTTCCCACCATTGTAAAGTCGCTTCACGCCATCGTATGTAACGAAGAATAAGGCTGCGCCCGGCGCGGACCCGACAATCGCACTCCCGACACCGCGGTATATACCGTTGAAGCCGCCGCTTGCGGCGAATCCGGATGAGGATTGGAGGCGCGTTTTTAGTGTGTCGAGGGGGTAGAGGGAGAGATCGACGGTTGTGCCTGATAGTCCGCCTGCCTGGTGTTCAATTAGCAATGGTTACTTTGGGGGGGAGGAGACGTTACGAGTAAAGAAACTAAATACGGTGATTCAACCCATGGTTTGTGCCGCGGTGATGCGGTGGGAGATGGCTGTGGCATTGCAAATTGAAAGCTGTTGGAAGGGAAAAAAAAGTTCCGAGGTTGAGATGATGACGGAATCTGAGGGTTGAGTATTTCGGGGAGATTTCGGAGGTGGGGGTTGCACGGCTGCACGAACGGGGTGTCTGTGCGGGGGTGTTAGCGTGGGGAGCTTGAGCTTGGGGGTTTTTACCCTGCATTTTATGGGTGGGCGAATCGGTTCGGTTTGACGTCTTTGAAGTGGGTTTGAGACGGGGATTTTCAACGTCACGAATTTGATAGGTAGAAGAGGGTATTTTGAGTTTCGGAGAATGAAGAGGGGTATGGAGGAGTGATATCATGAGTGGTACTAGTATTAATGTGAGGTGCTTGGCCAGCACGAGATGCGGTCAGCAAGAGATAGGTGAGGGCCAGGGGGATGGCGAGGCGCAAGGTAGTGAGGTTGTGGAAGGGGTGGAGAATGATGGATCAGAAGATGAAGGTGATGCTGTTCAGTCTTCCAGCCCATCACCCTCCAACATTTCATCTTCGTCATCGTCTCCATCATCAGCTACTCAACGTCTACGAAACACTCACCACACAAGCTGTGTGCAAGAAGCACAACTCTCGCCAGATGGAAGCTGCATCTTCACCTCGGACTACAACCGTTCCTTCTCCGTCTATCCTGTCTCCAACGACATTGGATCCCAGACCAGCGCCCAGAGCCTCACGCCCTATGCGTCTTTCCCCTCGCCTAACCCCATCTGGGCCTTTGCTGCCAACCCACTCTTCAACTTGCAAGACGCCAATAGCACAACCGTGCTTGTCAGTCGTCGAGACTCTTACGTCACATTACACAATGCCCTATGGGACATTTCTCGAACCTACACCCACGAGGAAAATCCGCCTCCAGCTCCCAGACCAGTCGACATCTCGACTCCCCTTGCTTCATACAAACTAATCAACAACCTGACCGAAGCCGTCACCGCGCCCATCAGTCTGACATATTCCCACGATGGCGCCCACTTCTTCGGTGGCTCCCAGGATAAAATCGTAATTTTTGACCTGCAAGAAACCAACAAACCCATCCACACAATCGCAACCATACCTGCCCGCCGCAACAAACTCAAAGGCGGAGGCCGCGGCTTCAAAGGATACATCTCAGCGCTATCCCTCTCCCCACCCTCACCATCTTCGCGCGACGGCTTCCTAGCCGCCGGATCACGCACCCGCCACATCGGCATCTACGATCCCCTCAGCGGCGCCGAAGTCACCAGCTTCGGCCTCCCCGGCACATCCAGCTGCGCCAAATCCCGTAACGAGAATCTGAAGGACATCATAGGAGACGGTGTATCATCGCTCAAATGGAGTCCCTGCGGCAACTACCTCTACGTCGCCGAGCGCAACGCAGACGTGTTGCTCATCTACGACGTTCGTAGTTTTTCCCTTGCGCTGGGGTATTGCGTGGGTAGGAAGGCGCTGACGAAGCAGAAACTCGGGTTCGATGTTTGGAATGCGGGACAGTCGCCATATGATGTTGAGGGGTTTTCGCATGAGGTTTGGGCTGGGGGGACGGATGGGAAGGTCAGGGTGTGGAGGGATGCATATGCGAAGGAAGGCGCTGTGCTGCCGGATGAGGTTGTTAGTGTGGGCAAGGATGATGAGCCGGTTGTTGCGTCGCTTGTTCATCCATCCGGGGGTTTGGTTGTGGTGGCGTCGGGGGTTATACGTGTTAAGGAGGAAGAGGAAGAGCAGAGGGGTGTGCAGAGAGGTGGGGGCATGAGACCGAGGTTTCGCGAATGGGGGAATCTTGATATTCTGGCGTTGGGATAAGAAAGTCTGAAAATGAAATTCCTTTGGGGATGCTCGTCACTGGCGAGTGTGCCGTCTGTTGTAATTTGCTTTCTATTACCTATTTCGACAACAAGGGTGAAAAAACGTGACGAGGACTGCGATGAATAGACAATACATAGATGGCAATTTAGATTACTGTATCAAATAAGCTGCAACTTCTCAGATACAGCACTGCTTTGAACCCGATACCCCCATCTCTTAGCTGTCCAGTCTGTTCAGTGAGTACGCTGCATGTTAGTTGTATCACGTGATGGTCGTGCTAACTTCACCTCTCAGTCACCTGTAAGTCGGACACCTTATACACTCAATTAGCTAGTATCATGTGAATAGCCTGACCAATTGTCTCTATAAGCTTATGTAGTCAGCGTTTCGTTTAGAGTCTAACTGATGTGGTACAATCAAAGGTTATGCATTTGATCATCAACATCATTTACCCAAAGTAAGCAGAAACTACTAGTGCTGACCGCTTGGCACCACCTTATCAAAAAAGTGTCGAGGATCTTCATATATTCACTTCAAGCGCGTCCCTCCATACAGCACACGTACAAACGCGCTGTGTTAACCTACAGCCAAATCACATCACACATGCACGCTTACAAATACAGACTACAGAAACTAGTCTCTCGACTTCTGACCGTCTTCATAACGGATAAATTTTAAACATCATCTCATTTCGAACAACTTGTCAATGCATCGAAGAGCCAGGCAAGGACAACGTCATTAGCGCCTTCCAAGATAAGACTAAACGTTCCTGATAGTTATGGTACTTGAATGAAGTAAGCCTTCGCAGTATTAACCGCATGGCGAATTTTGTAATCTAATTGAGCCGGAACTACCGCAAAGGAAAAATCTTGAAATGGGCTTACGCTCAGCAATAACTGGAAAGGTCCACACTGATGCAGATCAGGCAGATCACCCCAACTTTCGGGCATCACTTAGGGATGAAATTTAGCAGAGCCGTATCACTCACTCTAAATCGTTCTTCTATAGCATGGAGTAAGTACAACTCGTCGAGAATACATAAGCAATTCAAATTCTAGCATAAGGCATAAGGATAAAAAATACCGTTTCTAGGGCACCTCGACGGCACCCTGGTCTACATTATTCCCCAGGCTGATCGAGCACAGACGCCGATACCAAGTTCATCGTCGCGATGCCTCTCACCCACCGTTCCGTGCACGCAATTTTATTCTGACTTACTGTCAGCTTATGGCTTGAACAATAGGTCCGAGTCGAGAGAGCCATTGGGTATATCTACAAACTTCATGTCTTGACATTTGGATTCTCCAAGTTTGCACTCGAGTAGCATCTTTGTAACTACGCTCTTTACTTACTCTCTTTAAATTCCCACTACAAAGATTCCTCAGCAATGCGTTCGTTCATTTCAGTCGCTGCCGCCGCGGTGGTCGCTTTTTCTTTCGCCAACGCGGCGCCCAATCCCCAGAAGCTGGAGGACAGCTACTATAGGCCAGAGCAGGTCATCGACACTGATGTCATAATCATCGGAGCAGGTGGCGCGGGATGTTACTCTGCCATCCAACTAAGGGATGCTGGAAAGCGGGTTGTGGTCATTGAATCCAAAGACCGTGCCGGAGGGCACACGGAGACCTTCCTGGATCCTGAGACCAAACTTCCCATTGATATCGGTGTGAAGCTGTACCATGATGAGCCCTTGGTGCATGAGTGGTTCGCCCGCTTCGGCCTCACCACCACCAACATCAGCATTCCTACTGCCAACGCCCAGAACATTGACTTCAGGACTGGCCGCGTCCTACAGGGTCTGCCTGCTGCCAACCAAGCAGCCATCGGCGCTGCCATTCAACGGTACGCCGCTGTCATCTCACAGTGGCCTCAACTGGACGCCGGCTTCTACCTCCCTGACCCTGTTCCTGAAGACCTGTTGCTTCCTTTTGGCCAGTTTGCTCAAAAGTACAACATCACTGATGCTGTACAAACCATTTACACTCTTACCTCTGCGTTTGGTGATGTTGCTGAGATCCCCACTCTGCAGGTCATCCGTACCTTCTCCCTGAGCCTTATCAAGACTATGCAGAACTTCCAGACCAGCTCGGTCATGAACAACAGCCTCCTATTCCAGAGACTCACTGCCGAACTCCTGGCTTCGAATTCTCTCCTCCTGTCCTCCAGGGTAGTCAAGACGGCACGTGTCAGCAAGATAGACGGCCGCGTCAGGGTTCTCGTCCAGACTCCCGAAGGCACCCGTCTCGTCATAGCCAAGAAGATCCTCATCACCGCTCCCCCCACTCTCGACAACCTCGCCCCCCTCGACACCAGCGGCGATGAACTCAAACTCTTCACCCAATTCACCTCCATCAACTACTTCACCACTATTGTCAAAAACGCCTTCCCAGGCAACGCCAGTGTCCGAAACCTCGCCCTCGACCGCCCCTTTGCCATCCCCCCCATGCCCGCCATCATCAATATCCAACCCACCGTAAACCCTGCCTACAACCAAATCTTCTACGGCACAAAATTCGGCCAGGATATCACCCTAGATCAGGCCAAAGCCGCCATCCTCGCGGACCTCAACCGCTACCGCGCTGTCAATGGCATCACCGGGCCTGCGCCTGAATTCATGGTTGCGTCGGGACACAACCCGTACAACCTCATGGTCGGAGCAGAGGCCACTCGCAACGGCTTCTACAAGAAACTGTACGGGCTCCAGGGCAAGCGCAACACCTTTTGGGCGAGTGCTACGTTTAGGGCTCATGATAGCTCTGCTACTTGGGCGTATATTAGCCAGAGTGTTTTGCCTGCTCTTCTTGCCTACTTGTAAATGAGACCAAGTGAGTGGGTGGGTAGCTGATGAATCGGTTGAGTGAGTTGGATACAAGGAAGTTGGGTGGTTAACCGCCCTTGTTAGTCCGTTACGGACGCTTCGTAATACAGTATTCGTAATGTCTTTAACACCCAATCAGACAGTTATCTTCTACCAATCGAGCACCTCATGTGATTATTATTGTGATGCCCTTTCTTTTCTTTTCTTTTCTTTTTTTAAAAAAAAATCTTCCGTTTTCATATTCCATATCATTGCCATGACGTGCGATCTATTTGATTCATCGCAGTTCCACACATTACGCTCACATCGGATATACCCCAGGAATCGACTACCCCTTGAAATACTCTAAGCCCCACACCACCCGCCAAACCTTCTCTCTCCCACTTCACTAACGAGTCCGTACGCGGTATGCAAGCACACATCCGAGCTTACGCCCAGACTAAACGGTCCGGTACCTTCCCTTCTTTCCCTTTCTTTCTTGCAGAACGGCTTGGTATCTAGGACAGGCATGAGAGGAGAGGAAGTGCCGATCTAGTGCCGATGCGCTAGATCTAGAGATGGGATGATCAGCAGAGAGTTGGGTTGAGGATTTTAGTAAGATTCTACAAGGGTGAGATCGGGATTGTAATATGAAAAAAACGGGGGGAGGATCTGATGACAGAAGAGAATATGACATGATGCACGAGAGAGACTTCACTGATAAGATATCATTCCAAAAAAATGAAACAAGTGTGGTAAATAGGGATAACTAAACAAATCACAGGTGGTATCATTTCCGCTTGCTTGAACGTTCGTATCCTACGCTAATCTATGACTATATGAAAAACCAGAAAAAGAAACGCTGTGGTATCCTAGCCTGTCCTTCCCCATTATTCTGTTCCCTTATCCTGAGCATGTGGTACAAAAAAGCGCTACAAAAGCAATACCTTACTCCTCCATCAAGAAACATTCATCAACAAAATATCTTCAAACTCATCAAACCCAATGAGACGCTACATAGCGTCATTGTAAATATCCCGTAGAACGGGCCTACCATCGAGAATACCGCGCTTCCCAACTGTAAAGACTTTGGTGGGTACCTTTTTCGCTTCAGGACTCTTGCTTCCAATCTGTTTCTTTGAACTCCTGGCGTTGATCGTTCCAGGAGCGGTTGTAAGATCACCGAGTGCTTTGCGTTTCTTGCACGGACTAGGCGTGAGTGACGGGCTCATTGCAAAGTCTGGAACACAAGACGAATAATTCGATGGTCGGACTGGTGTTTTGCTAGTTTGTGTAATAGCCTCTTCGAATGCATGAGACTCTACCATGTTGGGTTGGAGGTCGAGAACCCAATCCTTTCCTCGGCAGAGGGCAACCATGTCGCGTAGGAGTTCATTACTCGACAGCGTCTTCTCGCTACCCAGTATGATAAGCTTGGAACGAGCACGGGTTAAGGCAACGTTGATACGTCGTCGGTCTTTGAGTAGATCTCCGACAATACCATTCTCATTACTGCGAACGCAAGAGACGATGACCACTTCCTTGTCGCGACCTTGGAACTTGTCCGCAGTATGAAGTTCAACGCCCGCACATCCTTGTCCACTAATCACTAGTGCTGACAGCTCCGAAGACTGAGTTTGTGTGTAAGCAGCAGCCAAACCTTGTCTCAAAAGAGCAAGCTGCGAGCGGTAGAAAGCAATGATGCCAATCTCGTCGACAGCAACACCAAGACTCAGCAGCGACACTGTGAGTTGGCTGACAAGACGTGCCTCAAGCGCGTTGGTTATGCGAGGTCCAGCTTGCGTTTCGAGGGTTGAAGAGATAGGATCCGTGTTGATGAAAACGACAGGTTGGTCCGGTGACAAAGAACGCGAAAGCCAGCAGTCAGCAGCATCAGGACCTGTACAAGATTGTACTGCGCTGGATCGAGACTGTTGTAGCCTATGATGATAGGCCATAAGACCGTTTGGCTTGGGCAGCTTCAGGGTACGGGTAGCTACTGCGGTTGTGCCACACTTTAATCGCCCCGAGTAGATGAACCTATTAGATAGAAGCATTACATCAGCACACATGCGGTATTGATGCTTTAGGCTGACGACCGCCTGTGGGTGGGCTTCGCAGAGTAGCTTGAAAAGCGATACGTCGAGTCCACCTTCCATAGCTTCCTTGTTCTGAACCAATGGCGGCAGCTGGTAGTGATCACCGACTAGGATGAACTTTTGGGCCATGCGGATTGGGCCAAGGCATACTGGCAACGTGATTTGAGATGCTTCATCGACAATGCAGTAGTCAAAGACACGGCGACTAAAGATGGGATGATTGATAGTCAGGCAGGTAGTAGCCACAACAGGCGGCTGCATCCATGATCTTTCAAGCTCTTCAACACTCTCCTTTGGCTCTGCTGCAAGAGTGGCAAACTCTCGAACCTCAGAATGGATCTTCTTCGCAGCACCAAGCCGGAGAATGCCAATCTTGTCGTCCCGAATTTTGAGAAGGATGTTGTCAACAGCAGTATGTGTGTAGGAAGTCAAAAGGACGCTTTTCCCTTGAGCAACAAGTGTGCGAATGATGTGTGCTATTGTCGTCGTCTTTCCTGTTCCTGGCATGCCCAGCACGAGCGCATAGTCTTTGGCGCACATGACTTTCGAAACCGCAGCCCTCTGATCGGAATTCATTGACATTTGCGACGAATCAGGCATCAGAGGTGCATCTTTGATGGACTTGAATGCAGGAGCCCGACCGTCCACAATCAGCGTACGCAAGTCATGAGCCTTGAAAACGTTGTTATCCATGATCTGGATAAGGTTGTTACGAGCCGCTGCCATGCCGTTACTGAATTCATCTTTGTCCAGTCGGTACAGAACGGGCTCCTCGTCGGCCTCATACTTTGCAACTGTTTCGCCTTCTTTGGTGACTTCCATGATACCTGCAAAGGTTTGGTTGGTTTGCGAGTTAAAACCTGGAAGCTTGGTGCGAGAGTTGTGTAGTCGTCTATCAACAGCGACGGTGATGCGCCGCTTATGGACATATGTTACGTACCCGTTGGCCAGTGCAAAATGGCCTTGCTCGTCCGAGACAACGATAGGTTCTCCGACGATGAGCTGGGATTCAGTAAAAGAAAAGCCAGGGGTTGGTTGCTGTTTGATGAAAGTGTAGTTGTAGCGGTTGATCTTTTGGGCATTCTTCTCTTCAAACCCAGACCCGGGTTCCATGATGACATTGGAGAAGCAGCGACCCAACTTTTCACGTTCTGTACTAAGCATCGTCCAGAGCTCTCGCCGAAACTTCATCATGTCCGTCTCTTCTTTGGTCAAGAGTGTGTCCCACTTCTTCATGAATTCTCGATGGGAAGATTGGAGTGGCGCTACTAGTTCGTCGTATCGCTCTTTTGCCTTTTTGTTCAGCATATCGCCTTTGCCTTCTTCGACGAGGTCGTGATAAAGAAAGCATGCCTCCTGTGCATAGCACTTTTGGCACTTGAAGTCTTCCTTCAGCACTGGTGGAAGCTCGATCCGATCGCGAACATAGCAGGCCAACTCATTCCGTTTGATAATCATATGAATAATGTCGTTACGAATAGCAGGAATGCGGCTAATGTCGGAAGTCTCAAGGTAATACAAAATGCCGTATGCAATATTAACATCTGTTTGGGTCAGCTTGAGCATTTGGAAGTACTGAAGAACATACCGTATCGATTAGACAACAATAGGTTATACAGTGCGGTTTGCGCAACATGAGCAGCATTCGACGAGTTCTTCCCGGTCTTTACTTCAAACGGTACGGTCAGGGTTCGTTCGCCCTGATCGTCCCGCATTGTGACTTGGACAGTAGCATCGATATTGCCTTTTAACCCGTACATGGGAGACCAAACGTGCTCCTCGACGTCGAGGAGTTTGTTGATGCTCATAGTACACTGCCGCCCGTTTCGCTCTCGAACAACGGCATCAGCTTGGGGCTCCGCGCAGACAAAGATCTTGGCCCAAGCCTGCAGCTCAGGCAACTTGCTACTCATGTGCTCCTTGACGTCTTCGCACGTTGAGTTGATCTCTAGTATGGCCTCCAAGTGGCTTGGTAGGAGTTTTTCAATCGTTTGCAAAAGAAAAGTCGTATCCCATTTGTTCGCCTTCATGGCTTCTTGGAAGAGTTCGTGCAGAAGCGTGCCGTACAACATTGGTGCATTGGCTCTGCTCGTTGCTTTTACACGATCCTGAAGCACTGCTCGTCGAAGACAGCCAAACGAATCTGCAACAACAGTTGATGAGATCAAGTGGTCTGGATGCAAGATAAGCATATTGTTATGATCATCTACAACACACTGTCCGCCACTTGTAAACTCCCCTATGACATGTACAAATGAGCCAGCTGTGCAAGGCGTGTCAAACCAAGCTTGCCGCAGAATGATGGCTTTGAACAGCTTCGTCTTCTCTTCTTCAACCATGAGAACCTATAGAGCTTTAACCACAATGTCTGATACCTCGCTCAATTCGCAACTCACTTTCTCGGGCATCTGGTAGCCACGGTCAGTCGTGTAGGAGCTTTCATCTACCCTCTTCACCAGATAACGCTGAATGGCCCTATTGTCCTGTTGACTCTTTAAGAGTAAGCAATGCTCTTCTAGTGGCGTATCTTTGTTTTACATACAGTATTTGCTGGTGCTTGCGTAGCAGCCACTTCAGCAGCGGCAAATTCGTCAGCATCAATATCTTCATCGAATTCATCATCGTCGTCTATCAGACTAATGACTGTAGTTGATGCCGTATCTTTGGTAGCCGCAGATGGCACCTTGTCTGCTGTTGGGGCTGGATCAGCTGTTAGGGATTCCATCGACCTCGTGTCATACAGTGATGCCACTTGCTCTAGGTCAGCGGCAAAGTCGTCTTCATCATCCATTCCAAACTCGTCGTCGCTTCCAGTCTTTGAGGGAGCTGCTGCAGCTGGCTGTGGTTGTTGGGGTGCGGTTACAGGGTGGCGAGATGTGTTGATATTGTTGGTAGAGTGGGTTAGCTGGCTAACTTCCTGGGTCGAGACATCCAAGGCTTCTACCAAGTCCGCATCAAAATCGTCGTCTCCAAAATCATCAGATGATTCCGGGGATGCTTCGAGTGGGGCAGGTCTGGTCTGCTTAGCATTTGCAAGTTCCTCGTGTTGCACATGTTCGTCATCTTCATCGAGAATGTCTCCCAGTGAAGTCGATACGTGTTGCAGAATTTCTGAAGTGACCACATCTTGGTCCCGAGGACGCCGCTGCACAGGAGAGCCGGACGATGAGTCTTGATGATCACCAGCCCGGGGTAGCGGTGATGAACTCGATGGCAATTGTGAAGACAACCGAGACTCTGATTTTGATACGCATTCTCGCATCCGCTTTACCATGCTGGCAATGTTTGGCTTGGTGGGCTGCCCAAGCATGATACCATCTGAACTCGGAACATCAGCAAACACGTCCTCGGTAATCTCCTTTTCGGCTTGAAATACACCGTGCGTCCTCCTTTTCTTTCTATTGGATGCGGGAAACTCAACGCCACAGCTGGCCCATCTTCGAAGCCCACTCACGCTTCCTGCAGCAGCGGCAGACCTTGGTGAGGACTCGTTGATAAGGTGAGCAAATGCTACACTTCTATTGGCAGTGGGAGTTCCCTTGCTGTTTGTGTATCGTGACCAAAGTTCCATGGCTGGATCGGCCTGGGGCGTTGTGATGTCTTGCCTGGATTCTTCTTGGGAGGGGCCGACGGGTGAGGAACTCCTAGCGCGCTTCTTGTTCTTTCGTGGCAACGGAGTGTTTACCGCTTGCGAGCCTCTCCATATTAATTGCTCCTCTGGAGAGGCCACGGGCGGCGGCACACGTCTTGAGGAATCATCGACGTTACCGACAAGATCCGCCAGCGGTAGTCTCGTGGTGGCCGGTGTTGACGGTGGCGGGCAGTCTACAACAGTGGGCAATTTCGGAGTCTTGTTACCAGTTCCGATGTCTATCGGAGTCTTGCTCGCCTTTGGGGTTCCCATTGACTTGGACCCTTTTCCTGACACACTATGCAGATTCTCTTTCTCAGCCTCGCGTTCCTTGGCATTGGCGACAGATGGCACGCCTTCGATGAATTGAAAGGCCTTGAGTTTGGTACGCGTCTGAGTTGACGGCATTATGGGAGGACCCGTAACTATCTGTCGCGTCACGGGTGGGTTCTGATTACTGTGATGGTGGGGGAAGGCGCCGTTGCGCGAGCGGTTCCATTGGCCTCGATATTGCTGCGTGTGTCTTGGATAAGTATTAGGCTAGTGAATCATGTGTCGTTGTCAAGTTACCTTTGGCTTCTGGTCCTGGTCAAAAAAGGACTTTTGCCGCGTCGACATGGAAATGGACGGCGGGCAGACTCTACGTCTGCAGTGCGCAGTTGAGCGCGTTCACGCGTCACGAGCAGCCAATAGGATAGGACTTCGCCACGAGTTCGCGACCAAAGTCACGTGAGTCATTAAGCTGCTGGGGCCAAGCGATGTCGGTCCAAGGAATGTGGGACTGCGGGACAGCGCGGGACATGCGTCGGCTACAATGCTGCAGACAACTGAGTCGAATCAGTTCGCAGCCGCCGAATAATATTACTTGACGTATTACATACCGTAGATTTTGTCCAGAACGGTATATTTGGCCAGGCATTGGAAATGTGGGGCAGATCGGGGAACAGTAGCTTTTGCACCCCCACCAAAGCTGAAGTGGAAGTGCAAGTGAAATTGGGAATAAAAGTTGCAGCAGTGTCTTGCAACCGAAGACGGGAAGCTAGGGCCACCTTTGGAGATAGTATTATACTTACATACTACAATCCATGACATCCCACGCTCCGCGGCTCTTTCCCCAGATTGTGTGCCGTGCATCCCTCTCGCACTCCTACTAGCACTGCACCGGCACTTCTTCTCCCTGCCCCTCCGACATCTCTCTTCCTCCACCATCCTGCCTTCAAAATGTCTTCTGCCGATGCGAAGCCATTGCCTTTCGTCTACCAGTTCGCGGCCGGTAAGTTATAGCTGCTGTAGTACTTTTCAATGCCCATTTAGCGGTTATCTGCACAACTGCTGGTAGCTGCCCACCAAAATACTTGCAGCTCCAATGCGCCTCCTCGGTTGTACGACGGCAACCTTTTGCCAACATCTCAGTTAAAACCATGATTTTCCACGCACGCGCGCTAACTGTATGTGTGTCAAGGTGCCGTGGCTGGTGTGTCGGAGGTGAGTTGGCGTAACTCATCGCTCGCCGAGCTCGCGTGATGCCACAAAATGCTAATTGGCCTGGCGCATATAGATTCTGATAATGTATGGCTCACTCACTTCCTCCCTATCTATGCGATTAATGCTGACTCATTCTCAAGGTACCCTCTTGACGTTGTCAAGACCCGAGTGTAAGAGACCAGACATCCAACCACTTCGCAACCGCCTCTAAATGCGCGCAGACAACTTCAGACCGGCAAGGCAGTCGGTGACGAGGGTTACAATGGCATGGTGGACTGCTTCCGAAAAATCATCAAGAATGAGGGGTACGGTTACAACCCATTGGCAGTAACAAACTAGAGGAACTAACGTTTGCCAGTGCCTCGAGATTGTACCGTGGTATCACCGCTCCCATTCTCATGGAGGCGCCAAAGAGGTGCGCATTTGTCTATTCGCTTTCATTTTTCTCCAACTCACATAGTCTAGGGCCACCAAGTTTGCTGCCAATGACTCATGGGGTACCTTCTACCGTAACCTCTTCGGTCAATCCAAGATGAACCAGTCCCTGTCTATCCTCACTGGCGCCACCGCCGGCGCAACTGAGTCCTTTGTCGTCGTACCTTTCGAGCTGGTCAAGATTCGGTTACAGGACAAAGCCCAGGCGCACAAGTACAATGGCATGATGGACTGTGTTACCAAGATTATCAGGCAGGAAGGTCCTCTTACTCTGTACCAGGGCCTGGAGTCAACCATGTGGAGGCACATTCTCTGGAACGCTGGATACTTTGGGTGCATTTTCCAGGTCCGCGCTCTCCTACCCAAGGCAACCGACAAGAGAAGCCAAATCTCAAACGACCTCCTGTCTGGCGCTATTGGTGGCACAGTCGGTACCATTGTCAACACGCCCATGGACGTGGTCAAGTCGCGTATCCAGAACTCGCCAAAGGTTGCCGGTTTAGTACCCAAGTACAACTGGGCATGGCCTGCACTCGGTACTGTCATGAGGGAGGAGGGTTTCTCGGCCCTCTACAAGGGTTTCCTGCCCAAGGTTCTCAGACTTGGTCCTGGAGGTGGTATCCTCCTTGTCGTCTTTACCGGTGTCATGGACTTTTTCCGTACTATGCGTGACGGTAAGTAGATGGTGTGCATACACAGCGAGGCGAGGAGGGAAAAGGGCGCAATGCTTATGAACTTTCTTCTAGAAAATACGAAAGTATGACGGAGGAATAGATGATAGACTGTAGATCAAGCACACTGTCTTGCTACGCCAGCAGCAGGACTGAAATACATTCTCACAACCCAAACTTTTGCTACAGTGATGTAGGTGTCACACATGACAGAGAGGAGAAGAAAAAATAAACTGATAAAATGGTATAAGCCTCACAGTGGGGCAATCGTTGCTTAGCTATGTATGCACTCCCTCCCAATCCAATCCAATCCAACCCAACCGAATCGTTTGTTCGTTCATGGCACAAGAAGAAAGAAAAAGAAAAAGGCCATCTGAGACCAATCAATCTCCCAAGGTAACAAAGACCCTAAAAAACATCCTACCTATCCTTACCAAAGAAGAGAACACAACGCCATCGCTAATGCACATGATTAATCCTTTTCACGCTGATTCCCCAGTCAATCGAACGGAGTTTTTCATCTCCTTTTGTTTCGCAGTCCAACATCCAACATGTGTGCTTGACAGAAAAGAGAAAAAGAGACTGTGAGATGGGTGAAAGGTACTTAAGAAAAAAGACGCATGATACAAGAGAGAAACCTCGTCTTCCCATCTACTCGCCAAGAAACGCTAGCGGCAAGTAATGAGAAGCAGGATGCCATAATGATGGCGGTGGTGACAAATTGAAGCCCAAAGAGATATGATAGAGAATAGGAAAGGAAAGAAGAGAACAGGACTGACACATAATCTTATAGGAAACTCCACCACACCGCACCCTCGACCCACTTCACTCAACTCCCGTCCTACACTCTTATGAGTCCCTCCTACTCCTTGCAAAAAAGAACCCCGGTCCCCCACTCGCAGACAGTATAAACGGCGGGAGTGGGGATATGGATCCCACGCTCCAAGTCGACGAGACCGTAAGGCTGGGACTTAAGGGACCGGTTCTTGTGGCATCGACGCTTGATTTGTGGATAGAGAGACGACGAGTGGCTATAGGGCAGAAGAGGAGAAGAGGGAGGTGGAGTTAGCGCGCGTGTACAAACAAATAAAAAAAAGTGTTAAAAGAAAACTGAGTAAGTCTTCTGATTTGGGCGGAGGATGAAAGGGAAGAAGGGGAACCTAGTTGTAGGTAGAGTTTTGCCTACTACTATGAGGAGTTCCTCCGCTGCTGGAATTGGTCTCGCTTGGAGTAGCGGGCTCAAGGCTGAGTTGAGCACGGAGCGTCATGATCCATTCATGCTGGAGCAACTCGACTGCGCTGGCTCGCTTGTTTGGATCGCGGTCGAAGCATTTCTTCAAAAAGTCGATACCCGTTTCGCTGAGCTGGTCGCGAGATGGTAGCTGCGGCGGATCGCCTTGGGCAATGTGGTACATGATGGCCCATTCGTTGTCCATGGATGCCCAGGGACGGCGACCCGTAGCCATTTCGAGGATCACGCAGCCGAGGGACCAGATGTCGACGGCGCCATGACGACCAGTGCTCCCGCCGCGAATGACTTCGGGAGACATGTACATTGGGGTTCCAGTCATTGAGCGTTGGCGGCCTTGACGTGTAGCGTTGTGTTCTGCAGCGAGCGTCCGGCCTTGGCGAGCAATGAGCTTTGCAGCGCCAAAGTCGACAAACTTGATTACACCGTTGTGATCGAGGAGAATGTCTAGATAATGTCAGTATACCAATACGGATGGCTAGGTAATAAAACTCACTCTCAGGTTTGATATCACGGTGTACGACACCAGAATCATGAAGATAGGCAAGACCCTCCAACATCTGCAGTGCGTAAACCATAATGACAGTCTCATCTTCAATACGTCCATGCTCCAGCAGACCAGCAAGTGAACCACCAGAGCAGTACTCCATGAAAATGTACACCTTGTCTCGATGCGGCTCGATACCGTAGTAGGACACAATATTGGGGTGGTCCAGCACTTGTAGCACTCCCATTTCGTCTCGGATCTGTGCGACAATCGTGGGAATGAGCTGGGGGTCTTGGAGACGGATTTCCTTAACAGCCATGAGGTGATTGGAATCGAGATTCATGGCTGCATATACTGATCCAAAGGTTCCACCACCAACAAACTGACCCTGTTGCCAGCGCAGAGTAACGTTGGTAGCAGATGAAGAGAGGTAGGTAAGAGCTCGGTCGGCTTCGTTAGAGTCTTCCAGCACCCTGCCCAGTGCTTGTCGTTCGGCTTCCTTTTCCTTTCGGAAAGAGTCGATTTCTTCGAGTCTCTGCATCCATTGTTCTTGTGTCATCTTGATGGATTCATCATCATCCTTGGCATTCTTAGGGTCTAGCATGCTCTTGCCCGCAATGGCGTTTAATCGCTGGCGCTCGGCTTGAGCAGCAATGGTGGATCGAGCGCCCATAATATCAAAGTGAGAAATGAGCACTGACATGCAGCCAGCAACTTTGAGACGCAGCTGGGAATATTCATCGTCGCTGATGGACAAGATGTTCTGACCGCGAGTCATCATCATGGCAAACTCTAAGGCTACGACAGCCCATCGGAACGTCTTGCGGTCAGACGCAATACAATCATCGCATATGAAACTAACCCAGTCAAGGGCTAGCCTTGTAAGCCTGATGTTGTTCATTGCTCGACGGTTGTAATCCATGTAGAGCACTGAACGCTGACCGAATTCTGTGGCAAATGCAAAACAGGTTTGAATAAGGTCCTGGCAATCAAGGCCGGCTGTTTGTCTGCGAACAATCTCAACACTATCCATGATGGTATTGGATAGGGTGTATGCAGTCTGCTTGATCTTTAGCAATTCCGCATTGACGCGTGGAAGATTGGCGCGTTGATCGATCAAAGTGTGCAATTCCATGCCAATGCAGGATAAGAACGACATGTTTGCATTAGCCAACCGTTGTTGGGAGCCGTCGGCAACAAGTCGCAAGCGACCGGCCTTGAGATCCAGATGAGGCTCGATAATATTGGCCGACATCCTCTTGCCTGACCAGTAGAGAGGTTGCTCTGGCTTAATAATCAGAACATATGGGTTTGAGGGATCTTCCGGGGCCTCTTCAGCATGGTAACATGTCGTAAGCAGCGATTGAATGTCATTGGGGCGATCAAGTGCGGCAGGCGAGGCAACAATGTAAAGGCCCGTATTGTTGGTACTGGAAGTCTCGACAAGGAAATGTCCTGTAACGACCAACGACTCGTACAGCTCGTGCAGCTGTTCCTCGTCCAGATCGATGTTGTTGATGTTGTACTCGGTACAGTTCTCAAAACGCTGTGTCAGAATCCTAGAGAAACGGAACAGTTTTCGCTGTCGCACACGGACGGAATCTAAGATCTGCTTGTAGCGTTTTTCCATCTCAGACCCAGTCAGCTCATCGGGTCGGCGCTGCAGTTCTCGCTCAAAGTGCGCACTGAGACGGGTCAGGGACTTGGAGGTAAGAACACTGAACTGCTCAGCCGTCACCACATCGCCGCCTTGAAGTTGGCGACCTAACTTGTTGCAAAAATCCCATTCTTGTTCAAGAATTTCCGCTTCTTTGAATGTGTTCTTGTTGGCTGCCAGCTTCCAGTTGAGCATCTTGAAGTAGAACTTGAGGGCATCTAGAACAACCTGATCAAAGTTTTCCTCAATGCAGGGTGGTAGGTCCCAGCCAGGCTCCGGCCGCGAGATGACCATGTAGCTTTCCTTGACCTGGCCAGCCATGGCAAGAAGAATCTGGAACTGGGCAATCATCTGCTCAGCCATCATGACACCTTGCTGTGATGGATCTTTGATCTTCTTGGCATAAGACAGGCGAACGCGGATAATCTCCTGAAGTAGACGGGAGGGGAAGTTGATGAGAGTCAGTAACTCCTCGATATAAGGCGGGAGATGCCTGTCGGCGAATCCCTCGGCGTTTGCAATGAGCGTAGCCTTTGCTTTTTGAATAACCTTTTCCAAGGGCGTCAGCAGATTGGTGTCTCCCTGCAGGGACTTGAGACCATCCTCTTTGAGTATCCGGTCAATAAACGAAGACTCATCGGTTAGATGGTGGTCATGGGAAGAGCGAGGGCGGGGCTTGGTAAAGTCCAACTCCTCATTGCCAACCCATTTCTTCAAGATAGACATCTCAGTGTTGATAAGTGCAATGGTATTATGCCAAGAAATAACAGCGTCGCAGGCGTCCTTGTAGGGTTGTGAGGCTGCTCTGGGGTATGCAGCCTCGAGAGCCTGCCGTGTGGGGTAGGCACTCTCCACCTTTTCAATCTTCTTGACGATATCCGCAACCTGTTGGGCAGCCGTCTGACCAGCCTCAGCCTCTCCACCAACTTCAAAGGAAATGATGCTCTCGAGGTTGGCGCGAATCTTGCTCCTTGTGTCGTCGACTATCCGTCGTTGCGCTTGTAGCGAGCGGCCGCAGACCTTTGCGCGAATGCCCATCCAAATCTCCGCCTTCATTGTGCTGTCTCCTTGTTGCTCTGAGCTACCAATCAAGCGCTTCTTTTCCTGCTTGACAACATCGCCTGTCAACACACTGGCCAGCATCGAGTGCCACTCGAGGCGCTCGCGATTGGCAGGGATCTTGAGCTCCTCAATTGACGGCTGCATGTCGTCGTTGCCATAGTAGAGGAGTGTCTCTTGGTCGTAGGGGTCGTTGTCAACATAGTCGGCGGTCGAGGGTGAATCGTCGTCTGTCTCTGAGTCGGTGCTATAACCAAGGCTGGGAGTGCGCAGGGCTGGGTCGAAGAATTCATCTTGCTGATCCTCCTGGCGAATGCGCTGGACATAGGCCTTTTCCTGAGCGCGGTACTCGGCGTTGGGGTTGCGGCGCGAGCGCGTGGCCGAGTTGTTACGCTGGCGGTGCGTGTTGGAATTGAGGGAGAATTGCTGAGGACGGCGAGCAGGAGCATATGCGTTGCTGGGAGTGCGCACGGCAGCAGGACGCTGGCCTCTAATCGAGGAGCTGAGGCCAGAGCCGTTGGGCTGCTGGGTGGCGGGCGGGACGTCGGTCATGATCTGGGGCCCACGAGGGCGCGACGAGGGTGGAGCGGCCGTGTTCCACCCGTAGGTCGACTCACGTAGGGGAGTAATATCGTCGACGGCGGGTGCGGGCTGGACAGGCGGAGCAAAGTTGTATTCGCCATGATGCTCCATGTCCCCAGCGCCAAGCAGGGCATCGTGATCCGAGTCGGCAGACGAACCAGACCCCGAGCTTTCTAGGCGCTGAGGCTCAGGGGCGTTGATTACGACGGGTTTGGGAACGTCGGCCATGGGCAGGGCGTGCTGTTGCAACAACAGTGCGCGTGATGGTGAGCAGGTCTACCCGTGGTGGTTGAAAACCTGCTGGAGGGAAGGGAAGGTGTGGCGAATAACTGTGGCGGGTGTCAGGTGTGGCGGTGCGGATTTGCAGCAGACTGCTATGCTAGTGCCTATCTCGGGGGGCACGGCACAGAGGCGGGACGGGGCGCCCATTTACTTACAGCTTACATATGTATGCACATGTCACAGACTACATATTACAGGCTGCATGCCACATGTAGTTATCCCACTATGCAATTTCCGTTCAACAGCCCGCACGCCGCGGGCCACTATCCCGATACGCTACAGTCGTGACGTGGGTATCGATCCTCCTTCTGACTCTGACTCGTGCACTGCAGCTGGAAAGAACATACACTATCCATTATGCCACATTACAAGACTGAGAGTTGTTACAAATACATTTACATATACACATCCATTTCCCTTGCTAGCCTCGTTCCATTAGATGTCCTTCCTCGCCTGCTTGCTCTTGTGCCTAATCTGCTTGCCCCATTTATACAGCGCAAATGGGATCGGGATAAAGGCAATGCCCAAGAACGCCAGCAGACTGCTCGCCCAATCGACGCCAAGTTTCTTGTACATGGCGTTCGCGAACAGTGGGAACCCCGCACCAAACGCCGATCGCATTAGATCGTTGCCCGCCAACACACTAGCCACAGAGTCAGGATACGCATCGCTGAGATACGGTAGGACCGCCTGGAAGAGTGTAAAAGACGCAATGCCAAAGCAGCCAGATCCAACAATCGGCACCATGTAATGCACGTCCGGCCTCGCCGACCATCCGAACCAGAACAGACAGATGGGCACGAAGAAGCATCCGACCATGGCAGGAATCAGCCGCTTCTCTGGCTCAATGTTGCCGTTTTCGTCAAACTGATTCTCCAGGTAGAAATAGTTCCATGCGAAAATCACACTAGCTGCGATAAAGGTGCCGACAAGAATGCCAAGGAAAGCTAATCCCATGATACCAAGGCTGAATCCGTATATGCCCTCAAACACGATTGGAAACGACTCAAACCAGATGTAAAGTAGGCCGTAAATGAGTGCAATGTACAGATTGAGCAGAAGGACAATGGGCTCAGTGAAGTTGAGCGTTATAGGCTTTACTAGAACCATGAGGACAACCTAGTTCGGGTCAGCAGTGCACTAGCGTACCACCATCAGCCTCGCGATACATACGTCCTTTCCTGTCATCTCGGCCGCCATCAAATCTGGCTCGCAAGTGAACCGATCGTCACCAGTCAGTTTCCTTAATCGCTTTGCCCGGCGGTGCAGGATGTTGGTCGAGCTGGTCTCCGGTAGGAAAAAGAACAGCACAACCCAGCAAAAGCCGGATAGCCACATAATCTCCCATATCGTCCACTTCCATCCCTTTGACATGACAGCAAATCCTCCCACTAAGGGTCCCAAAACAGGACCGCATACTGCACCTATTCCCCACACTGCCAGTCCATAGACTTGTTTCTTCGGCCGGTACATGTCGGCAATGGACGCCCCTCCTGTTGCAAGAGCTGGCGATCCAACAAATCCAGTCAAAAATCGGAAGGTTAATAGCATACCGAAGTTGACTGAGAACACCGTAGGCAACTGTAATAACACAAAGAAAACTAGAGACCAAATATGTTAGCTCCTCCCTGGATGCCATGTCGGAACGGGGATTCTTACACAGTGTGATAATGTACACCCATAATCTTCCAATCTGCGGGATTTCACTCATGGGAGACCATAGGATAGGACCCAGACCATATCCCGCAACGTATAGTGTCAACCCCAATAGCGCAGGCACCTGAGCAACGCCAAATTCTTCCATAACTCCCATTAGACCAGGTGTGTAAATGGCAGATCCAATGTAGACCGAAAAGGTGAGGAGGCAAATCTCAAACGTGACAAAATATTTCTTGGCTCGGGGCCAGTTTCGTGGGTTCTTTTAGGAAACTGTTAGTAGTCATCTACATGTTTGAGAAAGATTAGAACTTACCTGTGGATCATCGGGGCCATCCCAGTCAACAACATGATAATCGCGTCCCTTTTCTGGATCAACGCGAATACCACTGGGTTCATTAACGCCATCTCCAAGTGTGCTTTTAGACTTGTCGGAAGCATCACTCCCTTGACGGCTACGAATACTGCGTGCATGCGCAAGCTCTGGGACTCCACCCGCGTTCTCAGGCGGCTGCGTGGATCCATGGTACGCCGCATACCCCGATTTCTCTTGGTTAACGTATCTCTTCCAATACTCTGGGTCCTTTTCTTCAGGATACTGAAGATATTTCCTCCCAGTGATGAGGCGGACGCAGTGTCCGAAAGCGGAATCGCGAATTAGATCCGCCAACATGGTTACTCGTTTGACGAACCACGACACTATCCCTACTAAAGATTCTTTTTACAAAGAGAAAATTGACAAGAAAAGCTAGTGGCTAACCCTCATGCAAAACCGTTGCCGTGACGAAAAAATATATAAAATGATTGCCGACATCCAAACGCTTAAGTTCATAATCTTCAATCGCTGACATCATCACAAGCATCATCGACTTTCAGCACGCAACGCCGGACCCTGACGCGCGACCGCCCGCACACTCCAATCCTGCAGCTCAAAAAAAAAGCTTATTGGCTCCGATATTTCCGATTGCCCATTCGATGGCAGAGGGACTGCTATCACCGAAAAACAGAGTTCATGACGACCGACTTTGTCGGCACCGATCGGGCGCCCGTGATGCGGCAATCGTGGGCGCGAGGTATTGCTTTGTCAGTCCTGCTCGCTCGCGCTCTGGAGCAAGCCGGCCGGAGCGCGACGGATGCGGAACTGCGTTGGCTGGGAGCTTGGGTGGATGTGATGTGTCATTGCTGGGTGGGGATTGAATTTGGCGATCGTATCGATGGGGTGGAGGCGGTGGGCTTGGCGATGCTTGCATGGACGTTGGGTTAGTGCTGGTAGTCATTACGAGTTTACCTCTATTTCGATATCGTGGTAATAAGTAGTAGTAAAGAAAAACTGCTTCAAATCCATGCTTTGGTGGCTAAAGAGAGCACAAGTATACCATTGTCTCACTCCATTGTTTGCAAGTGAAAAGCATTGCCTCATTTCGCTTCTCCTAATATCTGTAAACTAACCATTACCATATGACCAGGATTAAGAAACTGCAAAGATAGAAGCGTAAATTTAACCTAAGTAGTTAACAGCAGCGCGCCGCACTAAGCCCACCAGATCAAGTATAAAGTCTTGCCCTAGTAACATGTAGATGCATGGATAATGTTCTTGGACAGCCCGTACAAGCTCCCTCATATTGATTGTAGATGATACATGTAGGCAAATAGGAAACATCGCAGCCATTAGCCCAACAATCATTTCTATAGTACCCAACAAGAAAAGATCTCTCCTCTAAGCAAAAAACGCCAGATACCACCGCTTTTGAGTTCCGATGCGCCCCAAACGCCAACACCCATGCCCTCTACAGCACGGCAGTGTTACATACACCAAACTTGCAAAATTTCAATTCGACATTTCTCTTGTTGTCGAGCACCGACTCCACTCTCCTCTGGCAGAGACTGACCTTCCTCTTCTGCTGGCTGATTCAGCGAACTCGTGTCTGCGCTACCATCAGTATGCCTTTATTGATGTCCCAGGGCAAGAAGGTACCTATCGCCAGAACATGCGATTGAAGTGTTGTCTCAAGGCAGCAGAAACGGCTGAGTTTCTTCATGAAGCTTGACTCTCGAGAATCACCAGACAGTACGCCAATTCACACTCCACTTCCTGTCGACGTGGATCGGTGACCGCCAGTGTAGCCTCAAGCACCTTGACTGTACGCTGTAGCAGCTCTACTGCATCCTTTGTCTGCCCGTTTTCCCGTTAAACGACAGCAAGGGCATAATGCGATGCTATCTGACTAGAATTAGTCTCTGGTAGCCTAGACTGAACCTTGACGACATGCTCTATCAAATCTATAGCCTCTTTGATCTGCCCGTTGTCCCAGTATACGGTAGCAAGGCCGCGCTGAGATGCTAGTCGATCAGGACGAGTCTCTGGTAATATGGTTTTCTCCACCTGTACCACATGCTCGAGCAACTCTATAGCCTCTTTTGTCTGCCCGTTGTTCTTGTAAGCCATAACAAGATCGCGCTGCAATAGCAGACGATTAGGATAAGTCTCTGGTAGCATATTCTAAACCTCTACCACATGTTCTAGTAGCTCTATTACCTCTTTTGTCTACCCGATTTTATTGTACGCCATAGCAAGGCTCTGCTGCAAAAATAGCAGGTCAGGATTACTCTCTGCTAGTGCTTTTTCTCTAACCTTGACTACATGCCTTAGCACCTCTATTGACTCTCTTTTCTGGTCGTTGTGTTCATACACAATAGCTAAGAATTTCTGAGAACTTAGGAGTTTCGGGTGCGTTTCTGCTATCTTAGCCTCCTGGAACCTAACCACATACTCTAGTAGCTCTACTGCTTGCTGAGTGTGTTCTGAATCTACTAGATTTCTTGCTGCGAGGCGCTATATAGGTACGTGATCTTTTGTTAGATCCAACGGCGTAATCCTGAAAACTTTATAGATATCTTCTAACAAGCGCTGAAGCCTTTTGTCTTCTCCTATGAAGGCTAACATCCAGCCACACGCCAGGAAAATAGGTAATATGGTACTCGATGGGCCAAACGAAAATACATCCCTAACATTAGGCGGAAAGAAGGATAGTATGTGCGGCCGCCAATACCTCTCGTAGATGATTAACCTTTTTGAAGATGAGATGATACACCTGGTGCTCACCTAAGAGGCGTGTTGCTCCTTTTGGTCTAGCCGGTCTTTCGCCCACGTATGCGCTAGCGGATGCATCGACAGTCCGTCAAGGTTGTCAGCTAGGTGTCTTATTACCAACGATAGTGAGACAAGAAGAGTGCTAGCTCTGTTCAGTCGGTAGTCGTCCTAGTTATATGCCTGTGTATTAATGAACCTGGGCAGTCGAGACATATGCCATTGTGTGAGCGCGTGCATTTTATTTCCCTGGTTATTATAATTATTGGATACCTAGTGAGTACCTTTCCACCCGTCTGAAAAGATGGAGAGTAGCAGTACACTGTGATGTAGTATTGAAAAGATGCTAAGTCTAAGGCGTCCCGGCCTACCTCGTTCTTGGAATCGTTCAGCGCTCCTATAGAAGCTTTAAAGGTCGCGTAAACATGCCGATACCTTGACTGATGTTGCCTAGGGTAGCGTTGAAGTAAACGCTTGCGTCGCTGCTCGTACTGTTCCGTATATTGGTCTAGTTGACAAAAGCCTTCCGCAATGTATGCACTAGCCTGGACAAGAGCGAGTGTATGTGACCCTAGTAGCTGGACGATAACCTGTGCCTGCTCTTTGTAATCTATCTATGACTCTTTTGGTACCTAAGCAAATTTGAGCAGAAGCGGTGTCGAGTGCTCTTTCCTAAGGCCCTCAAGCGTTTTAGCAGGTAACGTGCTGTACTGGCTGTACTTAGGTACACAAGATGTTATGATTATATACCTTGATTGTTAGATGGAATATACGCGGAATAGTCAAACGTTAAATTATTGGCGTTGTCCAAAACCAGCAGCCAGGGTTCCTTCGTGATTGTAAGCGCCTGGAGTAACTAACTCTTTAATACTTTCAGTAGGCGATACAAACGCCTTCAAGATTACTAGAAACCCGCTCCTAGCTGTCAAAAGACTACTAAAGTCGACCCAAAACACGCCCCAGAAGCTATTAATCATCAGCAAAAGCATCAATACGTAGTGCGATGAGGTTAGGACGTACTCTGCTTGCAGTAGGTATACAATCTTCAAGCATATTTCGCTCTTTCCTATCACGCCCATGCCCGTAATAACTAGTTATTTCCGTTATATAGAGTTTTTATCCTTGTTATGCAAGGCACACTGAATCCGGTCTACAACTTCTAAGCGACCAGTAAAAAGGTAGTTAACAGAACGAGGGACTATCCAGTGCACATTTCTTTCTGCATGTGCATCAGTCAAAGCGCACTTAGAGAATTCAGATATACGCTGTTCACCTTGTTAGCTTGGTGTAAGGTGATGCATCATATATTCCTATACGAGCTAAGTCATCTGCCTATACTATAGCCGCTGCAGTACTTACACGAAAAACTCCTTCAAAAGATAGCTGTGTTCGATCTGCGCAGCGTTAGCGCTATGCTATCTAGCACTCTAGGCAAAATCTTCAAGATACACACTCGACTTCTGCTGTAGGTTCTTGATGCAGTCTCGCACCCGAAACTTCTGTACCTAGTGTTATAGATACTTGTTTTTTGCTGCTTACATCCTACCCTACTCCTTATACTCGGCAAGTCCGACCTTCTGTAGCCCCTAGTCGACATTAAAGCGGAAATATCACTTCTCGTCGTAGTGTTAGGCCTATCGCGCAATGAACTTCCTCTCTATCTCTAGTTGGCTAAGCATGATGGCGATCAACCTGTCATATTAGTCATGTCTTGCTAACATGCAGTTATCCATTCACCCACCCGTGCTTGTGCTACTGATAAGATCAAACACTTCGCATGGTTTTACGATTGAAAGACCAATATTCTGGCGTTCGTTGTTCAGTCGGGTTATGATACCTTGCGGGATACACAGCGTCGACAGGCCGCGCATTCTGCCACCATCGAGCGACAGCAGGCAGAGGCCAGTGATTTCAAGTGGATTAGGCTCGCCACCATGCTCGGTCGCGATACTTTGCGCCATGGCGGTGTCTGACGTTCAGATGTGCTTGTTGCTCGAGGGATGTGACAGAAAAGATCAATGGCAAAAGCATAGTGAGCATCTACTGTGAACAAAGGAACTATCTGTAGGTTATTAACGAGGCTAAAAGATGAGCGGCAGGCTGAAAGCTGGGGAATGGGGTGCGCGCTCTGCAGAATGCCGTACGTGTACTAAGATGTTGCAGGATGTGGAGCCAACACGCCCCATGATTGGTACTGTGAAGCGTTGACATGGCTGCCACACACTATAATTGGGTAGATGGTTCAATCCTTCAGCTGTGCGCTCGCATAAGTAATGATGACACATCTGACAATCTTGACTGGTGTAGCCAAGACGTCAGGCTGTATGAGTAGTGACAGGCAAAGCACAAGGTCTATCAGCTGCAAATCGGAGATATAAGGAGCTGAGTAAAGATTCATTCTTCAACAATGCAGCAGGATTTTCTGTAGAGAAAGGCTGAAGCTGGTGGAAACCCCATATACTTGTTATTTTGATCATGACGCGGGTTTTTTTTGACACATGGATAAGGATGTTACAAGTTGGAAAAAGAGTGTATTCTGGGAGACAAGAGCTTGTCTAACACTGACTAGAACAGCCAACATACATGCACTAATCAAATGTAGTAGCTGAATGCTTATCAGTTACTGTTATGGGGTAGGTTATACCTACCCTATAACGGTTACACATCTTCCAGGTATCTCTAATCATTCAACTGCGTCTCCATCAGCTGCCTTGCATGCATTGTGCATCATCGCTGCATTATTATATTGCAAGTGTACATCATGCAAAAAGAGCAAATTGACAATCCACCCTTGACAGCCCCCTGGAGAAACCAGCTCAGTGGCAAGACTGCACTTACTACGATTTTTTCTACACGTGCATGTATCGCAGCATGTGCAGTGACAGATCTGTCTCATCTGCTGTATCGGTTCCATGAATAGGAATACATACTGCAATCCCCCAGGCTCCACAATCAACTTCACTAGGAATCAACACAACCAACTAGTGGAGGCTTACCTAGACGCCCTCACAGGCTATATACATATACTTACGTATATTGTAACAGAAACAAGAACCAATAGCACCAACGCGCCCACATTACCACTGATCGTGTTCTCAAGCTTTGCACCCTGAATCTCCCTCCGTCATCTCCCCAGAGCTTCTTCAATGCTAGCTGCTATGCAGCATTTGCGAATTAAGAGACAGGATATTTTTACAAGGCAGAAGAATAAACTCTGGTAGAATTGATTGGTTTGACATGTAGATTCACAAATTAGAAATGCACCACCCTACGCATACATCCTTATGCGTGAGCAAACCACAATCCACATACCAAAAGCATAAAGGGCGCAAGCTACTTAATAGATTCAATACATATTCCCCAAAGTACACAGCACTTGTCAATGTAACCCAACAACCATGTCTGCAGGTCGTCCTAAGCTATCCCCACCCCCAAAGGAAACATTGTACCCGCTTGTTTCCAATCGAGTTTCAATCACAATCATATAGTTCATCCTCTCACTACACCCAGCAGCTGGAATACTAGTCATAGTAGCCGCAAGCTAGGCTATAATGTAGTAGATCCCTTCCATAATACCCAACATCAAGATCTCAAGGCCCTAGGCGAGCAGCCGGGCCGGGCCTCGTCCCTTTAAAACCCCAGCAAACACAGCTATCACCACGCCGTATATGCTAGCGTTGTGCTTGGGCATAGTAGTTTCCAGATCCACAAGAGACTGTGGGAGCAAGTGCAGTTGTCCATAACGATAACAAATCGATACTTGGGTACGGACCTAGTATTTTGATTTGATGGCTGTATTAGCAAACAGGCTATAGATGGGTTTTAGGCTACTTGAATCGCCCTGTCATATACACTCGAGGTCTTGCAGCGCACCATGGAAGCTTCTGGCGAGCTTGTCCAACTCGGAGCGATGCGGGTGGGTGCGGCCGCTGACGTTCAAGTCAATACATGAAAGATACTGGTCCAAAACTAAGTCGAAGTGTTTCCGAATGCGTACCGGACAGTGCCAGGCCAGCATTCAAAGCATGTATATACGCCAGTCCTATCTTACACTGCACGCTTTCATACAGCTTGACAACTCTGGCGGTATCTCGAGCCTAACCCGCACCTCAAGAAGAGAACATGGGTTTAATACCATCAGCTGGGTTAGCCACTGCTGAACACTAAAATCCAAACAAGATCTATCATCCCCACCCCCAAATCTCACGCTAGCCTCAGCGCCGCTATACCGCTCATACCCGTCCAAAACTCTGTCGGCGACTCTATCCCCATCATCGTCTCTATCCACTCGCCCTCCATCCACCCCTGCACAAAGCATGCCCCAAGAACCGTATACGTCTCGTCTTCTTTTTCCTGCAGAATGAGAGGAACAGAGCATCCGGCTATAACAGCAAGATGGCACTGTCCTGCTATTTCCGACCATTTGTCAGCGATGTATGTGGGCATCAAGCCCATATATCCGGTCTCTGATATAAACGGTCGTCGGCCGCGCAAGACCTGTCTGACTATGTTCCGGGCTTCAGATTCACGGTATCCATGTACCCATGTGGAAACATGTTTGGAGAGCTTCGTCTCGCATGTGTATGGATCGTCGAGGGGCGACGCGAAGTCAGGGTTAGGTGGCCATGCAGCAGCGTTGTCGCCATGGCACATTGCCCAAGCTGCTCGTAGGGGATCGTCATAGATGTTTGAGCCGAGGTTGCGGAAGTGCTGGGTAAGTTCGATAGTCCAGCAGTGAAATTCCCAGTCAGGGTCGGCGGAAAGGAGATGTACTGTTTCACTCGATACCTGTGGAGGTTGTTGTAGGATAGTCCCAACTTGATCTATCATGAGTCCAGTGCAATGTAGCACGTTGTCCTGGAAATAGAGGACGAGATCTTCGAATGTGTTGTGTGTGATACCACCATCTGCGGCGTACAACCTTCCTTGCTGGTCGTCCACTATCGAAATAAATTTCATTGGGATGTAGTCCTTGCGAACAAGACAGCTGGTGTGAGTAGGGACACTCCAATCCGGCGCCCAAGATGGCGTTTTTCTGTAAAAAGAAGAGCTGCTTTCTGAAGCTTCCACTGCTCCCAAGATATCCAGCGAACGCTTCTGGTTCATCCAGGCTCGAGCAAAATCAGCGTAAATGCGTTCATACGGCTCTATGTAATGAGGCTTGAAGTCTAGGCCGGTCTTATCTTGAGCGAGGTTCCATAGTGCGAAGATCTTATCTCTGGGATCAGTGCTCTCAAAATCCCGGGCCATTACGACTGCTTCCAGAAAACCTGGCGCATCTTCGCTCGTCTGAACGAAGACGCAGCCTAGTCCGATGCCACCATTCACCAAATGTCGAAAGTAGAAGAGCTTGCGTGCATAAGACAACGTATCCAAGTCAATCTCCTTTAGAGCTGGATCGGCTTCTTGCATTCGCTTGGAAAGTCTCTTATCGCGGCTCAACATGTCCTGAAGCTTATGCGCAGCCGATTCAAGATAGTCCCAGCTATCTTTTCGACCGGGGATGCATAATACTGTTGGATTCGAAGCATAAGCAATTTCCTGGCAAATCCTTAGTAGATCAAACCGATTTTTAAGCTTCAGAAATTACCTGCAACATCCATATCCGCCGGAAGTATTGCCTAGTCAAAAGCTTGTATAGGCCAGCACATAGCTTTGCAAATTGATCAGGCTTAATGGTATTCTCGTTGTCGTCGCTTTGACCGCGTAGAACGACTTCCGATGGGAAATGAAACTCGTTGGACTTATTTTTGCGGACGATTGGGTGCTTGAAGAGTTCTTTTATAAAAGAGAATACTGACTCACTCTCCGCGGTGGGATTTCCGATATATGAGAAGACTGCGATGGCAAGGTCATATATCTCCCCCATGCGCGGCACCTGCCGAGCGCGCTCAGTCAAGTCTTTTTGGTTGATTGATAAAGCATCTATCCACACTGGTACGATGACTTTGGGGTTTCTTACGGCACGAATAGCTTCAGCGAGGTTCCTGCGGACTGTCATCTTTTGTCCTGCCATTATAATTTGCTCCTGAGTATCATCCACGCCCCAACAGTCTTCAAACCAAAGTTAGTTATGTAGGTTTGTTTCCCTTCTATGTATACCCAAGAACTTACAGGAGAGAGCAAGATAGTGTTCGTCAGTGTCAATCGGACAATGCGCCACATGAATGACTATAGGCGCATGTGCATCCTGGGCAGGCATGATACACATGATTCTGATCTCATCAGCCACCATATCTAGTGGCATGTATTGGAAGTCTATGGTCGGTCGGTCGAAACTGGCACTGGTACCCAGACGGATGGGGCACACCCTAGGTAAGACTAGTTGGTCTGGAACACCATACCATCTCTTGTGTTGTGTAAAGGGGCTTTGAGAAATGACACGACGAAAGTAGCCGCTCTCCACAAGACAGTCATTCGTCTCGTGCATATCAAATACTTCATAAGCTCGCGTGTACATAAGATCGCTAAAATCGCGCGTCCAATATGCTTTCTGCTCTTGTTGGTCTGATTCCACTACACAGGCATATCGTACCCAAATATGTGTTGGTCTGTCAGCCGTTGTACGAAAGTAGCGTAGAAATCTCTCCAAGGCAATCGAGAGAAACAAGGCCTTCCCGTCTACCTCTATAGGCTGTCTATACTCTCGGTGTCCTCTTGCATTCTTGATGGCAACAAAAGGAGGAAGATCAGTGAGGAGGTACGTTTCAAGGCTGCAGCGAACATGCTCAGCTGCTTCATAGGCTGGGTGCAAGAGCAACAAACGAGCCTCACGCGGGTCATGACGAAGTGGTGTGTACTCCATCTGGGGCACGAGCAACCTATCCAGACCATCTTTAGTGACGGTGTAGAGATCATTCTTTAGTCGGGATGGTGTGTCATTGTGTGATGGTGATGCCAAAAGAGGGTCAGCAGTCAAAGACTGTTCGTCTTTCACTGACATCATCGAAAGCAGGGGCGAAGGGATAGAACAAGGTAAGATAACAAAGAGTTCTGTAGACTAGTGCATGTCACTTTGATTGCGAGCTAAGCCCTTTATTGATCGTGTTAGCGTAGCGGGGTACACAGCGGTTACCTAAACACACCCCAGATAAGCGAGATGGTACCAGAGCTACTGCTGGTCAAGCGTAATGCGATGGACTATCTAAGGGTGTCGCGTACAAAATAGCTTTGTGTAGACAGCTCTCAACTCGTAAAATATTGCTCTCAATCATGATTAATCCCATGATGTGCTATACAACTTCGAACTCGTAATAGACGTATGCGGTGTACTCCTGGTCGCCCATGTGTCCGGCTTGTTGCATGTCAATGGACATGGACTGGTCGTCTTTCTTGATGCGGCCTTTGCTATCACGGCCGAAAGCGTTGCCACCAAGGTATGAGTAGGCTGCGTCAAGGTTCGCCTTTGCTTTTTTCGCCGATTTGGCGTCGGTCTTGGTCGTGTTAGCATGCAAGCAGTTGTGCGACCAATGTAGATAAACTCACCTGAACAATGCCGCATACAAAATCTAGCGGTAGGCCATATCTAAGCACAGTTTCCACAAACACTCTGAGTGCCAGGACATGAATCCAGATCATAGCACTCTCGCTGTACCCTGTGCGACCTAGCCGTAGCGCCTCACCCCAGAGCTTGCGCTCGTCCTTGGCCAGTTGGTCGGCCTCCTTTGCCTCCTCTTCCTTTCCACCTTCCTTGTACGTGTATTCTCTCGGGGTCCACCGCTTTTCCCTGCACTTGTGAACAAACTCGTTAGAGTGCTTTTTGAATGTTGTAACGGCGAACAGGGTAAACTCGTCGTCCTGGGCAATCTTGTTGGCGGAGCGGGGGACAACCATGGGGCTCAGCTCTTCATATGCCTGGTAGAATTCTTTTACAGCCGTGTTGGGGACGGCAATGAGGTGTGTGTCGAGATATTCAGAGTCGCGGACAATGGACTTGGGATTGACGACATTAACGAGGGACTTGGTGGACAGGTTGCCGGTGCGCTTTCGCTCTGCGGCTGCAAGGGCGCCCTTTGTCTGGTTGTACTGGCTGAACTTGGACTTGACATCGTTGTCAATACCTTGTATCTCCTGCGCGCGCGGTTAGTCTGTTGCGTGGTGCCATGACTATGCGCCGCTGTCTACCTTTTGTAGTGCATCTATGAGATCTGCGATGGGCTTGTCTGCGCGATACTTGACCTTGTTCCACTGGAAGCTGCGCAGGTACTGATCGACGGGCTCTGCACTATGTGAGCTCTTGGGCACCATTCACTCGGCCGGTCCCCCCCACGTACTGTCATTTATCGTCTTCTGCTGCTGCACCTTGGACTCGTCGCCGTCGAGAATCTGGCGCAGACTCTCGCCGACCTTTGCGACTACGCCCTCACACGCATTACTAAGCTTCGAAAGCTCATCGGCCTGCTGGACGAGGGCATCCAGGGTTCCGATCTTGAAGTTGGGTATGGCAAACGGGGAAGTGTTGCCAACGTCATTGGTCACGGTGGAGCGCAAGGCCGTCAGGGCGTCATCGTGGTGATTCGAGGGGGATATGGACGTCGGCAGCGACACCAGCAGGTACTTGCTGCCCTTGGACATGGTTGCTGCAGTCGTCTCGGGGCGATCGGGTCGCGATATAGGCAGCTATGGGAACGATGTCTGCATTCGTGGATGCAATCCAGCTTCGGAGCTTGGATCGCCGGGCGGCCCAGCTATCCGCCCGCCGGCGTCATTGGCGCTCTGACTATATAACTTCCATCCGCCGCCGATACCCGTCGGACAGCCAGCAACAGCATTTCCTCCTCACCCACACATAATGGCCGCCAGAAAAGCAGTCGCTGCGTTGCGCCCAGTGGCCAATGCCTTTGCGCCCCAGGTTGGGAGACTTCAATGCCCAAAAGTCGCCCGGTATTCAACCAGAACATGCACATTGCTAGCCCCGCGACCCCGCAACTTCACAGGACCAGCGCGAAAGCATGTGCGATGGGCTTCTTCACAGGCAGCAGACGAGCAGCTGGGCAAGACTGGCCTGTATGAACTGCACAGCAAGTATGGCGCCAAGTTTGTGCCTTTTGGCGGATACTTGATGCCCGTCCAATACAGCGACTTGAGCATCATCGACTCGCACAATTGGACGCGCGAAAAAGCCAGTTTGTTTGATGTCGGCCACATGTAAGACGCCATACACAGTGAGGGTAGTAGTGAAAGACGGTCCTGTAAGCTAACCATATTCAGGGTCCAGCACCACTTTTCTGGCCCCGGTGCCGAGGCCTTCCTCGAGAGCATCACTCCATCTGCCCTCTCTGTCTTGCCCAAGCATCAGTCTACTCTCTCAACCCTGCTCAACTCCAATGGTGGCATTGTTGACGACACCGTCATCACGCGCCTCGCCGACAGGTTTTATGTCGTGACAAATGCAGGCTGCAGAGAAAAGGACACTGCATACTTCAAGGCGCAGCTGGATGTATGGAAGAGCAAGCATTCTGATCAACCAGTCGAATGGCAGACCCTAGATGGGCAAGGCCTTGTCGCCCTCCAAGGACCCCTTTCTTCAGAGATTCTCTCACGCGTGCTTGATGACAAGTCAAAGAAGGACTTGGAATCGCTCTACTTTGGCCAGTGTGCCAATGCAACCATCAAGGGTACCGACGCCGAGGTGCTTGTCAGCCGTGGTGGCTATACTGGCGAAGACGGTTTTGAGATCAGTATTCCTGCCTATGCCACCGAGGCTGTCACTCAATACTTGCTTGACTCGGCCAAAGACGAGCTGCGATTTGCAGGCCTCGGAGCGCGCGACACTCTCAGACTGGAAGCCGGTATGTGTCTCTACGGCCATGACCTAGATGACACCACAACACCTGTCGAGGCCGGCCTTTCCTGGATCATCGGCAAAGAGCGCCGCGCAAAGGGCGGTTTCCTCGGCGACTCTGTCGTTCTGCAACAATTAAAGAAAAAGTCAGAAGGCGGAGGTGTTTCGCGCCGCCGAGTGGGTCTTGTCGTTGAGGGTTCCCCCGCCCGAGAAGGCGCTGAGATTGTCAATGAGGCTGGTGAGAAGATTGGTAACATCACCTCTGGCTGCCCATCACCCACCCTGAAGAAAAACATTGCTATGGGTTACATACAAGATGGCATGCACAAGGCAGGCACTGAAGTCGATGTTGTGGTTCGTGGTAAGAAGCGAAAGGCCGTCGTCACAAAGATGCCATTCGTACCAAGCAAATACTTCAAGCAACCAGCCAACGTAAAGGCATAGGTTGCTGCTGAACATCCGGAATTTTGGCATATTCAACCTGCCATTACCTCTTGAGCGCACCATTGCACCGAGCTAATCAAATTCTCACAGCACTGGTATTTTTTCCAGTCTCCCTCACGGCTCTTAGTAGCTGCCAGCGATTTACATGACGAGCATTTGCGCATGACATTGCATTGCATAAGAATACTATTATGACTAAATCCTTTGATCTCCATCCGTTGGTCTGTGGTCATTGGCACAAGCCCAAGCGGTGTGCTTCTCGAACATGTCTGTAAAACTAGTAGAGACGTACTTAGACCAAGTCAAAATAAGACTTACGAACACCCGAAACCTCAACATGGTTTGGCTCGGGGTGATCCTCAGATACGAAACGGCAACTATACCGCCGCTATGCAGTAGATAAGAAATAGTACCGCGAATCAAATCACTTATCCATGACCAATTTTACATGTCTATTATCAAAAGATGAACTCTGGCGTTTTGAGATTAACTCCAACGGGGTCTTTTCCGTCGGGTCCGTTCGCATATCCTAGTTCTTGGCAACGACGTCTATTACACACTTGCCCGACGGCAAAGATGAGGAATGCGATCTTTACGCCGGATACTTCAGGCTATGTGCCATGCAAGATCTTTATGCGCATTTGTCGAGTTTAGTAATGGGCGAAAGGAGAATGGCTACCGGAAACTGGGATGAAGAACGTAGTCACGTGGTCAAGTTTGAAATCTTTGGATGATACTGCACATGATGATGTAGCATCGTAGTTGGATATTCGTTCAAGACGGATTGCGTCAAGAACTGAGGGTATAGCTGAACTTTTAGCCATGTATGCTTTCGCCATGGCAATCTCTGTGAAGCAGCCACGCTATCTTCATATTCTGGGAGATCCATCAACATCTGGCATTTTCATACCACAAGATCCCGTCATGAATCTTCATAAAAAATCCCAACATCTTACTTCCATACCTCACCGTCCCCTGCCCCTTCCCCCTCCCCTTCCTCTTCCCCGTCCCCCACCCCGTCCTCGTCCCCCTTTCCCCCTCGGCCCCGCCCGTTCATAAATCTTTACATCTTCAAACGCACTATCCGCCACGCGAATATAACTCGGAATCCCATTATCCACTACAGCAAGCACCACATTCCTGCACCCGTGCTTCAGCCTCTGGTACGGCTGATCCGACTCCTTTGGCGGGTCCTCGGGCACTTGCGCCATGAGATCATTGAGCTGTGCGCCCGTGGGGATGGGTGTGGTGCGGGCGTCTACGACGCAGATGCGGAAGTCGGGGGGTCCACGGGCAGATTTGCGGAATTTGGAGGTTGTGCGGTAGACATCGAAGTGGATGCGGTAGGGGTTTTCTGCGGAGGAGGGCAAGAGGAAGGTGGGTGGGGCGGTGCGGTCGTGGGTCGGAATTAGTTTTAGGAGGCGGTAAATATCAGTGTAAGATCTGAAGAGGCCGGGTTTAAGGAGGGGCCCGAAGGCGAGGTTGGAGGCGGGGATGGTGTAAGTTGGTTGGCTTAGGCGCCGCCAGATTTCGGAGAAGAAGCGGGTTATGAGGTTGGAGCTGGAGGTTGTCTCTTGCTCGGGTTTTGGGGGTGCTTCGACGATTTCGCCTCGGTCGTGGTCCCATGATCCAGTGCGGAAAATGACATAGCCTGATCTTTTCAGACCAGCGTAGACGTTGTACATTTCCAGTGTGAGTTTTCCGCCTACACCACCCTCAAATCCTATAAAGGCCGCGTAGGCGGATTGCAGACTCATAGGTGCACCATCTTCAGTCCTGTATACCGTCTTGTCGCCGATTTCGCGTTTTACCGGCCACCGACAATCCAAGGTTCCTCTTTCTAGTAAGAACAGCGCTTCTTCTGGCAATAGCCACTCTTTTCCTCCTTTATTTGTGCCTATGGTTTGGAAGTGCTGTGACTTGACTTTATCTACGCAAGCCATGTTGCGCTCTGGGTCATACATGGCTAGGACATGGCCCTTTTGCGTGTGCGTACGCTGCCATGACAGGACGCCATGCATGGCCCGGCGCGAGGCCTCGAGAGTGTCGAGCTGGAGGTTTGTCTCATGGCTTTCAAAGTCCTTCTCGCCACGCTTTGGTAGTGTTGGGTGTGCGCTATCTTGTGCTCTGTCGCGCGAGCATTAGCATTGCAGAAACATGGAAAAAAAAACTACAGGCTGCGCATGCGAGATGACGCACGTCAATTTCTCAAGAAGTCGAAAGTCTTGGGCTTCCTCAGTGGGATCATAATCTGTCGCGTCAGGTGCGCGCAGGTGCGAGATGTCCTCGTCTTGATCGGCCATGGCCGGGAAAAATGCTTGTGAGTGCGACGACGGGACTCTGGTGGGGAAAGGTGGCGGTCGGCACTGCGAACGTTTTGGGCGGGTTGCCGCGGCATCCCATCGGCATCCCATCGGCATCCCATCGGCACCAGGCCAAGGGCGTCTCGACAACAGTGTGCTGCCTCGTCCGAGCATCTTGCCTGTCAAAGTCCATCCTCAACCCACTGTTATGATATACTAGTCTATCACTACGGGGGCTTTCGGAGCTTGATTCTTCCCTTGTGCCGCCGATATCACACGATTTGGGAGGATTACTGTAACACAGAGCGGGGAAAGACTTTCAGAATGCATGCAATGACAAAGGAGGAGCATCGAGACTGATCCAGGAAGTGGCATGAGCAGGATCATGGATTGCAGGGAAATATGTTGGACTTATAGATTAGAGATGCATTGACTTGCAGAAATGCTATATAAACTCTCTCATGTCTGCTGGATTAGATTATCACACATTCAAACACAATCTATTCATTCAAGATCAACTCTCTTCACTTCTACTTCCAAAAATCCAAAACTATCATCATGCCTCTTACCAAGTACAAGGCCGCTGCCGTATGTCTGCCCCTGTTCGAACACTCTGGGATAACATCGAAGTCAATCTAATCGAACTCTAGGTCACTTCTGAGCCATGCTGGTTCGACCTCGAAGCTGGTGTTCAGAAGACAATCAACTTCATCAATGAGGCTGGCCAGGCTGGCTGCAAGCTCGTTGCTTTCCCAGAAGTCTGGATTCCAGGTTACCCCTATTGGATGTGGAAGGTCAACTACCAGCAGTCACTTCCTCTGCTGAAGAAATACCGCGAGAACTCCCTTCCAATCGACTCTGAGGAATTCAGACGTATTCGCCGCGCTGCCCGCGACAACCAAATGTAAGCCAAGATTCTCTGCACTCGTAAGCGTCTCTGACACTGCCCAGCTATGTCTCTCTTGGCTTCTCCGAGATTGACCACGCCACCCTGTACCTCACTCAGACTTTGATTGACCCAATGGGTGAGGTCATCAACCACCGCCGAAAGATCAAGCCTACCCATGTTGAGAAACTGGTCTACGGTGATGGCGCTGGTGATACTTTCAAGTCTGTCACTCAGACCGAACTTGGTCGTCTCGGTCAGCTGAACTGCTGGGAGAACATGAACCCCTTCCTCAAGGCGCTCAACGTCTCTGAGGGCGAGCAGATCCACATCGCAGCGTGGCCGGTGTATCCTGGTAAAGAAACTCTCAAGTACCCTGACCCGGCCACTAACGTTTCGGACCCTGCCTCTGACCTGGTTACGCCCGCTTACGCCATCGAGACTGGCACCTGGACTCTTGCACCCTTCCAGAGACTGAGTGTAGAGGGACTCAAGAAGAACACCCCTGAAGGTGTCGAGCCTGAGACTGATCCTACCACCTACAACGGCCATGCCCGCATCTACAAGCCTGACGGCACGCTTGTGTCTAAGCCTGACCCAGACTTTGATGGTCTCCTGTTTGTTGACGTACGTCCCCAACCTAACCGTATCTGTCTGCCGATTACTAACAAACAAAAGGTTGATTTGAATGAGTGCCACTTGACCAAGGCACTTGCCGATTTCTCAGGCCACTACATGCGACCCGATCTCATCCGGCTGCTCGTCGACACCCGACGCAAGGAGCTTATCACTGAGGCTGACCCTCAGGGAGGTATTTCAACCTATTCCACCCGTGACCGTCTTGGCTTGAACACACCGCTCGATGGAGGTGTGAAGAAGCAGAAAGTCGTTGCTGCTGAAGCCGAGTCTACCAACTCTTCTGCGCTCTAGATATTGCTGCGCATTAAGCTTCCAAAACTCTGGGTTTGGCTTTGTATCATAGTCTCATAAATTTACTGCGCTCAAATTGATTACTTCACTCTTCTTGATTACTTGATCCCGTGACATAGGGGTTAACACGTGCTCAAACAAACGATTAGTTGTCATGTCGGCTGCATTTCATTGATCAGTGAATCCTAGTCAATTTATTGTCATATACTAAGCCTCTTCCAATCAAGTCAAAATATAGTTGATAGCGGGCCGTTGCGTTGCCGACCCCGATTTGATGATGGATAGCGTGAAGATCAGTCGACACGTGATATGTGGCGGATTTATGGTTCACAAGATCCGAGCTTGAGCTAAAAGGCGGTGGCAGAATCTAGCGCGAACTGATCTTCGCGCGCGCAACTTTTCGAAAAGTTACCACTCGATAGTTCATCGCAAACCACAACCCACACGACCGCCACAATGCCATCCACACATAATGTAGATAAGCCCTGGGATACGGACGACATTGACAAGTGGAAGGTATGTTTGCGCCGACGATATATATCCGCACCCGCCAGATCCTAATTTTGCGCAGATTGAGCCCTTCAAGCCCGAAGACAACAAAGCCGGCGCATTCACAGACGAGTCCCGCTTCAGCACCCTCTTTCCCAAGTACCGCGAGCAGTACCTCAAAGGATCATGGAAGTTCATCACCCAAGCACTGCAGAGACTGGGCATTGGCTGCGAGCTCAACTTAGTTGAGGGCTCTATGACTGTATGGACCACAAAAAAGACGTATGATCCAGCCGCAATCCTAAATGCACGCGATCTCATCAAGCTACTCGCTCGAAGTGTACCAGCGCCGCAAGCTATCAAGATCCTTGAAGACGATGTGGCCATGGACATTATTAAGATTCGGAACTTGGTAGGCAACAAAGAGCGTTTTGTCAAGAGGAGACAGCGTATCCTGGGACCTAATGGATCAACACTCAAGGCTTTGGAACTGCTCACTGAGTGTTATCTGCTCGTACAAGGAAACACAGTGGCCTGTATGGGTCCGTACAAGGGACTCAAGCAAGTACGGCGCATCATCGAGGACACCATGCACAACATTCATCCCATCTACGCTATCAAAGAGCTTATGATCAAGAAAGAGCTTGCCAAAGATCCCGAACTCGCTAATGAGAGCTGGGATCGCTTCCTGCCAAATTTCAAGAAACGATCTCTCAGCAAGCGTCGCATACCTCACAAGGTCAACGACAAGTCGAAGAAGCCGTACACGCCATTCCCACCGCCTCAGGAGAAGAGCAAGGTCGATTTGCAGATCGAGAGTGGAGAATACTTCTTGGGCAAGCATGCAAAGGAGAGGAAAGTTCAGGAAGAGAGGGAGGAGAAGATGAAGGACAAGATGGACGCCAAGAGGAAAGAGAGAATGGCCGAGTATGTGGCACCAGAAGAGGATGGCGACAAGAAGAAGAAGAAGCGCAAGCGGGAAGAAGGCGAGGGAAAGGACAAGAAGAAAAAGAAGAAGCACAGTGCCGAGGGCGAGGCCAACGGCGATGCAGCATGAGACATCTCCTTTTCGTAAAGTTCATTGCGGAACAACATATCTGCATTCTTTTCTCTTTATGCTACGTTAAATTCTGAGAAGTCAGGGTCGTGTCGACTGCATGGCGGGATAAAAGTACAGCAGTCTGAGCGACACTCCATAGCATTGTTAGGTGTTTAGGTTATTCTGATAAGTTGAAATACCCATTTTCTCTTTGCTCGAAAAGGTCACACCTAAAGTACTACTAACAGTGTGTGTAAGCGGAGGACTTGGCACTCTAAACTTAGCGACATGGGTCAAACAACTCATGTCTCAAGCCCTGACATAACACGTCCACGTCGATTTCCACTCATCATGTCTACTTGGCCCTTCTGAGCGTTCGAATCTTTACTTACAATCTGTTTTATACCCTCATCTCACAATGCGCACCTACATTTCTGCACAGAACGCTGTTATCTTAGCGTGTTCTCCACGGCTGGTCTGGGGATGGCACTGTTGGAGCAAAAGTCCACTATATACAGTTGATATTCAGAGCTCTCTCAACGGCTTGAAAGAATACGCGTTGTGTTCTCAATCCCTAGGATCCTCGGCCTTGGCAGACGACACGAAAAAGGAAGACTATGGGCCATGGTCACATGCGCCCGTCTGCACATCTATTCTCCCAAGCATCAACGACAAGCTATGCGTATACACAGATATATCTTTCGCTCAAAACCGAGGCATCTCGATATTCACTACGCCAAGTCTGGCCAGGGACTTCGCATCGCTACCCGCCTTTCGCGATGCATCAGCCCTCGTATCTCAATCCATCAACAAGCCCACAGATACCTATCACGCTACATCTATACCAGGAAAAGGCATCGGAATGCTCGCCTCACAGCCCCTGAAATTTGGAGAGCGGATCACGGCATATACCCCTGCGTTTCTAGCCTACTTGGAATCCGAACTATCCACACTAGACCGCGAAGCCCTCTGGCGCACCGCAATCGAGCAACTCCCCTCGGACCTGAAGGAAAAGTTTCTCGGTCTCGCAACCGTATACGGCGACCCTAGAGTACAGGTCCAAGATATCGTCAAGGCGAATACGTTCCAGGTTCTGCTAAATGGGGTGAATCATCTAGCTGTGTGGCCAGAGACTAGTCGTTTGAACCACGCTTGTGCACCAAAGTACGTCCTCGTATTATCCTACTACCAGAAAAAAACAAAGACAATAAGAAAGCTAATAGAAAGGGAATGGTAGTGCACAGTACGTCATAGACACCGACCATTTATCCCACACAGTCCGCGTCACGCGACCTATTGCTGAAGGCGAGGAAATCACAATCTCATGTATTCATCCCTCCATCCCATTCGCATCTAGTTATTCTGACAGTGGAAACTTTAGATACCTCACCCCTCGAACCAACAGAAACCCGCCAACACCACCTCGCCCAAGGCTTCCACTTCACCTGCACCTGCCCCCGCTGCACCTCCCCCATAACCGACATCACCCTCTCCATCATCAACGATCTGCAGGCCCAACTCAACGATTGGTCCGATGCATCGCTGGGCTCACCCCAAGTAGCCGAGGAACTCCTGGTGTTGTATCGAGAAGAAGGGTTGGAAGGGTTCATGGATACGCCGTATGGATTTGCGGCGCTAGCGTATAGTGCGGTGGGGGATGCGGAGATGGCGGTACGGTATGCGGAGATGGCGAGGGAGGCGGTGCTGATGAAGGATGGGCGGGGGTCGCGGAATCTGGGGATTTGGGAGGAGATGATTCGAGGGGTGAGGGACCATTGGAGTTGGAGGCGGAGGGTTTGAAAGGGGCGTGGATTGAATTATTTATTAGAATGTATCAAGTTATCTATCTAGCAAAGTGCGAACGTGGGAATCATCAATATACAAAACGTCACAGACGTTACAGATTATGCTCCTCCTGTAGCCATAATCTTCTTCCCCTTAACGCTCTTCTGCTCCATACCTAAGCTTACGAAGAACGCAATGCAACTCGTTGCAATGGCCAGAATAAACGCCGTAACAATCGAGTTGTTGTATCCACGCAACACGCCCGCCAACAACTCCTTCGGCACTACGTTTCTCAAGTTCGTAGCTCCGGCGTGCGCAACCATCCGTCCATCAAGTCCAGGAGCGTACTTTGGAATCTCCTGCGCGAGCGTATTGACAAAGATATTCTGCGCAATGGAAATCGACAGCGCACCACCCAGCGAGTTAAAAAACATGACGCACGCATTCGCAGTCGGCATGTCCTTCTCGGTCGTTACGACTTGCACGGCGATAAACGGGATCTGGACGCCTGCGCCAGCACCGATACCAGCGAGGACTTGGTATCCGATCCATTGGCCCGCGGGAGATCCGACTTTGAGCGTGTACAGCAAGCCTGCGCCGATGGCGAAGACGGCGCTACCGAACCACATGAAGGGGGCGTACCAGCCGACGACGGTGATGAGGGCGCCGATGACGATGGAGGAGCAGGTGATGCTGACAAGGTAGGCGATGGTGCGGATGCCGGATTCTTCGGCCGTAGTGCCTTTGATGGCTTGGAAATAGAAGGGGAGGTAGAAGATGTGTCTATTTGAAGTTAATAAGTGTTAGATCTTAGATGGGGGATTATCGGGGAGACTGACGTATACAAAGCCATTGATAGCAAAGTCGAGTACAAGCTACTGACTAACACTGTGCGCTGAGTAAAGACGCGCACGGGCAGCGTAGCACGTTCGCCCTGTTTGATCTGCAAGAAGATAAAAACGCTGATAAGCAAACCGAATCCAAGCAGGGTACCCCAAACTTTGGAGTTGCTCCAAGCGTAGGTAAAGCCACCCCATTGCAGAGCTAGCAGTAGACAAACGATAGAACAGATGAGGAAAACCGCACCGGCAATATCGATATTCTTGAGTCGTTCCTTGACAGGGATATGCGAGTATTTCCGTTCAGGGTTCGAAAAGAAGAAGAAAACGACGGCGAGCGAGACACCTCCAAACGGCAGATTGATCCAGAAGCACCATCTCCAAGAGAGACGATCAGTAAAGGCGCCTCCAAGGATAGGTCCAACCACCGAGGCGATACCAAACATGGAAGACAAAGCGGCGATGTAGATGGCCCTCTTCCTCAGGGGCACTGAGAAACCGATAATTGTCATACCGCCCGAGTACAGCGCCGCTGCTCCAGCACCTGCGACTGCTCTTCCAACGATAAACATGGCCGAGCTAGTAGCCGCAGCGCAGATAATGGAGCCAACTTCGAAGATAACCAGCGCGCACAGATACGTGTATTTAACGTCAAAATAGGTGTAGATTTTTCCAAAAGATGGCTGAAGAGAGGTTGTCGTCAGGAGGTACGAAGAGCCGTACCATCCAACATCCTCGAGACTATTGAAGACGGTTGTGATTTTTGGGATGGCTGTGGCAATGATTGTGTTGTCGAGTGCGATGACAAAGGTAGTGAGGCATAGACCGATGGAGAGAATGACAAGCTTGAAGCCGGTCAAGTATTTAGACTCGTCTTCAACTTCATCTTCGGCGTCGGCATCTTCTTTTCCATTAACCTCCAATCTACCTTTTTCCTTTTCTGTCTCGGCGACAGTTGTGGTCTCCCGTGGCGCGGTATCTGTGCTCTTTCGCGGCTCGCTAGGCTGTGCTTGAGTATCATCGTTGGTGGCTGGTGTTGCGGTGTGTGGAGTGTCCTCCGGCTTTGTTGTACTCTCGTCGATGCTCCCTTGCGCATGCGATCCTTGGTCGCGAAGCGTTGTGGTTGCGCTAGCAGAAGTGTCGGTTGGTAACATCTTGCCTGCGTACCTAGAACGGCCCAGTGTAGATCAGGCGGCCTCGCGGTATTGTGTGCTATGTGCTATGTGGTAGTTGGTAATGGATATCTAATCATGCATCAAGCCGCGGCACGGCAAAATGTATGCTTGTCGTGTAATGTACAACCTTGCGAAAAGTCTCGCAAAGGGAGAGAGAGATGTCGATGAGATTAGAGTGAGGTATTACAGCAGCCTTAAAGGATTTGAAAGGACGGTATGCAACGCTGCCCACCCGCCACATACCATGCAACCACACCATGCCATCACCGTATCCCATACGGTCTGCTCATGGTCAAATGAGCTACTCTAACCGAGCATGTCTTGACCTGGGGTGATGTTATTCCGGCACGGATGGCCAATGAGAATCCAAAGGGGGCAAATGCGAACGCGACGTTTGTCCTTGGTAGCATGGCCCTAGCCTAGCTATGGGCGTTTGTGGCTTCGTGGTATCCCGGAAGAATTCGCCCTGTGCCGTACTCAGGGGTCTAGCCATTCTTACGCCATCGATTCAAGGAGAATGTTCGGCTCATAAGATGGTTCGACGGCTGCTTCTTTGTTTCGACTACACATGGACAATCACGCGACTAGTCAGGTAGATGCATCGAATCAGCGCTGCTGCGCCAAAAGGCTTACTACAAGATAGCTGGCCGTTCCATTGATTCTCTGGAGTGATGTACGAGATTTGAAAAAATCTTCGACGCGAATGAGTCGCCACTGGAATCTCCATGATAAGGGTGTGGTGGCTCCGCGGCGGTGAGAATTAATTCGTAGCGATGTTGTGCAAATGCACGTGCGGTGCACTGGTGGCGGGGTAATAAAAGTTTTTGTTTTGGCTACATAGGCGAGCTTCAAGCTTCATCCTTGATTCTTGGCGCGGCGGGCCGTTTCGCTCCCGAAAGCGTACCAGGTGCTCGTATGTACTTACGTAGAACATGAATAGGCAGCCAAGACATGATCGATTTGCTACAGAAGAGTAATATAGTACAATTTCGAAGCTTTGTGCCTTGAATAACATACATTAACCCAAGGAAATGCAAAGCATAACCAGTCCTAAAGCAGCGCAGAATGAATGGCCCCTAATCGGTAGTCATCAAACGCCTTGCTCCAATCAGACTTGATGAATTCTGCCGTACCGCTTCAGGCTTACATGTTGTATTGCAGCTGTGTTACTACAGTAAAATTAGTAAATCCTTGTCGAGTTTGTATGGAGAAAGGTCTCACCTTGACCGGACACACCTCACAAGATGTCTCCACCTTGACTGTGGCCAGGATTACGCCATCATGTCCGCGATTGCATTTTTGTTGGACCATCTGGCCTTTGGGACATAGTTGTTGGAATACCATTTGTGTATGCCCACATTGGTGAGTGTAGGCATGGTAGAAGCACATGATGTGTGTTGGTTTCGACCGTTGAAATCTGATCGTGCTAACAGCGAGAGTATTGTCTGTAGTAGAGTTGCGGCTTGTTGAATCTGACTTTGTAAAGCCGTATGAAAAGTGAATCTCTGCAAAATTTCAGCTTAAGCGACGCTTATTTCCGGGCAGTGAAAGAGCTAGCACTCTTTGCTGCCTAGGAGGGAGCGGTCGCAGTGAAATTTGTCGGATTGTGATCCAAATTAGTTCCCTTAAAAAGGTATGTGAAATTGTGTGACAATATACAAGTGGATCTACAGAATGAGAAATTCAGAAAGTGCAAGATGGCTCCAATGAGGACTAGTGTTGTATTTGGCTCTTGGGTGCATTGTGACCTTTTTATCTCACCAGGTGTTCGTCACATTAGACACAATCGTCTTTTGTCTCTCATGTCGTGCAGTTTGGTGTATGAAAACTATCAAACAATTAGGATCCATCGGCCTCGCCCAGCAGCGCTGAACAATCCGTTCTTGGGAACAATGGATAGAAAGATTTCACCTCGGGAAGAGCTGGACGGAAGGTAGATGGCGAATCACCATGTGATTTACAGGGTGAAGTCGCACAGAGTCGTTGGACAGTAGGTCGATGTCTCTTTAGACTCGAATTGTTTTTGCGGGAAGGCGGTTTCATTATGTTGTAAGCGACAGCGGAACATCCGGGTAGGTGAGTACAAGGTAACTAGTTGAAATGCCCTGTTCCACGAACGCATGCTTGTCGGCACCGATGGCTGTTCTGAGAGATGGACAAATATAGGTCTCGGCCATAATGGACATTGTTCTCTCAGACTTGTAGCACTGTAGCAGCCAGCACGGAAGTTTGTTGTTTGATTCGCAAGACTAGGCGTTTATTCGCGTATGTTATGATTTTATGGGTCCCGTCTGACCGTGCGGATGCAACAAGCAAGGGAATGCTTGTGAGATTTTCTTGATCGGGAACCAAGGCTAGGGTGTCATAAGTGCTATCGAGATTAAATCTATAGTAGGTGTCTGAAGGGAATCAGTCGGCTCCCGGCCGCGATCTGTCGGCATTCTTGAGCAGCCAAGAGATTGGGGTAGATCCGTCTTGTCCAGCATGTTCCGTGTCATATTTTCAGAGCATGTACATATTTGGAAGGGGGGCTGGGGTAGGTGACGAAGCATGATGTTTGCGAGGTATCGATAACATTCAAGCTAGTGTTTTCTGAAGCTTTGCATCCAATCAGGGCATGGTCTCACCGCTAATTCGGGTGGAGTCACTGGGGAGAAGAAGGCGGTGCCAGTCTTGCTTGGGAGTGCAGATGACGAGACGACAATAGCCTCGTGGCTGTCGATAGCTGCCAGGTGTGGAGAAGAGGGCTGGTGGTGTGCTGGTAGGGAGGGTGAGTAGGTAGTAGAGACAAGCGCGGCTCCATGGGCATTTTAGCCTTGTAGGTTGCTGCATCGCCAGCTGGGGACGTGCGGACTGCCTCGGGTCAACTTGTCGGTCGAGTAGAAAAGGACGCCAGGGACATGGAGGCTTCTCAGCGTGGGCATCGTCAGCGTGCATGCAGCTAGTCTCCACCGTGGGGTTGCAGAGGCCCATGAGAAGCAGACAGTGACGATTCTCAGCAGGGCGGCGAGGGTCGCTTGTGGCTGAGGGGTCGAGGGCGTTGTAGCCCCAAAGCGGGCGGCGTGGCCATGGTGGCATAACTACTAATACTACTACTTACATGGCAATGGTACTATTAACAGGATGAGGCGGTGGAACGATGCGCTGGCAAACGGGTGTGGTGGTTCGTCTGAGACGCAGCTGCGGCACAGACCTGCAGGTGTGTAGAGGTAGCGCAGCATCGAGAGTAAAACTGACGTCGGTTGAGGGACAGCTGGCAACGCCTTGGCTGGAGTTGTTACGGGAAATGCAACCTGCAGCCCGGCGTGTATGTACGGACATTGATACAGGTTAGCGGAGGAGCTGGACGCTTGACACGTAGCCCACCATGGCTCGCCTGTCTGCCCATTGATGCTGGACCGGCTGCACTGCGTCTCCACGACGCCGGGTGCGTTGAGCGGGTTCATTAATACTAGCAGCCGTTTCCCTCGGGTTCGCCCTGCGATTCTTCTCTTTTTGCAGCCGTTGTCATCCTGGGTGTTCGCTGTCGCCGGCGCTGTCGCTGTCACTGTCGCTGTCGCCGTGTGCGCGCAATTGCTCTGCGCACATTTGCTCGCAGTTCTCAACACCAAGCCCTCGACCATCGCAGCATCACCACAAAAATCTTGCAGCCCTCGCTCGCACCCAGCCCCGCGCATCCCGTAGCTCTTGTCGCAGTCATTGAGCGCGCGGCCAGGTCCGCCTGCTCGGCCGCGTCCCAGAGAGCTGCACTGACCGTGGCGGCCACACCGCCTGCCAACGTCACGGCCCTTTAAAGCGGTCGCATAGCCTGGCGCGCTGGGCATTGGAAATGCGCTGTCTGAGACATCAGGTCTACTACTTCTGCCAGCATCTCAGCATCTCGACATCGACGCCAGACGTCTGCTAGTCCGCCGCACAGAGGGCCCTGCGTTGCCAGCCCCACTGCGCGCTTCCATTGGCTCGTCCAGCACGCCAACCGCCGAATAAGAAAAGGGCACTGGGCCCGAATCACGACATTCGCTCCGCCTGCCCTGATAGAGACATTTCCATTTCAAGTGAGCTTCGCTACGCCATGTGGCAGGTTAGCACTCGACTACGTCGCTGACAGTTGTCCCAGACGTCACTCATAGTCTATCTACCCGAGCTTCCTATACACCATTACCATCACTACTACTACTACCACCACTACTACATCCACCTCAACAATTCCCCGCACGCCTATATCTACAACACACGCCATTGTGCCATGGTCATCACTACATCCATTGTCGTCGCCTAGTCAACAAATCTCCGAACAGCGCTTCCCACATTGGTGCGTCATCACGGGAATCGACCTTCACTCATACAAGCGACGCGCACGGACGCCCGGTCAGAAGTGGACACTCATCGATTGGCCAGCACTTGTTGCTCTGGTTTCAAGTCTTACTTCGACTCGCCGCCATCACCCCAAGGCATCGTCGGTCTGCCTGGGCCGGGCTGCACTGTGTCTATCGTCTAGGAGATACAGCGCGACGGTCCGGGTTGGCTGTTCCGGTAAGTGAGGACGAGGGCAAGGTTTCCATCATCACTCCACCAAGATAGCCCCTGTATACAATACATGCTCCGCATACCTCCGATTACTCCTGCCATCAGTGCCTTGTTGCCATCACCACCCCTTTTCGTTGCGTCCCCAGACTTACGACCTTTGACAGACGACATTGCTGAAAGATGGCTTCTCTAGACTTTGATCAGAAGTTTCTCGGTCGGATAGCCAAACAGACAGAGGAGTCAAATCCCTTCTTGTCAAGCGCCCTCTACCAGATCTTGGGTCTGTCGGTGCTCCTAGCCCGGAGGCTCATCCGTGCCAGAAAGCTCCGCAAGCTAGATACTAGTCGAGATACTCCCTCACTCTCAGCCTACCAGCATATACTATGGATGTCCCGCGAGGGCCTGTCCATACTCGAGCTATATATCCTCCCCTATGCTCAGGATAACCAGTATGGACCCGAGTGCAGAGTGTTGAGCGTCAAGCTACGAGCAAGCTTCTATCACATCTTCTGCCTCTTCCACAACCAGCCACCCGTCACTGCAACCAACATGGAGAGCACTGATCCTCGCTACCCAGGTGCACCTCAACCACTCTCACCTAAGAACGGCAATGCTCATGGTCGCAAGACAGATTCAGGTCTATCACCCCCTTCGAAACGAGCGGGCAAACAACCGGTACTACGTGAGCCCGTCGATTCCATCGTGTCCGAGACATCGTTTGTCACGAATCCATATGCTGCAGGAGGTCCAGTTGGTACTCCCTCACCAGGGCCACCCATCAACGCGCCTCCAGGTCTCAACCCCATTCCCATTCCGCAGCCCTCGTCTTTTATCCTTCCACCTCTCAACTTTGTACCCTTGGCGAGTGGATACTTTACGACTGCCACACAGTACGCCACTTCCTTTCTGCCTGGCTCACATCCTCTGAGATTGTCCGTCGCGCTTGAGCACAGTGCATTCTTGTGGGACTGTCTTCACGACCACGACGGATCCCGACGCGTCGCTCGACGTGCGATCAAGGATGTTTACCGCGCGCAGGAAGCCATGGACGATACCGAGTTTGAGGACGCTGCCGAGCTTGTGGGTATTCTGGGGCGAATGATGAAGCGTAAGAGCTGGGAAGGTACACCACGCGTTGGGGGAATGGCAAGTCCGGAACCTACTGCACAGCCCGCTGCACAAGCAAGCACCTCGGAAACAGCAACTCGAGCTGCTGCCTCTTCCACACAGCGTCCTCAGCAAAACAGTAAAAGGGTTGCTGAAGGACCCCCTCTAGCAGACGTCTTGATACCCCCACGATCATCAAGTGCCACGCGCAGTCGAGCAAACACGGCGAGCAAGTCTACTCCTCGCCAGAAAGAAAGCAGCAGTCACGAAGGAACACCAAAATCGAGCTCGCGTCGGCGTTCGGGAAGCAGCAGCAGAGACGGCACTCCCCGCGCGAAACACGCCAGTGTAGAAAGCGGTGCGAGTACAACGCCTCGTGCGCCGCAAGGAAGTTCCATTCGCTCGCCCACGACGCCATCTACAGTGCGGACTTCACACCGAACGTCGGGTAGTGCCGGCTCCTCGAAAGGAACACCGGTGGCAGGGACCTCGACGCCCTTGACCCAAAGTGCAGCTGCAACACTTGTCTCCGAAAACATGCGCAACTCGCCCTCGCTCCGCCGCTCACCTACCCTATACCCACCCGAACAATACGGCCCGCGCTATTCACCCTCGCAAGAGAGCTCATACCCGAGACAACGAAGGTGACTAGTAGAGACGGGTCGGGAAAAGCAAAGAAAGATGGAAGTGCAATGGACCGAGGGCTACCGAGAAGCCGACATTGTGCTTCTGCCATCGACGCAGCCGTCGTCGGTTTCCTCCACACCCGTGAACTTTGCGGGTTCATCGTACCCAGAGTACCCTATCAAGTTTCGTATCTAGCTTTTGCCAGGATGCGCGTACATATACCTCTCCCCTTGCAGCGAAAGCAGACGAACTTGCCACCTCCATCATCCCCTCCCGTCGCAGATGTACAAAAGAAAAGTCATACCCCTTGGATTCGTGTATCAACGATCCACTCCCGACATATCCATACCTTTGTCGTACCCTTGACATTTTGTCGTCGTTTTGTACCATAACAAACAGGCGTTGATTGGGCGTATATACTTTGTTTTCTCTCTTTCTCTCTCTCTCTTTTCCTTTTTACCCTCAACCACATATGTGTGTTTGCACTCTTGCATTGTAGCATACAGGGATCTCGTTCGTCAAGAGTTATAGCTTTTTTTTCCTCTTGTGAAGATAAAAATGGGAAGCAGACTTCGGCTGGAATAATAATGTCTTGTACTTTTTTTCTTACCTTTTCTACCATTTGTTTGTTTGTTTTTTCTGTTCCGTTGGCGCTGGAGGAGGTTATTCTGAGAAACTCGCGCCTTGTAGCATTGGAATAGGGTGGCCGCAATGATACCATTGTGTTGTTTTGTGCCTTTCTTTGTAGATTTGAACGTGGAAATCGGTGTAATGCTTTATCTATCCAAGATCTGATCATGGAATATCAACTTGATGCTGTTTGTTGAGATGCCTCGTGCATAATCGCGACTGCTCGCGATGATTTGTGGTGTTTCTAACCCTAACCTTGACCTGAACCCTACATGGCTTCACTCCCCCCACCTCACAAGAAAATGAGGGTCCCTTGATCATCACATTTTTGGTGAAAGTTTTCTCCGATCAATATGGATTCCATGTGGGGGTCATCTCTTGTTGTTGCGACCCCTGATATTCCACATCGCAACGAAGGAAACAATAAATGACCTACTACGTACCAACACATAACAGAACTTTGTAACTATGGAGGCCGATTCTTGATATAACAAGACCGTGGCAATTTCGCAAAGAAAGCGCTTCCTTAGGCCCGAATTGCTCATTCATGATTTTCCAACTTCGAGTTCGAGAATTCCCATAACTTTCTTGAACCGGCGAAACTAGATTTGCGAGACTCCGAGTTCTTAGCATGCATGGCCAAAATCAATTACTATCTGCGAGAAATTTGTTGTCTACCTACTAAATGTCCATGTTAAGAAACAAGTTGTTCTATCACAAATTTGTACATCGTACCCCCATGTTCCACAGCCTCCAGTCCCACCCAATTACCTTCCAAAGTTTCCCCACCTTTTCCCCACCCTACCCATTCCTTTGCTAGTATCGAACTCAACTAAATCTTAGCTCGCTCTACCCATTTTTACAGAAAAACATAATTTCAACCCCACTATCCATACATTCTTTTTCGTTCCAATATTATAGCTCTAATTTTCGCTCACTTCCATCAATTCAACAAAGTTCTTCTTTGTTTCAGCGAGATTTCACACTCATCTGAGTTCAGATGGAAAGGTGCAAGATCCGCTCCTTCTCTTCGAGAAGGCGCCAAGGTCGCTTAGCTCAGTTGGTTAGAGCGTGGTGCTAATAGGGACTTTACTTCCTGTGATACGCCAAGGTCGCGAGTTCGACCCTCGTAGTGACCATTCTTTTTTTTTCCTGCTCTTGCCTCCCTTCTAATAATACTCTGATTTTTTTTTCGCTATCGACCTACATTCTTATCACTCTGCTTACTCAGACGTTATCATTTTAGACAGGGGAGAAATGTGCGGATATAATATATTTCAATGGATTCAACTTCACGCAAGAAAGAACGATAGTATCCTTGTAAACACTCCCTGTTCACCCCCTTCTCCTCCCTAAACAATACCACATCAACCCCCTCCACTTACCCCTTCCCGCCTGTACTATACGCCCCTTGTCTTCTCCAGCAGGACTCTAGATCACATATTAGCTATCTCCTCTAAGAATGCGAGCAAACAGGGTCATACAGTGCTACTCCTGTTTCCCTGGTGTTCAAGACGGGCTGGGGGCTGGAGCAGAGGTACTGGATAGGTGTCAAGTCTTGTATCGTAGCTAAAGTGGAGGAATGGCTGGGGTGTGGTGGAGAGGAGTGGACGCGTATCTGTGTGTTCCTGGTGACTGACGGCGTGCTTAGGTTTTCTGCTTCGTTGGCGTTGGAGGGGGTTATGGGCTCGACGCGAGAGTGATGCATGAGGTCTTTGCTGTTGCTTTGGAGCCCAGGTGAATACGACGTGGCGTTTTGGTAGCGGTATCGTTATTGTCTTCCTAGGGGGTGATTTAGACGGTTGTTTGGCGGGATGCTTCTTCTCCTTTGTCTTTTTTGTATTCGGCATCTTAGTCTCTTCTCTTGCCTCGTCATCTCCTATCGTTTCCCGCACTTCCACCTTCACTGTCTTGCTGTCATTGCCATACTCCCGTGTACCATCCATACTACTCTTCAGCGCCCCTGATACTACCGTCTGCGTAGGCGGTCTTGTGGCAATATCTTCATATACGAGTTTCTCTTTGAACCAGTAGGGTGTCGCACTTCCAGTTGCATGCCGCGCTTCAAAGTACTCTCTGTCATCAGGATAGCAATCGAAGCCCAGCAGGTAGAGTATTGGGTTTGGAGGCTTGCGGGTGGCCGGTTGTGTCATGTTCAGGGTTGAAAAACTGATATTTGGTTCAGGGTTGCGATTGGGTTTATAGAATTGGGGATCCGGTTTGCGTGAAGAGTAAGACTATGCAAAAGTTGCTGTAGGATTGTAGAGTTTCAGGTATAGCAAGCATCTTCTACAAACTGCGCAGCTGCGGTCAGTGTAGTAATGTTGTCAGTACCTGCACTATGCCGTGGTACACTGCATCTCAAATTGTTGTCGCACGAGTCTCGAGTGCGGGCTTCATGAGTCTAGAGCTTTCCATACCAAATCGATACATCATGGACGCAAAGGAAACATACCACATAAGCAGGCCATAGTATTGTATTGATGTGATTGACATGGCAACACTTCATGTTGTGGAACCAAAGCTCTACGACAATTACCAGAAAACACATCTTGGAACAATGGGGAATGACAGGGACACAAGTGCAGTTTATGCCAATTTCCCTGGCACAAAAGGCAGACCCCCACTCAAGCCACCATCCACAGCCCAGGCCTGCGCATTGACATAGCTTGCTTCATCGCTTGCTAGGAATAATACAGCCCGCGCAATCTCATCCGGCTGTCCTCCTCTCCGCAGCGGGTTCAGCTGCCCAATCTTCTTCTCGCTTCCCCTCTTCCTCGCCGCATCGTACGTGACCCTAGTCATACCCGTTTCAATAAGCCCAGGGCAGACGGCGTTGCAGCGGATACCCGATCCGGTAAGTTGGTAGGCGCAGGTCTGCATCAGGCTGATGACTGCAGCCTTGGAGGCGGCATAGTCGGTGGGGCCGGCATTCGAGCGCAGACCTGCTACACTTGCAGTGGCGATGATGCTGCCGCTGGGGTACGGTTTTTGATCCGATGTCTTGAGCATTGCGCGAGAGGCGTATTTGGCTGCCAAGAAGACAGACAGGGCGTTTGTGCGCATCATGTTCATGAAGCCTTCGGTAGTTTCCTCCCAGAATACTCGGCCAGAGGCTATTCCTGCATTCGCAAAGAAGACGTCAAGACGGCCGTAGGCATCCAACGCATCTTGGCAAACCTTTTTGACAGCAGCTTCGTCTGCGGCGTCGAACTGGCGAATATGAACATCTGTTGAGGGATACAGCGTGTTGAGTTGGCGCTTGTGCTTCTCGAGATGAGAGTCTGAAAAGTCACAAATATAGATTGCGCGGGCGCCGTTGCGCGCGAATTGATGCGCACTGGCGCGGCCGATACCGATTTCAGAGTTTGCACCTAGAGTATTGTTAGACGTGATACTCATTTGTGATGATGGTTGCGCGTACCGGTAACGATAATGACCTTGCCTTTAACCCGTCTACAGTGAAAGTCAGCTCAGCTCAGATGTCCGTCATAGTACGCCTCCTCTTATACTCACTGGTCTCCCAAGTCGCCAGCTACACTTCGGATCCCGCGCATACCCTCAAACGACCCGGTCTCGGGTATGGGCTCGGAGAGCTCCTTGCTCACACCCTCCTGCTTGACTTTTGCTATAGAATCAGGCATTGTGTATATAATCAGAAAAAGACGGGGAAACTATTTGGACAAGGGAGCAAGGGTCGTGGGTGTTCAACGTCGTAAACTCAGAGCTGTAGGGATGGTGACGAGGTTGCGGAGTTGGACGCGGAGATTGAGAAATCCGGGGAAGATGCCGAGGTACCTAGGCAATACAAGCATGGTTTCGGGGTACGCGACATGGTCGGTTGTCGAGAGGCGCATGGTGCCGCTCGCCAACGCTAGCTAGTAATTTCATCGAGCACAGTCGAGAGTACATTCAGCTCCAACGCATGGTATTTGCTTACATGACTCGGTCCGAATACTACAACAACTGCAATTGCCTGCGCAACACAGTACTCTTCTACATACACGCTACTATTACAAGACAAGTCCGGTCTACTCGCCATTTCCGTTTGCGCTCTCCTCGCTCCCCTTGCTTGCAGCCTGCGCAGCCTTTGCCATCTTCCATTTCTGTGCGTTCGCCAGGAGTTTTGCCAAATTCGCTGCACTCTCATCATCTGCAGGGAATACATAGTCCACATACTCTTCAAAGCTATCGTCATCCAGCTTTCTCCTCTTCTTGACCTTGCGTGGCATTTGTTTCTCAATCTTCTCCTTGTCCTCTGGACTACCGTGGACGTCTTCAAATGACTTCCAGGCGGTAAGTAGAGCCACACGATCTTCTTTGAGATCGTGCTCCTTGAGGCGTGTGTGCGCACGCTTGAAGATTTCACGGGCACGAGCCTTGGCAGCGTCGCTGATAGTTTCGTCGTCTTCGGGCACTGACTCGTCGGGGACCCCGAGTTCGAATTGTGCCCATGAAGTCCATACCTTGACATGGTCTGTCTTCTGCAGAAGACGTTCATAGAGTGCACGTGTGCGATCGTACTCACCCTCGCCTTCTTCAAAGTCGATGTAGGCTTTCCAGAGAAGCTCAGGCATGTCTAGTTGTTGCTCCTCAACGGCAAGCTCAAAGATGGCTCGCGCACGATCGAGGTCGTCCAGACCTCGCTCCAGTTCAGCAAACTTGATCCAGGTCTGGCAGTTCGATCCGTTCCATTCGATATACTTGGTGTAGAGCTGCCGGCAGCGGTTGAACTCAAAAAGCTTCATTTCAAGCTCAATGTATCCTTTGAAGAGCTTGTCTTTCGGACACATACCCAAGCTTTGACCCAGGAGCTTGCGTGCAGTGGTAAGCTGGCCTTGCCTTACCTCAAAATGGGCAAACATTAGCCAGACCTTTGCAAAGGTGAAGCGCTTGTGTGGAAGTAAGCGGATACACTCCTGGTATATTTGACGTGTTCGTTCAATGTCCTGCGAAACAGTCTCTTCATAGACGGCGTAGAACAACCAAAGATAGATGTACCTTCTCCAGTGTCGTTTCTCTTGTGTGGGTGGTATTTGTGCAATCGCTCGCTCGTAAATGTCACGAACTCGATCCTGGTTGCCAGACGTCTCTTCCAACCGTGCAAAATCAATCCATGCATCGTAGTTCTTGGGGTTCTCCTTGATCTGTTCTTCGTAATGCACTCGTCGTTTCGACAGTACAACATCCTCAATGCCATCTCGATCTCCGTATTGCTTTTCGAAAGTTGTAAAAGCCTTGTGCAGGTTGACTGATTTCGACCGGGGCATACGGTCGAGGGCAAACTTGTAGATTGCTCTGGCTCGTTCCAGCTCCTTCAACCTCGCTTCGAACTTGGCGTATGCCATGAAGAGCTTCTCATCCATGAACTCATCGCCGAGTGTGGTGACAGCAGTACCGTAGACATCGCGCACGAGGTCGCTCGTGCCATGCTCCTCCTCGAACTTGGCCCATTTGATCCACTACACAATGTTAGTTGTTGCATCGTAGCATTTGAAAGGTGGACTTGCATTCTTTGGTTCTGGATGGACGACAGTGAACCTTTCAAAAATGGCACGACATCTCTCAAACTCGCCGTGTCTCTTTTCCAGCTTAATGTATGAACTCCAGGCCGCCTCCTCCGGTTCCCACTGCATCCAGCGTTCAAAGACTGACCGGGCACCATCAATGTTGCCAAGGGTCTCCTCCATATAGACGTACTTGTACCATATCTTGTCGACTCGTGGGAGGATGGTGACAGCACGGTCAAGGAGGTTGCGTGCATGCTGAATGTTTCGATGCTTCATTTCGGAGTCGATATAGCGAAGCCATAGCGCGACAGACGTCGAGTCAACATCGAGGGCTCGTTCGAAGATGGATCTCGCGCGCCTGAACTCCTTCTGTTCCAGCTCCCAAGCAGCATAGCGCATCCAGTTGTTCATGTTGATACGATTCCGGCGCACATAGTCCTCAAACTCTTTTCTTTTCCTGCCCTGGAATTCATGCAGCTCCTCCATATCAGCAAAGCGCTGCGTGGGCGCCTTGAGCTTCTCATCTTGACGGTCGACGGCTTCGCGAAGAAGCTGTTCTGCAGAAATCTGGATGGGAGCGGCGGCCTTGTTCTTGACCCGTGGCGGTCCTCGTGAAGCCTCCATGATGAAGGATGGGATGTGACGTTTTCGTATGTATGAAGTAATTCGATGGGACGGACGAGGTGGTGAGGAAAGACGCCACGCGCGTCGTATGTGGATGTGAAAGTAGTTGCGACTGGGGAAGGTTGGGTGAGAAAGTTGGAGACGCTCGGATCAGATGGCCGGCAATCCAGCGTGGAAACGCGCACAGTATTACCACGACTCAAAGGCTGATCGACGGCGACCGGATTAGTGCGTATGAAAAGCGGTGTTGTACGGCGATTGGCCCTTTGTCAGGCCTTGCAAAAGTTAAGAACGCGACTGCTTCGCGTAACTTTTGGCCGCGCCACGCCAAGCAACTAGCATCCTCAGTTTCACGTCACTGCCATCGCAATTCCTCCATCACCCACGACAACACACTTTGCCTTGCCCATAATCAACTCGACCGGCGGCCGATATAAGGCGACAGGTACGTATAATACTGCGCGCTGCCGAATCCAGCACTCAACCAAACTTTACTAGGAGGGTAACCTCCGGCCGCCGTCGCGACTGCCTACATCTTGCGCCCGTTCTTCTCCAATCTCGACCACTGAGCCCTCTACATCACACCAAGCACCATGGCTACTCTGGAGCAAGAACTTCTGGCCGACTTCGCCGACAGCGGAGACGAAGACATTCAGGACTTGGAGAATGATTTTGCCGACGGAGACAACGGGGACGATGATGACATGGTAGATGAGGAGGCGGAGTACAGGGCCAAGGAGAAAAAGGACAACAAGGGGCCTGCAGACATACGATCGGCTCAGCAACTCAAAGCAAATCTGGAATCGGTGCTTGCACGTATCGAGGAAACCAAAGATCAGATGGACGTGGTGGATGGCGAATCTTTTGAAGACTCCCCGGAATACAAGCTCCTCACCGAAGCCAACGAATTCTCTACCCAGATTGATGGCGAAATTGCTGCCGTCCACAAGTTTATCAGAGATCACTATTCGGCCTTCTTCCCGCATTTGGAAGACTTGATCAAAAATCCCGTCGTCTACGCGAGAGCATGTTTGGTCATTGGTGGCGGGCCTTTGAAGGACATCAAGACCATTACGCCACAACTCAAGGCAATCGAGGGGCTCGAGCCTGCCCAAGTCATGATTGTCGAGATCGAAGCCACACGGGTCGAAGGAAGGCTTCTTGACGAGGCTGAGCTAAACCTGATAAGAAATGCCTGTAATCTCTTGCTCGAGTTGAATGTTGCAAAGTCCAAGATTTTGGGCTTCGTCGAGTCGCGAACTGAGGTGTTTTGCCCCAACCTGACAGCGCTTATTGGATCCTTGACCGCCGCACATCTCATTTCGTACTCTGGAGGTATCTCCAATCTAGCCAAGACACCCGCCTGTAATATTGCGCCTTTGGGTTCGACCAAAGTATCAGGCGCCACTGTCGGTCTTTCCAATATTGGTCTGAGACACGAAGGTTACCTCTACCACAGCGAGATCATCCAGAATCAGAGGCCTGATCTTCGAAAACAGGCGCTGCGCATCGTGTCGGCCAAGGTGATACTGGCTGCTCGCGTAGACGCCCACTCAAGCTCGCGCAATGCAGACATTGGCATGGATCTGAGGAGAGAATGCGAACGCCGGCTGGACAAGCTGACTGAGCTTCCTGCAAACCAAAAGGGACAGAGAGCGCTTCCCGTGCCTGACGAAAAGCCATCACGCAAGCGTGGTGGAAGACGAGCGAGAAAGGCCAAGGAAGCAACTGCCATGACAGAAATCCGCAAAGCGCAAAACAGGATGACGTTTGGCAAGGAAGAGAAGGAGGTCGGCTATGGAGACTCGGTCAAGGGCATGGGCATGATTGGAGCTACCGACACGGGACGCCTGCGTGCGCAGCAAATCGACCCCAAGACGCGCGCCAAACTCAGCAAGAAGAACCCTGGTTGGGGCGGAGACACGACACTCGGCATGGCATCGTCACTCAAGGGCTTTGGGACCGGCGGCACAGCGACGAGTCTGCGGGCCCAAGGGCTGCGGACCGGCGGTGTGGGCCTGGGTGGCGCGGGAACGAGCTCGATTGCATTTACCCCCGTGCAAGGGCTGGAGCTTGTGGACCCGAAGGCACGCGAGGAGATGCAGCGCAAGAGGAAGGCAGACGACGATCGGTGGTTCAAGGGTGGTTCTTTTACGCAGCTTAATGGAAGCTCCAAGGTGGATGCTGGAGGCTTCAAGGTGCCTGCGCTACCGAATAAGAAGCCAAAAGCTGAGTGATTGATGATGGCTGTAGTATATGTTATTTCATTGTCATTTTGCATTTTCAGCAGGATAAGTTTGTGTGCATCTTGGGGCGTTTTGTCTCTTTTCCCTCTTTTTTCGAGTGGAAGGAAGTAGTGAATGGACCTTCTTGTTCATCTTGGAATTTGGAGAAGGTTCAAAAGAGAACAAAGAAGATTTCCAGTTTTTCGTCTACAGCGGTCAAGTTTTTGCATTATTGTTTTTGCGGGATTCGCACCTTGACGGCTTGATGCACGTAACATTGCTTGGTGTTTGGGGATGCGGATTCGCAATCATAGCATTTTGTTGCAAGAGAGAGGTAGGGTGAGAAAACGGGTGAGAGACGGAGAAAGGTATAGTGTTTGCAAAGTAGCATGCTAAACACACCAATCATGAACGCTAATAGGCTACCTTTTTGCCCAGATTTTTTTTAGAACTATCATGAATAGTAACGCGTCACTCGCTTCATAGTCGGTTATCAAGCTTAAAAAAAGGTCCAGTCCAGTCCAGTCCGTTCGCGAGGGCCAGTAGCGTGAACAGGTTCAGGGTCTTTGTGATGCAGGTAGGTAGGCAGGCAGGCAGGCAGGCAGGCAGGCAGGCAGAAAGTGGTGCAGATACGGGCTTGGACAGAAAACCAAAACAGGAAAGCGGCTAAGTAAAGCATGTAGTGTGAATGCAGTGATTGATGCAGAGTTTATTAGCGCAAGTAGAAGGATAGAGTTTTTGTTGTAATTATTATGATTGTTTTTTTGTTTTTTGCTTGTTGTCATTGTGCAGGGTCAGAGGCGGTGGAGGCATGAGATAACCAGTGGCCTGGAGCCGAGATAGGTTTCTTGGGAGCTGAGTCGTTCATCAGCAGTTCATTGCGACCCAAGGCTTGCCCGAGCGCACGGGGCGGAAGGATGATGCGCAAAGCTCGCGCTCGGTTGGCGCACAACTTTGTTCGAGAAACGTTCGATGCTTTTGGGATGGTACTAGGGGTATCCCTGACCTCGCTTTGGCTATAATGCGATAAACGAGATCTTGTTAGTAATTGTCTCAATTGCCTGTCGTTCGTGTCACAGCACTCTTCTTTGTGACAGTTATGACGACCTGCCTAATCTACGAAAGCGGTTTGCGCGGCTGTTGTCGGACAGGGGCCAGAGAGGCAGAGATGAGGGAGGGGGGGAAGGGCTGCAATCCTTTCTCTCCTTGCGGTTGCACCGGACCTTGCACACAATTACGGCAGCCGTTTGCGCGCGCGCATAGTCAGCCCTAAGGGCAGGCAGGGTCTTTTTGCTGTGCAACGCAGCATGTTGCGGTGCTACCAAAGAGCAAAAAGCAGCACCCTCTTTGCTGCTGGGGAGGGGGGGGGGGCTGGCGAAAGTCTCCAGTAGAAATTTTGACACGTGTTGATGATGTCTGGGTGGCAGGACCAGGAAGTTCCAGTTGATGCAGCAGCTACAGGTTGGTCACACAGTCTGGCGTCAGGCCACGACTCAGCCCCTAGGTATGGTGATTTTACCCGCCGATAGTCCGTAGGATAGCACCGACTGTCTTCTGGTGCAGCGTCACGGCAGGCTGGCAGCGGGGGCTATGAGACGTTGCGGATAAATGTGTCGAGAGATTGACCATTGAAGCAACAGAGGGTCTGTCAGCACCCTCTTTACGGATGATGATGACGGGGGCGCCACTGAGAAGGGAAAGCGGGCCGGCCATGCAGTGGGCCAGTGCGAGGTGGCCGTGGCCAATGGGGTGGCAGGGACAGGCAGCCAGCGCACCACTTGTCACAACGGGTGGCTACGTCATGTCTCGGGAGGCCATGGCATGGGCACGACGAGGGGACTCCCGTCGAAATAAATGCTGGTAGGGTAGAGTAAGTAAGTAAAGTAAGTTGAATCGGGTAATGGCCATGGTCGGCTAGCTGTGGCCCTAAATTATGTAGGGTGTGAGCGAGGGCAGCATGGTGCAGCGGGTTGCAATCATGGCGCATGAGCAAGCCACAATGGACAGGCATATCGTCGACCCAGGCAGGGCAGTACTCTAGAAGTAGGAGGCATAGAGTGACATGTATGTATGTATGGACGAGGCGGGACGGAAGCGAGTGTGGCAGAGACAGGGGCGCGTGAATGGATAGGGAAATGGACAATCAGGCTCAATGGCCCAATTTCAATTTGCCCATGCGGGTGGCCAGCAGATGGATGGATGGATGGATGTGGATGCAGAGACAACGCCAGGCCACAACACGATCCAAGGGCGGCAGCGAGGCGGGCGGCAGCCGGTGGGACTTTTCGGGCGGGACACGTGACCCTACATTACGGAAGCAGGCTAGCGCATCACCGCAGCATTATTTTATTTTTTTGCGAGAGCGGTGTCGAGGCTGCTCTGCTCCACCTGCTGCTGCTTTTCATTCGGTGGCCAGGAGCCCAGTCGACTTTATTTCCCGGGTCCTGGCGCGGCATTTGCATTTGCACTCGTCCAGCCCGCCCGCCCGCCCGCCCGCCAATTACCAACTGTGTTGCTTTGTGTGGATGCATACTGCGTACGTCGACTGGAGAGGACACGAGCATTACTCGCACTCGACTCGCCGCCGCCGCCGCCGCCGCGCCCCCCGACAGTGCTGCCCTGCACGCTCTCGCTCAGCAGTACAGCAGCCAACCTAACCTAGCAGCCCTCAGCAGCCAGGCGAGGCGTTAGTACCGCCTGTAACCCTGCTCGCTACCTTCCGCTCAAGCGAGCCCTCGCTTCGCCTGTAAGTCCCAAGACGTCCCCCGTTCCCTCGCCCATCCGCTCCCAAGCCGCTGTGCCCTGCCACACGCGCCGCCGCCCAGTTACCTTCTAAAGGCGGCTAGCCCCCCCTTCGCCGCCCTCCGAGGCTTCTCGGGCAAGCTGCTGGGAGCGGTCGCTTTGGCTGTCCGGAGCTGTCGTCGCGGTCGCTTCTGTTGTCGCTGTCATCGTCACTCTCCGTCGGCGCGCAGCCCCTCGCTCCGCCGAGCGCCTCTTGACCGAGTGTTGTGCCTAGTCTACGCATGCTATTCCCTGGCCCACCCTGCCTGCTGCACCCTCCCCCCCCTAGTCGCCTCTAGCCGGCTTCTGCTGCCTGCCTGCAAAGTCACTCGCCAACGCGTTAATCTATGCCGCAGTCGTCCTGTCCCTCAATCTTGTCCGCCGTCCCAGCGCGCAGTCTACCAGTGCGCCAGCCCGCCGCCCTCGAACCGAGCGGCCAGGCCCCTGCCAGCGGGTCAAAACGCCCTCGCCAACTCAGCTAATCCCAGTTCCTTGCCTGGCTTGCCGTCCCTCTTCCATCTGCGTTTGCCTCAAGCTTTCTAGCGTCTGCGTGCCCTCAAACTCAACCGCCGACGTGAGTTGTGCTCGTGTCTGTCTGTTGTTGCGCCCAGGCGGCCTTGTCCACTGCTAGCCCATGTCGCACGACTTTTCATCCCAGATCAACTCAGCGCCATATTCGCCCGCGTCATCGCACTTTTCCCACCAAAGCATGGCCGATCCCAATGTGCAGCAGCAGTCGCGACAGCAGACCGTCGCCTATCCCTCACCGCACTCATACCCGTCGCCCTCGATGCAGCCCACCTACACCTACCCACCGCCTCAGGGCCAGCAAGCCGCCGAGGCCTATCGCGGTTCTCCCCAAAGCTCAAACATGTCGTTGCCGCCCCTCAACCTGCCGCCAATCCGTCTGCAGGACGGCCAGCAACCGCAGGCGCAACCTCAACCAGCCCAGCAGCCCATGGGCTCGCCACTCCCACCACCACCACACGGTATGCCGCAGTACTATCCGCACCCAGCTCATGTGCAGCCCGGACAACCCATGATGGCTAACATGGGCCCTCAATTCAATGCCATGCGATACCAGCTGCCGCCCCAAGGCGACCAGCGAGTGCTCTCGGGAGGTCGCCACAAGAAGGAGATCAAGCGCCGCACAAAGACTGGTTGTCTGACCTGTCGCAAACGAAGAATCAAGGTAAGTGAAAACAGACGTCAATGGTACGCGATAGTCGACGCGACGCGAGGTCAGAAGAGGAGCTATTGCCATGTCGCTTGCTTAACCGAGCGAGAAACCCAAACTGCTCTAACCCGGCCCTCGCGCGTCGTAAAGCGAGAAGCGCCGTGGTCTGCAGCAAACCATTGCAAACGTAGCCCGCACACTGCTTGATTGTCGCAGTTTGTGCGTAGTTTGTGGTGCGGGACTTGTTTTGCGCCTATTGCGACAATTTTTTTTTTCGTGTTCCTCCCCTACCGCCCACCTGCCAACATCAACATTTGACCTGCACATGTGCTAATCAAGACTCGGATAGTGCGACGAAGCGCATCCCATGTGTAGGAATTGCCAAAAGAGTAAGCGCGAGTGTCTTGGCTACGATCCGATATTCAAGCAGCAGTCTGGCCCGGCTCAGATACAACCTGCCCCCAACGCTGCGCCTGCCTCTCAAGCACCAAACGCACCCCCCGCGCCTGCACCGCCAGCTTCAGCGTACAGTCAGAGCCCTGTGCCCCAAGGCTACGCGCCTGCCTCTTCGGCCGGCTACGCAAGCGCTGCATCTGCGACGAGCGGGGAACACCAGCCAGCCAGCTTCCACGCCATAGACCCTGCACTTGCACAGGCAGACCCTGCCCTGCAGTCGACCCAGCACTACAACGCCGGTCACGCTATGGATCCTGCCATGAGGGGTCCTCCTGGCCCCAACGCCTACCCGCCTCCACCAGAGCCGCTCAAAGGTTGGTCTACTCCCTCTTTCTTCTCTCATGGACTCGCACTGACACGCTGCTCAGGCAAGCGCCTGCACATTACCGACATCTTCGGCATATGTAACCACAGTCCTCCAGAAGTCCCCCCTCGCACCTCGCCTGTGCCGCGTGAGATTGACGACGAGTTCAGTCGCATCTTCATCAATGATTACTGCCAGGGACTGGACCTTGTTCTCGAGACCACATGGTTCTCTACAGAAAACAATGCGCTCAACAGAGTCTTCAGCGACCGCTCGCTGCACGAAGAGGCCGCTTACTTTACCGAGACCATCAAGTACAAAGCATCCGACACAGACATGACTGGTGTCTTTAGTCAGGAAGCCCGTCTGCTCTGGCACCTGCTAGGTACTTGTAAACACAACCCACCAGCAACCAATGGTGCAACTTCGGAGACGGACGACTTCTCATTACGAGAAACTCGAGCCCGCTTCGACGTTCTCGAGGCTCTTTTGACCAACCAGAACCTTGCGCCCAACCCTCTACGCGAACTCACTTACCCTGCCAATCTCGACGAAGAAACTAGGATGCAAGTGGATTTCTGGATGCACTTGGGTGACTTTGTGCAATACTCGGACTCGGACACTGCGCCTCCCGGAGCTGCCGATAACGCTCTTGCTGTAATACGTAGTGTGTTGCGCATGCACGAAGTGCGGGATGCAATCTACTCGATTGCCATTGCGCGTCACTATGGCAGCCGAATTGGTGGTTTCCCCAACGCCTTACCAGCCCCTGTGAACCAAGCTCCGGAAAGCGACTTGAATAAGCTTCTCGTAGCCATGTCTTTTATCAGTCATGAGAGCCGTGCAGCAAGTCAGCAGGTTCTTGCACGCATTTGCGACATGGCCATGTTCTCATGGACTGCCTCACGAATGCCCTCGGGCCATCAGCCGGGAGGCTTTCCACAATGACGACCATCTGGTGTAGTCTGAAAGTTATAAGGCATATTCCAAAAATACAGAAGCCCTCGGCCCGTACTTTTGTACCACCAACTGGAGAATTTGGTTTTTCATTCTTGCATTTCGGAAGCGGGCGTTGCTTTCCTCCCCCCATGCTACTCAGCATAACTTGCTATCGTTTATGATTATACTTTCAACTTTCAATACAGTCCGCCCTCTTTTACGTACATTCACTTTTTTTTTCTTTGCATCGACCTTGCGCACGGAGCTGGTGGATTCTACAGCATTTTGGGGCAGGCATCACAAGATATACCCGGTTCAGCTCGATCGTGTCCTGTTTCTATTCCTCTTTTCATCGGCATCTCCCCAAATGTGGGGGGATAATTGCCCCTAATCCGTTTTTTCCCTGTTTGCTTGATGAAGGAGTGTTTTTTACAACACCACTTACGACATGAATGAAGGGTGTCGTAATTGAAGTTATTCGACGTGGAGATTCAAAAACGTACATCGTATTACCAATTTACCAAGTTTGTTTTTCGGAGATGTCAGAACATGGCGTGATTTGTTGATGCGGCTTTCTATAGAGTTTCGGTACTCAGGCCATGGAGAGCTGAGCTAATTAGAGTTGAGCTGAGCCGAGCTGACTTTTGTACTCGCTCGATTACGGCATAGAATAACATGTAACCCATTGTCTCGTGTAGACGGTGAGCCATTAGAAGCAATGAAAAATCCAAAAGAAATCACCACGATCTAGACCTACTTGCACATCCTCTCTTAATCGACAAGGCACCCAATGCAAGAAAGAAAACAAGAAGAATAAAAGGTAACATCGGCATCGCTTCCGACTGGCCAGACATGTACAACGAACCTAAAACTATATCCATGAATACACCACATATGCCTCCCTCTCTCTCCCCCTTCCCCCCTTGACCCATTCTAAGCTTACCAAACCTCCCACCGATCAAATTAAATCCCCTCACACTCCCAAAGGAACATGAGTGTATGACAGATTCATGTCGTGCAACGCTGAACAAAGAAAGAGAGGGGACAAGAATATACACGTGTGGTACAGAGTGATTGTACAATGAACGGTATGTGTCTTGTTTTTCGGGAGGTACGAGATGCAAGAGGGGAGAGGATACCGGTGAGGTGGATATTCTCCTAGTGGTACTGGTGGGACGGTGGTACTGATGGGCGGGGTTGGGCAGTTTGTGTTACATGAGTATGAGTTGATTGAGCTGGAAGGGGGGAGACAGAGGGAGGTGGAGTAGTTACTCTCGTTCTTATAGTTGGAAAGAGGGGAAAACAAAGGGGGGGGGAAGGATGGGTTAGGTACATGTACATATGTATGCTAAATAGGAAAGGGACCGAAAGAGGGCATAATAATCACTTCCTAAATCCGCTGCTTCTCAATCCACTGCGAAGATAGGAAAAAAAAATATGTCCAAGAGCGTGACAGAACCATGTATCTATTTAAGACGACGACTAACTACTCACTTTTTTTTTCAAGTCCCATAATCTATCTCACCATTGCTCCCCATCCCCCCAGACCCGGTGCAAAATCACCCGCGCAAACTTGCTCTCTCCAGGACTCTTCGTACACCAAGCAACGCGATTCCCCCTCCGCGAGTCCCTCCACCCCCCCGCATCCCCCGCAACCTCCTCACTCAGATCCGTCGTGCCCTCTGTAATCGTGCGGCCCCTGCGATCCACAACCGTGCAACCGCGGGTCCACTGTCCGCTCGTCTCAACACGCACATCTTCCTCTTTGAATTTCCAACTGGTGTTGGACGCGGAGAGCGCGTACCAGATTGTCAGGGGATCGTGCAGCTGGAGGCTTTTTTTCGCCTCGTCTTGGTGCTGGGGGTTTAGAGAGGCGTTTTTGGTGAAGGTGGGGGAGAGGAAGAGGTGCGTCCATTCGCACAGGGGGCTGCCCTTTGCGCCCTCGCGCGAGATGTAGTCTTCGTACATGGATTTGGGGAGGAGATGCTGTTCTGTTATGTCGAGGGGAAAGAGCTTGATTGTTAGTCGTTTGCTTAGTTTAGCTGGGTAAGGGGCAAGTCTGGCTTGTTTTTGCGTGCTGGAAAGCGTGGGCGGCATTGTCAAGTGTGGGTTTTGAGATGTGAGGGCGAAGACGCGCGCGCTGGCTACTGAGTCGGCGTAGGTGTTAAATTCCGCGCCGGGTGTCATCTGGTTTCGCAGATTTAGTGAGAGGCGCAAGGGGGTGTTTGGTTGCTTGATCAGGTTGAAGGGAGGGACTGGAATTGATAATGTGGCAGGAGAATAGATAAGGTGCAGAGGAGGCGGCGGTCGCTACTCAGGGCTTCAGAGCCGTTACGAGGGGGGTGGGGGATATGGCAAAAGAAGATGGACTCTTACATTTCCAGGTGCATCAATAGCGCCGCCCATAACGACAACCTCCTTGACCCTGAGAAACGTCTCTGGGTCCTCTGCTGCAGCAACAGCAAGGTTTGTCAATGGTCCCATGGCCACTATGGTAACCGTATCTGGTTCATTCTCCCTGAGCAAGTCCAGCATAACCTCATGCGCAGGCTTAAGCGATGGCGTAAAAAGAGAATGCTGATCCTTAACTTTTTGAAGTTCTGCCGCTTCGTCTGGTGAGAGGTCCTTTGGCGTAGGTTTGAAAAGCGTCTTCCATGCCTCAGCTGGTGAGAGATGCGGGTGCTAAGCGTACGTTAATATTCAATAAACCACCATGAACGCGGAAGACTAGAGGAACTTGCACTATGATGGATCCCTCCAAGTCCATCAACACCATCTACATGACTTAGTTAGCTGTCCATACCTCCACATTGTAAGGATATTCCAAAAACCTACGAAAGAAATCCGCAACCATCATATGCTCAGCCAACGGCTCTTCAGCCCCAACGGCAACTATATTCCAAAAAGTCAGTACTACTAGCCCCCACCTTCCATCTCACTAACTCAACAAACCCACCAATAGGTTTCCTCGCATTCAGCGTCTCAAACCCCTCTGGCCGGCCATGTTCCTTGCGCCACGCCCTCTCCTTCTCAATCTGTTGAAAAAGAGTAACCACGTTTCTCAAGCAACTGTTCCATCTCAAAATCAGCACCCATACCCCCCCCAATTCTTGATTATAAGATGGCAAAATACTTCAGGCTTTCAAAAAAAAGAAAAGTTAACGAACAGACTTACTTTTGCACCTGAACATTTCCAAATGTCAAGCTGAGCATCAGAACATCGAGTTCCTCGGCCTTTGCCGAAAACGCAAGAAGCATTGCCAGAACATCGTCGACGCCCTAATATCACGAATTTGTCTCTCTGTTAGTTATGTACTTTTGTCCAATAACTTTTACCCCGCATTAAAACCAGGGAACAACCCCCCCCCCCTTCTCTCCCCACACATTGCCCATGTCACAACAACTTACGGGGTCGGTATCAATAATAATCTTGTTGGGCGCCATTATTCAAGTAAGATTTTTTTTCCAATGAGAAAAAAAAGAGAGAGAGAGGAAAGATTGAGTTTGCAATTGAGCAAATGTTCGCCGCAGATAACTAGTAACTTCCCCCGGGTATACGTAGACGTGATTAGATAAACTAGTGGGCCCTTCCCCCCCCTTCCAAGCTATGCAAGGCAAGTGCCTAAGAAAACAGCGGAGTTCACCGACACACCGACACGGAACCACTCCACTCCACTGTGGGTCTGCTGATGTTTTGGCTTCAGGGGTGCAGCACGAGGTTAAGATTCTAAGTAGAAGCTCATCAAAACATCATAAACTTGTATGCATTTGTAAATTTCTAAACAGATATTCCCTTAACAGGGCGCGATCAACCCAATCGCAAGTATAACGCCGAGCACTACTCCTGGTCTACATATTTTCCGTGTCGCAAAGGTTTTGCTGGGTCGGAAGTTGCACCTCTGAACTTGTCCCTTTCCTCAATCGTTCATCTTGGCTGCTCCTAGCTGCTCCGCCTGCATTTAAGTACCCAATCGCCATGATTCTTCGTCATCGGATGTAACCAGTGTACGCTGTCCAGCGTTCGAATCGAAAACTCATGTCGTGATGCGTGATGCGTCGTTTTTTCTAGCCTAGTAAACCTTCTTCTTCTCGTCGACGGAGAACTGTCCAGGGCCCATGTTGACCAGCAAAAGGAGACCACCGCTACTGCCTGTTAGTAATGTGCATTGAATCAGATGGAGCATGGTAGTACTTACACAATCGAGAGGATTTGGAAAAAATCGTACTTGGCAAAGTCCTTGTGAGGGTGGTGTGGGTGCAGGGTCCACCAGTTGTTGACGTAGAGATTGAAGATGCTGAGAATCAGCACCAGCATAACGGCAGAGAACTTGGCCTTGAAGCCAACAACAACCATGACGCAGGCAATGAATCCCAGAATGCTGGCAATGATTCGCCAGAGACCCCAGTCGCCGCGGAAAACAAAGCCAACAAAGAGGAAAATCAAAAGAACACGTCCAGCGAGCTGGAAGTACATCTTCTTATCCTTCTCGTCAAGCTGGGGAAGACCAGCCGGAGCAAACTTCTTGCGAACCCATGAGTCGGAGAGAACCATGAGAAGACCACCAACAACCGACAGGTTGCGGAGGAAGAAGTTGAGGTCGAAAACGAGACCGTATCCGAGACCCTGCAACACGACCACGCCCATGAGCCCGCCCACGCTGTATTCGGAGTATTTCCGGGCAATAACACCAATGGAGCAGACGGTCATGGCGATGACGTTGACAATAAGGAACATGTGCGTTAAACCATTGGGGACTGAGTGGCGCCAAGTTAGCCATGCGTCTCAACGTGTCGTGAGGGGTAGTAGTATCGAGACATACTGTGTCGGTAGTCATGGAGGTATGTGAGCTGATCACGCCATTGAGTTACTATGCGTAGCGCGTCCTCTAGGAAAGTTACGACAATCAGGAAGCGGCCAATTGCTGGCAAGTAACTATGCAAGATGCAAGTCAGCCCATGTTTCTCAGACGGGCTGTTTTGTGTAGCAGCACCACAAGAGTGTGTCTAGTACAAATGCCATGCCCGTATGCTCCAGCCCTTACTTACGGCTTGATAGGGTCGGCGACAGTGTCCAGCATGTCCTCGAGTTTGCTTGTCTGGGCCCTCAGTTGGTCGAGGGGACTCGGGTCGTTGTTCATGTCGTCGTTGCGCCCGGAGTTGCCAAAGGGGCTTTGGTTTCCCAAATGGTAACCAGCTGTGCCGCGTATCTGCGCCATGGCTGGAGGATTGTAGAGAGGAAAGGAGGGTGCGAGGCGGAGGTGTAATAGGTGATAGGGTTGCTCCTGCGAACAGGTGTCCTTCACGCGATTGATTCTCGGAAACGTCAGATTATGTCAGCAACCTAACCTATTGCGCGTTACCCTGCGGTCTCACTATACTGATCTGTCGCAAGCTAAATAAATTGCAGGGTTGGAGGGGCCTATAACCTTTCGTCTAGAGATGGTTAGTTACAATCACCGATATTATTATATATCCGCCATCCGTACCATGTCCGCGTGCTCATGTGCTCATCCTTGTCTCGCGCAACCTGCACCGTTGCAACGCAGGTACTTACATACGCACCGTTGGTTAAAGGCCACATTGCCCAACCGGCGCACACCGTATTAGCGAGCTTTTGGGCTGACTCGGATACGGTAGTCCCGGTGGGCCTTGATACAATTATAACCTCTAACTACTTGGGGTGCGCTTACTACGCTCACCACATCTGGTCGTCTTGCGGCTCCTCGGAACCCGAGAATAGATCCCAGTAATCATTGGGCGATCTCAACTGGACACAGCTCCTATTTGCTGCACTTGAAGCATTCAGCGACCAAAGCCATGTGTTTTCTATGTAGTGAGCCTCAAAGAGGCGTTTTCGCCAAATCTCAGCGGGTAGCGCGACTTGGTGTTCATGTGTAACAGTGAAAATACAACGAGAGAATACGAGGGCAGGCTTTGCACACAATTCCAAATGTAACCCTGTACGCCGATAATTTTTCCAAACATTTAGCATACCATGTAGGGAAATTAGCCCTCAATATCCCCATCGTGTTCGTCGCCTAGACGTTTCCACGTAACATACCAGGATTTTGCCTCCCTCCTCTACCAGATCCTCTGACAGGTTGCCGTCCCAACGCCTGGAAGACCCCTATTACTAACGGTCATGGCCATGACAGAAATTTGGAAAGAATGATGAGACGTTGGTATTGCATGGCTGCACGCATGGGCCACAAGTCTCTAGGACCAATTGCTGGTTTAGTCGTGGTCAACAACCTCACATGACCGCCCAATCGTCAATCTCATCGCCAGTCTTGGGGTTAAATTCCTCAGCGAGAATCTGGTAACGAGAGCTAGGGTTCTTGCTCTCCCTAAGAGTCTCCGTTGGTCGGACTGGCTTTGCCGGCTGGGATGGCTTGATAGTGTTGATGTCATCACGCTCCTCGGCAAGTTCCTCGTTGACGGTCTTGCGCTTAGTCTTGCCTCCCTTGGGAACAGTGGTCCAGGCAGAGTCTTCCATGGCAAGTCTGAGCTGCTCTTCCTCAGAAGGCAAGCTGTTGTAAGGGGCAGAGGTAGTGTTCTTGCCGTTTGTAGGGGCAGGAGCAGCGGCAGCGGGAGCAGGAGCCTCGAAAGTGTCGAGAAGCTGACCAGTAGGGGCTGACTTGGGAGGCTGAACCGCACCACGAGATGGAACCTCAGTCCAGGGGTTCGACGCAGGAGGCTTGCTCTGTTGACCATTTTTGGCGGGCTCACCGCGAGCCTCACGGGCAGTACGGCGCTGATTCTCCTCAAGAGCCTTGCGCTGCTTCTCTTCCTCCTCGCGCGCAGCCTTGGCCTCCTCAGCCTTCTTCCTGTTCTGGCGCTGCTTCTTGGTCTCCTGCGCAACCTCGGCCTTTTGTGTCTGAGCCTTGACGGACTTGGCGGGCTTTTCGGAAGGCTTGATGCTCATTACAGAGGGAGAGATGGAGCGCTCGCCTAGCATATCAGACACGTCCTTGCCACTGGGTGCCTTGGTGATGGGGGCAGCAGGTGGAGCGACCTCCTCCTGTGCCACAGGAGCGGCCTTGGGAGTGGCCGCCTTGCTGCTGGTGTCCTGAGCAGGCGTCTTGACCGACTTGCGGGGAGCCTTGGCCTTGGCCTGCTTCTGCTTGGGCTTGGTCTCAGAGTCCCAGTTGACCGCCTCCTTTAACGAGTTGGTGGTGGGCTTGCCCGTTGTCGACCGTCCTCGCGCAATGCCATCGTTGTTTTGGTGTACATAGTACCAGTATGCGGCAGCGCCAATGACCAGGAACATGGCCCAGCTCATCCATGTCTCCATGATGGGCAAAGTGTGGTGTACAATGCTTCGAAAGGAGTCGCCGCTAATGAATACGTGGCCGCTTTCCGTGAGGTGGATTGCTAGCAATTTGTTAGACGACGGATGACATATGCGCGAATTGCGATACAATAGTTGAAGTAGGCGGCAGGGGGTGAAGACAGTGTGATTGAGCGGCAATGGAGAGAGGGAAGGGGGGCGGAATGGCAGTGATGGGTCAGGAAGGTTGAGCAAGCAGGAGTGAAAGATGAAAAGGGGCTTACCGGTGGTGATTGCCTTTGTCTTAGGCCGGGCGTGGTAACCTAGGTGCCTGACACGTTGCACAGGCAAGCGACACTCAGCTGTTGAGATGGTGGAGGGAAGAGGCCAGGTAAAGGTGTTGGACCACTTCGGAAGCGTGGAGTGCAGCCACCGAGTCGCGCACTCGCCGCTTGTGGACTGTCTACGCTGCAAACAGGCCAAGGGAGGGACAATGGCGGCGGCAGCAAGGCGTCTTGGCTAAGAATGGATATGGGAGAGACGGGGACGAAGGAGGAAACGAGGTTGCAGAGCGAAGGTGCTTTCATGTGGTAGTCGTCGTCGAGCTTGCGAGTGCTCCCTCGATTGGGGACTGGGGACGCGGCTAAGCAGGGGTCCGCCAACCCGCTGCCGCAGACCGCAGACCGCAGACCGCAGAGGCAGGCCATGTCCTTCACGGCAATGCCGAGCACAATGCGACGAGGTGCATGCAGACTGAATGCACCTTTCCATTTCGCCGCCTTGTGCGCGGAAGCCAGCGGTTGGCAATTACTAATGCCATCGTGTTGCTTGTTTCCTGTCCTGCCCTGTCCTGTCCTGTTCTTGAGACTACTGAGTTGCAACAGCGACTTGTTGAAAAGGACACGAAGCGTGATACTACTCTCCTTCTCTACTCGTCCCACTCGGCCACACCCCTGCTCCGATGTGCTGGCCGTGCGATTACCACCACTACACATGAGCCCTCTGTCACGTGCAATTGTCCGAGGACACATACGCCTACTTTTCTTGCGCCCAACAAACAACCACATAAAACAAACAAATTCGTTATCATTGTATGACATGGCCACTGCCTTTCACTATGTACACCCAATCCATCCCCACCTGGAGCCCACATATGTACAACGCCGCTCCCACTTAGTTTCGTTTTTTCCATGCCAGTAGATAAGAGGAGAGGAGAAGAAAAAAACAACGCTGTCGAGAGAAAAAAATGTCTCGGAAAGAAAATATGCCTTTCAGTCTTCTTCTCGAAAGAAAATCAACACCGCCTCTTCGCCTCAGCTGCCTCGCAAAAATCTGGTCCCTTCCTTTTCCGGCTCTCGCCATCGCTATGCAGGCTTGAGCTTCGACTCATCGGCGGCGTTGCAACGCCATTCGACAAGGGCACTTGCCTACAGTATTGCAACGGCGAGGTAGTAGTCTGATACACACTACTGCCTCGCTGCATTGGTGGTGATGCCATCTTTTGCTCCTCAGCAGCAACAGCTGCTGCCGCCGTTGCCGCTCCCGCTGCCGCTGCTGCTTGTCTTTGTTGCAGTTGTTGATGAGCCTGTAGCGCCGCCGCCTGGTTTCGCTGCGCCATCTGCATCTGTCTTGCAATGTCGCCCAGTCCTGGCCCTACAATGTTCCGGTCTCCTAGTACCGTCGCACCGCAATTGACCGTGATGTTGATGTTGGGGTACTTGTGCACCCCCCTGACTTGCGTTCTTGTTGTCCGCTGCGCCTGCGCTGTTGCTAGTGGCACTGGGCTTGGAGGCGTAAGAGGTCGTGTGGCGTCGTCAACTGGTATTTTATCTCCACAGTTGAGCAAGCTTGTGATGAGGTTTGCTATCCGTACACTGTCCATTTGCGCAATGGATATGATGTTTCCATGCCCGCGGATTTGTGTCGCGGCGTTGATGACAACCTCAGGCGTGTCATTGTCCACTTCCCTGTCTTCTTCTTCTCCTTCAAAATGGATATACGGACTTGATGCGCTCGATGTTGGCATGTTGGAATCTATGACTGTTTCGTAGGCTGGGGGTGCTGGTATTTGTTCCAATGATGATATCGAAGTGCTATTATTGTTGAATTGAGATTGTGAAGTTTGTTGTAGCGTTGAGACTTTTGCACTGTGCACGGCGGTATCATGAAAGGGCCCCATGGCCTATATGCAAACTTCTTTCCCGGATTTTTCCAAGTTGTTTGGCACGATGATGTGGGGTACCGTGATCGTGGAGTCGTGGCGTGATGTTGGTGTGATGGATTATCCGAAGATCATGCGAGTCGACTACCAGCACATAGTGGTTGAACGCTTTGCCGGAAAGTGTTGCGCGACCACGAAATCTAAACGGTAGATATGCTCCGGTAGATACCGTGATTTATTAAACAAGCAGTGATCGGAGATGGCCGTTGGCCGTGATCTCTAATATTTGCCTTGTTGGGAGAAAATCCTACGGGAAGTTAGCAATTAAGAAATGGCATCGTCTAAACCAAGCAACATGTCACGTACATACCGAAAAGAAAAGCCTCTTTGTATTCCGATGCAGAGCTTTTTCTCCTGGGATAGTAGACCAAGACGGCGGCAGTAGGACGCTACCCTAAATACCCCCATCGTCAGACCCCCAGCCAACAGCTATTCAGCATCACCCGGAACAGCCAACACAATAGCAAGGCCAAACAATCCCATGCAGGTATTGCGCCACTGTATCATGCACAATAGCAAATGCAACGTCGGTCGCACACAAAGTGCACAAGGTACAAGATGCGTCGGCCTTGCTATTGTGACCCTAGTCACTCAATAGCCTTGCACTAGGCAGTTTTCCGCACCTGCGCCACAACCATCGCTCCAGGCATTTGATGGGTTTCATAAGCGATGAGCGAATGAAATACTACCATGCTGTCGACACTCCTACGGCATGCTGATCCGCGTCCATTCGGGGGGCTTAGCACTGGAAAAGGAGTCATAGAGGGAGGGTTTGTGGTGTGGCACTATGTAGCAGTGTGGACGATGTTTTCAGACAAGTGCTTGGTTATGTTGGACATGAGATCCTTCTAAGGACTGTACCATTCGCTCCTTCTCCATGCAGCAGGCAGCTATTCCCAGAACGTCTGTCTTTGTCGCGCCCTGCCAGTCATCCTTCCGTCGTCTCCCGTTTCTCGTCATTCTGGCATTGTTCATGTCCTTCAACACAATGGTATATGCATTCATTCCAATCGTCACTTACGGGACTTATCAGTTGATCATTACTATATAAGATACCAAGGACGTGTATGCGTAGTCCCTAGATGACGATCGTAATGACCTCCTCTTTTTCTTGGCTCAACTCGTGCCTGTCGGGGATACTTGAGGTGCATTGGTAGGTTTCCGATATCATGGTCATTGGTATAGTAATTGTATTCTCGGCCGACGCTACGAGGTCCTTCTGATATCACTAATCTTCTTCGGATCAAGTCAAGCATGTCATGTCTCTTTGTCTCTCATTGTTTCACGGTTGGTGTCATGCAAACATCGCAGGCTTGGAGCACAACCACTATTCTGTGACATTTGGCAAAATGAATAGGATTAATAAAAGTGTCAAAGACTTGTACATGTACAAGATCGCCTTTGCCATTACCTAAAAATCGCATGCTAGTGATACTTAAGTAAATGCAGGCGGTGTTGATCTACCGGGTCGAAAAGTGACTTGTTCCAGGACATATCCCATGTGTGGCCTTTGACTGACTCCTGCTGCTGTGACTACGGTTTGCCAAATTCTGTGACTAAATAAAATATAAAGAATTCATATTGATCTAATGATTTATCTCGTCATCGATTGGTTCAAAGCATGGAAAGTTGCCAAGTGCGTATTTGGAGTATGGACTACAAAACGCATGCTGCAGGCATGTGGCGTACATGGTCCATGTACATCCTACAGTGCATGCAGACAATACTACAGAATTTTGCAAAGCGGCGACTTGCTACCTCTTGGTGCATCCCGGATGTTTATTTGACTAATATCCTCTCTGAACAAATTGAGGGTGTTTTCTGGACAACACGATAGATGTAGCGCGACCGAAATAAGAATAAAAACAAGGATGCAAGTGATTCTGCTATGTCCCACGTCTACAAAGCGCAGCTCTTGCTGTAAACTATACTTCCAACTATGTAGACAGCCTTTGCGGTAGAAAGAGAGACTACGCCATACGCTGTAGGCTATACAGATCTCACTAAAGCATTCGTCTCAAGGCAAACAAAGCTGCTTGTGCTCCGTGGCAATGAAACAGGTTGGTCCTTCACATCCTGACCCCAAGTCTCCGTGCCAAGACACACCTAATCAGCCAACAGCCTCCTATTGTTGGTATTGATAAAATTTCCGTGGTGTTATACAAAGTGTACCGTTACGACAGACACCCCCACCCAAGACGCCACGCTGCAGAAAACAATGCGACTAATTTCAAAATGTGGGAATCAGTGTTCAAGAAAACAGGACTGAGCGACCAAGTAGAGCGCCACAACAAGGCAAAAACTCCATCAGCTTACCACGGTCGGCGAAGGAAACGTTTTCTACTATGGACCTAGGCCCCTATCATCGTTGTGGCCGATACTGTGGTATCTCGTGCGTTGGCCTTTCATGATAGAAAAGATTCTCAGACCAAGGTGGCAGTTTCTTGTCACGTTCGTAAAGGTACCCGCAATTGTTGCACAGGCTGCGCGGTCCTTTTGGTCCATCTCGAACAGCCCAAACCGCAGTTCCCCAAACCCAGCAGTGTGAACATCTCCACGTTTGCCTCTCCCTGTATTGTAAGCGTTAGCAAAAAAAAAACCCCCCCTTCTTTGCAGCTGAATGGTGAATACGTACCCCTCTTGCAGCCCGCCGTCCTGCCCACCATAGCCGGATCCTCCTCCAGCGCCAGGTGTGCCGCGCCCGACAGGGCTCAAACTCCTGAATCTTCTCTTCTTCTTGCTACGCTCACCACGGCCCATATTCTCTTGTCCTTCAATGTTGTTGAAAAACTCATTGGCTGGAGTGCCCGTCATATTTGACGTTGACGAGAAGCGCGCCGTTTCTCGCCGTAATCTGCGAATCTGCCTCTCACGGTCGCCTTCACGCTTCTCGATTTCCTCAGGCGACAAAATCTCAACCTTTGGCTCCCACTCGTCACAGAGATGCTCTTGATCATATCTCCACCCTGCGCCAATGGTGGGCTCCACAGCGTCATTGTCAATTTCTCCGTCACCCACTAGTCCGCCGTTTTCACACGCCTCCTTTTTAAGCCGCAAGACAGCTTCATAGATACTATGCGTCATAGCATTCACCCATTCTCCTGAAAGCCCGAGATCGGCGCAGGTCGTCTTGGCAAACATTTCCGCAAAACCTGGGGGGTGTAGCAATGACCATTCGAATTTGTCCGTGTATAACCGGTTCATGAGGTTGATGTTCAATGTGACAATGCATCGGTACGTGTCATCCGGGTTGTGAAGTTCTTCCGAAGGCAGCGCCGTAGCTTTTGCACTGATGCCATTTGGTATGCCTGCTGGTGTCTGCGCACCTTCTGCTTGAGATGCGCCATTTGTCATTGGTGTAGACGCGCCATTTGTGGCGGGAACTACAGGAGTGGAGGTACCATCACGAGACGATGTAGGCAGCACAGGCTTGGCACCAGTTCCTTGTACAGCAGGCGAGTTTGTGGCATGGAAGAGAGGATGAAGCGCAACACCAGCATACTCCTCCAACTGCTGTCGGATTTGGTTGGCAATCTGAGAGATTATCAAGGGTTTCCGCTCATTTGGAAGATCCAGTTCATCTACAAATTGCTTTGCAAATTGATCAGGTGTCGTCAGAGCCTCGTGTAGGTTCCACAAAAACGAGTCTTTGAGTCTGTATGCAGGGGTGACGTCGGGCTGTTTGTACGCGGGCAGGTTCTCGTTGATGCCAAACTCGCGAGCATTTGAGGGTGTGGGTAGTGGCGCATCGGGACGGAAAGCCTGAATGTCCATGTCTATACGAATGGGAATCAGTGTCACCGGTAAGACCGATTGTGTCAGGACTTGCTTCTCAGTTCTGCAACATGTCAGTTTTCCAACAATCTCTTCAATCCACGGCGAAACCCTGCCACTATACCACTCACAATGTTCGTTTCGGCCTGCCCATCCAGTCTCTCCAAATTCCTTGCAGGTCGATTGGTGCCGTGAGTTCCTCCCCCAAAGCAGCGATTTGCGCCGAGTGATCAGCGTTCAGCGGGTCGGCCTTTTGTAAACTGCGGAGACCAGTCGCTCGCCGCGGGCGGTCGCTATCCTCAAAGTCGTCATCGTCGTAGGCATCCTCCGCGTAGCTGAGAACGGCAGTTCCACGTTTCGTCACGCGCGGTGCAGGCAGCGTATTCGAGGGCGGGACAATGGGCGATATGAGCGAGTTTCCGTGGCTGCGCAGTCGTGGCGCATAGCTGGACATGAAGGCCTGTGGCGGCGCCGTCTTTCCTGTGCTTGTAAACATGGCTGTTGATGCGCGCGATGGGTCGTGTAGGGAATCTGAGGAAGCTCAACAGAGCTCGCGAACACCGGACGCGTCGCAACGTATGGAAGAGCACAATCTGCACACGAAGCCACACAGGGTATGTCGGGTTGATTCTGTAGCACGACCCTCCTTCGCTATGCCAGATTGTGCAAATCCGTTCGAATTGTGAATCCTCTTGCGCGTACCTGGCAGGCGTTGGGATGCTTTCGCGATTGCGCTGCAGCTAGATGTGCCAAGACACGCTAGTCTGTATCCGCACTAGGACTCCATCCCTTCTTCACGAATGGAACGATGCACTATACTTTTACCTTCCATGGCGACAGAGGATGAATAAACTTAGACTTTTGCTCACAATACAAAGTATGGTATGGTGCTGCTGATCTCAAGTCTCAGACACGAAACCTACAGCGTTGCTTTTTCGATCACATCGATATATCCAACTCGGAGACCTTGGGTAATTCAAGACTTATCATATTTGTTTCACGAAATATATCACAAATGCAACGATATCATGGAAAGCATTTTAGCGTATCCTTTTCTTTATTCGCCTTGATCAATTCTTTTCACGCTACTGTCTTATCATCAAATTTCCCAACTACCATCTCTCTATGCTTTTCCCGTCATGTGCACGACGAGTCGTTTCAAAATCGTTCAACATGGAATCTGACCAGCTTCTCCTATTACTCCTGAAAGATCCAAATCATTTCCATGTCGGCAACCACCGCAAGGTTTCGAATTCACTGGCTGGTGACGTTCAACACACTCGTCACCTTCGCATTCACCTTCACCTTCACAATCGACAGCCACCAGTCCCTTGACATGTCTCATTGTGAAGCTATTGTAAGATCACACAACCACAGTCGCTATTGTACTTTAGTTCCACAACACTCTCCTCACCTTCAGCGCGACAAACTACATAAAGACTGCTGATATTTTTCCTTGTCCTGCCACACCAAACGCACCAACTTCTCAAACTAGTTGATCACCAAGCTTCAGAACACTCCTTTTCCAAATAACAACACAGCTTTTCTAGCAGGTCTAGTAACCCAAAATGCCTACCAAGAAGACTACTCTTCTCGCTACCGCGGCCCTAGCGGCCACGGTGCCTCTCTCCAGCGCCCACATGATCATGGCGAACCCGGTTCCCTTCAACGCCCCGAATAACTCGCCACTCGCCCCAGATGGTTCCGATTTCCCTTGCAAGGGCCCGCCCAGCGGCTCTGCTCAAGTGAACGAGTGGCACGTCGGCTCAACCCAATCCCTCTCCTTCTCGGGCACTGCCGTCCACGGCGGTGGAAGCTGCCAGATGAGCGTAACCACTGACAAAACACCTACCAGAGATTCCAAGTGGAAAGTCATTTACAGCATCGAAGGCGGATGTCCTGCTAACGTAGAGGGTAACCTGGATCAGAGCGGCCCTAACTACGACGGCACTTTTCCTTTTACCGTCCCCCAGGATCTTCCCACCGGCGACTTGACTGTGGCCTGGACGTGGTTCAACAAGATTGGCAACCGCGAAATGTACATGAATTGCGCGTCTGTTTCAGTCACTGGCGGCGCAGATGATGCATCGGGGCTGGATGCGCTTCCTGACATGGCGATTGCGAATGTCAACGTCCCGGGCTCATGCGGCACGACAAAAGAGGGGACCGACTATACGTTTGCGAATCCAGGCATGTTTGGTACGACGGTTGGTGAGGGTCCGTTTATGAATCTTTGCGCGGGTACGCCTTCACAGCCTGGAATGGGTCGTAGTAGTGGTGGTAGTGGCTCTGATGGTGCTGCTGGGGCTTCTTCACAGGCTCCAGCTGCATCGGATGCTGGATCCGCGATGCCTTCAACCTTCCGTACTGTCAAGACCGCTACCGCGCCTATGCTTCCTATGCCCACCAATCCAGGTGGTGTTATGGCTCCTTCCGCTTGTAGTGCCGCTCAAGCTCCCAAGCCCACGCCCGCTCAACCTTCCCAAGGCCCTGGTACAGCTTATCCTACTGCCGCCCCAGCCCCAGCTCCAGCCCCGAGCCACGTCACACCTCATCCTTCAGCTGGACTAGCCCCAGGCTCTGGATCTTCTAGCGGCACTCTTTGCTCTACCGATGGCCAACTCGTCTGCTCACCCGACGGTACGCAGTATGGTCTTTGTAACTTTGGAAAGGCAGTCATGATGCCAGTAGCTGGAGGCACAAAGTGTGTGAGTGGTGCTATTGCAAGGCATGATGATTACACGCACCGAAACCAGCGCACTGCTATCTAAATTGATGATCTGGGTGGTGCTGGGCGGCAACTGTAGGCTATTCGGTATTTCTAATTTGACGTAGTGGAATGTGGAAAAGCAGGGACTCGCAGCTGGACTCTGGTCATCTGAGTACTATACAATTCTTTTCCTGTTTCCTATTCAGTATGCTGAATATCATGTATCAGTTTCAATAGAGAATTAACGAAAATTGATTGAACCTTACCGTCGCCAACTCGTGATTCCCAAAGTAACACTAGCGTGATTGTTACATGAACTATACATCTTAACTTCTATCTCATCCACCATCTAAGTTTCTGTCCCACCCTACTACTTACCAAGATATACCCCAGAACCCCTGCCAAAACACTGTACAAAACCCATTGTGGAACACGTATATCTCCATCTCCTCCTTTGTACCCTCTCGCCTTCTCTGCATATACCTCCTTCCTTCTCACAATCTCATCCTCCTCCCCCTTCTCCTTCTTCTTCCTCCTGACCTCCTTCAAATACGCCTTGATAAGCGGATCTTCCTCGTCACTCAAATCCACAAACGTCCTTTCGTCCCTCCCCTGATCAAGCGGACACGCAACATTGAGTCCGCCCACCACCCCCTCTTTCCCTGCTTTCCTCTTCCTCTCCACTGACCCATCATCTGGCAGCCACTCCTCGAGCACCTGTATCGGCAACGACCGAAAAATAAGACACATCCACAACTCGAGCACATTCATCAGCAGCGGCATGTCGTCCGTGCCCGGCCCACTATTCACACCGGGTAAAACAATGACGGCGCCAAGTACATTGTACACGCTCTCCTGCAGCGCAAAGTAGTGCAGCGAGCTATGATCCCTTCTGTACCTGAAATTCAGATGCTGCGCCACGCGAGCCCGCAGATTGTGGCTTTGCCCAACGTAGATGCGCAGCCGCTTGTCGAGGCCTAGGATGCCGTCGAGGTAGATGGCGCGGCCCGAGTAGCGCAGGTCCCCTGATAGCGGTTTCAAGGCATCTAGAGACCAGCGGTGGGAGAGGAAATTCCAGGTTTGTGGCAGGACGAGTGTATGGCAGAAGGTGAGGAGCTGGGTGTGGCCGTTGCGCTGGATCCAGGGGCCGTAGGTGGCGTTATAGTAGGGGTGGGATTGGAGTTGAGTGAGGACGTAGTTGAGGATGGTTCTTGCCTCAGTTTGGGCTGGCGTGAGTTTGTTGCTGTTGTCACTGGAGACATGCGACTGTTTGTTTTGGCTCTGAGTTGTTGCCATGTTTGACTACCTAGTATTGATATTGCATCGCCTGTGCAACCTACGGTGTTGTTCGAGAATGCTCAAGAAATCGCTACTTACACTGCCGTGTCCTTTTTGTCCGGCAAGAGTGTAATGAGAAATTCGAAAGTTTGGTGTTTGCATACAAATAGGCTGAGGCTGTTGGCGCCTAGTGTTAGTAGTGTAGACCATATTAGGCAAATACTTAAGAGGTGTGGAATGCGGCGATCCTGACCTTTCGTGTTCAGGCACGCATACGCGGGGCTTGGCGCATCTCTACTATGACCTTGATAGGCAAGATCGTATTACTCCGAGTACAAGATTTTCGCATCATTTTTTCTGCCATTGGTAGATTTAGTTTGCCACATGGTAATAAGTTGGCATCCAGACTTGCCCTTGCTGTGTTGAGAGGATGTGCCTCGATACGGCATAGGGTTGATTGGGGCTATTACTGTCGGTCAAGGAATGATAAAATGAGGACATAAATCATCAGCTTTGCAGATTTGGTATATACGACCTTGAGAAGTTAAGAATTAGAATAATGAAACTATCCACCGTTTGGCAGTGTATCCGTGTTAAAAGATTATGCTTGCCAATAGTATAGGATTTAACCAATGGTACGTAGATTACTACTACTACGTACGTAGCCCTGTGCCGGACAGCGAAACGATCGCTGGCCCACTAAAACCACTGCCACCATCGCTCCAAATCGAGTATTTTGACACTGGGCTTGAGGCCATAACTAGTTTACCCCAGATCGCGAAAAGGCGTGGTATGAACCGGGTAACGCTCGCGCGCCGGCATCAAGGTTCAAGCACCTTGCACGTTGTCCACTTTCAGAATCATCAATCTCTCAACTTACAGCAAGAAAATGAGCTCTTGAGCTATATCAATAGAGTCACCCTCTGTAGAGCGGCACCCAAAAGAAAGATGATTCCCATCTGGGCTTCAGAGATTGCTCAGGAAGAGATTGGTTGCTGCTGGGGTGATTGCTTTTGTTCAGTGCCTTCCAGATGATTTGAAATCAGAAGCCACCGCCGAAATGGACTGTATCGTGTTTGGGCCGATTAAGAAATGAGATAAACACTCTTTTAAGGCTTCTACTGGACAAGTTCGCCCATTACAGTATCAACACACTGCATGTGTACAACATGGATGAGAAGCTTATTGGAGTTATGGTAACTGCTGATCCTTTCCTTTTGATACTCGATTTGGGCAGGTTGGGGTGTGGCCTAACATTCTTTTCCGAGAAAATCAGACCAATATGGTATACACCAAACATGTACAAGCGCTCAAAGTTGTAAAGTCATAGAATTTAAGTAGTTAATCGTAGTAGTGTTATTGTTATATAACTTTGACGGATTACTACTATATACAAGTTATGGAATGGTTTCTTAGTTGCAATCGTAACATGTTGACAAAGAAGAGCCTACTTTCTTGACAGCTGGGTGAGTGCTGTGAACTTTTGGATAAAATCGTCAATCGATCAAGGAGGGTTGCAACCTCTGCATGCACTCTCGATACAGAGAACAGATCCAATACAGGCCAAGTCAGTAAGGGCATCTGAAGGTGTTAATTTGGATTTTCAATGAGCTAGATAGTATCTTATTCAAGCCCCCCTCCGCAGCCGCAGCCGCAGCCGCACAAGAAGCAGCGGAACTAACACCGGCGCTAATGCAAGCTATCGTACGGCGTTAGTCAGATCCTAGACATAACAAACTAGCGATACCTACCAAAGACATCGCATCCCCTAAGCTCGCGCCTCCTTAGGTCCGCAATCGCATTCCGGCATCTCCCCACTTGGTTCGCTGGAACAATTTGACAGCTATACTGCACCTGCCTCGCCTCTAGCTTTGAGACGGCACGTTCACCCAGGACTGCACCACTGGCTTGGTCTATAGGCATAGCGGACGTCAGCGACGGTAGAATAGCCAAAAGGCCAATTGCATTGAACTTGAGCTGGATTGTAGTAGAGGAAGCGAGTTTAAGGTTCCAAGTAAATGACTTGTCGTGTATACTATGTAAGAAGATAAGATGATAGTATTTGATACAACTCACAAACCCACAGAGATATACCACATTATATACAAATACAGTGCTGAAGCGCATCAAGCAGGACCTTTCCTTTTCTGATGTCGCGAGAATTAAGTCTCACATATGCTTTCTTTATTAGGTTAGTCTAATATCAAATACAGTCCTTTTCTAGCAATGTGTATACCATTTATCGTATGTCTACATCTCGATACGGCGCTATAGACTACAAGGAGAGCTAAGCGCCTATAAGCCGCCCGGACAGCCAAGCTCCCTTCTTATGATCCCCACCACCTTTCAAGATTCACTGTCATACTGAAAATCTATTCAATCTTATTTCTAATTAAACTAACTCACAACTATTCGTATCATGGCCTGATGGACTGAACTGTAGACAAACCAAGCCTCCCTCCGTAAACCGTCCGATGAGGTAAGCTGCCATTTCTCAAGATTCCCAGCGCCTTTCAAGATACGTTGTCTTGGAAGAAACCTACTCCTTCTTATTAATAAGTAGAATTATTCATGATTACCCTAACTAGCAGACTAATTCGTGAACGTATCAATAGTAAGGATGCGTGCAGTCTCGCAAAGCACCTTGACGCACATTCATAAAACAATCTGCTGATCAAATCGTTCGTCAGCAACTGTGCTTTGTTTCCTGGTATCTGAATTATCAATATCTTTATCCCTAATTGGGAACGGATGCACTAGGAAGTACGCTTGCGTGTATTGCAAATGTTTGCATGGTGTGCACATTACTCGAGATAGTCGCCTATTACACTTTCCAACTCTCTCTTGGTCTTTTTCTATTCTGTAACAGTGCTTATGCTTATCTTTATTGTCACTAGAAATTCAATTGACTTTGCGTAGTTGTCATAGCTTTAGATCGCCGTCTGAATCGTAGAAGCTCAATATTTGCGCAGCCACGCCACTGACTAGCGGTGCAATGTAGCCAAGGCTGAAGGTGCTGTAACAAAAGAGGTCCTCTGTAGAACAAGAAAAGACGGAGGTATAAGAGGTCTGCGTTAAGGCATAAATAGCTTCACTGCTGCGTCTTACTCCCATTTTCTTCCTCATCACAAACATTCTCTTCTACAACTCAACTCAATGCAGTTCAATCCACTCTATCTAAGCCATAAAGATCACTCTCCTACTCACAAGCACTGCCGCTAGGTAGTATCCACGTAATAGCTTTATGCTATACTATCCCACTAACTCAGACCTAGTGCACCTATCATGTCAGGCCTACTCGCTTGTCAATGCATAGAGATGGCATCAAATGAGAGGTCTGCAGTAATTGCAGCACAGTACTGCAAAGGAAGAGGAACAACTTGGTATGATCAACTTTCAAACACAAACACTGTACGTATTCATCTCACTGAGAGCAATAAAGCATAATCTGCAGAATTACTAACAAAACGTCTCTACGGTTAGTACATCGTCGAGAGAGGCTGGAGCAATGCTGATTGTGGGAACTGGGAAGGCAACCTAGCCGGATATCGTTACCGTGCCGTCTGTGTCAACCATAACGGCGGCGGGTGTCCTTCTTAAAACTCTTACTGTGGTGACACTGTAACGATATCTCTGAACTTAGGCCCAGCAAGGCCAACCCTTGGGCCAAAGGAAGTTGCAGTCACGTGTATAGTGTATATAGTCTCATCCGAACTTTGGGTTACTCATCAAGGATTCGTCTCAATCCACTCTAACTCATATTTTGTGCCTATCTGTGAAAACCCTGGCGAACACCTATTCTTTGCACAAGATTGTACGGCGTGCTTAGTGTTCTATTCTCTAGAAAATCTCTCTCACACTAGTAGTGTTTAATTGAATGGGGCTCAGTATATTATAATCCTCTAACTATTGCCTGAATAATGCAGCCTTATTAACACGAGTTATCTAGCTTTGTGCTTTGGCGCGGCTAGAATATAAAAAGCCGGGCCACTTCTGCACAGCAGGGATGTCAGTTGCAGCTTAGCTGCATGATTTGATGAAGCAGCAAGTCACTACTGCAGCGCAACTGGCTTGTTGGGGGCACTAACCTGCGCGGAATGCTATCTTGATATAGTATCCTATCGTTTGGCTAGCTTTTAGACAGATACACAGGAGTTAGAGAAGGTCTGAGGAAGTCTAAGGTGGTAGAGATTGGTAGCCTAGCAACGATTTGTGGTATTGCAAGATAAGCAAGTGAGCTATGACAAAGAAGTTAAGTCTGTAGAGAGAAAAAGAGCCGAGGTGTCTATCCCGAGAGGATATAAGCTATGTAACAGGCATTGACGCTGTTAGGGGAGAAAGTGGCGTTAATGTTCCATTACGAGTGTTGTTCTGTTACAAGAGGATAGACGCTAACGAGATTTACTGTTTGATATTTTTCGAAACTGCCCAAAGATTTGGAATGTCGCTCGGACAAACAGAAGATTTTTCAAGATTGGTGTAGACGTTTGGATTCAGCGGATAAGTACAATAAATACTTTCTTGAACGCTAGTCATTAATTAGGTGCATTACACCGTTCATAAAACGCTACTCTAGCGAGTTAGTGTGTGCAATAGGACCAGATCAATTCTTAAATCACGGAACACTACGGTGATTTGCTAGGAGAAACCAACACCACTGATTAGAGGCTAGATAGCAGATTGATTAGTGGACTAGAGAAGACTAATTAGTACGAGGATCACCGTGTCCTATTTGAATGAAGATCTACTAATTCTCTTTCTCACCTCCGCCTAGGGCTAATTCTCAGTCTTAATTATATAAGTCCCTCTATCTCTCTTTCCACAAATATTCTGTCTTTACTAAACCATTAACTAATCAATCATTAAATTTCTCTATCCAAACCTCACCATCTTCCGTACACCCATCAACCCAACATGAAAAGCCTCTCCACCCTCGTCATTCTTCTCACTGTTAGCGCAGTATCTGCCAGAAAATGTCTCGATGGCGCTATGGCGTGCCACTGTACGTTCTCTACTACATAGTATGCATACGTATATCAGTACCTATACTGACTGCATTCAAGATGGAGTGCAATCCTGCCTGAAGTTGTGCTACCATGGCTGCGATTGCGATGACATACGCACCTTTGACGGAGTGCGATATGGCTTGAGTAGTAGGGAGTGTACCGTGTCGATTAATCCTGAAGTTGGCGAGGATTGTTAAATTGGCGTTGTTGTGTGGCTATACAGGACCTGAACAAGGCTCTAGGGTTGAACTGAGTGAGTAGTACGCAAGGCTTATAGAGCGTAAGGAGGAGTCTTTTAAAGGTCTCTACCCACCTTGACTATCAGGGGTAAGTGATAGCTATAATCCAATCTTGGAAAGTTTCCCAGTATACTGTAAATCTTCTTATTCTTCGAGTCTTCGCAATTCTTACCCGCTTGGTACTCCTTGTAGCCTTCTAAAACTAGCAGTCTCCTGGATATGAACGAGTATGCGTTCAGCCCACGCTTAAGTCTTCTTTCGAAGTTGATCTTTCCAGCAGCTTTCAAAGTGATAATAAAAGCACGGCTAGTAACATTGGAGGGCGCTATAACAAAGGGTTCAAGATAAAAGAGTTGAAAGAAGTATGGAGGTTCAAAAAGATAACCACGTTAGCTCGGAGAGGCTTCCGAATTTTCATTGTGGCTAACACCCCTGGCCTCCACGGCAGGTAGTGACTTTTAGCGCTGTCGTATGTCTTAAATTTGTCGACTTTCTTCTTACAGGTTTTTGATAGACCTGACATATGTCACGTGGTATGGTCAATCGTACGCACCATGTTACAGCCACTAAACCACCATGCAAAGCCCGAGACAAAAATTTCCAGTCCCGAAGATATGTAATAGTAGTAGTGGTGGTCTGAAACCTTCGTGTATGCTCCTGCAAACAACAACTCTACGATGAACTCATCATATGACTTAGATTTTTGCTACGCTGCAACCAGCAGTAACAATTGTAGACATGTCTGACTCGCGTGTAGATTTCAATTGATCCTAGTCTCAATAGATGCGTTGTTCTTGTGAGTGCATGAAATATGAAGCACTCCGTCACAATGGCAAATGGGCATTCATCATGTATGATTACACTCGACTGTTTAACTGAGTTTGAATGTACTGCAGGGTCTAGCTCTCCTTTTGCACGGCAGTCTACTCCTCAATTGTCTTGACGCACTCCCATCCGCCACTGAGCCGCTCCTTCCAGAGACTGACCCTGTTGTCGCCAGTGCTCACGGCCAAGGCGTTGCCACTCAAGCTCCAACTGACACGCCAGGCGGCGGCTTCAACATCTAGCTTAGTGCGCTTCCATTCGCCTCGCAAGTCCGAAGAGGTCCAGATGATGACAGTTTTATCCTGAGAGGCAGAGGCAATGTATGACTTTGATAGAACGGTGGGTGACCAGGCTACGTCGCGCACCCAGTCCTGGTGACCACCAGGGAGTATCTGCAGGTTTTGCCAGCTGCCGCTGTCGGGGCTGAATTCCCATATTTTGACCTGGCAGTCACTTCCACCGGTCACCAGCCGCCTGGCAGCCGCTTGGTTGCCGCCTCCACTGGCGACTTGTCCAGGCGCAATAGCAGGAGCCCAGGATACGCTGTTGACGCCACTTCCATGAGCCTGGAAAAGCTGATGTGTCCAGTTGTTGTCCTTAAATTCGAGTACGGAGACGTTGCCGTCGGTGGAAGCACATGCGAGTAGGCAGCCTGCCTCGTGGGGTGCCCATGCGACAAGGTTGACCGAGGCAGTGTGAAGAGCGACCTCGTAAATCTTCTGCCAGCTGTTGGACTGCTCGCGCCAGATGAGGACCTTGCCGTCGTACGAAGAGGAGGCGAGGATGTTGCCGTACTTTGGGTGTGCCCATGCGACACTCCATACAGCACCTTCGTGTCTGTCAATGAGTTAGCGGTGAATTGTGACTTGGTTGCGCAGTCCTGGCTGGCTATGACGTACCCTCTGAGTGTCTCTACCAATGTGTGCTTGTCGCCTTCGACCTCGAAAATCTTGATCGTCTTGTCCGAAGAACAAGTCGCTAATCGTCGGCCATAGTAGTCCAGAACAGCATCATGCTATAACTTGTTAGCAGCCACCCCGAACATGCTGGTATTGTAATTGAGATGGCCATTGCGCCAGCAAGAGCGCCCCAGCGAGGAAAACAGATGGGCAGGCGGGCATGTATGCAAACGTACTATCATATCATCGTGGCCCGAGTTGGCTATAACGTTGGCCTGTGTTGCGACAATGGCGGGTTAGCGGGTTGGGTTGGGTGTGTGTTTGGCGGGGGAGGGTGTGCATACCATTTTTTTTGCTCTAAGCCGGTTGCGGGAGAGGTGTAGTGGAGGGAGAGGGAGGATCAGAGTGCTCGAGAATCAGAGTGCGCAGGCAGCAGAATGGCGCGTCCAGACGTGTCCACAGCTTCAAAGTGTAAGTAGACGCTGCTGTGGCCTCAGTGCAGGGGTGCGTTGATGAGATTAGATTAGATCAGATCAGCCTGACGCGCTAGCAACAACGCCCATGGCCCGCGTCACATGCAACCACTACCTACGTACGAGCATTCAAGCCGCAGCACATACCATGGCATATTCGTCCCCGCGCCATTCACAGCAATTCTATCAATACGACGCATCGACACCACCGCCCCCGCCACCTAAACCAGGACGTGCGAGTGGAACAGCAACGCCATCTCAGGGCCCTCCACTGCCGCCCCCACCAGGCCAGGCATCGTCATTTGGGGACCCGCAGCAGCACTCGCAGACACAGTATCAACAACATGGACACCAAGTGCTCGACCAAGTAGCAGTACCAGGACCAGAGGACGGCTGGCTGCCGGATGTGCTCAAGGACAAGTCGTATGTCAGCTCTTGCATGTCGACCAAGCCTCTGCTAAGGTACGGGTTAGGACCAAGGATCTGCATCATGTGCTGCAGACACCAGAACTACAGCATGCGATAATTCATAATCCCGAAACAAGACATGGCTCACTACCTGCATCCACGGCACCTTTGCAAACATTGCTAGCACAGAACATAGGACTTGCTGAATCACTCAAGCAGCTTGAAGCACACGTGCGGCACCAGCGCGATGACGTACAGTCACGTCTGCTAGCGATGCGTGCTCTGGAGCGCCAGTGGAGAGCAAAGCAGAGCGAGCAAGACGAAGCACTGCGGGAGTTCAGCCCACCTGCACTATATCAACGATTGAGTGCAGCAGTAGGCGAGCAAGAAGCCCTGTGCCGAGGACTCGAGGAGAGTTTCCTCGATGGCGAAGGGTTTGGCGGCGGAGACGCCGTAGCCAGTGACCGCGAAGTAACAGACTTTGTGCGCCGACTGAGAGAAGGGCGTAAGATTGCCTATCTCCGTGCGGAGCGAAAGGAGCGCTGGGATGAAGGCCGGGTTGGAGGATGGCGATGAAGGAAGGGGTTGTGGTTTCTCGGCATGAAGCGCGGCGGCGGGGCTCTTCGTATCGGAGCATTAAGCATGTGGTTAGTTGTGTATGAAGTGAGATGGGTGGCCCCCAGTGTCAAATAAGGGTCACGGGCAAGGGCGGTTGGAGGAGGGGATGAAAATAGCAGTGGGGAAGGGGAGAGGGGAGAGGGGTATTTGCATAATGGCAGCATGAGAGTTATGCAGGTCAGGGTCAAAGGTCCATTGTCGTGTGAGTGCGTGTGTGCGTGTGTGCGGGAGTCCGTGTGAGAAATGCGACTACAATTATTTTGCCTGACGGCGAGGATGGGTTTGGCCAGGAGGATTAGATTGCGCTTCAGGGGCCGTGTTCATGTCGTGGTGGTGGTGGTGCGATGCGGCGGCGACGAGCACAGCCCGCCGTTCGCGGGTGGTGGTGCTAAGCTTGGCACAGGCTGTCCCATTCGGGCGGTGCACGAAATTACGTGCGCGAGCCAGATACGCAATGGCTGGCCCTTGGTCAATGCAAGCCACCCGTTGCGGGCGGGCGTCGTGGTGGTGGTGGGCGGTGGTGTGCCCCAGAATAGTAAGTAGGCTGTCTATGTACTTATCTGTCAGTTTACTACAATCCAGCAATGCAGCCGAGACCCGACTCGACTCCAAGGGGGATGCAGTTCGTCTGAGGGCCTTGCAGAGCGTTTCACGGCCTCATCCTTTGACAACCAGCACCCCCACCACCGCACATGTCAAGCTCGAGCCGGAGCGCGCGACACATGCCAGACTCATCAGACTCATGCCGACTGTCCATTTGCATGCCGGCAGCCGACTACTAGAGTAGCGCATCGCACCCCAATGCCCGCAGCCAGAAGTACACCACTCCCGGCTAGGACACCCTTATGTCGAGCATCCCCGACTTAGCCAGGCACCATCGCCAATTGGCCGGATAAAAAAAAGGCGTGTACCTGCAGATCCGAGCGCAGCCCCCCAGTTGCCCCCTGGCACGGCACATATTCTCGACTCAGCCAACGCGAACTGCCCATGACAGCCCAGGTCCGCCAGCACAAGCGCCATCGTCCAGCCAATTCGCGCGCGGTGATCTGCCCAGACGACGCTCCCCAAGCGCCGCGTCTGGCCACTCCTGGCCCTAATCCTGCTAGTAAACTCTCCTTTTGCCAGCAACCGTCTTTGGCGACCCCCTCGACTTTCATCAAGCTCTCCCATTTGTGCAAGGTCATGTACCTACATATCGGTGTCGCGGGGGAATAACACGACAATATGCAAACCGTCCAAGCGTCCAGCGCCGACACGCGCCCTCTGCCAGTCTCGCCGCCACGCCAAAAGGGCTCCTCGCTCGCCTCCATTGCCATTTCATCCTTTGCTGCCTTTCGGTCCCAGGCTCCCCAACCTGCTCCTGCTCCTGCTCCTCCTTTCGGCCTCCAGTCGCCGCCCGTCCGCAGAAAGCCCTTGCCTGTAGACTCGCCCATTGTAGGCCGCTTTCTTGTCGATCAGTTCAATAGGCCAATTGCTACTACTGCCGCACCATCGCTTAATAGCAGCCTCGCGCCGCCTGTCACTGACGAAGACCTCTTCGTGCCTCGCAATCTCGACGAGTAAGCCCTCCCGCCGCCGGTCTACGCCTTCCCTACCCTAGCTAACACCTTTCCAAGTAACCCGCATGGACGGACTCCTCTGACGGGAACTACGTCGCAACCTGCATCCGTGTCCCCTAAAAGCTTCCCTGTGACGGCTACCCTGCCAGACCCAAGGCATGACCGACCAGCCAGCAGCATACACCCCCAGCAGCAAAGCAGGTCAGAGGCCCTAAAAGCATTTGGCATCAGCGGAATACACGCCCGCTCTCCTACCATGCCTAATATGCCATCGTACACCAACACAAACAACGCACAACGACCACAACCAAAGTTAGATATAGACGGCGCTACAGACGACTTCATGGACACCTACTCCTACAGTCCCGAAGGAGACTCACGATCAAAGCAAAACAACAAGCCCAAGTCCCCGGGAGGAGGAGGTTTCACCTCCTTCTTTGGCTGGAACTCCCGCGCTCAAAACGGCCCCGAATCGGCGGGTACAGGCTATTCCGAACACTCTCCAAACCTAGACTCCCCACGCTTCAGCAGACCTAACAAGGCCAAGCCCATCGGCCTAGATATACCAGCTGCCAACTCTATGGGTTCATACTTTAACATCCCCGGAACCCCACTTTTATCTTCTTCGCCACAGATGAATGCGCACGTCGAGGAGCTGGAGCGCGAGCTCCGCGAGGTCAGCTCCGAGCTGGCTGCCTCGATTCAAAGAGAGATGGAACTCGAGGATGAGGTGGAGCGGTGGAAAGCCGAAAGCTCTACTGGCATCTCAGATAACCGACGGACGAGTGACTACTACTCAGACTCCGGCACCAGCTCTGTTCGATTCCCCATTACCGATCCAGAATCCAAGCTTGAAGAGCTGGACACGCAACGTAGAAAAGCCGAGCAAGAGCGCGCTTCTCTCAAAGTACGCATGGCCGAGCGTTTACAAGAAGAGCTTCGTCGACGCCGAGATCTTGAAGAGCAAGTGCAACAGCTTGAAGACCAGGTTAGCAATAAGTCAAGAGTAGGCTCGGTCGTCGAAGCACCACAGGTCAAAGAGCTAGCACTGTCTCTTGAAGATGCCAAAAGGCGTCTGGCTGAGGAGCGGCAGGTCAAGGAGAACTTTGAAGATCTCCTGACAGCCCTCCGCGAAGAGCTGGAGAAGCACCGCAACGAGGCCGACAACTTGCGCGACGAAGTCGTTCCACAGCTCAGGGCTCGACTAGAAGTCTTGGAGGCGGATGCCGCCGATACTGAAAAACTCGTCTACGAGTCCAGCCGCATGCAACAAGAGATCAAACAATTACGAAGCGAAAATGAATCGCTCGCCAAAGCCCGAAAACAGCAGCTTTTGCAACAACAACAGGGACAACCTGTTCAGTTTCAATCAATTGCGGAAGAAGCAGACATCACTCCCCTATCAAACATGCGCGTTGGTCTGACACGTTCAAACTCACTAGCTCGTAGTTCTGCTGGTCTCAATTCCAAGAGGGGATCACTGTCACGGTCCAACTCTGTCAAGGATAGATCAGGTGACATGTCTCCTGTAGGTGCACCGGCAGTCAGCAACCCAATGAAGGAACTCGAGGAGCAGCGAGATGCGCTACACAAAGCATTAAAACATCTACTCCAACGACAAGAGATGCAGCAAAGAGAGTTCCAGCGACGTATTAGGGAGGTAGAGGCCGAAAGGGATGCTGCTCTAAACCTCACTCCCCGACGGACTGCGTTCCACAAGGAGGTCACGGGATTGCGACGAGAGGTCGATTCTCTTCGACGCCGTGCAGACGATGCACTTGAGCAGAAATGGCAGTGTGAAAAGGGCTTGGGTGGATTGAGAATGGATCTGGATCGTGCTCAGCAAGAAACCAGCTCGCTCCGTGATCTTCTCCGAGAACACGACATTACGATACCTGAAATCCGCATCGAAAACGAACCCATGGCTTTGGACAAGGCTTACAACGAGCTGCGAACTACGCACGCACTGTCTCTTGCTCGTGTGAAACAGCTAGAAACAAGTGACGCAGACTCGCTTGGGGCGGCTAGCGCTGAAACAGAGAGAACGCTGGACCTGCTCAAGCAGAGCATCTCTGATGCCGAGGCCGAACGTGACTACGCCCAACGCGAAGCTGAGCAATACCGCCAGCAAGCTCGTGCCCTCCAACAATCCGAGATTGAACACCTTGGCAAGGAGCAGCAGCTCAGCAAGGAGTTGTTTGCTGCTGCTACCCGAATGGATGAACTCTCCAACAAGATCCAAAACCAGCTGACTGCCAACAACGCTCTGCGAGGACGTCTCACTGAGGCTATCATCCGCGGAGAACAGGAGCAGCAAAAGTCGACCGACCAGATTGTGCAGCTCGAGAAGAGGCTCAAGGCGGCAGAGGACAAGGTCATGCTTGCCCAACAGTCGTCGGAAGAGGCAATTGCACGTCACGAAGGCGAGGTGCAAGCTCTCAAGGAGGGCCATACCAACCACTTACGCCGCGTCAAGTCTGGACTACTCAGTCCTTCTGCCTTTTCTCCCAAGTTCCCAACATCTCCAGTCTTTGCCCAGAAGTCGCCCCGTCTGACCGTAACGACAAGTGGACCGGCCATGACGTTTGCCGAGGCTACCAAGACGGAGATGCTCGAGAAGCGAGTAGAGGAGCTCGAGAAGGCTCTCCGAGATGCTGATCACGAAATGGAAGAAGTCGTCGGCCGCATGAACCTCGCTCAGATGGAGGTGGCCGACCTGCAGTTTGAGAGGTATGTTTTCTTGCATATGAATTAGTTGATGATTGTCACTAACATTTGGATAGGGACGAGGCCATGAGGCAAACTAGAGGACTTCAAGCTGAGATTCTTGCCGAGCGCGAAAAGGTCAAGGCCTTGATGGCCACGACTGCATAAGCCGCTTTAACGAGACTGCGACACTTACCCACCACGTAATGTTTTTTCTACCAACCGCCAGCCCCTTGGAGACTACTATAGTGTCTTGGGCACACTTATTGCATCTTTGGCGTTTCCCAATGACCCATTGCATTTACCACGGGTGCCACGATCATACGTATACTACACTTCACCTTTACATATCTTGTCTTATTACATACCTTTGCCTGTGGGCAGTCGACAACCTTTGGCCGACAATGTTCTATACCCGTCGGCGGTACGCTGTTACGCGACCTTTCTATATTCGACCCGCGGCAGTCTATTGAGGAGAGTGACCGAGAGGGGGATTTTATTTGGGAGCATTTTGCTCAATGTGGATGGATCTGTACCCTCGCGCAGGGTCTGCATGTTGTAGTTGTACTATATATAATAATGGTGTAATGGATGATGGTCGAATGTCGCTCAATCAATGCCTTTGTCTGTACCTGTGTCAGTAGCCACGTGTTACTACACGTGCCCTAGTTGGGAGCGTATCGCCACCACACAAAGTGGCGTGCGACGTTTTTGTATCACTGATGCACGCTGCCTTCTCGCGTGGCTGCTTTGGTTGAGGCCTGTGTATCCGCATGTGCTGTTAGCTGGGCCGATGGGCAGTGGGCGGTGGCGTGCGTACGTATCGATAGGGAGCTCGTTGTTCTCGACTTCTGGGGCCTTGAGGCGTATGCGCATACACATGTCAGTATGTACTTGCCGAAAGCAACTGTGCAGTGCACTTTTCAGCTGAGCTTGTGCAGCCATGACTCGATCTGGCCGTGGGGGCAGAAGCAGAATGAATAAGGCTGTATACGAGCGTGACCATGATCCCGGAGTTGGGCAACAAACGACTTTTTGAAACGCACCGAGTTGCTGTTGGCCATGTCTGTTCCCCGCCTGAAGTTGGTCCCTGCGCCCTAAACTTATCCCTGACGGAGCTACTGCAGCAGTCCCCAGCACCTCCCTCTTCTTGCCAGCAGTGCGCTGAAGATTCCTCAATAGTCGCCGTGGATCTTTCCTCAATCCCGTGAGCCTGTGACACTACTGCTCCCCCTTGTCCAGGCATATTGCCCATCTTACTACTTGTCTCGAGTCCGATTTGATACTCCATCATTCACTACACCGACTCCCCCCTCAAGAGTGATTGCGGAGGCCCACCATGAGCAACAACAACAACAACCAGCAGTCCAACCGGCTCCAACTCAACTTTGGTTTCAATAATGGTGACCGCAACAATCAGTACCAGCAGGAAGCCGGCAGAGCGTTCCCCACGACCCCCTCGACCTTCCCGCAACCTGTGTACCCGAACCAGGCTGGTCAGCAAGAGGTCTGGGGTGCCCAGCAACAAGGCAATGGCTATGGAAGCGGCGGCTACTTCATGAATCCCTACCAGCAAGCGCAATATCAGGGACAACAGGGCAACCTCCAGGGTCAAGGTAGCCAGCGTTTTGATCAAAGTGCCAATGGCTTAGCCCAACAACTCTCACACCAGCATCTCGGAGGCGGCCGCTCAGGAAGTCCCTATGGCCGCCAAGGCTCCCCGAACCCCACGCGTCCCCGTACCGCAGACAACAGATATGGCTATGGAAGTCAGGGCGGCTCGGGACCACGACCGTCTTCGCTCTACGATGAAGAGGCCCCCCAAAGGAACCCCGGCAAATACTCGGAGAATGTAGAAAAGCAGGCCATGGTGTCCAAGAGCCTTATCAACACCTTCTTCAAGGACAGTGTCCAGCGAGCACGCGACAGGAACCAAAGGTGGGGTTTCGTCCCATTCCCTATATGCATCAGACTAACCATGGTGTAGAGCGCTCGAACTCGAGGCTCTTATGAAGGAGCCATCCATCTCCGACAGCCGAAAGGCGACCAAGGAAAACAGCATGCGCCGAGCCGAAGTCGAATACTTGCGATTCCTACGAACAAAAGAGAAGCCTGAGAACTTCACAACTCTCAAGATTATCGGCAAGGGTGCCTTCGGAGAGGTCAAGTTGGTCCAACGACGCAACGATGGCAAAGTCTATGCACTCAAGTCGCTTGTCAAGCAGGAAATGGTACACAACTACCCCAAGACAAAAAGCACACTCATCAGACTAACTCTGAATAGTTCAAGAAAGACCAGTTGGCGCACGTGCGTTCAGAACGTGACATTCTCGCTGAGTCCGACAGCCCATGGGTTGTCAAACTACACACCACCTTCCAGGACAATACCTTCCTTTACATGCTCATGGAGTTCTTGCCAGGTGGTGACTTGATGACTATGCTCATTAAGTATGAAATCTTCACCGAGGATATCACACGTTTCTATATGGCTGAGATTACTCTTGCAATTGAAGCTGTCCACAAGCTTGGCTTCATACATCGGTATGTACTTTGGCGATAATATTCCGATATGGGCTCACTAACACTCCCAAGTGATATTAAGCCTGACAACATTCTTCTCGACCGGGGCGGCCACATCAAGCTAACGGATTTCGGTCTGTCAACTGGTTTCCACAAGGAGCACGATGCTGGGTACTACAAGAAGCTGCTTGCTGGCGGCGCACACAAGTCAAACCGCGACAACCGACAGTCAATGAATCTCGACCAGATCCAGCTGACAGTCAGCAACCGTACTCAGATCAACACATGGCGTAAGTCTCGCCGACAGCTCGCATACTCCACCGTTGGTACCCCCGACTACATTGCGCCTGAGATCTTCAGCGGCCAGGGCTACGACTACAGCTGTGATTGGTGGTCGGTAGGCACAATCATGTTCGAGTGTCTCATCGGCTGGCCACCGTTCTGCGCTGAAGAGCCTCATGATACTTACCGTAAGATTGTCGACTGGCCGCGCAACCTGCACTTCCCTCCAGACCAACAGCTTGGTACCGAGGCCGAAGACTTTGTTCGAAGGTATGTCTTTGCATAAGCTCGTAGCTATTCTAGTTCATAACTAACAAATGTAGACTGATCTGTGATGCTGATCATCGTCTCGGTCGTATCGGCGGCGCCAACGAAATCAAGCAGCACCCCTTCTTCCGCGGCGTGTCATGGGATGGCCTGCGCCGCATTCGCGCGCCTTTCGAGCCCAAGCTGCAGTCCAACATTGACACGCAATACTTCCCTATTGATGAGATTGACCAAAACGACACATCGGCTGCTCACAGGGCGCAGGCAGCACAGGCAGGTGAAGACGAGTACGCGACGAGCTTGCCATTCATTGGATACACATATAAGCGGTTCGACGCCTTCCGCGGCTCGTAGGCGCAATGGTTCTCATACCCACATTATCCGAGTTCAAATTCTGCACGTGCTTGTATCTTCTCTGCACACCCCTGTCTTTCCCTGGCGGACCGATGCGACGGGCGCACAGTCATATCAAGCTATTTCAATCATGTTTCTAGGATATGTTTTGAGTTCAAGCTGTCTTTTGAACATTTTTTTATCAAAACCAAAGCGAATGTAAAGTTTTTTCCAATGCATCATTATTAGGCAAATCTAGGCGAAGGGGTGTGGATAAGACAGGAATTGGAAGAGTTTACTACAGAAGAGATATATATGTCATCTGAACCATCTTGAGCTGTGTCTGGAACTTGACCGTGTTGGTGCGTCCTTGCTCTATTGGTACTGAATAGCTGAAAGCCCGTTTTGAGAAAGGTACGACCTACTCCCGTTGCTTTGACATGGCAGTTCAACCTGTTATTACCGTTTCCATGCTCAAGGTATCAGTGGGGCTTTCTTATTATCCGTTCCAACGCCATACACCGTCTTTATGGGCACCGAATGTCCGCACTAGTAAGGTATTACATCCACCATAGCTGCCTTTTCAAATCTCCTGTCGACTTCTTCGTTCCGAATATTGCCTCACATCCCGTGAACCCCATGTTCTCTCTCTCTCGCGTTGACGCACATTAAAACCGCTCGGTCGTTTGCGCTCGCCTCATCGCGCCTCAAACTGCACCATACTGTGTTTCCCCCGTCATGTCAGCCTTTTGTACGCTCATATACCCTAAATTTTGCTTCCTTGTTCCCCGACTCCGCAGATAAACTAGAACAACGCAAAACAAAGAGAAAAACTAATCTTACCGGTTCGTCCTCTGCTTGTACAAAACGCGATGACCGCAGTTACGGCAGCGAATCGGCTCGCCGCGCTTAAGCGGGACGTCCATGTCGCAGTCACCGCACTTGTAGTGGACGGTTCGTGCGGTTGCGTCGACGGTTGTGGTTTGGTTGTCTGCGGTGTTGCCGCCTGAATATTGTTGTGACATCTTTTTTTTTGCTGGTAGCGGGATTTGTGAGGGAGAATGTGGGAGAGCGGGACAGCAGCAGTATGGGGTTGTGCGGGTGTGTGTGGGTGTGTAGAGTGCAAGTGGAAGATGAAGGAAAGGAAAGGCGATGATGGAACTAAGGCTCCAGGCGCAAAACGCAGGGTAGCCGGCGCGATGGCACGTGCCTTATCGATTGTGAGGTTGATACTGGGGCTTGGCGCTGGCACAGCTGCTTGAGAGATGGGTAAGTGGATGATGTGGATGGTTTTTTTAATGGTAGTTTGGGCTTACTGGATTGCATTGATGAAGGTAAAGAGGTGGAGAGAATGATATGAAGTTTTGTATTCAATGGGAACGGTTCGGGTCATTCGAGTCTGAGCTTGGCCGAAGAAGCATTTCTCACCAACGGGATGTTACATTATATCTTAGCACTAAATGGCTGTATGGAAGTATCGTTTGAGTGTGTTACTCTGTTGGTAATTACCTAGTCTCCAGTTCAATGCTACGGCATTTTGTATCCTTGACTAAATACATATTTGTCTCGCCGGCAACTCAAGTTGTTGCAAATTCTATATCCATATTGAACCAAAGCATCAGAACAGATAGTTGATTAACATGATTTTCATAGTTGATGAATACTATGAGATGGAATTGTCGCGAAATGCTTGGGAACGATGATGGGTCGCATGTGGGACATCTACAACACTATCTCCATTTGGACTAGTGTGGCAGAATCCCGGCCCGCGCTTCGAGAAAAAGTTGGGAAAGTCGCGACTTTTTGCGACCACAGACTTCAGGCCCGCAACACCACATATCCATACCCACCATGGCCGGAATCAAGCGCAAATCCGCAGGAGGCAGTGCGCCTGAGGTAAAGGACAAGAGCAAGAAGGTCAAAGTTGATAAGTCGGCGTCAAAGACCAAATTGAAGCACGAGGTCAAGCCAGTCAAGCCAGTCAAGAAGGCAAAGAAGGCCAAGGAAGAGAGCTCCAGCGAACTCGAGGAGTCCGACACCAGCGAACAGGACAATGGCTTCTACGGCTTTTCTGCCGCCGACGGCGAGGATGTGCAGATGAGCGATGCGGAAAGCAATGAAGAAGCTGAAGAAACCAATGGCAAGACACAGAAGCCTAAGAACGAAAGCGATGGCTCCAAAAAGCCCAAGGGCGATGGTGTGGAATCTAAACTAGCAGGATTGAATGGTAAGACTCGGGTTCTTCTACAATTGATGCCTCTGGTTAACTGTAATTCCAGTAAACAACTCACGGGAAGCGCATGCGAAACAAAAAGCCCTAGCCAAAGAACGCAAGGCCGCGAAGCCCAATGCGGACATCATTGAGCGCTCCAAGAAACTTTGGGAGAAACTTAGGCTCAAGTCGCATGTTGATAAGGACGAGAGGAAGGAACTCGTCAAGGAGCTGTTTGACATCATCACTGGCCGGGTCAAAGACTTCGTCTTCAAGCACGATTCTGTGCGTGTCATTCAGACTGCTATCAAGTACTCAACTATGGAGCAAAGGAGAATGATTGCTCGCGAACTGAAGGGAGAGTTCAAGGTTCTGGCCGAGGGCAAATACTCCAAGTTTTTGATTGCCAAGTTGGTAGAGAAAGGGTGAGTCTACCAGTCATGTTCTAGGCAATAGCCATGCTAATATCTCAAAGCGACCCTGAGATTCGTGACCTCATTATCACCGAGTTTTACAGCCACGTCAAGCGCATGATCAACCATCCCGAGGCCGCATGGATAGTCGACGATATCTACCGAGCTGTCGCTACCCCCGAGCAGAAGAACCGCCTACTTCGAGAGTGGTATGGACCTGAGTTTTCTATCAAGGGTCTCGGAGCTCAAGGCACAGATAGCGCAGAGCTCTCAGCCATCATAAAGGAGTCCCCTGAAAAGAAGAAGCCAATCATGGACTACTTGGAGAACCAAATCAACTCGCTCATTCAAAAGAAGCTGACTGGATTTACCATGCTGCACGATGCTATGCTGCAGTACTTCCTAGTCTGCGAACCCGGCACCGAGCAAGCAAATGATTTCCTTGAGCACCTCAAGCCTGATCCGACATTGAAGGAAGGCGAGGAGGCCGATAACGTGGATCTTTTGAAAAACCTTGCGTTCACCAAATCAGGCTCAAGACTCATGTCACTCTGCTTCGCGTACGGCACTGCAAAAGACCGCAAGTTGTTCTTGCGACCATACAAAGACACTGTTGAGATAATGGCTTACGATCAGCATGCTCACCATGTTCTCCTTGCCGCATTGGCTGTCACAGATGACACCAAAATCTCTGCGAAATCAGTCTTCAGCGAACTCCTCCCGAACAACGATTCCCTTCCTGAAAAGGTGCTCAACCTTGTGAACGATGCTCGTGCACGTACAGTTCTTTTATACCCATTCGCAGCTGATGCCAAATGGCTGTTGGATGACAACACTCGAGACCGATTGGCTGAGATATACGCCATTCGTCAGACAACATCGAAGAAGGACCCGAATGTCCGTCTGCAAGAAATTGCAAAGAACATTGAACCGCAGCTGCTAACAGCAGTTACTGCACGAGCCGCGGACTTTGCCTCATTTGCGTTCGGCTTGCAATTCATGGGCGAGGTCCTTGTTGGAGCACCTGAGGTTGAGCCAGCTAAGCGCAAGGAGGCCTTGACAGAAGTCGCACGCCTTTCTCAGTCGATATTGGACTCTTCTCTCCCTGCTTCAGCTGGCGACAACAAGGCCACCAGTCATGGCAAGAACATGCTCAAGATGCTTGTACAAGGCGGCAAATTCGACACAGTCGCGAAGAAGGTTGTTCCTGTTGAACCTGCTCTTGGTTTTGCAGATTTGCTTTGGCCCCAGATCAAGGACAAGATTGTTGACTGGGCGACTGGCCAAGGGTCGTTTGTTGTTGTGTCGATGACCGAAGCTGAAGGCTTTGCAAAGAAGGATGAGGTGTTGAAAGCATTGAAGAAGGAGAAGAAGGCATTGGAGGCTGCTGCCAACCCTACGGGCAGCAAAAATGAGGAGCCGAAGGGCAAAAAGCAGAAAAAGGGAGATAAGTCGGAATCTGTGCCTCGGGGAAATGCGGGCACAAGAATCTTGCTCGAAAAGTTGTAAAGCGGCCGACTAGTAGAATATGTTTGTCTAAACACATGTCATGATACCCATCTGAGGCTTCTTCTGTCCATCTTTTGGGTCCAAAATCAACTAAGTTTTTTTTGGTTCACGTGAAACCACATTGTGATAATGCACATGTAAGATACTCTAATATAGGCTGCAATCATCCTAATCGGGTAAAGCATCCGTACCTATATGCAGACACGTTGAGGCGAGAGCCGTTTGCTAATTTATTTACAAGAAACCTTGCACTCGCTCTTTTGTACCGACATAGTTTGGTTATTTCTCCCGTGCTTTCCTCAAATCTTCACCGCAATCGAAATATAGCTGTCAAACCAGCAAGTATCACGAAATAATACCGTGTTTGGTCTCACGCACCCCACATATGAGATAGTGGTATTACGATTCTTGAATTACTCCTAGCCCACTATCACCGCAATGCCACCAGAATTCGCCATCGACGAGTCATCTCTTCCGTCCGTCTTCCAAGCCCAATGGCAATCCAACCCTGATCCAACAGCGCTTCCCTTTCCACGTGACAACCCACCTTTCCCCCTCACCGCAGTCGACTGGCACCAGCTCTACCTTACGGACGCAGAATTCACACCTCACTCATGGTCCAACCTACACGAACTCATCTCTGCAAATCACCTCGAAGAGCTCAAACGCTGGCCCAGCTCCCTCAAAGCATATCTCGCGTGGACGGCGCACACCAAAGCAAAATATGGCACTATAATGGCATACCTACTCGACCAACGTCTCCACTGGCAGCCCATTGAAGATGACACGGGCGCACTGCGCTTCAATGTCGCCAACCCCGTCCCTTTTGCCGACACAGCAGATTTCAAGATCCTCCGAAACGACTGGACATATGCGTTTGAAGATGGCATCACGCATATCGTCGTGTGGCTCAAGCAGCGGCTCCCAGTTGACGAAGAGGGTGCGCTAAGTACCGAGGGCAAGGAAATGGTGGATGCGTTTGTGGATAAGGAGTTTAGGGCCAAAGCGGGGGAGGAAGTAAAGGGCGATAAGGTGATTTGGTTTAAGAATACGACGAATTTGCAGAGTGTGAGGAGTTTGGAGCATGTGCATATTTTGGTGAGGGGTGTGGAGGCGAGGGTGTTGGGGGGGTGGATGAGGTGAGGATGGGAAAGATAGTGGGGGGTTGAGGGAGGGTTGGTGTGGTGGTATCCGCGCATTGCATTGCGGTATAGAGTTGGTCTCTATGGGCTTGAAATCTTTTGCGTTGATTAGAGCATTCCAGCTATCATCGCATCTATCCTAAATCACTATATGCTAGTGGTTCTTTATCTGCGTAATGCTTTCAATGCTTTCTGTAAAATTCTTTCTTCGAATATCTTTACGGGCTTTGCTTTCGTTGATTTTTGTCCAGACTTCTTTCGAGATCCTTTTGGATTATCATTCAGGATAGCTTAAGATAGTAACTAAAATGTCTCTTCAAACATAACTGCTTACATATACTCAACCATGTCGCATGTGCTATCTTGGGCGGACGCCCAAGCGTGCTAGGATGCATCGTGTAATCAGACACTTTCTCTTCCGGAATCTTACATTGCCTCAAGTCTTGCTAATTGTATCACGCCCAGAATATAGTACCACCGCAATGATGTAGTTGGCACCACTCACTTCGGTTCCAGACTCAACTGGCCTGGGAGCCCTTCATCTTGGTAGATGATTTGCTCGAGAGGTGCCGAAGCTTTGATGTTACTGTAGACGGCGAGGGTATATGAAGAACAAACGGAACAGGTGGCCTGGATAGAGCTGACTGTGGGACCTACGAGAGGTCTACCAAGAATGGATGCAGTCATGGATATTTTGCAGTCCCAAAAAGGAAGTCTATATCCTATATTACCTCAATTTGAAGCTGTAGAAACCGTTACACGTCGAATCTAACAGTCGGACCTTTAGGAGAATACAATATTGTAGTTAAATGAGCTGACAATCTAGATATTTGTAAAGATATGTACATAGTTCATGGGCTCGTGTTGGGTAACAGGTGTATGAAAAGTGTTAGGGCTACAGTGAGAGTCTTCATGTGGCATCAGTAGAGTCTACGTCTAAGAATGACGTTAAGCTTGAACGAACAAACAAATGAACGACCGCCTACCAAAGCAGCAGTGGACAAACCCACAACAAACGCTCTATGGCTTGGCAGCTTGGTGCTACTACCTTTCCTCTAGATTGCAAATATTGTCTCTCTCACCCGATGCCTTGATTCTTCTCATCCTTCGGCAGTCACTTAGTTCGCCAAATAATCTGCTCTTGTGGATCGCTGCACCCTACCATCAAACCGCAATGATTGTTTTAGCCTGTCTCATTTCGGCGCCTTCATCCCTGTCACAAGTCAGCACTCACGACAAACCAAATCGCATACTCATGGGCCGCCGAAAAACTGAAAAAAGGGGACGAGGAATTCACGGAGCAATTCTCCAAGATTCTGCTTGGCCTAAACAAAGATGAACCAGTATCCAAGTCCGTCTCGGACACTTCGCGTTGATGCTAACTACCACTAATAGAGGGAACCTTCGATGCTCTACACAAACATCTGCCCTTCAGTTGGTTTAAATACGAATACTACGACACAGTCAGTCCTTTTGGAGATTCTCAGCAATTTCAGTATCACTCCCTCTGGACCTTTGATATCCAAAATAATATTTTGCGTTACACGAGTGCGGACCATTGTAGTCAAATACAACTGGGTCTTCTCTGAGAGCGTGCTGTGACATTAGCTGATATGAAACTAACCGAAGGGCCTATTCCTGTGCCTGTGGAGCCTACATTCGACTCAGAGACGCCTTGTTGGAAACCACATATAGGTGTCGACGACACAACGCATGCATTTCTTCATCGACTACTCCGAGATTTCCATTACAGATGGAGGCATATCCTTCGGAATAATTACGATTTCAAAACTTTGAGAGCACTTTCTCGAGCTATAATTCCAATTTCGACGCTTGATTTTGAGGTCCACGAGAACACGGGCGGTCATCGCCGGCTAGGCGTACATGTATGGATCACAGAGTCACCCGCCTGAAAGCTGTTTGAATCTGATTTGGTGCGTGTTGGAACCGTCTGGGTTGTCCTTTGCCAAGATATACAGGATGGACTTTCAAAAGCACAGCAGCACGTAGCATCACTTGGCATTGATACGACCGAGAGTGCTGGCGTGACAACGTCAAGCGAAGCGCGTGTAAATTACATGATCCTATCAGTCAAGCATGTTATGCTCTGTCACGCTACCGAGCGAGCTTCACTCAAGTACACTGCTCCAGAGCCGCTCTTCAATGGCGATTATGGCACCGGGCCTCCCTCAGACCTGGCACTGAATTATCTCATCTGAGCGACCGCCTCCCCCAGGCCTTCCATCTCGACAGCCACACAGTCCCTACCCATTGAGATTCAAGACATGATACTGGGGTACTCATCCATAGGCACAGCAGTAGCCGCTAAACTTGGCTGTATGCTTGGCTTGGAATCTCCGTTCTCATGGAGAGATGGCCCGTTAAAGGTTATATTGGAGGAAAGATTCACAGTTCGGCCTCGGGGATGCCTTGTTGAGACTGAGGTCTTGTTCGATGAGCAAAAAAGTGGTGTAGTCTATATAGCACGAGCAGGACAAAGTCGCCAGATAGACGAGATTTTGTATGGGTGTAGGAAATCGATGGAGAATACGATAATATTCAAAGTGAGATTATTGCGACTGGGGCGATCCCGTCAGAATGGTTGATTTCTTAACGCGCGCCAGGAGGTTAATGACAAATTTAATCTCAAGAACCATTACGTAGGGTCGTTAGTACTTGGACATTAGCTCCTGTAGTATCTAGAAAATTTTCACTCTTGACAAACTAAATCGCATGCGAAGCATCTATGAATCATGTCAGGGTGAAGACTAGCCTCGATTTCAATGAACACTATGAGACTATCTCGTATGGTGATTGATCATGGAAGTCAGATCGGATTTCGAACCTAGCTATGCGAAAGCCAGGATATGCAATGCTTGAAGCACTTCCATTAACTAACCTTCCAGGCTCCAAACCGCCGCCTGCTACTCACTGGCTGACCTTAATCTGAACCACCAATTTTTTATGATGCCTCAATAACTGCTCTTGCTATAAAATCTCAAGGCGACAATATTGAAGCTAATTTCGGGTGCCGCCATCATACGACTATCTCGTACTCTGCATTACGCTCATCTTTTTTCATGCTGATGGTCGTCTAATTTAATTTCGCTTCTCTAGAAGCTGAAAGGCACTTTCTTGTAACCATGGCAAGGCATAAAGTCTTCAACTCGCTATGGAAATGATGACTACTTGCATCTAGGTTCATGTGAGTTGCTGCGGTCAATAACCTTGTTTCGTGACTTCAACATGCAGTATCGGAATCGCACCACAAGCCAATAGAGCGAAACCAAAAGCAGGCTGTCAACGCAGCGAGGAGGGTACGATGGTTTGCCCACTCAGCTACTAACTGCATAGGTCGTTCAGTCCAGGACGTTTTAATGACAATGCGACGGCAGTGCGACAAGGCAGTGTGCTGCCACGACGGTGATGATCTTACTTATCCGATTGCTCGTCCCCATCTCCTCATCCCTTTTCGTCGTTGACCAACAAGCGAGCAAGCCGCATATTCAATACACCAGCTCTGAACGGTCAACCTCGATTGTGGGAGTGAGCCGAGAATTTTTCGTATCAATATAGCCAGGGAAGCGTCTTGTCATCCTAACTACTCGGTCCTGAAGTGATCAATCAGATACATTGTCAACAAATTGATCTTGCAGTAGTGTGTCCTCAGCAGCGAGCTACTCTAAATTCGATGTACGTGCGAAGCAAAGAGCCCTCTGTGTTGATGCTGTATGCGCTGTATTAGTGGCCTAGTAGCGATGACTTATGTGATACGTGAACATAGCTACCACGAGCATACATATCGTGGATCTGTGATACCTTCCGAGTGTGCCGGACCTCGAGCCGCACCTTGACCGCTACATACGGTTGATTCACCGCTCAGCTCCAGTCCAAGATGATAAGATGAACAACGTCATTGTCAGCAATAGTTTTCTTATCATTTACCCACAAATTACCCGTGTTCGAACAAACAGCCGTTTTCATAGTATGCTAGCTTCGCATACAAGTTGTTCACTTTGTTCGGCCTACAACTCTCTTCCTACTCTACAAATGTTTCACAGCTGCCTTCTCCAACTATCTTAACCCCTGGCATCTTCACTACAGACGAAGGCTGCTGCTTCTCAGCGGGGTCCAGCGGAAGATAGATTCTGATCTAGGGCCATGCCCAGAACATAGTACCACCGCAATGATGCCGTTGGCACCACTCGCTTCGGTTCCAGTACTCTCCACTGGTCTGGGCAACCCCGGAACCCTTCGCAAAATAGGTGAGCCCCTTGCATAACGGCTGCACAATCTGGAACTATATAACGCGGGTTGGAGGCACTGTTTTCTGTACAAGTTGCACTCTTCATTACTCTTATTGGACAAATACCATGAAGTACTGCGCGATAATTGGTGCGCTTTCTGCTTGCATCTCCGCGATCAGCAACATCCTCGTAAACCCTGTACGGCATTCTTGGGAAAAGCTAAAGTACTGAACAAATTTTTCGCTGACAAACGCATTAGGAACTTCTGAAAGGAGATATTTCGCGCGATAACTTATGGGCGGGTTCTCAACAATTGCAATCCTTCGCCTATGCTACGAACGAAAGGAATCGAATGATTTCTCGTCCTGGACACGAAGAGACAGTTAGGTGGATAAAAGAAAGACTTGAGGCTCTGAACAACTATTACGACGTCTCTCTCCAGCCCGTCTGGGCCATTGTTCAATTTACTGAGGCTGTCAATGCTTTTTTGATTGACGGCAGTGAGATACCAAAGTCCTCATACTCCCTCTTCGAATTTTCTCCGAGCGGAAAAGTAACTGCGCCATTGATGATTGTTGATGGCGGATGTAATAAGGTAAGTTTTCTAATCTATAGTGTAATGTCTGACTTGTTACTAAATTGCAGCAATGTAGACTGATTATCCAGCAGACTTAGCTGGAAAGATCGCCATCATCGCCCGTGGAACTTGCGATTATGGTATCAAATCAGCACTTGCTGGCTCTGTAGGCGCCTCTGGGGCTATTTTGTATAATATCAATGATGATGGCCCGGTGGAAGGAACGCTTCTTCCTCCCCCACGACCTCAGGGTCCCTACGTCCCCACGCTCAATATCATCAAGAGTGTTTCTGATCCTATTGTTGCAGCTCTCAAGCGCGGAGAAAACATCACTGCTAGTTTTGATATCTTGACATGTAAGTGCTGATTAGAATTGAAAATGATCTAGTCAATTGGCAAATTGATCCGTAGATGTGCCAAAGGACGAGACCCGCACGATATCGGGGAGCATAGTTCAGCACATTGCGAATCAGTTTTCCAACGATGTTGATCTATTCGCAACTCTTGTCCTTGTGTCGCATTGCAAACAAATTAGGCTTATGCTAAGATTTTATAGACATTCGTAACGTTACCACATCCAATGTCTTTGCGACTACTAAGTCTGGCGACCAAAACAACAAGCTCATTCTCGGTGCTCATACCGATTCCGTTATTGCTGGTCCGGGTGTCAACGATGATGGCAGTGGCATCAATGCCCTCCTTGAAGTCGCAAGAGCACTTTCAGGATATACAATCAACAATGCTGTAACATTTGCGTTCTGGACTGCTGAGGAACTATACCAGCATCCGGGTTCGTCGCATTTTCTTCAGACCCTTTCTGTAGCAGAGAAAGCTAAGATTCGCGCTTATTTGAACTTTGATATGGTATGTTGCCTGCCTTAAGAATAATTAATATCTCGCCAAAAAAACTTATCCTTACATGTTACATTTAGATTGCTTCCCCCAACTACGTCAATGCTATCTACGACGGCGACGGTAAGGCTTTTGGCACCGCCGGTCCCTCTGGTTCAGCCGAATTAAAAGCATTCTTCCAAAACTACTTTCAGACTGCCGGTCAGAATTATACTGCAACTCAATTTGACGGCCGCTCTGATTACGAGGCTTTTCTTGACGAGGGAATTCCAGTTGGCGGGACCTTCACTGGCGCAGAAGATAATAAGACTGCTGAAGAAGTTCTTATGTTTGGTGGAGAGGCTGGCATTCCGTACGACTCCTGTTACCACAAAGCGTGCGATACCGTTAGCAACCTCAACATGGATGCTTTTGTGCTGCATACTAGGGGTATTGCTGAGGCAGTTGCTACGTATGCAAATTCTTGGGTGGGGTTCCCAAAGAGAGAGGTTGCAAGTACTGCTACGAAGAACATAGCTAGGGCTAGAAGAAGCAGTGAAGGGCATGAACACGTTGGCGGCGGCTGCGCACACAGTTACTCGTGGATATGATCGATAGCTGGATGTGATAGGTGCAATCAGATAAATTTGTCAGAGGTATACCCTAACCTCAGTTCTTTCTTATTTGCAGTTGTAGATATCATGTTTTTCTCTTTTAAATGCTTCTTTTTGGAAAATGGCATTTCGAGGATAATGTGTTTATAGTAAAAAGAAGCGAAAATATACTGCCTCCGTTTCTCTGTCATCTATCCGGGCGCAGGGTAATTATAGCGGCCATGCTTAAATATCTCGTTGTACTACTGTGATGGATTGGACGCTGCTACCGTACCTATAGGGGAGGCACCTAAGACAACTGTACCGAGTACTAACTAGTTTCTACAAGCATGTATACCAATATTCTAATTTTCTTCATCTCACACTCACCCGACTAGAGACACATATATACCACGCATTGTTATCTGTGTCTTATTTCCAAAGAAAGCGTCGAGAAGAAAACTGTAAAATTCCCTCCTAGTAGAATTGAAAAATATGTGTGTAACAAAATGATGGCCACTATCCTGGATGCCAGATACACACGAGTCATCTATAGATCTATACTGCAAATCCAGACACTGCCGGACCCAACACCAACACCAACCATAGTCCCACAAACGGCCGAACGTGACGGTCGGTACTCCGATGGCACCCATAGCATGTTTCTCCCATCATGCTGAATCCATATGCCGTCTGAACTAAAGCCAGTCCCCAGATCTGTCGAGCGGCGCGTCGGCCCTGGGAAATCCATCGCGCTAGGCGACGACGTCTCTAACGTCTGAATGTTGATGGTGCCTGTTTCAGTAACAAGCCGAGCACCAGTGGCATCAAAGGAAAGTTCGAAGATGGGGTTGTCAACGGTGATTGTCTCCAGACACGTGCCGCTGCTGACGTCCCACAACCTTATGGTCCGGTCGCTAGACGACGACGCCAACCGGGGTTTTGAGTCATGGGAGAAGGCCACAGAGGTAACGGTGCTATTATGACCCTCTAGAGTGTGCAGGCATGCACCACTGTTCGTATCCCATACCTTGATAGTGCTATCACTGGATGCCGAAGCTAGCCATGTCTCATCAGGTGAGAAAGCCACGGATCTCACAGTGCCGCTGTGGCCCTCGAGTTTCTGCAGACCCGTGTTGTTTGCATCCCACACTTTGACGGTTTTGTCGCCAGACGCTGATGCCAGCCACTTCGAATCGTGCGAGATGGCGATGGACTTAACAGTACTACTATGGCCCTCGAACGTCTGTAAGCACGTGCCATTTGGATCCCATACCTTGACAGTCCCATCTCCAGACGCTGATACTATCCGCGTTGAGTCATGTGAAAAGGCCACGGAGTTTACCCAATCGCTGTGTCCCTTGAGGGTCTGCATACACGTACCGCTACCCGTGTTCCATACCTTAATCCTGTGATCTTCTGACCCGGAAACTAGCCGCGACGAGTCATGAGAGAAAGCTACAGACCTGACAGTAAGACGATGGCCGCTGAGTGTCTTCAAACACGTGCCGCTGCTTACATCCCATATCCTAATGGTGGCATCGAAGGAGGCTGACGCTAGCTGCGCCGAGTTGTGCGAGAAAGCCACGGACCTAACGTTACCACTATGACCCCTAAGCGTCTGTAGACATGTGCCAGTACTTGTATCCCACAACTTGATGGTTCTGTCACCCGAAGCTGATGCAAGCCGTTTTGAGTTGTGCGAGAAGGCCACGGAGTTCACCCAATCACTGTGGCCCTCTAGTGTCTGTAGGCACAGGCCGCTATTTCTTGTATCCCACAACTTGATAGTACTGTCTTCCGATGCTGACGCCAGCCGCGTTGAGTCATGCGAGAAGATTATTGAGGTAACATAATCCTCATGACCCTCAAACGTCTGCAGGCACTCGCCACTGCTCACGTCCCACACCTTCACAGTCCTATCTTCAGATCCTGATGCTATTCGTGTTGAGTCGTGCGAGAAGGCCACAGAGGTGACATCACTGCCATGGTTCTCGAGCGTTTGCAGACACGCGCTCCATCCCTCGCTCAGTACCGGCCTAATCTTGATCGCGCCTGGCTTTTCTTGCTCAAACAGTTGCCTGATCAAACTGCCCGTTGGGCTGAAGAGGATTGCGGATGCATAAGTCTGAAGAGGGTAACCCTCAATCGCTCCCCTATGGTACATGATGAATCTGCGCGCGTCTTCAACGATCTGACGAAGCTCTTCTTGGTTGCCCATTCCCTTCCAACATTAGTATAGTCACGTCACCACACGATCTAGACGACCTACCTGCACTAAAGACCACAGTTTTGTCATCGACACGACGCCTCTCCCTACACCTCTGCATAGGCTAAGCCCTTCTAGCCAATAGAGGTACTTCTCTCTTAGAAACTCGCCGACTCGGTCTGCAACTTGTAAAGATTCCGGCTTCGAGTCATACAGATGGTCAATCCAATAGACGCATGAGTATCGCGACTCTGCGAGCGGATCTGGGTCATTAGTTGTGACGTCCTCGATGGGATATCCTGGCGACTCTAAACTGTACATATCCTTGCCCAATGTTCTGTCTAGAATGGACAGCGACCTTGAAAATATGTTCTGATGGACGTCTTCGATCGTATCTATAAAGACTTTGCTATTGAACGCCTTTGCGAACAGAAAGTCCTTTGCGGACTGATGCACAAAGTAGACTGTGTCTTCTCGCAATGTGAGAAAAGATCCACAGTACCCGACAATCTGCTGCCTCGACTCTAGGTCGTTTATGTCTTCAAGCTGCTCCACTAGCGCAAACAATTCGGAGATCGTGACAGGGCGATATAGGATAGCAACAGAAGCTAGTGCATGCAGGCAGATCTCAGCGGAGTCTGATTCGCTTATCTGGTCCATCATTCGCCCATACAAAGAATCCAGTGTAGGCGGGAATACTGAAGCTAGCTTCTTTAGCACACTCCACTTTGGTGTCTTCCTCAGGTCCTGGCACACCAACGCCACCCAGAGGAAGGTATCGCCGGCGTTCGACCTCAAGTGCTGCAGTACAGCGTCGCGAATATCTGCCTTGTACTGCTTTTCCCGCGCCAGCTGATCCACCTTGCGTTGTATAAAGAGGTCAACTGCCGCTGAAACCGACTCCGCGTTTAGCTCAAGGCTCAATGTCGCTTGGTGTCCTACGTGCTGCTCCAGCTGCTCCTCAATTTCTGGCCAGTTACGGCTCGAAACTATCCATTTCACCCGAGGAGAGATAGATGAATGTCTGGCGATAAACTCTAGGAGGTTGGATCGATCAGTGATGCATTCGTCTAGCGCATCGATAATCAAATACGTTGGGCGCAAGTGTGGGTCATGGAGTGTATCTTCGAGGATCTCTGACAAAACCACCCAAGCATTTGCGTCTTCAAAGGACGACTTGCCAGCAGTCTCGTACTTCTTGAGAACGTGCGACATAAGAGATGGTTGTTGAGTAACGAGCATGTATAGTAGGCCTCGTAGCACAGCTCTGGCACTATTGATGCGTGGGTCAGCCGCTTGACAAAAGAAATACGCTAGAAGAGTGCTTTGGGGAGCGAAGGTCTGCTGCAGTTCGTTGATGATGCCGCAGAGTAACATCGTCTTCCCTTTGCCAGGATCTCCCTTTATCCATAGCAGCTGAGTGTGCGGGTTTTGGGTGTGCCGGTGGCGTTGCCATTGCTGGAAAGTTGTGTTATTGAGAACCCAACGGTAGGAGTCTGCTAGTAGTCCGCCCTTTGTATCCTCAATTCGTTTCTTATCGTCATAAGGGTCACTAGAAAGCAAGTCGCGGACGCAGTCCTTCAACTTTCGTATCTCATAATGCAGCCGTCTGAACGCTTCCTTTTCTCCCTCGCCATATACAGGTGCGATATCTACGTCACAGATACCCGACAATGAGTATGCCATATCTTCTTCTAGTTTGGTCTTTCTGTGACCTCTCCAACGCAGGCGCTCTTCGATATCGAACTGGGCAAGTGTGCCTTGAAGCACTTGGGGTGGGATACCAGTAATCTTGCTGATCAATGGCGTTAGCGACGTCTTATCACCAAGCATCTCCCCCTCTCGAGTAAAAAACTCTACTTTGCTAGGTGCAAGAAGCTCTTGAAGCGTCCACCCACGTGTGAACCAACGACTTGACCTAAAAGCAGGTTCCCAGGGCTGGGCAAACATCTCGTCTGATCTTTGCTCATTCGCCAACACGTCGGGTAGGTACACGTAGCACTTAGTCGCATTTTGGTACCAGCGAAACATAGACCTAATTGCTATAGAGAGCTCATTCTGGTCTGTCTTGTCGATGCAGCATGTGTCAACCCAGAAGTACTGTAACTTGTCTTTCCGTGCCTGGTCTCCGCAGAAGCGAATCTTTTCATAGCCAAGCTTATGCTCGCCATCAGCCTTTACAATGTCAGTAAAGGTCACCTCCTCTGTGTCCGCCCCCCAGGTATGTGAGAGTATCGCATAAGGTGGTATCTTGTCGTCATCGAAGCTGGTAATCGTAAGGCCACCATCTTCTCCGTACTCTAGAAGACGCATCGGCTCGTGTAAGAATGTAGTGGGCGCGCGATAGCAACGAGACGTGATCAGCTCCGCGTGGTAGCCTAGTACTCTACGACGATGGTACGGTGGCCTGATCGTGCCGTGCGCTGTACTTAGATGCCGGTGTAAGAGAATGGTAGTGAATAATCGCGTGACAATAGTTGTTTTGATAGTAGAACAGCGCTCTGAGAAACCCAAGCTGACATGAATGCGCCGTGTCGTTTTTCTGTTGTAGGAGCGGCATTAGGCGTGCCAACAGCTGATGCGCGCCCATGTGACCTTGTCTGCAGGATCGCAGGACAGAAGCGAGGACTCCACATCGAATATCCGCTCCAGCCGCCTTATGCTATTGTGGAAGTTAGTGTAACCACACACTACCCCACATGGGTAGGAAACATAGTTTGGTCATTTCAGTAAGTAGGTGCCAACTACACAATTGAATGACCTGAACACCTACATATCATACATAGCTCTTCGACTTAGACTTGTCACTACCATTTATCCGGATATCACTTCAAGTAATGCTCATTAATAAGCCTATATACTGCATTTTGCGCGTGTGACGGGCCGTGCATATCAAGTTGTGCTCAATAAGCTGAGGTAACTAAGGCGCCCACTTTCTGAGGATAAATTTGTCATTTTTTTTCCAAACCAATCATTTCCTTCCGAATCAGTGGTGTCCTCCATTTCTTCTTTTGGCGACGAAAGACATAATATACACTCTATTCCCTCATTATCTGTTTCAACTGGTATATTATAAACTGGTGCGACGCAACATGAATTGGCCTAAAATCACCCATGACGCTTCGTTCAAAGAGTACGACTCTTTGATTGTTGGTGCAGGCTTCGGTAGTGTATACTAGCTTAAGATGCTCCGCGATGCTGGCTACAGTGTCAAGCTTGTGAAACACGGATCAGATTACTGAGGTATTTGGTACTGGAACTGGTATACCTGTGCAAGCGTCGATAGTGCCGTTCCCCACTATGAATTCTCCTATTCAGTGTTATAGAAAGAATGGACATGAAGCAACGTTTTCCAGGCAGTGAGGAGCTCCGCGCCTACTTCCAACACGTGGCCGAGGTGTGGGTTCTGAGGAAGGATACGGAGTTCAATAGCTTTGTGTCGTCAGCAGCTTGGGGTGAAGATGATGTAAAATGGACTGTGAAGACTAATACCGGGGCGACTTACAAGGTGGAGTTCCTACTGCTGAGCACCGGCTTTGTAGTGAAGCGGTATGTTTCCAGCTAAAAAGGAATAGTGTCTTTCAAAGGTTGGATTGCGTAGCTGTCTCTATGAAGCCTACTCAACACTGGTTAGGAACCTTCTTATACCCGTCAGATTGGCCTCACGAAGAGCCTGACTTTCGGGGCAAAAATGTGGCTGTTGTTGCCACTGGTATCCAATTGGCCCAAGAGCTAAGCAAGGTTGCGGCCCATCTTACTGTGTTTCAGCGGACGTTGAATATGTCGTTACCAATGGGGCAAGTGAACTACGAGCTTCCCCAACAAGCAATTCCCAAGCCCGATTGTCCGAAGCTCTTTGCTGAATGGCCAGATAGCTTCTCAGGTTTCTCTTCCAATTTCCTTCCACGCTCAACCTTTGATGATAGACCAGAACAACGACTAAAGACATATGAGGAATTATGGAAACAAGGGGACTTCAAGTTCTGGCTTGCGACATACAATGATATGCTTTTCACCCAAGAAGGCCACTGTGAAGCATTCAACTTCTGGCGCGACAAGACATCAGCTAAGATCAGTGAACCCAAGGTTGTGGACATTCTTGCACCCATGGAACAACCGTACGCTTTTGGATGTAAACGCATCTCACTATATAGATAGCACCTATTCACGTAACAAAAAACAGATTCTTTACCTGCCCAACAACCCAGAAAGTTAGCCTAGATACGAGCTCGAAAATCAGCTCAAAAACTAACTAAAAAAACCAGCTCAAACATAAGCCCATCAGCCATCTAAAAATGAGCAAAAAAGACAGCCTTCCCCTAGACCAGCCAAATCAACCAAAGAACAAGATAGAGGAAGAATTAAAGATTTCACTCTCCGTAAGAACGGCTAGAAGCGGACGGGAGTGCAGCTCAGGTAATAGGCCGGTGGAGTAAATGGAGCTCAAGCTGGAACCCCTTCAGTACTGCCAGCCGGGCTTTTGAAACCTACCCATCTTATATATGATGTTATTTCAGTCGATAGCTAGAAGCTAACTATTGGCAAGCAATTCAAGCAAGGACTGTATGCTGAACTTGCTTGATTGTTGCTGGATATGGCTCATAGAACTGCCCATACTCGTTCCATGTTTCCGTCGCAGTACCCGGGTTGGGGTCGAAAATAGAATTTATCGACACTGGCCTCCACTGTCTGACCGTGCAGTTTGTTTCCAGGAATCTGGTATCCATCTGCGTCTGTCATCTCATTCCCATCCACAAGAGATAGTACTACGCTTACCACAATTGAGACTGGTGTTAAAACCTTATGCGGTAATGCGCTGCGTACCTCTGACGGTAATATTGGTGTTAAAACAGCTCCAGTGCAGATAGCATTGACTCTAATCTTATCGACAATCATAAGTTGAGCGATTGACCGCATGGAGACGATTGTGTCATCTTGAATTCTTTAGATAACCATGAAGACCACAATAAGAAATGGAAAAATGGACGTACATTTTGTTGCTGAATATAACTCAGACAAAGGGAGAGGGTACACCGCCGCGGCACTCGTTGTAAAGATAAGATATGCATCTCAAAGATTTTGTAGTTTGAATTAAGGATTGGCCAAATAGGTATTATAACACGAAGAGGTGAGATTCACATCAAGGTCGGCAGTGTCTAATTTTGGTGGTGGCTCAATACTATCTGGATCGATACTACTAATCGTTTGATGGAAGTTCAATCAATTCCCTTTACCAGCATTGGTAAAGACAAAGTTAATATAGCGTTGAGCTATGTATATTTCCCGAAAGACTGAGGCAAATTGATCGTAATCTGAAACATTAACTTGGCGGAAATTGGTAGCATCCTTTACTTTAGAGGCAAGACTTTCAAATGCTTAAGAATCAAGGTCTATTATATAAACATGCCACCCTTGGCGTTGAACCAGTGCTGCTACGACTGCGAATCCAATTCCTAAGGCTTCACAAAGAAAGGGTCAGTGAGGACCACATTGTAGATAAAAATTGGAAATCAATAACAGATTGCGATTTTCGTGACATACCACCGCCTGTGATCAAAGCAACTTGAAATTTAGACATGATAATGAACGATGAAACTGCTGATCCACCGTAGCTGAATGAGTTTGGAACGACTCGCCCAGGGCTATTGAAAGTAATGAAAACATTGCCGGCTAAGATAAATCTCTCGAGTAAGTTGAAGGGAAGGCTGTAGAGCCAAAGCACGGATACTTTGTACTATGTATACATCGGCTGGATTCGTTTTGATTGTTCCGTTGCATCCATGAACCTTACACTGCCCCTGCAGCTCGGCAATTGCGAAGGTTCTCGTCCGATAGTTTATATGTCACTTACGCCGCTATAAACTCATGTGGCTGAAAATATCGGGATTGGCATGATAGATGCTTTTTTCACAAAAGAAAATGACTAATTATACTTATCTGCTGCAAGTATAGATAATACACAGGATCGCTTGCGTACATAGTGCATATGGTCCATGCATGAAGATGGCCACCCGATGGACCAACCCACTAAAATAAGTGCTGCTAGGTCAGCTGGTGTAGTTACAAGCCACTTATTGAAATCGGCCACCTCTTGGCAACTTGATATGGATGTGTTGACACATTCATGATTACACCTCAATACATATGTTTTTTGAGTTCTAGCTCCTTTTCCTGCTACCTTGTCATTGCTAGAAGGGGCTGAGCTCAATGAACGAAATGCGCAGGGTAAACACTAGGTGTGACAGGGTTCTAGATCTGCGTGCATATCGGAGAAATAACTATCTACGTGGAGTGAATCTTAGTACAGACTCTGGAAACTATGAAGAAGCACAACTTACACCATAAACTTGATCTGGGCTAGCATTTGATGTGGGTAAAAGTTCAACTACCACTTACTTACTGTGTGGTCGTTTGTTCTCGACCATAGCGCGGGGAACCTTACGAGAAGCGGGGTCGAGAAGCTGCTACGCTTGACCATAGTTGGCAGCACGAGAGTTTAAAGGCAACCGGATATCATACCCAACTCAACTGCAGCAAAACTTCCGGAATAATATCGAATATAGCACCGCGAACCGAATCACAAAAGGATCAAGGCGGACTTCTCAGGATGGGGTTCAAAGATGGTGAAAAACTTCGATTTGATAACAGAATAGTTATCATTACTAGTGCTGAAGGAGGTATGGGCTGAGAGCATGCGAAGTTGTTTGGTCGCATTGGTGCCAATGTCATTGTCAATGAACTTTTCGAAGAGCCCACAAAGGAGACTGTGGTCCTCATAACGGAAGCTGGAGGGAATGCAATTGCGGCTTTTGGATCTGTCGCTGACCGCAAAACATGCGAGGCCATTGTCACGACTGCCATCAAGCAATACAGACGTGTCGATGTGCTCATCAAAAATGCCGGAATTGAGATCAAAAAGCCCTTCGAAGATATGACTGTTGATGACCTCTCGCGTATGCTCGATGTACATGTTATGGGCAGCTGGCACCTGCCACAGCTTCTGTGGCCACACATGAAATTAGCAGGATACGGCAAGATAATCATGGTATGCTCCAGCTCCCTATTTGGTATACCGTATAATAGTGCGTACGTCACCGCCAAAGGTGCACTTTATGGGTTGATGCGTTCCCTGTCATACAAAGGAAGAGAATTCGGTGTTAAAGTAAATTGTCTTGTACCAGTGGCATTCACGCAAATGACCAAAGTTATAGCTCATGAATTCCAATGGAATTTCGTAGCCCAGTCGATGCCTGCATGGACTACCTCGCCCGTCTGCGCCTGGCTGGCTCACGAAGCTAATGACGATACTGGCGAAATGATTTCCACATATGGGTGCAGTATAGGTCGGATGTTCTTTGCCGAAACGAAAGGATTCTGCTGCGAAACTGGAGAACATACCATCGAAATAGTGAAGAGCCACTATGAAGCAGCGCGCGATAAGGCTGGATATATCGTCCCGACTTCTGTTGAAGATGAAAATAAGAGGTTAGAAGGATATATTGAATGCTACCCAAGAGAGGCCTTCAACCATCTTTTCATAACAGCTAGAATTCTCTAGCAGTCTTCGTCCCCGAGATGGATATCGTGGTCCGAATGATACCCTTATAATGAACATCATTATTGGGAATGTGCTAAAATCAATGATGAATGTGAAAATTGTGTATTACCCGCTGTTGTGACTCTCCTACCTTCGCTTCGCTTATTGCTATCTTCTGCGCAATCCTCTCACACCTCGCACGATCGATGTCAGCCTTCTTCTTTGCCTAGAACAACTCTTCGTCTGGCCAAAGGCCTCTAAGGAAGAAGAATAAACCTCCACCCCACCCCTACCCCGATTTGGGATAGCGATCTTCGAGAATTTGTAGTGTCTTCGTGACACGATCGTCTTCAATCACTCTCCGACTTTGGAGGTCAACACTGTGCGCTGTAGGTGTTCTTTTCGCTCCTGCGATGATAACATTTTGCGCCATGACCAAAGACCTGTAATTCGTCGGCACATGGAGTCTATGAGTAAATTGTGACGAGGTTACCCAGCACCGAGCAGATAACGGATGTCTTTTTCAGATGCGCCTGTGTAGAGGATGAAGGACACACAGAGCGAGGCATACAATCTCAAAGCAATGCGAGGAAGTTTTGCTGTCCGTGAATTCGACTGCACATGGCTCGTTGCCTTATCCCAAAGACTAATTGCACTGCCGCTCTGCTTTTGAAGACGAAAGCATGTCTGAATGCATCGGCCCGAGTTAGATAATACGGAGCCACTTTCCGATAGCCCGCTGCTAGGGTTAGGTCCTTATCTTTCTTATTAGGTGAGAAATTTGTCGTACTATTACTAGTAAAAATATCAATATTAAAGAGTGATTAACGAGATGTAGAGTGAAAGTTGGAGTTAGTTAGCAATCTCTGCGACATACTAACTCTAGCTTTTGCTTCAATAGAAGCTATCCTGCGGGCCCGCGATGAGGAGTCACTAGCCTCGGCTTTTTCTGACTTGATAACGAAATATTACAAAAGCACTATTGGTGCTTCTGAGACTCGAGTGGAACTAGACCAAACGCGAATAGGAAGGTAGAGTCCTGACGAGAAACTGCTTCCCCGCAATTGTGGGGTCAGAATTACTTACCGGCGACTAGCTACCCCTAAGTAGAAAGCCCCTGGCTGTTCATTCGAAAATCGCAACAATCCCAACACAAGAGTTGCCAAGATGCGGAACGTGGGGCGACCGGCTAAGAACGCGTAATAAAGAGTGGACTAGCGGGGTAGAGATTAATCAAGGCTAGGGTATTTTTTTTGAGAATGGCGCATCTCTAGTTGAATATAATTAATCTTGCAGCCATACCTCTTTCTGTCGTAACGAAAGACGTTTCAACATGCAGTGGAAGAGCCTCTTTAGCTATGGTGTCATGTTCGGAGCGACGCAGGCTCTTGACTGCTCGCTGTCCAGCATCCAGTCCGTGCTCTCTGAGAATGCTAGTGTAAACTGGGCATACCCACTCAAGGAAAATTCAACTCTAGAGGTGCCCCAGGGGAACACTGGCTACCCAACAAACCCAGTTGGACTTCCAGCTCTGTGTGCTGTTTCTGTACAAGTCCAGTCAATCGGTAATACGACTTATGGATTTGGACTATTCCTACCAGAATCATGGAATGGTCGATTTTTAGCAATCGGTAATGGAGGATTTGGAGGAGGTATCAATTGGGAAGACATGGTTGGCCTATAGCTCCCATGTATAATAACACTGTTGCTGACCATTGCACAGGGACCTGGCAGTCGTTATGGGTTTGCGACCATGTCAACAGATACTGGCCACAATTCATCCACGAGAGACGGATCCTGGGCATACCGACAACCAGAAAAGATAGAGAATTGGGGACATCTTGCTATGCACGGGTCGGTAGTGACAGCTAAGCTAATTGTCTCTGCGTATTACTCAAAAGACATCTCGTACAATTACTATGCTGGCTGCTCAACGGGAGGCCGGCAGGGTCTCAAGGAGGCCGAGCGATACCCTGAGGACTTTGACGGTATCATTGCAGGTGCCCCTGCTTGGTGGACAACTCACCTGCAGCCTTGGACGATCAAAGTGGCAATGTACAATTTGCCAACCACGACTGATTATCACATCCCACCTTCCAAGTTCACAGCTATCGGTGAAGAGGTGATGAAGCAGTGCGATGTCCAAGATGGTGTCAAAGATACTATTATATCAGACCCGCAAGGCTGTAACTTCCGCCCAGAAGAGCTGCTATGTGGCCAGAGCGTCAAAAACAGTAGTACTGCCGGTTGTCTCACTGCCCCTCAACTGTCGACCTTGACCAAGATCTATTCAGACTCTTGGAGTGAGAATCAAACATTTACCTTCCCGCATCTCTACTACGGAAGCGAACCTCAATGGGCACTCCTTTCTAGCGACCTACCAAATCCACTTGGCACGGACTACGTCCGATACTTTCTGAATTTTGGCGCAGATTGGTCGCCGTACGACTACAACGAAAGTATCCAGCGTCTTGCCGACGCCACAGATCCCGGAAACGCAACCGTCAAGTTCGATCTCTCAGCTTTCCATGCCAGGGGCGGCAAGATCCTATCATATCACGGCATGAGTGACGGCCTGATACCCACAGGCTCAGCAACATACTTTTACAACCAGGTAGTTCGCGAACTTAAGCCACGTGGCATTGAGGTTGACGACTTCTTTCGCTTCTTCCTCGTGCCGGGAATGGGCCATTGCTCAGGTACCTTCCCCAAAGTCAATGCACCGTGGTACTTTGCAGGGCCCAATCAAGCTTCAGCGTTAGGTCCTACAGTATACAGTGTACCCGGCTTCAAGGATGCTGATCACGATGCCATGCTCGCAATGATGAGATGGGTCGAGGAGGGCAAGAGGCCAGATTATGTCATTGGCACGAAGTATGCGAACGAGACTACCCAGATAGGGATAACGAGGCAGCGTCCGTTGTGCATGTATCCCAAGCAGGCTAGGTATGATGGGAGTGGGGATGTAGATGCGGCAAGCAGTTGGAATTGCAAATCCATGTACGAGTAAAATGTACTAGCTACACATTTTGTTATCGAACACGAAGCTCCTGATAAGATACCTTACGCCAAAACTATACACATACATTTATACTTTCCAAGATAACAGTTTGGAATCTTATAAAAAACCTGAAATATATTCTGCTAGGGTAGCATACTATCTAATACTGCGAGGAAGAACTAGAAGCGGTGATGAGGAAGAGGTTTCTTTGATAAAGGATCCAGGGTAACACAGTAATGCCAAACTGCACAGGAATGACAAACAAACTAATGTACCAGACCCATTCTCTTCATTGCACATTTCCCTATTTCACAGCATGCATGATCGTCACTCTTAGTCCGCCTCTTCAATTCAGGACCCAGCTGTCGTTATTTGGAGCATATTTGGTGTTAAAATTATTGATCATTGAAGAAAACTCTAGCTTGGACATAAGTCTGCTATCTCTTACCACGGAAACCAGGGTCGAGAAAAAGTACATATGAACTATGGACAAAGCTAAAAGCGATGTGTGCACCATAAGGTGAGCTACTAAGCTGATCAGGGGTCTTACATACACTGTCGCCGCCGATAGTTAGAAGGACAGTTGCGGAATCCAGTGGATTCGAAAGACGGATCCGGACTAACACTGATGAAAATATACCCCCAATCTGCCACATAATTGGACTGTAGCTAGTGCTACGTGCCATGCAAAGATTTATCATTTATTAGTCCTTTAAAGTTGACAGGATCAACACTGTTGTAGCCGATAGCTCGCCGTTCGAGTTTCTTCACAAAGATCACGAACTCATCGACAGGGTTTATGGGCTTAACATAAACTATGTCGCTTACGGTCCTCTTAGAAATAGCTATTAATACATGACTTCCTTCACAACTCAATAGACGATTTCCAAGATGACAGCTATCGTGGTTGCACTACGTCAAGTTCAATTTGTATTCATCTAATGTATCTTACGCCCCGCTTACCACTCCCTAAATTCTAAGGAAGGAGATTGAATGAGAACAAAGATATTTCCAAGGGATTCAGGAAGCTTGCACAGCAAAAGAAACGCTTCATGGCGCAACCAAGCGGAAATTTCTAGTAGAGGGTTTCATTTCAGGTGATATTGAACCGACAGTGGATGAGCTGAAGGAGGTGCGCATAGTGATCAACTCGTTGAAACCGCAAGGATATCGATGTGATGGAAAGGCGCTAGTGAATGATGGTAATCAGATTGATACGAAACCTCCTAACCTACTTTACATACTTACTTTGTACTACTTTGGCACCGCTGGGTATAGAAATAAGAGAAAAAAGATGTTTTTTTACAAGTTGATAACATTCTCCGAAACGAAAACACAAGGACAAATGAAATTGATGCTTGCACGAGGAAAGATCGATACTCAGGTCTTCGCACTATCTACTCGCAAAATGCTTTATTCACGATGACTAGTTTCGAGAATGAATTCTCTAAGGACATCCTATCAACTTAAATCCTTCTATCCCTTATTTTGCTAGTCGTTTACTAGTTTCAGATAAACATCTTAGATACTAATTAAGCTATTGTTATAGAAAATAACTAGAAAGATGTTGTATGCGTTAAACTTGATTATTTTTCTTAATACTGCGTGTTGCTTCAGTAGCTGATAAATGCTACTCTCCCTTAGCTTAAGTTAGATTGAAGTATGGCTTAGTGCGACCCTTTTTGGGGGTGTATTGAAAGGGATACCTCGCTAGGGCACTTTGGTTGTACATGCGAGAAACCATGCTTGAATAGGTGTGGATAGATTTTTGTAAGTAAGGGTATATATTTAGTTAGCTGGAACTTAACCCCGTGGTGTGCGATATCTCTACCTATAAATATAAAGGTTAAAGGTTTAACTGTAGTTCTAGTAAGAGCTGAAATGTGCCTAATTGTATGGCTAGGCGTATTTAATAAACAAAGACATCTATCTTTATATAAGTTAGTAAAGTTAAATTTTCTAATTTTGAGCCATTAACATTTTTTCGTGAAGTCAATCTCGTTAAGCTCACGCCCTTTTTATGCTCTCTTATCTACTTAAGATTCTAGAATAGTAGGGAACGCGGGTATATAATAGTATTCGAAAACTACTCTAATAATGATTTCTATTGACTAAGGAAATGTGTTAGGGTCGCCGACGTGGTCGAAATGCTAGTCAGATTAAACGATGCCTTCTACATTAGCTGAATCCTGACCGTTCTCGCGTAGTATAGTTGCGACATCTTTTTCCTCAATAATACAACTTACTTGCTTAGCTCCTTCTATAAATGTAGTTGGGCCATTTTTCTAGTCTTTGCGAACACCGAGGTCGAAGAGCAAAGTGGCGTATCTGTGCGTGCTGGTAGGGGTTTTAATCAGGAAGGCGGAACTGTCGCAATGCATCTTATCAGTACTAGAAATGACAGGGTCTACAAACGCTGCACCCGGAGATTTGCTCATCCGGCTCGTTGTGTCGAGTATGGCCACATTAACTGTGCTTTTCGACTCCGGAATTTAGAGTTCTAGAGTACTGTGTGCATACTCCATCTTTGAGCCAACCGCAAGTGAATCTGTAGAGTGAAAGTACAATTATTGGCCTTTATGTAGCTCCGAAGCACGCATTTATGCTTGTTCCTACGCCCAGTATTTAGAAACCTAGCGCAATCCCACGACACCGAGAAGGTATAAACGATACGGACACCGAAAGGACCGATAAACTCGGAGATGTTATCTCTGAAAGATGCATGCGCAAACATGGTAGATGATAGAAAAAGTGAAGTGGGTAGAGAACTGATACCTACATATATCCGACGGATACGGTGAACCCTGCGCATTGTCTCAGACTAAACGCACTTTACCCCTTGTTTTTAAGATTATCCAGCGGCCTGATTCTTTCTGTGAGCGCTGGTACCCAATGCCCGCTCGCATCGTTGACACTAACATAAAAGCTGATTTGATGAAAGTGTTTGTCTTCGCTAAGCGTTTCCAGATCGCGCATTGCTTGCGCGCTGTCATGTGTCTCAGCACCTAGCTAGATAAGAACACAAGAAGCTCGGGCGTATACGGTTCCCATCAGTTGTACTTGCTGACCACGTTCTATTTTGTGATTTTGGTTAATGCAAATAGCATTAATCCACAGCAAACAATCCCTATCGCAATATCGAGATTGCTCTAGAGCTTGACCAAGGTTCTTCGTGATGTTGTCTTATATGCCATTAATGTGATGCTCTGCCTCGCCTGGAATCTCAGCCCAAACATGATAATGCTTCATATGGGAGAGGTTTGTTATATGGACCCAGAGACTCAATCTGGAGACTGGCCCCAAGCTTGCTTCCTAGCACACCTGCATGGAGTCGAAGGATCCGGATTTTAAGTTTTTGACGGACGAGATTCCCCGACAAAGAATAGATAGCAACCGACGAGCTATTTTCACTAGGCAGTTAAGGACGCTCTAGATAGTCCTTTGGGTTTACAATCGTGTCGTTTGGTGAGATCGGGCGCAGTAATGTCTCCTCCTCATCGCAAATAGCGCATGCACGGCCACGACAGGTAACAGCAACAAAAGCACAAAGCGCAAGACACGCAAGAAAGATTGCTGAAAGTATAGCCAACATGGTTCTAAGAACTATAGATATGTTTTAGGTCCAGCAAACACCAAACAGGGGTACAGTACAGGGTAGAGTGTTGAACGGTTAGAAGAAGCAGAATTAGCGGCGAAGAGGTACCTAAGGTTCTAGCGTACGTGTTGCAGGGCCACTGTAAATCTTTTATATCTACGGGAAGGCGACATAACTACGTATAGTACCCGAACAGCGATTGGTTTGCGTACGCATGTATTGCGCAATACAATTGTAGTCTCTCTGAATTCCTTTCCTTACTAGCTATGCATTCTAATATCAAAATGTATTCATAAACTCGTGAAGAGAGGTATTGGCCTAAGTCAACTATACAAATCTATGAATAAAGCACGCTAAACTGCATCAATATTCCATCCTCTATGATCAATGCTCCACACCTTTCTTGTTCACTCTCTTGATCCATTCTCTATTCTTGCTTCTTCCTGCCCGCGCACACTCCTCAAAATACCCTCCCTACCACAAACGCTTCAAAAACACTATTTTCAAGCACTTCCTTCGCCACCACACCCCCAAACTTATAACATCTCACCGCCGCGACTAACTTCTCCTTTAGCACCTCCCAGCGGGCAAAATCTAACCCCCCAAACCCCTCATGCTGCCGCACAAACTCCCAGGCTTGTATTGGTGTCACTTCATCGTCTGCTAGCGGGATCTGGGCAGACAGCTGTAGTAGTTGCGAGAGGCTGGCGCGGGGGACGCGCCAGGCGCTAGACGAGTGGAGGCGCTGGCCGGCTGGGGAAGGGTGTGTGTGGAGGAGGGTGGCGGAGAGGGTGAGGGCATGGCCGGTAGATGTTGTTAGGGCTGTGCCTGGATCTGTAAAGTGCGAATGGGAGTGCTGCGGGGAAGAGGGCGGGCCGACGTCGATGTGGGAGAGGCAGGGGGATTCGAGGGTTAGGACAAAGTCCATGGCTAGGGCTTCGGGGTCCAGCGTACTAAGTTTGGCCGTTGGTGTTGGAGTGGGATTGATGGGTGAGGCGAGGTGCGATGGTAGAGAGCCGGAAGAGGGGGGTGAGATGGGTTGGGAGAAGTTGATGGCTGTGGAGGATGGGTTGAGTCTAGGTAAGGCTTGTGGCTGCTGGATGTAGATTTGTTTTCGACGGTTTTTTCGTTTGGCGCTGGGGTCTTCTTGCGCTATCGATAGTGTGAGGGTGTCGTCTGTTGCTGCGTCTGAGAAGGAGGTTGAGTAGTTGTCCGGGCTGATGGAGGATGCATGGGCGATGTCATTGGGACGTCCTTGCAAAGTTTCTGCTGGCACTGGAATGCCATGTTGTGTCAGGAGCCTCTTCAGCACATTGTTTTCGGCATACAGCGCTTTGGTTTCCGACTCCAAGCGTGCTTCGTTGGCGCGAAGGCGCACGACTTCGGTCTCTAGTGACACGACGTATGCTTCCTTTCGTTCGCGGTGGGTTCTAAAAGTCACGTTAGGTTTAGAAGACATGCAGAAAGAATACTATACTTGATGTTATCACCAGCAGACATATCCTCAGTGTGAAATGGCAGGAACAAGACTGAAGAAAATCTATGTGACATACTTTTGTGCTTTGCGAACCTGCTCTCTTCGTCTCTGTGTTTGGTTTCGAGGTTCTGCTGAATCTGCCTGACGCGTGAGACCACTAAGCCTTGTAGCACCAATTCTCTTTCTCTACGATAAATCCGAAAAAGGACTCATTCTACATACCATCTGCAGAAGACGTCTTATCGCCTTTGAAAGGCTTGAATGTGAATTTCCTCATCTCTCACTGTCTGTGCTGCCAGCCACCTGGCAACAAAAATAGAGCGAGAAAAAGACCGGAAAGCGCGTAAGAAGGCTCTCAACCACGTGTCGTTGCGATTAATGCGCCGGTTTCTCGATATAGACGTGGTTGAGTACTATGTATGTAGCTGAGCCCACTCCGGTAAACGGTGTTTTGACGCGCGCTGAGCTAGGTAGTATCACCTAATAAGTAATACTGCTTCCCCACGGTCATCAATGCAATGCGCAGCACAAATGTTTTCTTGCGATAAATCTGCAAACCTTAAACTCCTTGTTGCGAATCGTCATTGGTCGGGAGACCGCTCAGAGACTGTAAATGCGGCCGTAAAATTGGGGGTGGGTTCACACATGCGCGCGCGGGCACGCCCCCAAAACCCCCCAGCTCCCCACCGGCCCAGTTTGAGACTAGGTCTCCATGGTTCCTGCCCAATCCACTCGCTATTTGAAAATTCTCATTTTAGCATCCAGTACATACGGCCATAGGAAATTGAAAGCAGAATTCCCCGTTCGATCAATTGTACTTAAGCAGTTTACCGGCGGATTAGTAGTCAGGTGGGTGACCACTGGCGAATCCCCGCTGTCGTATGTATTTTATGTTTTTGTTTGCTCAGGTCAAGGGATGCGCCACGAGGGGAATCATGGGGACAGGGTGACAGGGCACAGGGGAGGGATGGAACGCAAAGGGCTCGTTCCACGCCTAACCGTAACAGGTAATCTTGCTTCGAGAATCAGATTGCCTTTTTAAGCAAAGATCGACGCGACATGTCTCTGCCTTGTGCCTTGATACATGCAATCTGTTTCGCACTTAGCCGTGTACCCGATTGCCGCTCGCTTGAAGCCCCCAGCACTTTTGAGACACAGCCGCAGCCTCAGGATAGGCTGGCGGTCTTATTTTGATGCCTGGAATGTATGCAATCTGCGGTAAGCACAAACCTCTTTTACTTACGAGGCGGGCGCTATACCAGGTCGGGAAATCTTGATAGAGTCATCTGAGAGAGAACGAGTGGGTAACACCGAGTAGATCAGATATGCAGTGACTTGTAGAGGCAGAAGGCAGCTGTGTATAAAGAGGGGCGGGAAGCTGAGAGTTGTTCGACACTTACAACCTTGCGTCTCAACATCAATAACCTCGTCTTCTTCCTTAATATTATCTCAAGTTTGATACTTGATTCGGTGCTATTTTTTTCGATTATCCCATAAAACCCCCCCAAAAGTGGACATGATCTATACTGCAGCTCTTCTTTCTTTGCTCCCCCTGCTGGCAGTGGCGGCTCCGCATCAACAACATGGTCCTGGTATGAAGCAAGGAAAGCAACAGGATGGAATGAGTTGCACACCTCAAGGATCCAACAAGGCCGTAAAGGTCGGAAAGGCAGTCTACCTCATCACCAACGAGGCTGAAAACGCGGTCATTGCACTACCCATTGGAGCCGACGGCAAGTTATCTGCGGGTAAAATGGCAAAGACAGGCGGCACGGGATCAGCCGCTGTCAACGCAGAAGGGAAACCAGAGACACCCGACGCACTAGTATCGCAGTCTTCATTGACAGTAGCTGGCAACGTAAGTTTACTCCAGCGTCTTAGACTGTCGCGTCTTGGAAAAGGATACATGAAGCTAACACGTTTCCCAGAACCTCTTCGCCGTCAATGCAGGCTCGAACACACTTACCATGATGGCCATCTCAAATCAAGACCCCACAGCGTTGACTTGCGTGGGCAAGCCGGTCAAGGTTCCAGGCGAGTTCCCTAACACTGTCGCTGCATCAGCAAAGAATAAGATCGCTTGTGTTGGAACCTCGGGCGCAGTAGCTGGCATCTCTTGCGCGAGCTTCTCCAGCAAAGGCATGGGTCAAATGGACGGTCTGCGGCCTTTTGACCTTGGGCAAACGACCCCGCCTGTAGGACCGCTAAACACCGTGTCACAGACCTTCTTCTCAGCAGACGAGAAAACGCTGTTCACTACCGTCAAGGGCGATCCGACAGTGAACAATACTGGGTTTCTTTCAACGTTTCCCGTCGAGGCTAGTCAAGGTGGCGCAAATAAAGTTTCAACAAAGGGTATGCAGAGTTCACCCAATGGCACGGCTGTGCTATTCGGCTCTGCGATCATGGCCAATGACCCTTCATCGCTTTTTGTCACTGATGCGTCATTCGGTGCGGCCGTCTTGAAGGTGGATTCAGCGGGTCAGGCAACTGTCCAGGGCGCAGGTACAATTGAAGGCCAGAAAGCAACCTGCTGGGCTACCATCTCCGACTCGACAAACAGCGCGTATGTGACTGATGTTGCCACGAACCGTGTTGTAGAGATGAGCCTGGACAATGCGAGTATCATCAAGGAGCTCGATCTTTCCGCAAACGGCGATCCAGGCCTTGTCGATCTCCGCGCTGCAGGTGATTTTGTTTACGCGCTCAGTCCAGGTAATGGAACGACGAACGCAGCAATCACAGTACTGGACGTGTCTGGAGGAAAGGGGTCAATGAAACAGATACAACATTTCGATTTGGGACGGATGGGTGCAGGAAAGAGCGCCCAGGGCATGGCTGTCATGCTGTAAGAGATGTTGAAGACTTGATAGGAGGTGATGCTAGTAGTTTTTAGTTTCTTTCTTTTGTTCTATGTACATTCAACACAAGGCTGGGCCTTTAATTCAAAACAGTCTGCCAAAGATTCCGAACACGAGATAATAACGTGCTACCTTACACTAACTCTGACCCTGCCGACCCCGCGCGTCATCTGATGTACCGCACCTAGAAGTGCTTTGAAGAACTCTAGTTGCTAAAATGTATTAGAAAAATATCGAGTTTTAAGGTTTCATCAGTGAATTAGTAAGTCTACGCCCGTCTTCTGGACACAGTAGACAATTGCCGCCTCGCGAGCCCGATTATGTTCCTGTATAAGAACGCACTCATTCAGCCTCAGTTGACTACAACATCAAGAATACCAGCGCTGTTTCTATCGTATACAGATATCTGTTGTCATATTCCGCTTTTGATTTTCTAGAGGCCATGTTGCCGTCAAACCCATGTCCAGGTCTGGTGTAGTGTGCTCCCCGTACATATTGATCACCATATCACTTACCCAGCCAGGTATGTTTTGCAACTTACTGTACCCTATACTGCCGGAGCATGATAAGTACATAGAATAGTATGCGTAGGATTGCAAGGCATATGATTTGACGCTAGATAAATATTGTAACGAGAGTCCGAATGTCCGGTTGAGGTGGTGTCTCGCCACGCTGTGTGTCTCACTACGCAGTGCGGCACGTTAAGCTGAATCATCCGACCTGAAGGAGCGCTCTCGTTCATTGCATCCGAGCCTTAACAATCCATCGATTGCAGCTATATGAATTCATCACACTCAATCAGCTTCGATATCGGTCGGGTCCAACTCCGCCCCAACATATGCTGTCCAGGTTAGCTTGGCTTGGCTCTAGGCTGGTCATGCTGGTGAAAGGACATTCTCGAGGCAATATGATCCTAACCTTAACTCCACTCTGCACCATTCTGTTATCCTGCCGAAGCTAACAGTGTCTCGCCAGAATTCAGCTCCGTCCGTGAAGGCCAGGTCTCCAATCGCAACCTTAGCTCCCCGCTGGATACAGATCCTCCACCGCTCGCTCCGACCAAAGAAGACCTTGATTCGCTAGCCCACAGCCGTCCTTTGCTCATACCCAGATGCTTCCATTGCTCCAACGGAAGCTGTCGCCCAGCTGGTTATTGTTGGATATGATGCCGCAGGCGGTAAGGGCTACATTGTAGTTGGAAGGGGCGGGTGGTGGGGGTAGCTTGATGAGCCCGTTGCAGTCTGATAGTGGGGATAGCGCACCACGGGCGTTGGAACGCGGTATTGGTGGTCAAACGACGGGTAGGGCGCGACTAAAATGATGAGACTGGAGTTTCAGGGGTGGGTTGAGGGACTGGTTGAGAGGGGCCTGACGCTCAACGAGGACGAGGTGTGATGGCAACAACAACACACTTTCAAATCCAATGATCTCCAGGTTTCTACCCCACTGACCGCCAACGGTGCATATCTCTCAATGCTCAGATATGTCCACTGCGTCAACTCGTTTTGGTCAATTCGATACAGAACTCTCTCAGAGGAGAGTCCTCTTCGCCTCATCTAAGAAACGTTCTCCGACAAGGGTGTACGTATTCTCTTCTGCCGTACTGGACCGCCGTAACAATACAGGTACGTTACAACCCAACAGCACAACCACCAAATCTCCCTTCCTCGCCTTCTCAGGGATCATCCTAACACGCCCATTAGCAGTGACCATCAGACGTAACGACTTCCTCACAACGGTATCATTGAAGCAACTGAGGAATGAGCCAAAGATGTAATCGTCCATATTCGCAGGCTGGGACGTTGATTGAAAACTGACGCGTTCACTGCTGTCGCGAAAAACGTCATGAAAACTGAAACCCTGGATCTTGAGAAACTTGGACTTATTGTACCACTCCTGGAACTCTTTGGGGATAGAATACACTAACTTGGTCATTAGCTGACTACAAAGCCACATAAATTCTGAGGAAACTTATCGACAGGCATGGCGAAACGCAGGAATCGATCTTTGCGACTAACACCAGGGATCTGCACACGGCGATGAGTGTTTTAGAAGCTGATATCTGTCTTAGTGTAGGCTTCCCTAAATCCCTCACACTATTTTATCAACAAACACAGTCCTTTTAACTAATACTTTAGAGCGTCTTTATTCACTCTTGATCTTTTTAAAAGCTTATATAATTTAAACTAGACTTCACTATAGTATATACTTACCTATTCTATATACTGATATAAAGCTCGTTACTATAATATTGTATAGGTTATAGGTAAATATAGTTTTAGTCTTGGAAATCACTAGGAGCAAGTAGTGAGAAAGGCTCCAGGGGCCTGCAGAGCTCAAACCACATGATAACAGAGAGGTGTAGTGGCAAAATCAGCCGTGCGTGCAGCTAATAGGCTGATAGTGACACGCTTTGACCAACAGGCAACGTCAGAGCCATGCGGGGTCTAAGCCGTCCACGAATGTCTCGCAAGAACGCTCCAGCCGACGAACAAAGATGCCGCGGTCAAAAGAGAAAGCGATCCGTTACGAGAATAAGCTTAAACCCGGTGATAGGCAAATTTATAATGTAAGCGTGTCTACCTACCCCTTTAATAGTAGTAATTTGTGACCGTGAATAGCGTATCATAAGCCAAGAAGCAAAAAACTCCGAGAATCTAATCTTCTCACCTGGGAAGAAGTTAATATGGAAAAGAGGAACGAGGTTATCAATGAGATTATAGATCAGCTGAAAAATCCGGATTTCTCTGAAGTGAAGAGCGATGATGTCGAAAAAAGCATAACAAAGAAGTTGAAGGCATGGATATACGAGGGCATGTAAAGTGATCCGCTTTTGAATATCTGGTGCTAACGGCGTCTCAGCTAACAGGGCGGAAAACCGGGCGAAAAAGAATGCGTCGTCAAGTGCCGCTACCCCGGCGCCCAAGACAACTCTGCCTTACGACCCTGTCCTGGCGGCCGCTGCACAGCAAAAAACCAGCTCTCAGATGTGCGGGAATGTGGACCGAACCTAGAGGGTTAGGAGGTGGGCCCCCAGGTAATGCAGACGTTATTTCAAATAAAACCGCCTTCGCCACGAACACACCATAACTCTCTACTGCCCGTTCTTATCACAGTACATACAAGCGTACTTGGCTCACTAAATGCTGAACTATTGCTACTTAGATTTATTAACAGCTATCATTAATATTAAGGGTGAAATGGCCTTCGAACGAGTTTGCATTAACCTATGTTATGAAAGAAGAAAGATAAAGAAAGCAAAGCTATCATACAATGTCTCTTACTTTGTACTCTTGCCTTAGGTTTCTTCGTACGAATAAGGTTTCGTGACTAAGTAGCATGGAGTAGACACGTGATATAACGTGTTTTATTCACGGGCGCAGCCTCTCACATCTATGCTACTTTTCGTGTTACGATACTCTAAACTAGAGACCTTCCTAGGCCTCTAGTTTAGAGGGCCATTAGTTACACCTTAGGGAAATGAAGCTATAGTTATATGTATGGTCAACGGGTGCAGATATTTTCCAATGACGAGTCTTACTATGGTATGATATAAGTCTTTTTACCTTTGCCTAACTAGTATAAGTCCTGTAGAAGACGTAAGAGATAGGTATACCCGTCGACATCTCTCAGGATGGGCGGAGAAAACGGTAGCGCACGGGCTCTTCTGTTCACGAAGTGCTAACCTAATGAATTCGACGAGGCAGGCGCTTATATCCTTAAGTGCCGTAAGTTATATAGCAAATCATTTCTAGAGCTTAGTAGTAACGGGAACAACTCAAGAAATCCGTGGTAAATTCTGGCCGCGACGTTCGGGACCGTTCCCATGGCGCGCCAATAATAGAGCTAAGGCCACAACTACCCGTGTTGTGCTCAAAAGCGGTCACCGAGCCCGCACCCCAGGTATTTGGTATGTACCTGGTTACAGTGCAGCTATTGTCCCACAGTCATGGTAACACGGAAGCCACGAGGATTTCCACGCGACGTGAAACATTGCGACGAAGGAAGACGTCGCATATTCAACAGAATTACAGATTCGTCTTTCAATATATACGTAAGTTTACAAGTCAAACACGACGTCTTAGGCATAGATTAAAAAAGCAGGCCACATCCGTATCTTTTTATTGCAATGTTATGAAAAGCATCATGCCTGCGTTGCACGCGAGTCAGGAATATCGCTCGATAGCGTGCTCGAATCGAGGGTACTAGCAGATCTGGATGGGGTGCGGGGTACAAACTATCAAGCTGGTGTGGCGAGAGCAGGGGCGTTTGGTGTAACTTGGGCAACGTACATGCTCACCGATGGATTCTACCGGATAATCAAGGAAGTCTGGACAGGCTGTTGACGCTTGATGATAGTCTGCTGACTGTCCATAAAAGGAAAGAACGGTTGTAGGGGACCATATGCAGATCCAAATTCCCCAGTTCAATGAGTAGCGGCTAGCTAGCCATCGCTTGCATGAATCACCGTGATCAGCATCGTGATAGAACAAAGATGATGTGACGACTTCTTCTGCCGCATGTAGGCGTCGACAGAGCACCAGGATTACAGCTTGGGCGTCTACAGGCCCGTGTGGCAACCCTACGCCACTCAACGCCATACCAAGAATGACAAAAAGCGCAAAATTGGCGAAAAAGACGCTGGGGTGTTTGAAGGATTTCCAGTACGACACATTCGTCAAAAAAGGGGCTTTCGTGAGAAACGCTCAAACGCACTTTTACCACTCCAAATCTCCCGGAGCAGGCGGACAGTCTATCCTGTGCCAAGGGTTTGGAAGTGAACTACCGCATCTCGCTGTTCTTTAAGTCTTACGAATATGGCCAGGGTGGCTGTCGCCGATTTGAAGCACTGACTTCGACATGCGCAAGACATTAGATGATATCAGTCAAGAGCAGCGTTTCGGCGACTGACGTACAATTGGCTGCAATGGAAATTTGAAGCCAGAGATGCTCCTGAAGCATCGAACAGCAGAGGTTGGTCAATCCAGAGAGCTCGTTGCGCATTTGGGAAGTGTGCCTGTGCCGTCTGTAGAAGGGCCGGGGACAGTAGACGGTCTACCCCAAAGACTGTACCACGACTTCCTATACTACGATACGCGTCGCTGCTACGGTCACTTGGGGCGATGCTGAGGCCTTCACCAACAGCTCTGGGACATGAATATTTTATGGGTTATCAAGGTTGTCGGAGATGAGAGCACAAGGCGGCATCAAGGCAAGCATACCATATCGCCCTCTAGTAAGCCAGTCGCGTAACAATCTACGCGAGCAGAGGTACTTCTCCCCGGCTAATCGCGACGCAAATAACGTTGAAATAAAAAACATGTCGCAATGTGCACTTTTGCAGTATATTCATGATTCCCAGTCCTAACGAAACGCTCACCATTGGATCCAGCCAGTAGCCATGGGCCAATCGTAGTCATTTTTGCAGCTCAAGTCTGGGGTAGTCTAGTCCATTCCGGGAAGGTATTCTCCGCGACTCGATGCCTAAGTTGCCCTCTATAAGTTTTGATACATGTTGCAGAAGCCATTCATAGAATGATGACGCTAGAGCTGCTGTTGCAGCATCAGCCAAACTCACCAGATAGTTGTTTTGGGCGACATTTGCAGCAGAATTGTTCAACTCTGCAAAATTGACTTTTGGTAAGATTGCACAGCCTCATAAACAGCTCGAAGTTTTGACAATAGTCGCAGAATCATGCCCCTTTTCTACACATGGTTGAAGTTGTTATGTTGTGTTGTATTGTATTGCCTTTGGGCGATATATAAGCTGTTCTATTTTTCGCCTTTCATGTTGAGTATTTAGTCTCTTCCTCCATGACGAAGACACATACCAGCGGAAAGCGACCCAGTGCTTCGATTAACATCGTTGTGTACATGATCCTCCCGTCACGTCGTCGCGAATATAACTGCACTGTCATCATTCTTGTGAAATCTACTTTACCAATCGTGGCTGAACCTCTCGACCCCTTGAACGATATGTTGGATACGTACCACTACGACGACGCCGAATCAACCCAAGCCATCAAGTCTACCGTCCGTGGAGTCTACAATGGTTCCGAAATCGAGGTACAAGACCAAGCTATAAGCATCATGTTGGAAGCCTCTGGTTGTGATGTTGATCTCCTTCTTGCATTAGCACGAAGCTTCACGGCTGCCCAGGATGCCGGTCACAATCATTGTCTCAGTACCATATCCAGCATCCCAGAAGAAGATCGATTGGGGAGGATCACGGCTATTAGTAAGTAAATACAGCTTCACGACGCGCTACAAAGCTGATGTTAACCAGGAAATGGCCCGACGTTCTCGACAATAGTCACCCGCGAAAATCTCGAGCGCGGACCTCCAAATGTCAAGTCTTCTTCCCCAGCCAAAAAACGCGTACGCACGAATCCAGAGGTCTACGGCTGCCCAGGTAAAGGAGGCAAATGTACAAAGAACAAATTCACGCTCTGGAGATCGAGAGTCAGCTATCTCAAGCATTTCGTCCAAGACCACGTGGAAGAATACAAAGTGGGCGGATTGCTTCAGTGTCCCCAATGCGAAGGCACCGAATCTGCGCATCACAAGTATCCTGTACAAGGACAGTCGCTCGCAAGCCATATCTGGGAGAAGCATCTGTCCGTTCAAACCGAACCGGGTACCGAAATTACTGCGCTACAATCGGAAGGTGAAGACGAGATGGCGTAGTATCCAGGCACTCAAACGATCCACTGAGCAGTGTTCATCGTGGGCTTCCATCAGCTATCGAGAATGCAGCGTAGCGCGTCCAGCATCGTATCCTTTCTGATATCGATTCAATCATCGGCTGGTCTGTTTCGGCGTCTCTACCTCCTTGACCACTGCGTATGACCTTTGTGTCTCCTTCAGCCCTTTCATCTAGAACAATGTGTTCTTCTATCTATATAGCCTTGTATCACCCTTCTTGTACGGCGCTTTGTACGGGTTCCACTCCACTCGTTGTACATTATTGTCTTTCCCTCCTCCTCTTCTTCTTCAATGAACACTCGGCCGTTGTTAGGTAGATGTTGCCAATCTCATGAATCTCGTGCTTATTGCGTTCTTCGATTGGATATTGCGGAATAAGGTGATTGGTATAAGGAAGATGCCCACGAGGGTATAGGCGAGCGGTGCAAGCGATTGTCGAACATAATCAGATTCGTAGACATCTTCCAGTCTTTTTATTTATTGCGGATGACTCTGTACAAGAGCGTATCTTTCGAGTTGAGCGAAATGTAATCTGATCAATATGGGATTAATAGGCAGGAGTAGTGGGTTCAACGAAGAGACTTATACTTACGTAATCACTTCATGCTAGTTATGAGCCCAGGCTCAGTGTTCTCTTGAGATCTTGTCCAGGGCCGGTGCGACGATGATGTCATCGAGGCTGAGTTGAGAGAGGCAATGGAAGTAATTCTTGAGGCGACTTGGACGCTGCGTTTTACGCGTTGCGGGTTGCGATGGTGGTGTTGTTGAGTGCCGCTAAGTAGGGAGGACGTGGCAGGCTAGAGAGCGGGAACGGGGATGGTCTAAATTAGTCCACGGGAGTGAGCTAACGAACGAACCCTGGTGAATTGCGCCCACTGCCCGCTGCCCGAGGTGGTTCGCTTATCGACAAGGTTCCCAGGAGCTGATCCAAGCGATGCCTTGTGGATGCGCATTATTGCTATCCTCATTGACAGGCCTTTGACTAGACAGCTTAAGCGGCGCAAGCCGCCAAAATGAGCTCTCCATCACCCGCCAATGAGAAATTTTCAGGAAGATAAGGCTGTGATGCACAGGCGAACAGAACTTTGAGCACAGAAGAAGGGTCAGATTCATTGGATATGGACATTTGAGGGACAGGCGGGCACGTTTCATCACATGCGCCACCCATGGTAGGCGAAGCTGCTGGGACCGGATTATAATGGCAAGTACCAAGCCTTTGAAGCGCAACTTGATATTCGCTGGGTCAGCATCTGCATCCTCTGCCGTCTCCGCGGCATGAATTGCATCTGGCGCATGTGCAACGCCATGCAGATGGAATGGAGGTCCATGTGCGACGCGTGGCCCCTAGACCTTCTAGAACCTACAATGGGAAATTTGAATGTTGCGAAAGCGCTCGAAAAAAGTCCGAGATCGACGTTGAGAGTTTGCGATCTGCCATGTGCCGCCTACCTGGCGCAGATCAATCAATAGACAGGGGAAGCCCCAAGTCAAGTCACCACCTGGCAACACCAGATGACGGACAGGAAGAGCTAGTTACCGGCAATTGTGTGATAAACTGCAATTATCCGCCTGGGTACCCGGGCCAAATTTTGACGCATCTTGACGTCTCAATAGCACCGAGGAATCACAACAAGATCACGCAGCTAGCTGCAACCACAGGTTACAACATGAGAAAAGATAGGATTACGTTCCCAATATACATTGTGCTAACTACATTGCTATAGACCTTTTCCCCTAAAAGGGCGCGACGAGAGATGCCCTACTCGGCGACTTGGGAAAGCAGTGCTTCACTCGGCTAATGGCCGCTGCTAGCCTAGACCCTCACACTCTGCTGACCCTGCGTATCTCATTTCTGTATCAATGTCGGGCCTGGAGCACTGCTGTCAAGATCAGCTCAGAGCAGTACCCTCCGCGGATACTTAGCCACAATGAATCGCGTTGGGAATGCTAGTTCCAAGCAGCAATTGCAGGCTCAAAACGGTTAGTGCAAGGACACTCCTATGACGATGTTTGTAAAAGTATCCTCATTAGGCCATGTACGATCCGGTGTCAAGTCACACGAGGCGCAATCGACTGCCACTGTGAACTAAGTGCGATGTAATTCGTCTTGAGCAGAGAATGCGAGACAGGAAAGAGAGTGTGTGTTGCTTGATTGGCAGTGGTGCTGATATGTACATCTGACTATTAACGTGACAATTGCAGCAGTGACGGCTTTGTTGGCAAGACTCGGCATCATGTCTACTCGTTAAAATTGTGACAAGATTGCAATGTCGGTTGTCAAGCACAAACTTGTTGCACGCACAGTCCGGTCCCATAAAATGTTTAAACATTGTTAACTCTGAAAGGTTGCTAAGAAGGGAAACACGTCAGTGAATTTATGGAACGGGGAGGGTTAAAACGGCGAGTGGGCCGTCTGTAGGGCTGCTTCTCCCACAGTTGTGATCGGCCCGTGCTCTAGAGTACCCCAGCTCCGCTGCGACTCGTCACCCGTTACTTGTCAAGTGTCTCACTCGATCGCACCTCGCTTACAAAGGCTATCTTCCAGAGCTCCAATCTGACCATGTTCCCGGTCACTGTCATCGCTAGTGCGACAGGTGACTTCTGTGCTGATCCTCTCTGTAGTTCCCCACAATCACATGCTATACCTCTCTACACTTCCCTTGTACAGTCTTTCTACCCATTCTCAGTCGCATGCCCGACATTCTGATTCCTTACTCACTATCATTAACAATCACACCCGTACACACGTACACGATCCTTTTAGCGCTCTTTCTTTTTCAATCAAACTCTTTTATATACTTTCCGTCCCAGGCTCGTCGGCTTCATCCCTCACTCACTATCGTCAACAGTTACACCCGCCCACAGTCCTATTGGTATGCTTCGCATTGCCGTCACGCTTGTTTCTATCCCTCCCGACACTCCTTTCTTTCCAAGTCCTACCACTATCTTCTCAACAATATCGTGTTCATTTCCAAAAGGTACATATCCCAATCCGGACACCTTGTGCAGCCATGGATCATGCAATCGGATTTCCAGCCAACGGATCTGCTGTCTATTCACAGACCGCCCCAATGCTGGCTTCCAAGTTCGATCATCATGATCCGCAGCTTGTGGAGAATCCAGGCACCGCGGAGCAGAATGCGAATGTACGGAAGATGCTGTTGGTCAAAACAAGTCGAGCGGACATTTGCTCTATCGTCCAGATATACAAGGATTTAAAGAAAGCTAGCATCGATCAAATGCAGGATAACCTCTCAGGGTTAAAGAGGGACGAATTGGACCAGGTGATTTGTGCCAATAGTAAGTGAACAACTATTACTACGCCATCTTCAAAAGCTGACCTAAGGTAGCACCCAAGCGGAAGATGTCTGAAGACCCTGACGAGGCGCCGGCTTCTTCCCCCCAACATGTCAAACGCTCACGCAAAGCTCTAGAGGGCAAAGGGCCGATTCACGAAAAGCCAGCCAAGGTCATGCTGCGTGTGAAGGCATATGGATGTCCTGGAGACAAAAACATGTGTCAAGGGCACAAGAACAGACAATAGACGTCAAGGGCCAAGTTCATAAAGCACTTTGAGGCGAGCCATCTGGAAGAATACAAAAGTGTCGACTGCCTTAACGGTACCAATGTTTTCAAATGCCTCGACTGTGAGCGCAATTGGTCCCCAGGCGCCGGAACTAAAGTGTTCACATCCGCGCACGCACGAGACCTTGCAATACACATATACAATGCCCATATAATCCATCGGACCGAATGGAAGTCCTTCCCCAACGCAGTAGAAGTAAAGGACAAACCCAAAGAGCCCTCCGACATTCATTGTGGCAAGCCCGGCACCACTGAGCTCGAGGATCAGCTCCAGAGCACTGCGACTCCAGAGATGGCTGAGGTCAAGCCTAGGGAGCCTTCAGGTACTCCATACGAGCATATCAATGATGCTGAAACTGGCGGTTTCTTACTTTCTGACACTGGGAACGAGTCTGACGTTCCCGAAGGATTTGACTTCGTTACCGATATCTTCCTCTCGCACTTTATTGGCCTGGATGATTATTCCAGCGGCCCTGTATCTAAGGTTTAACCATACCAGCGGTTCCTCCCTCAGTCTATGGGATCGTGTTCAGCGCTCCGTCTCCCTTTACCCCACCACCGCCACGATCTTTATGTTCTCTCTCTTGTACAATGTTACGTTAATTGTTAGCTACTCGTATTTATATTTACGCTTCAAGCCTAATTTATGATGCTCTAAGACGATATTTTCTCTCATTTCCTTTGTTCTTCTCTAGGGGCGTGCTATTAAAGCCCAGCCTCCTCTAACCCCCTCCGCACCTCTTCAAGGTCTATTAGCCTAAAGTATAGTAGTAAATCAATAGAGGTAGAGATAAAGTAGAGTTACTAAGAGTTAAATAGAGCTAGTGTAGAGTTAAGATTATTCAAGACTCTACTTCTTATAACGGCTTAGAGACCCACGCTACTAATATCTAAGTAGAGCCTAAACTAAGTTCTCGTCTAGCCTAGTAGAAACCTACTAATATAAATATATAATCTCTACTATAGTTATTAAGTAGATCTTTACATTTCTTTTATATAAGGTTTATAGGTATCTACATAATTAGATTCTTGGATTATCTATGTCCTACGCACTCCTATATGCCTCTGAATGACCTTATCGCCGAAACGTATCTCGTAGTTCTTGCCTGCGCCGATACAGGATCCATGCAGTTCTTAAGCACATTACATGCAGGTAGAATTAATGTGTAGGGCGGAAGCAAACCACTGTTGTACGGGTATATATATGAACAGAAAGATGGGGATTGATTGAAGAGACTGCCTTTATGCACTTCACATACAGGATCCCAGAACGCGGCCATTTTAGGACTCTCCAGGCATAGAAATCAACAACAAAGCGAGTGGTGGCAGTTCACTACTTCGCACCAGAAATCTCGTACGCATACGCGGTCGCATTTGTCGCCAGATCAACCGAGATAGTAATCTGTTCAGATGAAACATTAGCAATCTTCATATCCAGGTCTTTGCCAGAAAGAAAAAAGAAGCAGAAGAAAGGAATATCACTCACCATCCCACTACTAATGTTCACAGTGCTCGTACCCAACGCCACGGGCGCCACAATTTCGCCCGCAGGTCCCGCCCAGTCAATACGATATGTAGCAACACTAACCGACGCGCCCTTTAATCCACTAAGCTGAATATCGTACTGACCCTTTACACTGCGCGTCCCCGCGATAACTTTCACAAGACCGTCGGCAGATTTGGTCGCGAATACGTCAAACCGACTATCAGCCGCCGCTTTGGTTGCAAGTCTCTCTCCCGTCATCCCGGCGTAGTACTTGTACAACTGCCACTCCCCATTCGGAAGATACCCGGTGCCACTCTTCTTGAAGACCAGATCAGCGAGCGAATCGTGAAGGCCCGTTCCAGATCCCCAGTGTGCGCGCAGACCACGCAGATTGTGCCGCTCGAGTTGGGCAATGTAATACACGGAGCAGCCGGGGGTTTGCTCTTCTTTTGCTGCGTACTCGTTAATGTCGATGGGGCGTTCAGGGAGTTTGTTCGAGGAGCGGAGGGTGTTAAAGTCAGGGATTGTGGCGTCAGGTTGGCGACTCCAGTCACCGATTTGGTGCCAGGAGTAAATATCCGGGGTGGCGTTTTTGCTTGCTATGGTGCTTAGCCAGGTTTTCCATGTTTCGGAGTTGGTGCTAGGGGAGCTGGCCATGGAAGGGCCGCTTATGATAGTTGAAGGAAGGTTTTTTCTGGTCAGAGAGGGTTGGTTAGCCAGTGGTCTAGGGAAGAACCAGAAAGTGAAATGTGCGTGGAAACTTGCTTGAAGAAGTTGTGGGCGTGAACGTAGTAATCAAGGAATTGGGGCCAAGTACGAGCCCAGAATGCTCCAATATCAGGCTCATTCCAGATGTCAAGGATAAGGCCGTCGAGCATGTTGTTAGCTTTGATGTCTTTGACGAGCTGAGTCAAGAAGGCGTCGGTTTCGGTCCAGTTGCCATTGTCGCCGGGGAAGCGAGGGATGTTGCTGCCGTCTGCTCCCCATAGGTCGTGGACGAGGAGTATAAACTCGCCGTTATATTTCCGAGTGGTACGGTAGTTAGAAAGGGTGGACTTGAAGCGCGGAAGGTAGCTGTCGTAACCATCGATCCAGCCACGGGACGACGTTTGAGCACCGCCAGCTCGGCTGGAACCGAATTTGATGTCTGTAATGTAATTCGAGGGAATCGAAGTGTCTGCTTCTGTCCCGTTGTCGGGAAATCCGTAGATCCATCCAGAAGCAAGGAATTTTGCCTGGCCGGAAGTCTTGGAAAGGTCGACGGTTGCAACGCCCTTAGCTACTCTTCGGGTGCTGGCTGCTTCGAGGAGCGTAAGGCTCGAAAGCAGAATACTAGCAATTGTGGATGACTTCATCTTTTCTCGAGGATGTATTGGTCACAGGCCTGGTGGCATGCCCAAATAGATGGTACATCAATCTCTTCTTATGTGTGCATGTCTTTGGCAAACTCTTACTAGCATTTTAAATTAATCCGGGAATCCTTTTCCAGCGACATATTCTCAAAAGTATATTTGATCGTCTGTCAAAAAGCAGTATTGTCGCTGCAGACGTGATGCGGGGTTACAGTAGCGCGAAATCAAATTAATTGTTCCCAAGTCTGGGTAAAACTAGTGGAACTCCCGGTGGAGAAGGGATGCTTGTAACCCCGCATAACCCATGTCAAAATATAATATCTCCGGTGGGGTAAAGTAAGCCTAGCAACGCACAACGCTTGGATGATTTGTTTTGTTGTATGGAACAGCAACCGTTATAATAACTGGATTTTTTTCGTTTCTAGCGTCATTTTTGTTCATGGTTCTTTGAGATTTCAAGTCTTACGATGGTCCCAAGCTATGAATATGTATTTGGCTGATATTCTTGATGGGTACAGGTCGAAAGCATTCCGAGATAAAGGGTGCTTGAAACACGAATCAATCATTGTGCATTGAAAATCGTTCGGATAATCGTTTTTGTATCTCTAACAACGAAGAATAGGATAGCTTAGTCGCACTAATAGTGAATTGTCAGTTGGAGTGAGTATCAATCTGCATAGGTGCTGAATGTAGCACCAGCGTGTAATGCCTATGAATATATGGTTGCTGTAATCTTGAAAAATACGTCCTTCGTCTCCAAGTTCAGCAGTTATCATATATAGTAGTACTAGTCATCTTTTAATAGCTGTCACCTCATTTTGCTCTAGGATTCAAAAGGTTTACATGTCAATTAATTCTGCAGTATGTTGCAGGAGTTAGGATACTTTCGTTCTAATACCCACGTCGTACCGCCTCCACCAATACCATAAAGACAAAAAGAAGAGAAACAAAAAAGAACCAAGTGAAAGGCCCCGAAGCTTCCAGACAGCTCACGCATCGTCCCCACCACTCGTTACTCTAGTCAAAAGAAAAAACAGTGCTCAACCGTTGCGCTTCCTCGTTTGGTGAAGCGTGGGATTCAGGCGGCGGCAAACCTGAATTTGGAGCCGCTTGAGCCGAGGTCACATAGACCCTCATCATCCGGTATATTGTGGCTTCCAACTCTAGGAACCTCCAGTTTCTTATCTAGAGACAGCTTGCATAAGCAGCCAATGTGATTATGGGTCCCTTGCAGACACAAACATCTCCAATCTGCTGCTCCATATGCAACCAGAGCTTTGGAAGACAAGGACATCTCACACGACACGTACGCATATATACACGCGAAAAGCCATTTCAATAGTCCCTTTGCGAGAGGCGTTTCTCGCGCCTGTAGGTTGCCCATTTTCACTCCGTCTAGCTTCCACCCTGCTTTCTGGAATGACAATGCTCTTACTAACCCATCCGGGAAAGTGACGTGCTCAATCGCCATGTGGTTTCACATGAAGAAGGTGACGACAGATCGAATGCGACAGCTTCATCGCGGGCGTACAGATAATGCACTCTTGGCCGCGTCCGATGTTCCCGTGGTCAACCCTGCAGGAGGTGTATGAATCAGAGGCTCACCTGCCGGTATCCCACAACTCCTCACGAGCCCAGGGAATGGAAATATCCGAGTTTGGAAGTAACGATCTGGCGATTCAAGAAAGAATACAGCGCCACGGATCTACGGAAGAAAGTAGAAATGGTAACAGGCAACTGTTTGGCTTGTTTGAAAAACAAACCCAGAAGACATTAACACTATGGATGACTACAACCACCGAATCCACTAGATAAGCTAAACTAAGTTATAGTTAATACTAAAACAATATTCCGTACAACATACACACGCTTCTTAATATCCCATACCTGCAACCCCCGTACCCAGCCGTGCGACAGAGTGTCTATTAGATTCGCTGGATCCGACCAGACTTACAGCGCCGGCGTGTAGATGTAACATAGGTGCACAACGTGGCTGCATCGAAGAATCGCTTCCAATGCTTTGCTAGTGCCCTCGGAATGCGTTTCGAATCCTCCGGTGGAGACCACGCTACTGTATGTAGTTAGTGTGTGTAACAGTTCAGCGAATACAATACGCTACTAAAATACGTACCTACTACAACATAAATCGGTTTACTACTACTACTAGAATATTATTAAAGTATTACACAATATTTTAGCAAATATCTAGTATAATTATATATTATAGCTATATATAGGCTTTAGAAGAACACTTGGTAAGTATTCGGATATTTATATGCTTTCTTATAGATAACTATTGATTATGTATTTAACTAATTAGTTATTATAAAAATCTTTATAGATGCTATTATGATGATAGAGGTATTGTATATTAAAGATAATAAATAGATATTTTAATAGAGTAAAGAGTGTTATATCAGCTAGAGAATTATACGCACTGATTATATATAGTAGCCCACTTTGCAAGCGCGCCATCCCCTCACGCTCCGGTGGAGGCGCGTGGAGACGAACCCTTCTCTCCGAACAACAAAGGGAAAGTGGACTGTTTTTACACGTACCAGTACACGAGTCTGGTGGACCCCGCTGATCCACATTAATGATGTTCCTTTGTCATGGTCTTGCGGCCGCAGCGCTCTGGTTTGCCTGCAAAGCTGTGCGCACGCACCTGATGCGTAGCTTCACTCGAACCGCTTTTCGACAGACATTTCTAATTGAACCACGGACACACTTTTCTTGAGCTGAACAATGTTCTTCCACGAGCACGGTCGTCTCGTATTTGCGTACGACGCAGAACGGCTATGGATCGAACCGTGGGGCCAAAACTCCCTCCGCGTTCGTGCCACCAAAGCCAGTAGCATGCCTACCGAGGACTGGGCGCTGCTTCAAGTCAAGCCTACCAAATCAGATGTCAACATCACGGATGAATGCGCTACCCTGGTGAACGGCCGTATCAGCGCTACAGTAACGCGGCGGGGTAAAGTGACTGTCCGTGATGACAGTGGAAAAGTCCTACTCGAGGAGTTTGCTCGGAACCGGCGAGAGCTTACAGATCCTAAATGTAGCGCTCTCGAGATTGAAGCGCGCGAGTTCAAACCAATCATTGGTGGTGAGTATCATCTCACGGCCAGGTTCGAGAGCCTTGATCCAAAGGAGAAGATCTATGGCATGGGACAATACCAGCAGCCCTACCTGGATATCAAAGGAACTCAGATCGAACTTGCGCACCGCAACTCTCAGGCTAGCGTACCATTTGCGCTGTCTTCTCGTGGCTATGGCTTTCTGTGGAACAATCCGTCCGTTGGGACTGCGATCTTTGGCAAAAACATCATGAGCTTCGAGGCTCGGTCAACAACGGTCTTGGATTACTGGATCGTTGCAGGAGAGACGCCAGCGCAGATTATTGAGGCATACGCCGAGGTCACTGGCAAAGTACCTATGATGCCAGAATATGGCCTCGGCTTCTGGCAATGCAAGTTGCGTTACCAGACCCAGGATGAGCTTCTCAATGTTGCACGAGAGTACAAACGACTCCAACTGCCGATTGATTTGATCGTCATCGACTTCTTTGTGAGTTGCAGCAGACTAAAACCCCGTTCAGAACGCGTATTGACTCGCTTCAGCACTGGCCAAAACAGGGTGATTGGCGCTTTGATGAGACGTATTGGCCAAATCCAAACGCCATGGTCAAGGAGTTGCAAGATATGGGCATCGAACTCATGGTCTCCATCTGGCCAACAGTCGATCGCAAGTCCGAGAACTATGACGAGATGCTGGAGAAGGGTTTGCTCATTCGCACAGAGCGTGGCGAGCGCATAGCTATGACATTCCAGGGCGTCACTGTACATTTCGATCCAACCAATCCAGCATCGCGAAAGTACGTCTGGGGTAAGGCGAAACAAAACTACTACTCAAAGGGCATCAAGGCTTTCTGGTTGGACGAAGCCGAGCCCGAGTACACGGTGTACGACTTCGACAACTACAGGTATCATCTTGGGTCCAACCTGGCCGTCGGCAACATCTTTCCACGAGAATATTCGCGTGCCTTTTACGAGGGCATGGTAGATGAGGGTCAGACTGGAGTTGTCAATCTTGTTCGTTGTGCTTGGGCAGGCAGTCAAAAGTACGGTGCCCTTGTATGGAGTGGCGACATTGCTTCTTCGTGGAGCAGCTTCCGAGACCAACTGGCGGCAGGGTTATCTATGGGTATCGCCGGCATTCCCTGGTGGACAACAGGTAACCTCCTTCCAGTTCCAGCTTGAATTGAAGGCTTACTTTGAACAACAGACATTGGTGGCTTCCACGGGGGTGATCCCAATGACCCTAAGTTCCGGGAGTTGTTCGTGCGATGGTTTCAGTGGGGAGCATTTTGCCCTGTTATGAGACTTCATGGCGATCGCGAGCCAAGGCAGGCGAAGGTCGGTAATACTGGAGGAGCATCATGTCGCAGCGGTGCAGACAACGAGGTGTGGTCATACGGGTCGGAGGTGTTTGAGATCTGCAAAAGGTACATGCAGTTTCGCGAAGAGCTTCGACCTTACACACGAAAGCTCATGAAGGAAGCTCACGAGTATGGCACCCCAGTCATGAGGACGCTCTTCTTCGAGTTTCCGGATGATGCCATTTGTTGGGAAGTCGATGAACAGTACATGTATGGTGATAAGTATCTCTGCTGCCCGGTTTTTTCAGAGGGTCAGACGCAGACAGCGGTGTATCTACCAAAGCTGACTGATGGCAAGAAGTGGCAGAGGCTATGGAGTGAAGATACCTACGAGGGTGGCATCCATATTACGATCGCGTCTCCTTTGCAGGAAATGCCTGTATTTATCAGGCCGTAGACAACGACGTGCAATTTCTAATGCACAAGTCTAGCAGAGATTAATGCCTCGGATTAAGATGTTGTGCAATAATATGCCCAAATATGTCTTCCCGCTTGTTCCCGGCTGGTACCTACTAGTCTCAACACGAAAATCTGGTCAGCTGTCCAGACAACCCCGCACTGTTCCCTTAACATCAGACAGCCCACTTATCATACTCGCTATAAGAGTTGCCGAACAGCGCTATGACCAAGGTGTTAATGCTCTAGTTGTTCCTTTACCGGCCTGTGTGATACCAACTCAGTCGCTGCCAAAGATGCATATTAGCTGCTCTGTTTGTAACCAAACATTCCACAGGCCAGAGCATCTCACTCGTCATTTTCGCACACATACACACGAAAAGCCATATAGATGCTCCTTCTGCGAAAAACGGTTTTCCCGACTGTAAGTCATCCTCTGAGTATTAAAGATGACATCTAACCAAGATCAGTGATGTCTTGACCCGTCACAAGGCATCACATGAGCAGCAAAACGAAGTGTCAGCAACACCTGTTTCTACCAGAGCATGCAAGCAGTGTGCGCTTGACCGGGTCCGCTGTTCACGGAGTTTACCATGTAAGAGATGCTCGAGTCGCAACTTGCCATGTTGCTACCCTGCCTCAGGTAGAGCAGTTTCACGAGGCAATACCAGCGAGCGGAGAGGGATGCAGTTGGCCGAACCCGAAAACTTGGGTCCAAGCGCCTTACTAGAAATGGCCCATGAAACCGTTGCAATCGACAGTGAAGTAGAGATTCCGCCGAGCGACGGTACTGCAATGCGTCGGGATAACGCAGCTCCCAATGAACCTAGAGAGGAGAACAGCATCTGGGGTGCGTCATTGGGTGATGTTGTTACGCTTTACGACCTTGACCTTCCCGACCTTGGCCCACTAGGCATCAATTGGATCTCGCCTGGATATCAGTACGATATTGACTGGAACATGTTACCCAACAATGGCACTGGAAAGTCCCCACTTGACCCGCGCGGACAACAAACACCAGACGCCATTATCCCAACGGTACATGACATGGATCACAGTTTTCGTCAGCAAACCCACCAATCTACCTCTTTGGCGATTGAAACTTCAAGTTGCGACAGCGCGCAGAGTACGCAAACGCCCCTCACCGCTAGTGCAGAATACTATGTTAACGGCGATGGCTCACGTGCGCCATTCAGAGGCCGATACCATGATCGCGGCTCACTTGCTATTAATCAAGCGCTACCGACCGGTCTCAAGATAGGTAATGCACCGGAAGCAGCTTACTCATCCTGCTCATCTACACTATGCTCTGAGGAAGCATACGGTACATTGCTTGATACACTCAGACACCATGGACTTGATTCGATCGAATCAGGCATCGAATCAACGGCATTCCCTACTCATGCACAGATTGAGCTCTACGTGCAGCAGTACTTTGCACGCTTCAACCCGGTCTTCCCTTTCCTGCGTAAAACGACTTTCGAAGAAGAAAGCCCCCAGAGATGGCTGCTTCTCCTTGCTGTTGCTGCCATAGGGTCCAGATTCGTTCCCGGATCTCGAGATTCATATAATATCCTCTCGGAAAGGCTAGACGCTGCGCTTGATCGTTGCAAACATGGGCGTTACTCCGTACTGGATAATGTCATCGACAATGATTTATACGTACCTGGTGAAAATCTGATGTCAACCAGTCCCGCTGATGTTCAAACTTTGCAAGCTGGTATACTGCACCTTGTTTGCCTGATGCAGTCAGGAACGCAGGGATCCATGAACAAGGCACTGAGAGTGCGTCATGATCTTGTTAATAGCTGTCGCTCTCTAAAACTTCTCGAACTAAGTTCCGAGAACAGTAGTGTCCTGTCTACGTGCACGTCTCCCGGCTCACCAAGCTGGTTGAGGAGCGAAGCGAGAATCCGGACTGGGATCTCACTCTGGGTGTGTAGCATCAACTTTTCATCACTGATCTTATCAGCTGACTGGAACAGTTGTTCGACTGTTCAATGATGTACGAATTTGGAGTTCGACCTTTGTTGAACCTTGATGATGTGAGAACCAAACTGCCGTCATGCGAAGACATATGGCAGGGCAGCTTGCAGAATCGTCCGGAGCATGGGTTTCCCCAATCTATGACATTGACTGAGGCCCTCGAGGTTCTCTATATGGAAAAGAGATTACCCGTGGGTCTTAACGAGTTCAGTGTGGGACTACTGATACACGCAATCTACCGCCATACAAAGGATATGCTGACGGCAAGTCGACTGAGATCGTGGATTCCTTCAGCGATGGCAGAACATCGAAGCGCCATTCAACACAATCGTCCATCTTTGGACTGGCTTCCTTCGACTCAGATAGGTTCCAAGTGGCGGAACAGTGCTTGCGACTCCTTGGACATATTGCACTGGCATGCCAACAGCAAAGTGGCAACATCCTCTGGGTTTGAACACCATACAATCTTACAACTGCACCTCGCACGTATCACAATACTCACGCCTACTGGTTGCATTCAATCTTTGGCGAGAGATCTGACGGATATTACTCAGTACGGAGCTCAGACTGACAGCCGGATTTGTCTAGATCGCGCACGAAATGAGTTACTGCAGTGGGTCGTTGAAGATAAATATAAGACCAGACTTGCCGTGATTCACTGTGCTGCGCTTTACTGGCATGTACGAAGGTACAGTCGAGACAGTGTGCAAGAGCCCTACGCCATCTTTATCGCAACCCTTACTTTGTGGTCGTTCTGCGTGACCATGCAACTACCAGAAGCTTCTGAGGCTATTTTCAACGACAGAGATGGTGTTCCAGAGCCAAGCTTCTGTCATCTGGACCGACCTTTGGATGATGAGCTCGTACAGCTGTTCGTACGCGTTGGTCATAGGATGTGTCCCAACATTTCGAGGGTTGGCAATATCCTTGATCCCCAAGCTGCCCCTAATATTCTTCGAGAAGGAAGGAGCCTCCTTCTGGCGGGGTCGCGAGCGCGTGTCAACACGGACAATACAGCTCCACAATTCACATGGGGTATTGAGGAGTGCTATGTAAAGTCATTGAGTGGGATACTCGAGACCATGGCGCGTGCGGAGCGGAATAGCACGAACCAGAGCTCTCTAATCTTCCCCTGGTGCTTGGCGCTGGTCTGAAAATATTGATTGTGCACGTTCGTCCCCATACCAATGGATCCACATAAAGGTAAATTTAGGCGCTGTTCTGGCACAGACAAAATCTTGAGTCCGAAGCCAACTTCCTTCGTAATCGAAATCCCAATTTATAGAGATCTTTTTCCTGCGCAGTCGAAATTCTCCACAATTGTCTCTTAATAAAAATGAACTACCATCCCAGTAGTTCACACTGCCCAAGAGTGGAGACTGTATTAAATTTTGGGGGGATTGCCTACTGGGGCTGGTCGACCCCGCCGTAGCTCGTGTCACCTGGTTCGTTAACACCTCCCCTGCTTCTCCACATGCAACCCCAGCCGGATTTTACCCCAGATTATCGGGCTCTTGCTCCGGTGGGGGCCTGGGATTAGATTGAAGGATGAGACTGCGCAATGTTACTCTCCCTCGACAACGCAACTATATATCCCTGCTTATCATTACTTGCATGGATCCCAAGTCGGTCATCTTCTCTATTGTACTATACAGTTGCGCCCAACAGCATTCTCATGTCTACCCTAACTAAGAACGAAGTTATCCTGGATGGGCACGATGAAGGATTTCATCAAGCCAGGCAGGCGGCTGAAGAGGAACATGATCTTACACCTTGGCAAGCCCTCCGTCTTCACCCCAAATCGGTGATGTGGTCCGTCTTGTTATCGAACTGTATCATCATGGAAGGCTACGACATCGTCCTCATCTACTCTTTCTTCGCCCAGCCAGCCTTCGCTCGCCGGTACGGTCAGTGCGATTCTAGCGGAGCCTGTCAAATTACGGCCTCCTGGCAGGCAGGACTTGGCAACGCCGTTGGGTGTGGGACTATCATCGGTGCCTTTGCCAATGGATACTTCTGCCAAAGATATGGCTACCGCCCGGTCCTTCTCACTTCTTTGGTCTTCATTTGCGCTTTCATCGCTATCTCGTTCTCCGCGCCCAGTTTGCCGGTTTTACTTGTAGGCCAATTTCTCTGCGGTATACCATGGGTAAGTGCTCAATCGAGAAAGTTTGGAATTTTCACTAATACTTACAGGGCGTTTTCGCAACTATGGCACCTGCCTATGCGAGCGAGGTCTGCCCCATGGCCTTGCGGGGATATCTCGCCGTATATGTCAATCTCTGTTGGGCTTTCGGACAACTCATCTCTGCAGCTGTACAGTCGGCATTCTCAGGTGGTACCAGCCAATGGTCATATCGCATTCCGTTTGCCATCCAGTGGGTATGGCCCATTCCGCTCTTCCTGGTGCTCTTCTCCGCTCCCGAGTCACCGTGGCACTATGTCCGTAAAGGTGACCTTAGAATGGCAGAAAAGATGTTGAAACGCCTTTCTTCACCGTCCCAGCTAGACTCAATCAAGCAGAAGGTCGCGATGATGGTCCATACAAACGAGCTGGAAGTGTCGCTTAGCAAGGATACGTCTTACTGGCAATGCTTCAAGGGCATAGACCTGCGTCGTACCGAGATTGCTTGCATGGCTTTTGCCGCTCAGCCCTTCTGCGGCTCAGCTATGGGCGGCACCCCAACATACTTTTTCGTTCAGGCCGGTCTTCCCAGCAGCATTTCTTTCAAGATGTCTATTGGTGGTCTGGGTATTGCATCAATTGGCACGGTCGTATCCTGGTTTCTCATGTCCTACTGCGGCCGTCGAACCATCTACCTTTGGGGCTTGGGTGGACTTACTGCGATTCTCGTAACTGTCGGCGCCATAAGTGCTGGCGACGCCAGATCATCGCAAGGAAACTATGCCCAAGCTGGTCTGATGCTTGGGTGGCTCGCGATCTACTATCTCACCGTTGGACCAATTTGTTACGCCATTATCACCGAGGTGTCCTCAACTCGATTACGTAGCAAGAGTGTTTGCCTTAGCCGCATAGCCTACTACATCGCGCAGATCATCAGCAACGTCGTCAATCCCTACATGCTCAACCCAACCGCTGGTGACTGGAAGGGAAAAACAGGATTTTTCTGGGGTGGCTTTGCATTCCTCTTCTTTATCTGGACTTTTCTACGCCTACCTGAGACCAAAGGACGCACTTTCGAGGAGATCGACATATTATTCGCAGAAGGTGTCCGAGCTAGGGACTTCAAGAACCATGAGGTAAATGCCTACACCGACACAACCACTAAGAGAAACGCTTTAACCCAGCAACCCTAATCTCATATTTGTCTGTAAACCTCAAACCTAAGAATAGGCCTTGGCCTTCCTTATACCTTAGTCACACTATAGTAAGTTTTTTCTGTATAAATTAGATTACTTACTTCGCTCGTAAAACTACCTAAAAAGTAGCTCGTACGCTAATAACCTTACCTATAAAAGGTTGAATAAAGATAAGAGTTGTAACGGGCTGAACGCCCTTTGGATAGCTCCTTAATGAGATCTCGGTTCAAGCTACGTACGCGGCATCCGAAATACGTTCAGATAACGAGCCTAGAATCCGGGTGTTACCCTAAGCACCTAGATTCTACTTATTGTCTGAGCAGCGCCTAGATAACCCGCTTAGATACTTTAGTATAACCTTTCTCTAATAAGTAAATAAACATTATATCAGTAGAGTGGCTTAGGCCTTCTAAGATATATCTATTGAAGAAAAAAAATTCCGATATTTATTGAGACTAGTACGTAAAGCGGATAGAGGTGCCGGACGGGCCAACGCCGCGGACGGGCCAACGCCGGATTACGTCCTCCAACACCAATTATTCTATCCACTTCAACCACCTATAACGTGACCATAATGCAATCAATTGACGCTGCGCTTACTGCTATTAACGCGCTAAAGCCTAATAAAAAGCTTGTATACTCTCAAATTGCAAAAAAATATAGTGTTGACCTAGAAACGCTGAGCCGCCGCTACTGAGGTATTTCTAGCTCTAGATAAGCAGCTGCACAAAACTAGTAGGCAGTCCACCCATAACATGAAGCTAAGCTTATCAATTATATTAATAGACTTACTAAGCGAGGCCTACTACCTATACGGAGTATCATTCGAAATATCGCATTGTAGCTAGCTTAGAAGTAGCTCAGATACTACTAGGTTAATCGCTTTATTTATCGCAACTCGTATCTTATTATACTTAAGCGTACCACGCTAATCGATCGCAGCTAGCGCCGAGCTAATTTAGAAAAGAAATATTAGCTCTACTTCGAGCTTCTACGCCAAAAAATTAATTAATATAACGTAGAGCCGCGATATATATATAATATAGATGAGAAAGGCTTTATAATTAGAGTATAGTCCCGTTTAGTCTAAATCTTTTCTAAAGCTGCTCTTAAGTCTAAGTTAAAAAGATTAAATATTTAAGATAGTAATCGCGAATAGATTACGCTAATCGCGTGTATCTACGCGGATAGATTATATCTAAATCTAAGTATTATCTACTCCAGCAAATCCAGCTCTATCCAGAACTTATAGCTCTAAGGTTTTAATCTAGATATACATACTATGTATATTACCGCATCAGCTACTGGCTGGTCGAACGATAATATTAGTCTCCAATGGCTTAAATAAGTGTTCGATCTAGCTACTAAGCTAAAAGCTCAATCTTCTTACTAATTACTTATTATAGATAGGCACCATAGTCATATAATAATAGATTTTATTAACTAACGTGGTTCACAAGCGAGCTGATCACCCAAGTGAGCTAATCACGCCCCACCAGCGCGTCGACGTCGACACGTTATCACAGTCTTTTACAACAGTCAATAAACTATTATAATATACCAAATTAATTATTAGAATTACTACTATCACTTGCACTATCTATCTTAACTGCGTAGGTACGAGCGTTGTGTCCAGTCTGCTTACAACGCCCGCACCGCCTCTCTCCTCGCACCCTCTTTGACGTACTCTCACCGTCGCCACGGCTGCTATCCGCCTGTTCAGCTAGTACTTCTTGTACCTCGCCGATAGTAAGAGTCTCTTCTATCCGTATATATCGCCGCTTACGGCTCTTACGCTTTATTACTATATCTAGAGCTGCTTTAAGGCTACCTACTTTCTCGCGTAGTAACACCATCTTATATGCTATCTATTACGCACCCTTACTAAGCTGCGCGATCTTTTCGTCTAAAGAACTTATAGAAGACCTAGAACGGTTTCTTACTCTCTATTAAATAAGAGTACTTTAAGCCTCGACTTCGCGCGCGTTGCGTGGTATCTGCGTCTCCTAAGTAGCTACCCGTTATAGTAATTATTTTGGCGTCTGCACCACTATATTAAGCTTCGATAGCACAGCCTGTAGGTCGTGTAGGACTAGACTAGCTACTCTAAAGCCAGCTTAGATATTCTCCTTTGTAATAGACTGCTTAAAAGCAGCCTTAAAGGCTAGTAAGAAGGTCTCCTTGCTGATATAGTTAGTGCGGTTACGTGCTAAGCCTAAAACAGCGTCACCGTACTTACGCTTCAACGGCGAGAAGTAGGCGACGTTAAGAGGCTGTAATAGATAAGATAAGTGCGCAAGTATGCAGAGAAGAACTATATTCTTCTCCTTATAAAGATCTTAAAAATTAATAGAGCAGTAACTCTCATAGCCGTTAATAATAAGTAGTTGATATCTACCCACAGTATGCCTCTTTATATAGGTATTAAAGTGCTCTAACCACGTAAGAGTAAGCTGGTTATTCGTCCAGCTATTAGGACTAACTTTAAGCACCTAGTCGGCAGGCAGATTCTTAAACTAGACGTTAATAAGCACCTTGCCCGTAAAGATAATAAAGGGTAGTATCTAGTAACTAGACGCGCCTACGCCTTAGATCACAGTAACCTACTCACGGTTGCCTAGCTATATCCGCTTCTTTTTACTATGTCCTTCTAAGGCTATAATAACTAACTATAATAAAATCTTGCCTATTGTAAAGCTAGTTTTATTAAAGTTATAGATATTATTGTCTATAATATCCTACTTCTGCTTTATCGTCTTAACTAGATTTGTAACGGCGCAGGCAAGACTACTCGGATCAGTATCGGCAGTAGCGTCACTCAGAGGCATATAGGAGTGCGTGGGACATCAAACGAGCCTTGATTCGAATAGACACCTATAGGTCTTATACGAAAGGATATCAAAAATCTATCGAGCTACGGTATAGAGAAGGTGGGGTTTTATATCAGCAGATCTGCCCTCGGCTAGTACGTGCCCATGTTCGGATCCCTTTCAGATATTAGTTCAGTGTATACTCAAACTATTACACTACCCCCCCCTCTATTAACAGCTAGTCCCGTAGCTATTAAAAAAATTTCAATATTTGTTTATTTGTCTATTTACTTAATGTCGTTATCCTTCTATACAGGGTCTCGGCTAGGCCCCGAACAGCCTCCAGGCTAAGGAGAATCCACTCAGCACGTAATATTAAATCCGTTTACTCACTAAGTATATTAACAGCACGCGTCTATACTTACTATCACCAAAATACTAAAAAAATTCTACTCCTCCTATACACACACATACACACATCATACTATTGCGTTACTCTACTGGCGCGCTTCCGGAGGCGTACCGTCTTATCTGTCTTCGTTCAGTTCGTGCCTTTGCGCGCGGAGTCCATAATATAGACTACCGTTTCGGTACCGTAGAGTCTAAGAAGTACAATTATTACACTTAGTAGAAGGAGAAGTGCTCCTCTATAAGTTTTTTAAATCCTTCTAATTATAAGACGTCACTAACTCTAATAGGTTCTAGAGTACGTTAAGGCCGAGTTCGCCGTTTTTCTCGCAGCGATAGACCTAGTAGCTGCTACCCACTATAGTGACAAGCCAGAGAACGACCAGTACGCTGCTAAGCAGCGTCTCGAGTCCGCCGCCCTAGATCTAGCTCGCTAGGTCCAGGTAACAAAGAGCTAGAAGAAGGAGTTATCCGTAGTTAGGCTTCTCTCCGCCACGCACTAGGTGCTGGTAGAGATTCGGGATAGCTTACGCCGGCTGGAGAGCCGTGTGGCGGTAGTAGAGAATACTATAGAGGCTGGTGGGACTTTTATCTCAGACCCTATAGATATTAGTTCCAGGGGCGAGTTAGAGAAGGAGTTGGAGGGGGAGTTAGAGAGAGAGATAGAGAAAACTCTATCAGTAGACCTCCATGGTCTAGAGAATAGGGCAGGAGAGTCTTCTAACTCCCCCATTAATTAGGTGTTCAGTATAGTAGATAGTTAGTTAGATTAGGTTTATTTCTAGGGCGTTTTAGTTTTTATTCTATACCCATTATAAAGAATTATTTTTCTTTTCCCTATATTTAATCATCTTACAGTAAAGTTATATTCTCTATACCTTGCTCCTATACCTAGATCCACTTTAATAAGGAATAGGGAGGTCCTAGTTTTATTAGATTTTAGTTATAGAAGATCTTAAGCTTATAGAGTGCCCCTATAAAGTTTAAGGTAGGGTACTAGATAGAGTCCAGATTATATCTAATCTACCTTACCTAATACTTAAGCTTCGAGCGATACACTTTACTAGCTAAGACTTCTTTAACTTCCCACTCTTCTACTCCTTAGATAGAGGTTCCTAACAGCTTAGGGGCTTCTTATCTAAGTAAGGGATCTTAAGGGTCTTTACAGAGTAATTCCGGAGTAAAGACATTATAGATTTAGAACCCTTCTAGTAGCTATAGGCGATAAGAATTTCCTACCTTTTCTAGCACCTTAAAAGGTCCCTCCTATTTATCAGATAACTTATAGCTGGGGCGATCCGTAGTAAGGTTTTTCGTGTCTAAGAAGACTTAGTCTCTAACTTTCTAGTTAATAGAACGTCAGTATCGGTTTACCACGGTTCGTATCTAATCCTAGGCTTTCTCCATTTATTCCTTAGCAACCTTCTAGGCAGCGTATATTCTAGTAGCTAGGGCGAGAGCATCCTAATGGTTGAGCTTATTGGTAGGGGATAGCTTACTCTCTTTCTAGTCCTAGTCCCAGCTCTGCCTTAGTTCGGTTCCGTATAAGATCCAGTACGGGGACATACTAATAGAAGAGTAAGGTAGGGAAATTTGGGCTCTATTAATTAGAGGGAGTAACTCACTCTAGTTATCCTAGTAGTAGGCTACGAACGGACGTAGCCTCTAATTAATATACTTATTTATAATCTTAGTCTAGCTATTAGTTTCTTTATAGTAGATGGTAGATAGTTTTACTTTAACGCCTAGGATCTGATAGAATTCGGACTAAAAACTAGAGATAAACTAAGGACCTCTGTCTGAGATGATGGTTTCGGGCGTATAGCTAAAATAGTACACCTACTAAACGAATAACTCAGCTATACCCCTCACGTTAATGGTTTTATTATAAGGAATAGAAATAGCCTATTTAGATAGGCGGTTAATAACGACCATAATTATGTTATAACCAGACCTGTCTTAGGGGAATTTCTTAAAGTCGATGCACAGGTGCTATATTAGCCAGTTAGGAATAAGGAGGGGGTGAATTATATCTAGGACTTGAGTCTATCTTAGATATATCTTACAATAAGCTATGTAATTTTATACATATCTTTTATAAGAAGACTCTATTCCTTTCTAGTAGTACTTCCGGGCTAGTAGCTAATAAGTTTTCTTAGCACTGAGGTGTGCAGAG